CATCCTTCAACAATCAAAGAAAAAAGTGGATTTAGATGATGCAGAAGTGCCACAAACCAGCAGGGGGCAAATGAAATGGTAGTCTATGAGAAAATATTCCTATCTCTCATTGTTTTTACTCCCTTAGTAAACATTTTCCTTATGAGTTTATGGTCTCACAGTCTCTCATTTCAAGTCTTCTTCATTGCAACAAGAACTTAACTTTGTACAACCCAAATTTCACAAAAGTCTTGAAGCTATTTAAAGCGTGAAACAGAATTGGATGGTTTTCAAATCATTTAAGACCTTCAGATGAATCTAATATTGGAAACAAGAGAATTTCACTGTTTCATGAGGAATATATTCTCAGTTTAAATTTGAAGCCAGTAATATGTTTCTTAACAGTTGTCAGGACTGAGACCAGTTTTATCAGCAGGACTCTTCTACTACAGAGCCATGCTGTTGTAATCCCTATTGTCAGAATGTGGTTTGTCATTGTCTTGCTGAAATATGAAGATCTTCTCTGAAATAGTCATTGCCTAGATGGCAGCAGATGTTGCTCCTAAACCTGTAGATATTGTTCAGCATTAATGGAGTCTTCACAGATGTCGAAGATACCCATGACATGGAGTCTGGTGATCCTCAGCATCAGATGCTGGCTTTGGACAGGGAGCTGTTGTCCCTCTCTGAAGAATTAATCAGCTTAAACATTCGATATGTTGTCTTTGGCTGGCTTTGAATAATTTGCAAACCATCAAATTTGGTTTCTAACATTTTACAGTGTTCTAAGTTTTGGGGGATTTGGGTTGTAAATTATGGTCTATTTGGTGTCATGAAGACCAGAAAGCAGGAGGGGAAATGTTTTGTTTAGTGTTTTCAAACGTTTTAATGTAAGTATAGCCACTGTGATTTATTCCATTTTCTTATAAACATAACTGAAATGATGGTGTGTTTGTCTCTGATGAAGGAACCCACTGAGCAATAGACGGCTATTAGATGTCTAGATTTTCTTAGACCTAATTTCAACAGTTTAGATTCTGTATATTTTTAGACAGAATTTAGACGTTGCACTTTAACCCATTATTTGATAACAATTTATTTCAAAAAGCAACTGTGAGTTGCATAACTGATCTCGAAGTACTTAAACAAAATAATTATGATAACCGTAGAGCAATATACAGTGTAGTATTGTATAGCCGGCTAGTCTAAACTTGGTCTGAATTTAGACATCTAAAAAACATTCATTTTTAGACCTGTGGTCGCCTGATTTTACACCGGTCGTCTAGGCTACATTTAGACGTGTATTAGACCTCTTTTAGACCAAAAAATGCTCAGTGGGAATGAGGTCTGTTTAAATGTCAAACACCTCTGTGTACTCACAGCAGCACTAACATCATCTGCAGTGATATAATTTATACTGATGGTCCAGAATCAGATCCAAACACTCCTCTTAAAGCATCACAGAGTCCTGAACCCCCTCATAGTCTCAGTGTTTGCTCGCTGCTCCACTCTGACACTGGGTCTTGTGTCTTGATGGATGTTTCTGGGGCCAGAGGGCCCCGCAGCAGCATCTGGAGCCTGAAAGTGAAAGCAGTAACTCCGGGCACTCGTCACCGCTTTGTCCAGACTTTTCTACCCCTCTCTGTGTTTTCTGTTGCGAGGACAAAGGGGGCGTGTGATCGGCACACACACATCCTCCATTCACCCTCACACACTTCACCTCACAGTCTGAGACCATCACACTCGTCTGCTTGGATTCAGAGTCCAATATTGCCTGTTGTCATGGAGCAGATCATTTAGACCAGTTAGTCTGGTAACCCCTGAAACTAAAGACTTGTGGCCTTTGGGAGGCCCCTGGGAGGCCCTACAATATGGTTTGAGGGCTTTCGATAGTTTATGTCTTCTGAGCCCCGAGAGTACATGGAGCTATCCTCAAACCTAAGGTGAAATGATTGTTTGTGTCCATCAAAGACATTCTGGTCCTGATCCTCAAAAACAGGTCTTCAAAGTGGGTCTGGTCAGCCCCAAAGAACTGGCTAAAAAGTTCATCCAGATGCAGTTCACGTAAGAAGAACAAACTCAGCTGTTTGCACCTGTGGTGGACTGGTTGGTTTACGTTCATGCAGCCACACATGCATGAGAAACAGGAGGCTGAAATTTCACTTTTCCTCAGCAGGATGAGGTGGAGGTCCACGGGTCAGACTGGAGCGTGGTTAGAGCGCTCGATCTTTCTCCCCCCCTCCTGTTTTCTCTCCATCCATCAGCCGTTAATTGAATGAGGTGTTTGTTGGTGTCACGCAGCCTGACAGACTCAGGCGCTGCTGCAGAGCTAAACAGAGTGTAATCACATTTGAAGGTGGGTCAAATGTAGTTTGGTTTAACAGCAGGAGGTTATCTGCAGGTCTGAGCTGAACAGGAAATGAATCAGAGTTAGTCTGAAGACTGTCAGGGTTCGTCTCCCTGTACATGGTGGTTTCTTTTTCTCTCACTGTCTGGTTTTTCATGATTCTTGAAAAAGATGAAGTGGCACTAACTAGACACCATCCTCTTTGATTCAAATTTCATGATGATAAATTTTAAAATATGAGGTTGAATATGGATCAGAGGACATTTATTGAAAAAGATAATTTAACCATTTCTGCTGAGTCTCAGATTCACCGTAACCAGGAAGTCACACAAAAGCTTCACGTAGGCTTATTTCAGTGGTGTGAACCAGAAAAAGAAACTGAGTTGAGGAACTTCAAAACCATCCTCTCTGCCCGATTACACATTTTTATACTGCCAGTTTTCGCAAAGAGCAGAAAAATAAATGCATAAGCCTCAGTGTGAAAGATTTCTGACTGTACGATATTTTTACTCAGATTACAGTTCCAGAAAAAGTCAATCTGAAATAACGCTAAGTCAGTGTGAAAAACCCTTTTTATTTACTCAAATCATGAGTCATAGGAAAACTGAACATTAGACTCAACATCAACTAAATGAATGGCTCAGTTCTGTTAATGTAATAACTTTAATCTCCCAACATAACGAGGGTGGCAGTAATTTAGGAGGTAGAGCGGTCATCCTATAACTGGAAGGTTGACGGTTTGATCCCCACTCTATTTCTAGTCTGTCTGTTGTGTCCTTGGGCAAGACACTTAACCCAACTTGCTACCAGTGTGTGTCCTCCACTGGTGTATGATTGTGAGTATTGTGTTGTGGTCGGAGAGGCTGTATAGGCGCAAACTGGGCAGCTGTGACTATCAAGGTAGTTTACCACAACCAGGGTGTGACTGTGTGAATGAATGAATGAATGAATGATTTATCCGATGTAAAGCACTTTGAGGTCACTAATAAAAAAGTGCTTTAAAATCTGATGCATTAATATTAACGACTTTATTTCCATACTATATTGACTTTAATCATTTAACAAAAAGACTTTAATCTCTAAACATAATGCCTTTTATCACTAAACAAAATGACTTTTAATTGAAAACATCCCTCTGCTTTTTTCTTTACTTTACGGCTTTACGGCTTTTGTGACGCCCCCATCAGTGCCGTCCTTGTAAAGACAGTCTGTGTAGAGTTGGTTCTGATGGGTCAGTCTGGTTATATATGTCAGTTTTATTCCTGAGGAGTAGAAATAGCCTCATTTTTTTCGAGCCTCACGGTTGAACTCTTCTGAACAGCTTCGCCTCCACTTGGCTGACCCTGAAGCAGCTGATCCAGATGTGAGGTGTCTGTAAATGAACCTCAGTGTTTCTCTGAGCTTCTCCAGAGGAGGAAGCAGCTGCAGCGACCACACCAAACACAACACTCGGCCCCACCTTCAGTCCACACCCGTCTACCCACTGTGCCAGGACAAGGACCCCAGTCAGCCGGGACAGGAAACAGACCCCCACCCACCCCTCCACCCACCCTCCTACCTACCGCTGGACCCTGGCCCCGGCACACTTCCTCCGATGGAGGGAAAGAAGTGGCTCCACTCCCCCTCTCCCCCTCCTTTTCTTATCGAAGCTGCTGCTGCTGCTTTGTCGTTCCCATGGGGAGGGGGAGCGCTCATTTGGCTACTCGGCGTCTCCTTGAAAAAAAAAGAAAAAACATACAACCCCCTCCCCCAAGGCTGCACATTTAACCTTTATAAAAAAGCAAAAGATGATTGAAAAAGCTTCATATATAAATCAAGACTTGTGTTTTAAAGAGCAGAAATGTTTATCGAGTTCAGACATGATAAAAAATTTTACTGTCAGACTGAATTTATCAAGTTCAGACTCAGCAGACGAACTGATGAGCAGAAACTTTACAATCCTTATATATGATAGTTACACTGTCTACAGGTTTTTTAATGGACATTGAGTCTGGAATAAAGTTTAGTTCTGGATTAAAATGAATAAACCGTTAACTTTAGTGATAAAAGTCCAATTTTATCTCTAAAACATGCTCCTGTGTCAAATATCACTCACTGATTGGACGCTGCGGCACATTGGACTTCACATCACTCTCCATGCATCTCAGTTAGGAGGGTCTAAGTGAACAGTGAGTCATTTCTGCAGACCCTCCTGCATGCAGATCAATCTCAGAGCTGGGTGGACTGTGTGTTCACAGCCACACTTCAGCTCCATGGAAACACTCAGGGTGTGTTTCATGTATTATATCATTCCACAATTAACAACATTCCTGCTCCAGTGCGTAGTCTGAACCATCAGAGCAGAGTTTGGGCAAGCGTACTGGCACATCTAAAACAGTAAAAACACATCCTTATGGACCGTCAGCGGTGATTAGTCCAGCAGGGACGAGACGATACAAGGCGTCCCAGACGAGTCTTAATCCACCATGATAGCACAGAGGGACTCACTAATGAATCACAATCAAAATGAACAGGGTTGACCGACTACACTTTCACACTCTAAAGCTGAAATTATTGTGTGTATTTTTTGCAGCAGTGTGTAGTTTGTGTAATGTTTGTGTATCTGCCACTGCAGGAGGTATTTCAATTTCCTGCCATTTACGTCTGATCTAGACTTCCTGTTTCCTGCGTCCTCTCAGCTTTGAGACAAAAGGTTTTATTATACCCAGAAAAGAAAATAAAACAATCCAAACTGATCTTTCAACGGGGTCCTTCAAAATAAAAGAACAGGGTGCACAAACATTTGACTGAATCACTGACGGGTTTTGACCGTCAGTTGAGTTTCTGTCTTTTTCTTTGCATGTTCACTCATAAAGCCTTCCTCCTGTGTTAGCTTTTACTGCACCCACCATGATAAGGGTCGGTTTTGACCCGTGTCTTAAATCAGCTGTAAATTACTCTGAAAACAATTCTCTATCATCCAATTTGGTTCTCATCTCTAGGTTACCTTGTTAAGCTTCATTATCCATGAAAATATTGTTTGTAATATTTCCTGTTGTGGGCCTCTGGGCCTTTCTTTGTCAGGATACCCCTCATACAGACATCTATACTAAATTGATCTCACTTGTCTGGACATGCCTGATGTTGTTTTTTGTAGAGGGAAATACATGGCAAAATGAGAATTTCCTAAATCTCACATGATTGGAAGAGAATCTGACTGTCAGTGTGGTGCCTGACAGTGTACATGTGATTTCAGTTTTTGCTCTAAATATTAGATATTAATCTAACTGGGTCAACAGCGACCCTAACACGACAAGTGCTATAATTTTGATTAGAGCATTTTATCATTTAGTCAATTAAATTTTTTATTTATTTATTTTTTGTTGTTGAAATAGAGGTTCCTGACAAAGTCAAAAAGTATTGATGCAAAAAAGCTGATTTATGTGGTTCTTTTGAGCAATCAAAAATGGGTCAGTGCAGACCCTAACACAGGAGGAGGGATAGAGGATTAAATGTCTCTGGAAGACTCTGAGAATCAGGACCTGAGCCCTTGTCTAAAGCATCTAAAACTCCCTGAACTCCTCCTCAAACCCTCAGCTGATCAGATCCACTTAGAGAACAGGTGGCATTCCTCGATCTGCACATTAATCAGATCTTTTATAATTCAGATTCAGATGAATTCCTTCAATATGTCGGCCTCACGCCTGCAGGAGGGAGGGGTGAGAGGGGTGAGGAGGGTCTTTGTTGGTGAAGAATGGGAGGGGTCGCCCGTGGCGGGGCGTCCTGAGCCGGCAGATGGCCGATGAGACGGGCAAACAAAAGTGGACAGAGGACTTTCTCCTTTCAGAGCTGATAGTCTGAACTCAAATATGAGGGGGGAGGAGGGGAGAGTAAGTGAGGGGGGAGAGTCTGCAAAAGTTTTTCTGATGCTGAGGAATCTGAAATCACATCCTCAGGCCCTCATGAGGAGATTTCAGTCATTCAGAGGAGATTCTTCCTTCCTGTTCAAAATTTGTGACATGAATTTAACCAAGAGGATCAGATTACTTTAGCTTCACGGTACATTCACGGGTTCAACAGGTGTCCTCTGCCAGGTGTCTCATTTTGGTTCAGATCTCAGCATCAGAAAAACCACTGGCACGTGAGTTAGGTTTTGAAAGCAAAAGGTGATTAATCCGCACTCTGAATTTTACACTTTGATTAATAAGTAACGAAGAAAGAGCATGACGAAGTTTAAAGGGAATTTTTTAGGAGCTTTTTGATTTTAACTGGGAATAACTTCCTTTTCCTTTGTCTGGTGTTGTTTTCACCTACATGAACAGCTGCTGTTTCATAGTATACAGTCATTTACAAAGGGTAAGGCTACATGTTGGATCACATTGAGGCTAAGAGTTAGCATTTATTTACTCACTATGGGCAAAGTTGATTGGTCTCCATGGTCCATATGCTGGTCTCTAACTGTTTCCAATATAGGAAGGTGTGATTAAGAAAAAAGTCAGGCTTTGTCAGGTCTGTCCACTAAACTACTTTGAAAATGTTTGTTTGTTGAATGGAGATTTGATCCACCATGGAAATCAGGAAAATCTCTCTTACAGTTTTTCTGCAACTATACCGTGTATTTCTATGGGATGAAAAGTGTTCAAAAGCTTACACTTTTGGCAATCTATGGAGGGTTTTCAGGCATTGCTACACCTCCCACAAGGTTTACAATCCAGCCACAAAAAGGGGTATTTGATCAGAGATGTTTGATGATAAATCCGCAGTGATATACAGGTGAAAATATGAATATTTATCATATTGTTGGGATAAAAAAAGATCGCTATCGCTAAATGCCGCTAATGTCTTCTGGGTTTGACAAGCTGTTTTGATGACATCTTCTGTCAAACTTTCGACCAATTACATAGTCTCATATTCTTCTTCTATTGTTCCCTTGATGGTAGTGTCCAATAAGAGGCAACCAAAGATCATAAAGAGACAAGAAAGTTCCCTGCTTCTCTGCAAAGTAAGAAATAATGGTCCTCAATGCTTGGAAACAAGCAAAGAAGAGATTATGAGCAGTATGATAGTTTGGAGTTCTAAGGGTTAAAGACAAAATCAAATCGTCCTCACATTTGAAGGAGTTCAGATGACATTATGTTACATTATGACATTATGTTTTTCCTGCTCCTTTCCAAAGCCTGCTGTTACCTGATTGGTCAGTACTACTCTGAACTCCACCATACTATAAACAGAAACCAGAACACTCCTCTTATAGGTATTTTGAAAGACATGAAATACACATTTTTCATGTTACCGAAACCCTGAACATGAAAATCTTCTCACAGAGCTGCTGTCATTTTCAGCTTTCTCTGTGTAAACCTCTTCACTCCTCCTTGTCTGAGTCGGGGCGTTCCAGCTGTCGAGGTTCGTCCTCACCACTTCCCATCTTCATTTCAATAACAGAGGTCAAAGATCACGAATGCGTTTGGGGTCAGCAGTGCATTGTGTTGCCTTAAATCCTCCCCTCTCTCTCTCGCTCTCTCCCCTCCTTCCTCCTCAGCTCAGACCTCAGGGACAGGATGGGCGTCACCCCGCCTGAGCTTGCTGGTAAAAACACACAGAACCTCAAGTCCGCCGTGACCTTTGAACCCTCCCTGGCACACTCAGGAAATGAGCACTCAGATTCAGAAAACCTCTTTATCGATGTGGTGATTGATTTTGGAGTTATTCGTGATATCTTTGGGGTTTTTAGATGCTTTGTTGCAGCTGGAGTGGAAAATTAAAAAAATAAAAACAGGAAAAGAATTTCAAGGTCATGGAAGGTCTCAAAAAAGGTCGTGGAAAGTCCTGGAAAAGATGTGGAATGTTTTGTTCAAGCTAGGGAATCCACTTTTTTCAATAATGTGAATGTAAACGGTTAAAATATGTGATTTTCACAACTCTACAGCCTGGTCTAGAGTCACGTTTTGACATGGATTTGTCCCTAAAGATTTTGTGACTTTATAACATGTCGGTCTCATGAACCTTTTCTCTTCACCTTGACTCATTCTCTTCTTTTATTTTGACTCTAAATGTTCTCATCTTGTGGGTTTTTGACTCAGACTTGCCTTTACTTTTTAGCGTCCTCACAGATGGTCACACTCCAGTCAGCTCTGTCTCTGATTCATCGCTTCCATAACCTTTAAAGCTTTGAAACAAACTTATTCAAAGAAATTCACTTGCTCTAAAAATGTTTGTTTTTTGGCTTAGTGTGTATGTGGTGTACAGTGCTTCGGCAGCCAGCCTCAAGTGGACACTCAAGGAACTGCAGTTTTTAGTATCGGCTTCATCTCTCCAGATCCCAGGTTACCACTTGGGTTTCTTTGCTTGAAAGGTGTTTTCACTAAGACTTGTTTTGCCTTGCAGGAGCTCCAACTCGGGCTTGTCATTGTAGGAATCTGAAATAGCTGCCAATATTAACTTTGAGAGACAGTATTGTTCCGAGTTCACTTTTTGACACGTCTTAGCTCCAACTTGGACTTGTCTCAGTCTGTCTGATGCCCTAACTTGGATGTGTTGTTGCTCTTTGGAGGCTTTCACTTGGACTTGTTTTTGTCTGATGGGAGCCCTGACCTAGACCTCTTAATTACTCACAGTATCTGACATGGACTTGTATTTGTTCATTAAGTGTTTTGACCTGTCACTCTTGGGCGGATGTTTTACTGTGATTCTCTTCATCTGTTGGGTTTTTGGCATGGACTTGAACTTTTTTGTCTCTTTGGCATCATGACACGGACTTGTTTTCTTCACTTGGTCTCAGTTTAGTGGGGTTTTTATTTGTTTTTCTTCTCAGCTGTTTAAACCTGTTTTTTCACTTTTCTACAAACAAAATGACTTGGACTTTTGGCGCTTATACTAACTTGGTCCAGTCGACAAGTTTCTGTTATTTCCTAACTTGTGACTTGATTGTTTTGTGGAAGATTCCCTGAGAGTTTTCTTGTTTCTCTTCCATCAAAAAAACCCAAAAAACTATGGATTCTTGTGCTGTTGGTTTCAAACTTGGAATCTGAAAATGCTGTCTTGAGTTCTTAGCTGAATAAAATTTCACTTTTTATTCAAGATAATGAAAATAATGTCGACATGTAGACCCCGATTGTCCTGCCGCGCTGACTTTCTCTAAATAGCCCCTCTCTCTCTTTCTCTTTCTGATGACCTCATCCTGCCTCAGGCGATATAAAACAACTTTAAAGAAACACAGAGAGAGAAAACGAGGAGAAAATGACTTTAAATACCAGAAAACCAAAATAAACAGAAGATAGAGTGAGGTCTGGTTTGAGGAGCAGAGACGTCATGGAAGAAGAAGAAGGAAGGAGGGGGATACAAAAGCTAAGTCTGTGTGCTGAGGTTCATGAAGCCCCTCCCTCCCTCTGTTCTCCCCCAACAGATGAGCTGGTGTAAAGGGAGGGGGCGAGCGACACACACAAACAGAGGGAGAGAGAGAAGGGGAGAGAGAGAGAGAGCAGCTGGAGGGGACAAGGAGAGATTCAGTAGTAAAGAGAGAGAGGAAGAGGAGGCAGGCTGACGGAGTATGAAGGAGCGACTGAGTTTCTGTTCTGAGAACAACTAAACGGTAAAATCAACTTTTACTAAACTTCTATTTTATTGATGCAGATTGTCCATCTTTATTCCTCTTCAGTCAAATAAGGAGATTTGTTTTTTTTATCCATTTTTTTTCTCACCTACTTTTTTGTAAAACACTTGATTCTGACTAAAAAAGAGCAATTGCTGAATTTTTTTTTACTTTAAATATAATGCATGTGATGCAGTATTCTCTTTCACCTTAAAAACATCCTGGAGAAAAAAATGCTTGTTCTCCAGTTATATAACATAATTAGATTTGAGTGAAGCACGCAGGAAACTATTTTAATTTTAAGAATTCAGCAACAGAAATAAGAGGAGAGGCTGCAGAAAATGTGGTAGTGATAGTAGTAGGCAGTAGTAACTAAACAAAGACTTGACTACGATATGAATGTACCAAAAAAAATCAGAAAGAGTTGATTTTAATGGTATAAACAGAAAAGGAAACACGAAGAGATTTAGATTTAACGTATTTAACTTGAGTTGAACTCGTAAGGATTGACTGATGTTGAGCTTGTTTACATGTCAATTTAAATTTTTAACAGCTTTGACTTATTTTGTTGTTTTCTGCAAATAGGGTCTAAATCAGATTTCAGACTCTTCAGACTGTGAAATCTATAAGTTACAGTATATTGAAGTCGGAGTAAAAATGTTTAGTCCTGATGAGCTGTTTAGTTAAAGAGGATTTGCAGCAGTGTCTTGGACTTAGTAGCAACAGCAGCAGTAGTATGAGGACATAATTTTGACTGCATTATTGCAATAATCTAATTAAATCCAGTTCATTCAATCAGCTTGAAAAGTTTAAGGAAAAGTTCCTTATTTTGGACCTCACGCCTGGCTGCAGTGATGCAGTGATATCTGCTGCATGCTCCAGGCAATGTAAGCTGCCATTAATGCAAATAAATCTATATGCTACAGTTGCATATTGGGTAATGTAGGTGTGAAAAGTATTTCAACCCTGTATTTGATTGAAAATGGTGCAAATTTGATATAGTGAAAACTTGCATGCTTTTAAAATAGGTAGAACAGGTTCAGCAAACATCTCCATTGAATGATGTGAATTTCCAACAGGTTAGTAACATGAGTGGGTATAAAAAGGACATTGAGAGAGGCTGAGTCTCTCAGAAGGAAGGATGGGAAGAGGTTCAACACTTTGTGAGAGACTGTGTGAGCTAATAGTTTAGAAAAATGCTTATCAGCATAACAATTACAAGAAACTTGGAGATCTCAACAAAAGGGATGATCCTGAGAAGTGACACTGGATGTCTGTGATCTTAGGCCCTTAAAAAACAAGCATGACTCTGTAGCTAAAAATCACTTCCAAAAGCCATTGCCTGTAATTAATGTTTGTCTCTGTATACACAAAATGGGTCAAAGCTGAGCCATGCAAAGAGGAAACTGGTAATACTTTATTTGACGCTTATCTCTACAACGCATTATAAATATATTTATAATGCGTTATAATCACATTATAGCACTGTATAACTATGGTTATAAACACTTATAAATGATCATAATGCTTTATAGCAATAATCATAACACATAAAGTATTTTATCATGACTTAAAAGGTCAGGTATTATAGTGAATTAGAACTGTGAACAACTCACTGACAATGTCCACATAGCTAATGCATTACACATGTATTTATGATGTGTTATAATTTGCTTATAAACTTGTATAACGATCATTTTAAACACTAATTAATTTTCATAAGGCTTTATAACAATAAGCATAATACATTATAATACCTGACCTTGTAAGTCATGATGAAATGCTTTACAACGTGTTATGGTTATTGTTAAAAAGCTTTATGATCATTTGTGAGTGTTTATAACTATAGTTATACAGTGCTATAATGTGATTATAACACATTATACATATATTTATAATGCGTTATAGAGGTAGGCGTCAAGTAAAGTGTTACCAGGAAACTTTAACACCCACAGGGGGCGCCAAAATTAACATAAACTGCAAGTTCTTTATGGCAGCTTTATGGCTGCTTTCGTAGCACTTTTAAAGCTCCAATAAAGGACTTTTAGTTTGTTTTAAAGGCAAGCCTTCAGGCTGTTTGTTGATTCTGCTGTACATGTTTCACGTCTCATCTTGCTTTATTTTAGCTGTTTGTCGTATCACTGGATGAGAATCTGTTTCACTGTAGATACAAAGTCAGACTGTTTTTTTCTGTGGCTATGCTTGGTTTATTTGTTATCCTCATCAGCTGTTTAGGGTTATAAAAATAACAACACAGAGAGAGCTGTTCTGGTATCTAATGATCGTGATCCCAGTCGCCTCCAGTGTGTCTGATTTTAGTCTTTTTCATATCTAGGAGCTCTGAGCACAAAGCAGAAAAACCAGAGCAGGTTTGTCTCTTTTTAGTGAAGAAAGTCAAAAATCAGATTCATGAGCTCATGAAACATGAATCAGCTCCACTGTAAATATGAACCCTCCTGTTTGATGTCTGACTCCACGTTTCCTGGCAGACAGCAGCGTTTGTAGTTTTTCTGTAATTTATACCCACTCCTGGCTCATGCTGATGATGTCATCTGTCTTCATCCTCCTCCAGGTAGCGATGGGAAACACAGACAGCCACAGCAGCTTCGTCCCTCCTGCCAAAACCTCCGGCTCGCTCAGGTTCTCTTCCAGGAGGGAGGAGGTGCCATCGGCTCGCAGTTGGTGGAGGAGCAACCAGGGAGGCAGCAGGACGAGGGGGAGGAGCTACCAGAACCAGAACACCACCTGGCGTTATGAGCACGGAGCGAAAACAGCCAGAGGAGGAGGAGCCAAACTCAGAGCGGGATCCCCTCAGAGGTTCAGGAACCAGTTTGGATATTTAGAAAGCGCTGGCGGGAGTGATGGGATGTGTGGCGAGCGGACGTCTTTGCAGAGCGGTGGCAGCCCGAAGGTGCTGCTCAGCAAAGATGGCAGTATGAGGGTGGAGTTCACCAACAGCAGAGTGGTCCCTATGGAGGCACAGGGGCTGCAGACCTCCCATAACCCCGCCCCTCCAGTGGGAGACTCCGCCCTCCGCACCAGTAAAGGAAGCTCGCTCAGCTCGGACGGCTCCTGGTACGATTCACCGTGGGGAAGCGGCGGCGGCGAACTGGTTGATAATGTGTTTGTTTGTGGGGAGAGTGTGGCGAACAGTAGTGGGTACACCACCTACTCCTCCACCCGCACGGAGGAGACCGCCACCTCCAGCAGCGGGTACAACACCTTCTTCCCTGCACAGGTGGACCTCTCACCTGGATTTACCGCCGCGCTCCTGTTTCCTGCCGCAGAGACGAGCGAGTTCACCTCCTCGTCTGCAGGATACAACACCTGCTCCTCCGGCCGGACGGAGGACAGCGGCATCGGAGACTCTGTGATCCTGCCGCCAGACTTTGGCATGGACGATGTTTACTCTAGCCGCAACACGCTTCCCGCCTTCCCCGCCACACCTGAGGCATCTCTACAGCAACAAAGCACCACCTCCTCCTCCTCAGCACTGCTGGATGACATCATCCAGGAGGAGGAGGGGTCAGGAGGCGGCATGGAGAAGTGTTACTCCTCCATGACGCTGCCATGTCGTAGACCGGAATCTAGCAGTGCCTCCGTTACTTCAGGAAATGTTCGCAAAGACTTCCTAAAGAGTCGCATCAGACGACTCAGCGACTGGACAGGGAGTCTGAGCAGGAAGAAGAGGAGGATCCAGGTGAGAAAAGCTCTAAAATGTGACGCCCTAGTGGCCAAGGCGGGGATTACAACAACACTACATGTATACAACAAGAAAAGTACTTTTTTGTCATATAACTGAAAGAAAAAAATGGTCGTAATTATACGACGGAGTATTAGGGCCACATTAAGAAAAAAAATTAAGACTGTCAGATTAAAGTCATTAATTACGAGAATAAGGTTGTGATAAATTAATTTTTTACGAGAATAAAGTCGTAATGAACGACTACTACTATACTTATGATAATGTGGTGCTGACGTGCCAAAAGATGAAGTATTTCCTTTTTTGAGAAACATTGAAGTACATTTTCACGAAATGCTCCATGGCTCTCATTTCAATAACTATCATATTAAACAACAGATTAGAATATAAGGACTCTATTCTGACTTTATTCTCGTAAGTGATGATTATTTTACAACTTCATTCTTGTAATAAAGTAATTACTTTATTACAACTCTTTTCTCATTAGCAATGACTTTATTTTCTAAGTCTTCAATTTTTTTTCTTAATGTGGCCTTAATACTCTGTCGTCTAAATATGCTGTTCTTCTAACACAATTTAAGAAATTATGTTTTTTAAGGACCAGTTAGTTTTTAGGTTTCATGATATAAAATAATATCTAATAAAATAATTAAAATCCACGTCATGTCTCTTCTCTGATTCCCCTCCAGGAACCGTACGGCAGCAACAGTGATGTTTTCACCAACGGCCTTGACTCTGGGTTGGCAGACTGCAGCACCCTCTGGTCCTCCAACCCGCTCCACACTCTGAACCTCAACCAGAATCAGTTCTTACCATTCAACAGCGGCTCCTCCAGAAGTCTGAACCAGAACCAGAACCAGAACCAGAGCAGCGACGCCCAGAGGCAGAACGTCTATGAAAACTTCATGCAGGAGCTGGAGACAGGCTGCAGCAGCAGGACCGAGCCCTCAGAGGGGGATGGAGAGGAGGAAGAGGAAGGGGAGGGGGAGGAGGAGATGGACGGGGAGCTGGAGGTGGGAGGAGGGGAGAGGCTGGATGTCCTGTTTGAGAAGGAGCAGGGCGTGGTGCGGCGGGCCGGATGGCTCTCTTTCAAAGCTCTCATCGCCGTCAACAAGGACAGGAAGCTGGAGCTGGTGGCTCGCCGCAAGTGGAGACACTACTGGGTCACACTGAAAGGTAAGAATGAGCTTTTCAAAATAGTGAGCTGCTCCTGTACTTTTGATCTTAAAGGTTTAGTTGCATTGTGGGTAATAAACTAGCTATTTCTAAGAAGTGTAAAAATGTCTTAAATCTGCAGTCTTTCTTGCTGCCAGCAGGAGGCGACTCCACTGGTTGATGATGCAGAGGTCGATGAGAAAATTGCTTTACTATTTAGTCTGGTTTCAGGGGTGATGATGGCCACCCTGAGCCTGCGTCACTGGTCCAGGGCTCTCTGGGATTGATGATTATCCTCCACTGTTTGTTTCAGGTTGCACTCTTCTGTTTTACGACACATACGGGAAAACCATCAGCGCTGACCGGGAGCTTTCTCCTCGCTACGCTCTCCTGGCCGACGACAGCATCGTCCAGGCCATCCCCGAACACCCCAAGAAGGAGCATGTCTTCTGTCTGAGTAACGCACATGGAGACGTCTACCTCTTCCAGGTGACGAGATGCACTTTTATTTTATTATGACATCTAAAAAGAGAATGGGCCAAATACGAGTATTTTTACTGTTTCAGCCTCGAGGACAAACTCTGCTTGTTGTGACCGTTCTGTCTTATTTTTCCTCCTGTTCTTTCTATTTTTGAACTTCTCGGTTTCCTCCCGATTGTCTCCCTCTTGATTGCTGGCTGCGTTTCTTTTCCCATCACACTCTGTCATTATAGACGGTGTGAACGGGTGAGAAGCTGGTGACGGTTGTGGTTTCTCTTCAGCACAGAATCATCAGTGTCACCGCAAACATGCAGAGAGTCTGAGTAGGATTTGGTTGACTTGATTATGACTGTGACGCTGCCAGCTTTACACCACTGACACTGAAACACAAAACAAATCTGGACTGTAGTTTTAGAGAACAAACTGAGACGACAATAGAGCTGTGTTTGAATTCTTGAAGATGTCTTACTGTCCAAGTTTCATCTGTTTCTGATGTTTTAATTTTAGTTCACAGTCGTCGTTTATCTGCCTGTACATGTAACTTATTTCCTTTTCTGATTTCTGATTCTTTCTCGTGTTTCTTCAAGTTGAAATGAGGTCTGACAGCAGCTGTGTTTGTTTTAGGGATCCAGCTTCTCCTAAAGCTCCAATAAAACTCAGAATGAGGTCTCCTGTTTTAATCCTTCAACACATATTATTTCTGACAGAACGAGGATCAAAAATATGGACTCAAGAGGGTCAGAGGTCTAGAAATAGCAGCGACACGTTTCCTGTGTCAGCGAGAAGATGTAACAGGGAGCATCTCTTCTTCTTCACGCTTTTAATGAGCCCAGTGAGCTCTTTTTTATTCCCTCAGTCACTCTCACTCCTCTCAGCTGTGGAGGGTGTTTACTGACACACAAATCACACCAAGGGCCTCCTCCAACACGTCTCCATGGATCCCAGAGGACTCACCCAGGAGGAGGAGGAGGAGGGGAATGGGACTGAGGTGTTGAGGAGCTTTTGTCAGGGCCTGAAAGGAGATGGAGGTGGAGGGCGGAGGAGGGTGAAAGCGTGCTAATGGGAGTCACGACACCCCGCTAATCACCGCAGCAAATGCTCTTTTTTTTACGACAATGACCCGACACGTTTCCCTCCTAAACAAAAACACCTGTTAGTGTCAGGAAATCAGAAATACTGCTTTCTCAAACGTTCATTCTCAAGCACTTAAAGTCTCTTCTGCACGACATAATAATCATAAATCTGTCTTCTTGTCTCTGTAAGGCCACCAACCAGACCGACCTGGAGAACTGGGTGACAGCGATCCACTCTGCGAGCGCCTCGCTGCTGGCCAAGCGTCAGGGAAAGGAGGACACGCTGCGCCTCCTGCGCTGCCAGAGTCGATCGCTGCTGCACAAGATCGACATGGACGGAAAAATGAAGAAGATGGCCGAGCTGCAGCTGTCCATCATTAAAGAGCAGAAGAACAGGAAGGCTGTGGAGAGCCAGGTCAGTCCATCGGTACAGAAGAGTTTAAACCATTTTGACCCATTCTGTCCTGATACAAGAGTTCAGCTGCTCAACAGTTCAGGGTCTCCTTTAAAGCTCTAAATGTTTTCAGTGAGGGACAAGTCAGGATTGCAGGCAGGCCAGTTTATCAGCAGGACTCTTCTACTACAGAGCCATGATGTTGTAATCCCTGCAGAATGTGGTTTCCCTCGTCTTCCCTGAAAAAGTCTTTGTCTGGATGGTAGCAGATGTTGTTCTAAACATGTAGATGTTGTTCAGTATTAGTGGAGCCTTCACAGATGTGAAAGGAAGGATGCAGTGTCAGTGTTTTCCAAGAAGAAGGTCAAAGTTGCAAAAGATCTGGATCGGGTTTATTTGGTTTCCTCTTGGCATGGTCCAGTTTTAACTTTTCTTTGTGAATACAGTGATGAATTGTTCTTGCAAAGGACAGTTTTTGGATGTGATTTCGAGCTCATGTGGCGACTTCTACTGCAGAGTCCTCTCTGTTTTTAATGCAGTGCTGCCTGAGGGCCTGAAGTTTATTTCACACAACTTTTTGTCTGTTTGGTTTTTCCTCTAACAACTTTTTAAAACTTTATTCCCCCTTAAATTTAAAAGGAGCCTAAATTTTTCATGAAACAATAACACTTTCCAGTTTCGACATCATACATGTTGTCTAATAAGCTCTAATCAACTTTAAAACCTCTAAAATCTGTTTACATCAACGTCATACTCGGTGTCCTAACACTCTTTTGGAAACTGAGTTCAGGTTGAAATCAGAAACTGAGATAACTGACAGAAACAGCAGTCGTGATGTTCTGAAGTCCTCCTCCTGGCACTGTTAGCTGCACTCAGTGCCAGAGGAAGTTTTCTCTCTCTCTCTCTCTCTCTCTCTCTCTCTCTCTCTCTCTCTCTCTCTCTCTCTCTCTGTCTGTGTAATGTGGACCTCATTACATAACAATCAGCCTTCAGGATGTTCTGGCAGCTGCAGATTCTCACGTGGAGTCCACTCTAACATCAGCTCCAGATGTTTAGGGGGCTGTTACCGGCAGCCTGAAACAACAGAATGGTTTCCCGCTAATGGCAGATCCAGATGAGAGCGATCAGAGTGACATCATGAAGCAAATGTGGAGGTGGTGAAAGGAGCGTAAAACCTACAGCTCTACAACCAAACCAGGGTGTGAAAAAATACACATCTACATCCCAACAGGCTGCTTTAACAACAGCGGTTAAAATCACATCCTTTGTGTCATTTTTGGTGCAGAAAACAGCCCAGATTATTCCAGATAAACAGCGCCAGATCCTCAATTTGCAAGAACAGCGTGTTATCAATACGCGAAAAAAGGTCATAAACAGCTAATCTTGGCTGAACATAGAAAACACGTTTGTACAGTTAACCCCTAAAAGCTCAAGTAAGAGGATTTTAAGTGGTTTAAAAAGGGTTGAAATTGATACTGAGTCTCCATTAACCACCCATAAAAGCAAAGATAACCGTCTGGAAAAGTTTTATAGTTTAATATTTAATGTGCGGCACAATTTTTGCATTTAATTTAGCGCTTTGTTTGATCGAGATGAGAAAAAAAAGTGATTTGAAAGACTTGTTTTTTTAGTTTTCTGATTTATTGGTGTTTTTTTGCCTTTTTTAATGAGCCAGAGGAGGAGGAACAACCAATGTAGGGAGCAAAGACATGCAGCAAAGGGTCGTGGCTGGGAATCACACTAGCAGCTGCTGCTACGAAGACAACAGCCTCTATTTGTTGGGCCCGTGGAAAGTTAAAGTATCAGCGCCCCATACTGAGCATTTTTTGTACTAATAGTTTGTAAGGAGTTTTTACAGGCATAAAAACAACTACAAAAAAGTTGAAACAACAATGTCACCCAAACATCAAGAATGCAAACAAACACAAAAAACCCGACCAGTTAAATCCACTGTCACAGGAAACCACAAAATACTGCAAAAACCAGAGAGTACAAGTCTGTCCCAAGGGGTGAAATGTTGTTTAACATCCGTACGTTGCTGTTTTTACTCTCAAATTCTGTGTTTTCTGAACAAATTCTACAAATTTTTGTCTTTTCTTGTGTTTTTACTATCATCAGAGAGTGTAATCTAATTAAATCCACTAAAGACGTATGGAAAGAATTCATCCTCCCCCTCTTCTTCCTCCTCTTCTGTCCTCGCTCTCCTCCCCCCTTCACCTCCCCCTCTTCTTCTGTTACTCTTTCTCACGCCACACAGAGTTCACATTAAGTTGGCTCAGAAATAATCGGATGTACTTAATAAAAACGAAACACATTTTTAATATTAAACTGAGTTTTTATGATTTTTTGGTGAGAGATAACTCGACAGGACAACAGGTTTGATTCATTCAGCAGTTCCAGTTGTTGTTGTTTCCTTTGTCACCCTCCTCTCTGTCCTTCCTGTCTGTCTGTTCCCACCGTCTCCTCCGCTCTAAATGTTTAATTGAATGTTGAGCAGACGGATCAGAGTTTAATCTGCAGACAGGGGAGTTCAAACAGCCGAGCAGAGATCACAGAAATGTCGAGCCACTGCTGGAGGACTCAGACAGCCTCAGTGTGAAGGGGGGCGTCAGAAAGACCTCAAAACCAGCTGCTAAATCACCACAAATACTAACCAACCATTGATGTAATGATTGTCTTAGTCTTTCTGTTCCCATCCTGGTTAAAATGTTTGAAATGAAATCAGGTTGAAGTGGATCTATAACAGACCCTGTTGTTTTATGGTGCCGTTCAGATCCAGCAGTGGGAGCAGAACCTGGAAAAACTGAACCTGGACCTCTTCCGGCTCAGGTGTTACCTCTCCAGCCTGCAGGGGACTGAACTCCCAAACCCCAAGAGCCTCCTAGCCGTAGCCAGTCGTCCCTCTAAAAGCATGCTGGGACGCCTGGGTGTCTTCTCCGTGTCTTCCTTCCACGCCCTGGTAAGAAAACTTGACCCTGAATAACCCCTGTTCTTCTCTGGCTGATTTGTGCTGTATCGGCCGTGTTTGATCTCTGGGGTCTTCCTCAGGTGTGCAGTCGAGATGAGGAAGTCCTGAAGAGGAGGTGGAGGTCTCTTTCAGGTGGAGGCAGCAGGAGGCGGGGCCTGCCGTCCTCTCTGAAGGTTCTGGATGGAGCGAACAGACGCAGCAGAGACAGCAGACAGTCCACGTCCCAGGTAACACACCACACCAACAGAGAAGCACTTCGATGTGAAAGTCCTGTACAGAGTTAAGGGTGAAAAGAATAACCTTAAAACTTATGAGCTGATGAGGAGAAACAGACCAAAAACAACATGACATATTACCTCTGTTTTCTGGTTATTTTCTGTGTTTATTAATCCTGGTAAAGGGTTAATCTCTGATGAGATAAACAGCAGGGGGCGCCAAGAGTGACACTTAATAAAAGTGCACTTCTTCTGCAGAAAAGGTGTTGAACTTCTGGAGACTTTAAGTCAAAAATATGACAAAAACTAGCCAGTCATTGAAGCAATAGTAGAAGAAGTGATAGGTTTTTAGGTTGTGGGATTATGAGATGATATAGAGGTGGTGAGTTGTACTGGTCTAATAGTTGTAAACTGCACTATCATCGGCATGGAGAAAATCTTTTTTTAAAGCTCCTGTTTAATCATCTTTTAGCTGTTTACGACATTCCCTCACTGTCTCTCAGAAAAGGTTTTGAATTTATTGATCTAAAATGGCCCAAATTCAGCCTCTGTGGAGGATCTGCAGCCTCTCAGTTTCACACCTCGGTGATCTGAGTGGGGGGGATGCTATTATTAATTTCTTTCTTTACATGAGAGAAAATAGAGGTTCCTGAAGTTCCTGAAGTTTTTAAACCGATGTAATTGCCCAAGTACTTTTCTGGTGTTCACTGATTGGTCGGATATGTTGCTTATGATCCATAAAAGTTGTTTTTTAAGACTGAAGATTAACCGATCGTACCTGCACCATCCCGCTTCCTGAAGGGTTAAAGTCAAATTTCCTGTCAGTTCTGTGAAATCCCTAAAAATCCTGATCTGACATGTTGCAAAGCGTCTCTATTAGGCAGATGTTTCGGCCTCCCTGTTGAAACTCCTCAACATTTCAACTGCTGGAGTACCCATCATGCTCAGCTCAGAGGGCCCCCTCCTCTGGATAAACATGAGGCTATTTTAAGAGTCTGAGGAGGAATCTGTTTGCAGCTGAAGCTTTGTTTTGGCTCAGAGTTTTTGCAGACTGACGCTTTACACACCTCAGCACGTGTTTCTACAGACAGTCTGAGTGTCTCCTCTGCTTCAGCTCCACATTGACGTCATTTTGGTGACATTATTTCTCTGTGTGCATGGACCTCACTCCAACTTCTCACTCTGGTTTCTCTCCTGGTCCACATGATGCTGCAGAAAGTTTGTGGAAACTTTTGGTTTGGTTAACCAGAGCTGGAAATTCCTGCAGCACAAGCAGCCTCACGTTTCAGGACTTTGTCTCCACAGTCTGGCTCTGATTTTAACACTTAATCAGCTGGATTTTCATTACATTTTTAAACACAATGAACCAATCGGAGCTCAGCATGCTCTGTTGCTGTTTAAAGTCTGCTGCAGGAGGGTGTAGCGGCTGGAAATCTTCATTCTGTAGAGATCATATAGACTTTGAAATAAAACACAACTTTAAAAAGCTGGACCACAAAGCTGGAGTTGGAGGTTGTGTCCTTATAAGGACTTCTGGTGGACTCTGTGTGTGTCAGTGTAATAACGATGATGGTGGTGTGTTTACTGGGTTTACTGACTGTCGGTGATCCTCAGACTCCACACTGACTGCAGCTCCTCCGCTCCATCTTCACAAACCTGTAATTTTAGCTCAGCTCAACCCCTCAATTTTTTTCCCATGATGCTCTGGTGCTGATTTTGGTTTGATCTGAGACTCATTTTAGTATCAAAGTCATCCCCGTTTGCTCCTCGACGGATCATTTTCATTTAAATATAGACGAAAAGAACTTTTTTAGTTTGTCCTGAGTCATGACTTCAGTGTGTGTGTGTGTGTGTGTGTGTGTGTGTGTGTGTGTGTGTGTGTGTGTGTGTGTGTGTGTGTGTGTGTGTGTGTGTGTGTGTGTGTGTGTGTAGCAGCTCTAAAGCTCACTGTCCTCTGAGCTCTAATCATCAGGAATCTTAATGACAATACATTAATAAAAGGGTAAAGCTTGGAGGCTTATTAAAAAGTGCATACATATGGCTTGTGTACAACCGAAGCCTACTGCAAATAAAAAAAAGAAACAGTGCTGAAGTTAACAACACAAAAAAAAGTGGTGATGCAAAAAAAAAAAAAAAGTTACTTTCTGCAAAAATAAAAGGATGCAAATAAAAAAAGCCATGATGATGCACCGGTGTTTTACAATCTAGGCACAGAAGGCTACGGCAAAAAGACGAGCAAAGAAGTGGAAGTAAAAGAGTAGAAGTGGTTTAATTTCGCTTTGTAAACTTTTCATTGTGTCGTTATGAAGGTGATCTGGAGGATGCTGGTGTCGTATTAGCTTCAGTTCAACTTTTTATTAACTGTTAAATCATGTCTGTGTGCCGCAGCTTTAATGTTTCCTCCAATATTATTGAGTCAAATCAGACAATGAATTGAGCGAACGGGGCGTCCGCACTCTTACGGCCACTTTGTCTGCTGCCACCTGTCACCTCCTGAACCCCCCAAAGAGGGGGAGAGAGAGAGAGAGAAGGGGAGAGGAGGATTAAAAACCCTGACAGTCTTTTCTTCTCCCAGCATTCCTTTGTCCCTCTCCGTTAATCCCTCTGAAGAGACCCATAATGACTCCCCCACCTCCCCTACTCGCCACATGACCTCCTCCTCTTCCTTCCTCTGGTCTGCTCCTCTTTCATCCCCCTTCCTCCCTTCCTTCCTTTCTTCTTCATCATCTTCTCCACATGTCGCCTCCTTGTTTGTCTCCTCTAACATCCTGATGCTGATTCAGCTGGAATATGCTTTGTCTCCTTCTTTCCTTTCCTTTTCCTCTTTCCTCCTCTCTATGTCTTAGTATTTCCCCCTTTATCTCTTTCTTTTTTTCTTATTTGCCCATCGATCCTTCTTCCCTCCACTAATTTTCTACCTTCTTCTCATAGAAATAAAAGGATTCTTTAACTTTGTATCCTCACATTTCTTTCGCTCCATCCCTCCCTTCTGTCTTCCGCTTTAGATCTTACCTTTTAGTTTATCCTACTCTTCTTTCCTCTTACCCTACCTTCTCTTTTCATCCTCTTCTTCCCTCTCCTTTTCTTTGTCGTCTCCTTTCATTCCTTACCCTTTCTTTACTCTTTCTTTTCATTCCATACCTTTTCCTTATTTCCTTCCTTTCTTTTATCTCCTTTCCCCATCTTTTCTTTATTTCTTTCCCCTCCTACACTTCTTCTCTCTTTCATTATTTCCCCCTCTTCTTTCGTTATTTTCTTTCCTACCCTCTCCCCTACTTTCCTTTCCTTCTCTCCTCATCCTCTAGCCTCTAGCTCCTTTCTTTACTTTTGTTTCCTCTTCTCCTCTCTCATTCCTTTCTTCTCTTTCTTTTCCTAATATTCTTCATCTTTACTTTTTTCTTTCTCTTGTTCCCATCTTTCCTCTCATTTCTTTTCCCTCTTTTCCTCCTTTCTTTTCTTTTTTCTCTATCGTCCATCTTTTTGCCTTCTTTTTTCTGTCCTCCATGTCTCCTTTCTTCTTCCTCAGTTTTTTCCCCTGACCTTTACACCCTTCTTTACATCCTTTTATCCCTCCTCCCCTCCTCTTTCTATTTCCTACAGTTAAACTATGATTTCAGTCAGACACCTTTCAGCCAATCACAGAGCAGTATATTTCTACTTTTTTAGTTTTTATTTGTCGGCAGTTGAGACGTTTCCTGGAAAACGTGGAAAATGAACCTGCAGCTGATTGGCTGATCAAGCAAAATACAAACAGAGTTAATGATTTACTGTAAATTTTCTTTATTTTAATTGATTTTAAGTGTTTATGTTTGTCTCCTCCTGCAGACAGGCCACTGTGTGTCCAATAAGAGGGAGGTGGCGCCCTCTGCAGGACATCCTGCAGCTCTGCAGGTGTGTTCACTGACTGTTACCTCGAAGTTTGTAAATTTAAGTTTGAGTTTGTCTAAAACGACCATTCTGTCTCTGTAACTTTTCTGCAACAAAACTAACATTTATGGTCATCAGCAAATTAAGTAAATTAATTTTTGTCCCCAATTCAAAAATTTGTGAAATTTAACAATCAAATCTTCACCATGTTTGTCAATAAGTCAGTCACACCATGTTTACCGCCTGAATGACTCAAAGGTTTACCTCATTATTCAGACATTAAATACGTTTAAAACAACCAGTTTTAACAACAAAACAACATCCTCTGTGTTTCTGTTCAGGTGTGTGACGATCAGGTGTCTCCCCTCAATGTTTTCACTCTGAACGTCTGCAGACTAAACGCTGCTGAGGACTTCGGTAAGAGACTTTGATTTATTTAAAGCATACTTGTTTTATTAGTCTTCAGTTTCTGTTGGCGTTATTTCTTTTGCTTTTTTCCCTCTTTTTAAATTTTCAGTCACAGCTTTATTTTAAGTCCTCTGTGGGTTTTTCTGCAGGTTTTGCAGTTACGGGTCACGTGGATGGAGCTGGAAAGAGTCACATCTATGTCAGCGAGGTGGAGCCACAGGGACTGTCAGCTGGAGAAGGTCTGACTCACATTTAACTCAATAATAACATTTAAAGGTGTTAGTTAGGTATAAATAATGACTAAATCTGTCTTGTTTTCCCATCAGGCCTCAGGGCAGGAGATGAGGTCCTGGCTGTAAACGGGCTCTCTGTGTCCGGTCTGGACCTGGACTTGATGCAGAGTCTCTTTAGCCACCAGAAGCTCCAGCTGCTGCTCCGGAGAGACGAGTCACCTGACCTGGAGGAGCCCACAGCCGCCGTCTGGCCTGACCCTGGTGTCCTACAGCAGCCCTCGCCCCCCACAGACCCCCAGAGCTGGATCAAAGGTATGATAAATTATTGAAATAGTTCAGTGAAGTTTTGAGCCTTTTTAAAGATCATGTTTCCTCTTTTTATTGAATTTTATTTTCTTACCTCAATTCAAACTGCACCTTACTGTCCTCTGTCTTGCACAAAAGCCTGTTTGCACTCCATCACTCTGCTGCTCTGTACCCCAGAGTGTACTGTGTTTTAGATCAGGTCGGTTGTGAATATTGTTTTTTAAAATAGGTTAATGCTGCTGTAAATATCATTGTTATATTTTAAATGTAAATATTGGTGTTTATTTTATTATGATTCTTTAAGATTTTATTTCAAGTTTTTACTTATTTGTTCTTACAGCTGATACCTGGTCTTCAGTTCTAGTTTTGGTCTTTTCTCTTGCAGACTGGAATGACAAATAAAACTCCTCTGAATCCTTTATTGTGACAGTCGATCAGAGATAAACTACAGATAGACCGAGGGCTTTTATTGTGAAATGAAACTCTTCAGTTTATGTTTTCTGACATAGGAGAGGCCAGCATTTAATCCTGTAGCTCCCTCGGGGCTTTTATTGTGAAGGCAGGTCGATTCTCAGTCAGAGGCACTTAGCGCAATGAAGAGGCTGCAGCCCCAGGGGATTATGGGAAAACTGCCTGGAGATAATGTGCAGCAGGAGAATTTATTTGTCAGATGGTTTAATCTTATTCTGACTGTTTATTTATTTATTTATTTTTTTGGAAACAGATAAGAGGCTGGATTCAGATCTTTTTTTATGCTATTATTTAAATTTGGAGATGAACAGAAAACATTTTCAGATCTCAATTTTGTGTCACAGGTTCTACACCTTCCACTCACACGCCACACTGTGTCCAGCCTCCTGCTTCTGACGCCATCTCATCAAAGCCACCTGAAGACGTAGAGCTGCAGGTGAGACTTCCTCTTTACAATCTGTATTTATCTGTTTTTGTGCCCTCCTTCATGTCTGTTAATCTACTGAGATGGATGCCGTAGTCTTGCTCAGGAAAACAAAACAAAGTTGTCTTCATTTTAGTTGACACGACTGATGTTTCCAATTTTATGAGGTTAGCCACAGCATGTGGTTGTTACTTTTTACACAGCTTATACTGGCCTTTGTTTACAAAGGGGCCGTCAGTGAAGTGGTGAATGTTGTTATGATGTTGTTGAGAATACATCCAAACTTTATGCTGTTTTCTGGTGCTTCAGTCTCTGGGAAGAGAAATCCTGAAAAATAACGTGAACTGATGAAAACCGATTTGCCGCTTTTTAAAGGAGGATTGATTCTGGCATCTCGTTACGTCAGTCTGTGGCACCTTTAAACTCCTTCTACAGCTCCAAATGCTCATTGTTTATTTTAGACTGACCTCATTTTAGCCCCTGACTACATCATTTCGCTCTTTTCCACTGATACAGTCCGACACTTCTCTTGGGTGTTACTTTTTACACAGCTTTGTTATCAAGATACAAACTGAGAGTTAAACCTTTATTAATGTCTCCTTTAGGTTTACACTGCTTTCTATTTAGTTATAAAACTTAACCCAAGTTTCATAAAGCCCCCTGATGTAACATATATTTGTGTATTAAATATGAATCAGCTGAGTAGAGCTCCTTTAAATAAAACAGTAAAATAAAGACTGATTTGATGCGTGTGTTGTTGTGTGATCCGCTGATCTATTTAATCGAGTACTTTATTGATCTCCCCTGCAGAAATCCTTTCCCACAATCCTCCTGTGCTTCCTGAACTTAGACGGCATGTTTGTATCATGTGACCTGACAGGTCAGATAATCCGGTTTACACCCTCAGGACAGTGAGTGTTTGTGAGTCTGTCGGAGGATTAATGGTGTCCTGCAGCAGGAGCACTGACAGGTTTTAGATGTTGTTCCTCAATGGCAGCTCCTCCGGCGCTGATGGCCCCCGGAGGCGACCTCTGACCCCGACCCAGACCCCCTCCACCTCCTGTTCTCTGAGCATGGGCGCACTTTGCTGGGTGCTGCCGCTGGAGGAGGACGGGGAGACGCTGGAGGAGGAAGAAGAGGAGGAGGAGGAAGGAGGGGAGTTCTTTGAGGTGGCCGGTCTGCTGGATGAGACAGGGTGCTGTCTGAGCTGCAGACGACCCCCTGAACGCCTCATACTGCTGGTTGGTCTGTTGTTTGGATCTGCTGTTAGTTTTAAGTCGTAGCTACAGTTGTTCTTTGTCATCGTCAATCACAGCTGGTTTAAACTGTGCGGAGTGAGATAGTAGAGACAGCTCATCCAGGTTGGTGTTGAAGAGCCTGACTGGTCTGCACAGATTCATGACTGGGACTAAGTGTTTGAATCATGCATACACCCAAAATCGTTTGTATGCACAACTTCACCTGCAGCTTTCTGCAGACATGTTACCCTAGCTGCTAGAAAGGTTAGATGCATGAATCATGCAAGCACAAAAGATCTTTTTTTGATGGATTTCAGGGAACATTTGGTTTGTTTTTCAGGAGGATTGATGGAGGTTTTGCCCTTGAAAATGTTGCATTCAATGACACCTTATTTACAGTTGTGTTAAAGGATTATGGGCCTCTTTCCATGTCTTATAAACAGCAGTTGTGGTTGATGTTTTAGTAAAACTAAAGCACTAAATCTGGACTCTGTTTGTGTTTGAAGATGAGCTCTTAGTTTGAATTTAGCTGTATGTGCGCAACGTTCAAGAGCAGAAACTGAAGCATCCTTTGCTGTTATTAAAAGCTGTGGTTCTGCAGGCGAGCGGGCCGAATTTATCAGACTGTCAGCGGTTTATTAGAGTGTGACAGCACAGATTATGATGATGAACGAGGCGGCCGGCTGGTTAACTCCTCGTCCTCCTTCAGGGTCACACTGAGAACGGTCCTGTTTGAGTTTTTAAACCCTGTTGGATCTGAAACATGAGCAGAGAGTTGAAAATCCTCGAAAGTCTGAAACACTCACAAAGTTTGCTTTCTGTTTCCCAGAATGTGGACCGGGTCTACTCCCTCTACCAGACTTTCCCAGAATGCCAAGCAACAGGCACAGATGTTCCCAAGAACCCATACAATGGAGAGGTGGGACTTCAGCCTCCAAGCCCCGCCCACCTGAGTGTGTGTCAGCGTTTGAGGAAAGTCATCCAGGAGCTGGTGGACACTGAGAAGTCTTACGTCAAGGTCAGGAAAACTGCCAGAGGCACTATTTCAGCAGTAATCCTCCTTCTACTACTGCTGCCAGCACCATTACACAGTACTACTGTAGTAATACGACACCTGCTGTAGGACTTAAACTGTATACCTGATTATTTAATTCTGACGCTGCTGTTACAGGAGCCCAAATGTTTTCAATCCGTTAAAATTTGAGTAAATTTTACGTGAAAAAAACACAACCAGCTCTATGTCCATGTCTGATCATCTCTCTGAAGTTCAACCCCTCCCTCTTTCTCTCTCTCAGGACCTGGTGTGTTTGTTTGATATCTACCTGACCCCCCTGCAGCAGGAGACCTTCCTCAGTAAAGAAGAGGTAAACACAGAACCACAGCGTCACTGATCAGAGGTCAGTTTGAGTCGTATCTCTGTCTGCATCGTCTCTTACTCTCTCCCTCACTCTCTCTCTCTGCAGATGGAGGCGCTGTTCGGCTGTCTACCTGAGATGTTGGACTTTCAGAAAGTTTTCCTTCAAACTCTGGAGGAGCGGATCGCCTCGTGTCCAAACTTTGGCTACCTGGAAACACCCGCACAGTTCAAAGTGAGGATCCAAACCATCTCCAAACACATTACAGGAAATAACTGGTGTGTTTTTTATTTTAGTTACAAGAAATGCTCCTTTTTTTTCTCCGTAGAAACTCCTCTTCTCATTGGGAGGATCTTTTCTGTACTACGCCGACCACTTCAAGCACTACAGCGGCTTCTGTGCAAACCACATCAAAGTGCAGAAAGTTCTGGAAAGAGGTGACTACAACTTAATTTACTCATTTAACTCACCTGAAAATACAATCAGAGAAACTGTGTTTTTGAAGCTGTAAAAATATGAACCTCAGCTGTGAGGATGAACCTGAAAATGTCTAAATGTCGTTTTCACAGCAAAGACAGACGCAGCCTTCAAGCGCTTTCTGGAGGCGAGGAATCCGACCAATCAGCACTCAGCGTCTTTGGAGTCATACCTGATTAAACCGGTTCAGAGAGTCCTGAAGTACCCGCTGCTGCTACGAGAGCTGGTGTCCCTGACCGACCCAGAGAGCCCTGAGCACACACACCTGACAGGTACACAGACTCAAGATTTAGGACAATTGAGTGTCATGACTGAGAAACAGAGGCTATTCACAGTTTGGACACAGCCTATGAATGAAAGTCCATGTTCCCCTGCTGACTGCAGTTCCTCTCATGTCCACACAGAGGCGCTGAGGGCGATGGAGAAGGTGGCAAGTCACATCAACGAGATGCAGAAGATCTACGAGGAGTACGGCTCAGTGTTTGACCTGTTGGCTGCAGAGCAGAGCGGAGCTGACAAACAGGTGAAAAAAACACGACATACAGATGCTGATGAACCTTCAGTTTCTTTCATTTCAGCTCTATTATTCACTCTTATAGTTTTATTTCTGTTTTTCAATATCAATAGTATCAATCACCACTTATACTCAAGCATCATGTCCTTCTCTCAGGAGATCTCAATGGGGGAGTTTCTGGTCCACTCGTCTGTAATCTGGTTGAACCCTCTGCCCTCTCTGGGCCGTCTGAGGAAAGATCCAGAGCTCACGCTGTTCGGTGAGTTTACAGTCAGACTGACTCGCGTTAAAATTCGCAGATTTTCAACTTTTTTCCAACAAAGGCATCTGAACACTCTGAGTCACTTTGTGTTTCATCCTGCAGTTTTTAAACGAGCTGTTATCCTGGTTTGTCGAGACAACAAACTGAAGAAGAGGATGGTGAGTCTCCTTCTGTGTTATCTTTGTTATAAGTCTCTGAAAACAATGTGAAACCTCTAAGCAGCACAGGAGAGAAGGTCTCTGTGTGAAGGACTAAACCTACAGGAGTCTAGGCTTACATATATTGATCACTTCTGTTTGCCTTCTCTCAGACTGGACGCTCAGCTGATCTGGACCCCTTCAGGTTCCGCTGGTTAATCCCAGTTTCAGCAGTTCAGGTCAGACCGGCCAACATCACAGGTCAGTGACCAGCAGGAGGCGCTGTGCTGCAGCTGTTCTGTCTGTATCATAATTGATTCGATAAACGCTCCTTTTTAAACAACCTGAAAGTGTCAAAGTCGTTTATTCCTGTGTTTCGTTCAGGCTCAGAGAACCCATGTGTTTGGGAGCTCGTTCACAGCCGGTCAGAGGTGGAGGGACGACCAGAGACGGTGTTTCAGCTCTGCAGCAGGTGAAAACAAAATCCTTTCTGTCATGTTCTGGGGCACTGGTTTGATCAAATGCCAAAAGATACATCAAAAGCTACGAAAAAAAATTTACTGGAGTAAATTTTAAAATGTACGATGAATCATATCCCCGCCCTGCTTCACTCTGACCAATCCAAATGAACGATTCTTTTCTGCAACTGAACGTGTCAAAAACTAAAGACATGATTCTTGATTTCCGGAAGAATCGACCTGCTACAGCCCAAACCTTTGTTAATGGTAAAGCTGTAGAAGTTGTCAGTCAGTACAAATACCTCGGTACTATCCTGGATGACAAAATGTCCTTTAAGACCAACTCAGATGCCATGTGCCGAAAGGCAAATCAGAGGTTATTTTATCAGAGGAAATTGAGGTGTTTTAATGTTGACAAAAAGCTTCTTAAAGTGTTTTACTCTTCTTTTATTAAGTCCATTTTAACCTTTTCTATGATATCTTGGTTTGGTAATCTCAGTATCACGAATAAAAACAAGCTGAAAAACATTGTGAAACTTTGCCAAAAAGCTACTGGCATGAGTCTTAATGATTTTGACTCTGTTTTTAAATCCAGAGTCACTCAGAGGGCAAAGGCCATTCTGGCAAACCCCCTTCATCCTCTTCATACTGAATTTCAGCTTCTCCTGTCAAAGAGCAGGTTCACTTTTACTTGCAAAGCCAAATCAAACAGGAATCTCAAATCCATCTTCCCAACAGCCATTGGTTTTTTGAATAAGCTGTCGGTGAGATTGATGGGAACAATGCACCCATGAAATTGTGCTGACTTTATTTATTTACATGTATTTATTCATATATTTCTGCTGTATGCTATCTTTCTGTGATGTGAGAATTGTGTGTTTTATCTTCTGTTGTAAACCAAATTGCCCTTAGAGGACATAAAAGAATTTCAAATCAAATCCTTTCATTTCTGTGTTAGTGACCTGGAGTCGAAGGCGAGTGTCCTGCGATCTCTGCGCTCCCTCCTCAGAGAACGAGCACCCTCCAGCTCCCTGAGGAGGAGCAGACTTTCAACAGCGGAGAGGAGCAGCTCCTGGAGGAGGCGGCAGCAGCGATGTCGCTCTGACACGCAGAGAACGACTCCTCGGCCGCCGGAGGGGAGCTGCAGACGTGATGGCAGGCTGATGCTCGGGGAGACGTGCTCGGAGCCTCTGCTGCCGAGCTGCTCGACCTCTGATCCCGCAGGGAAGAGGAGCAGACTGTGCTCCCTGACCAGCGAGCTGGAGGCCCAGCTGCAAAGGCTCAACTTCACAGAGGAGGAGGCTGAGAGGGGAGGAGCGATGGTGTCTCACAGCGCGGAGGAGAAGAAGCAGAGCTCCAGTCTACGGCGAGGAGAGGCTGCAGACTATGGTGGCCTGTTGGAGAGAGACTTCAGTGTTCAGAGCCTGACCTCCATCATCAACGAGGACTGTTTCTATGACAATATGCTGGAGATGCAACAGGCTGCAGAGACCTCACTACAGGACGGACTAACACTCCTTCACGAGGACACTGTCAGACTCCAGAGCTGAAATCTGCAGAACTGGAGGGACCAGGAGAGAGAGAGACTAAAGACTGGATCTAATCTGACCTCCATCAACAGGAAGTTCTCACAGGCCAGAGGACTCAAACATCTGTCTCTTTAAGGGCATGGAGTCTGTTTCAGGAGTTTTGGGACTGATTCACCTTTGGCAACCAAATATCTGGACCTCTGGATATAAGTCTGTTTCTTTCCTGGGAGAGGACTTCGAGCAGTTCAAGTCAAACTTGTACACTTCTGTTTAAGATAACTGGGCATTTAAGGAGATAAATATCAGGGACGCTCAAAGCGAACCGGTCAGCGGGAAAGGAATCAAAGCTGTCAGAAACATATCATCAAACTTTACAGAAAAATCACAAAAACTGTAGCTGCACTGAGGAACGAAACCTCTGAAAATACCAGAAAATGTGTTCAAACCCATAAACAGAGCCTCACATTTAAGTCAAAACACTATCAGAGAAGATGAAGTTCAGACAGATAACTTTATCAAAAAACTTCATAAATATCTAAAAAGATTAAAACTAAAAAAGTTTAAATCCACCCCTTTCAAGATCTTCAACAGAAAAATAAAGGAATCACAGGAAAATGTTCTTTTGCATTTTCAACATCACTCAGTGGATTTTAAAGTTTCCCGGAACCAAAAACTTTCCAGGCTTTCCCATCGAGGTCTCTCTTTTGTAAAGGTTTGCTGCTTCACAGATCCAAAAACTCTCAAAAATGTCGGACTTTATTTCTGCTGCCTGAACTCGTCTTCGTCGTCGTTTCCTGTTGTAAATATTTCGCTGTACAGTTTGTAGTTTGTCTGTGTAACAGATATTTCTGGACAAAAGCAGTTTGAAGTTTGAATATCTGAAGCTGCTGGATGGACTGAAGCCTTTTTGTGTCTGTCAGTTTGTAATATTAATTGTATTTATATATTTTGTCACGTTTGTTTTGTATTTCAGTTTGTGTGACTGAAACTGTCTTTTCCTTTTAAAAGAACTTTTCATGTATTTTTATGAGCCGTTAAACTATTTGGTAATTTATTTTCTTAAGTATTTGTGTTCATCTTTTTAAGAACTTTACGCTCTTAAAGTTCAATAAAGAAAAAAGTATTTAATATAAATGTGCGGTGTTTGTTTTCGCTTTTCTTTTTTCGTTTCATTTTCAATATTTCAGCAGTTTCAGAATCATCTTCCTGAGCATGAAGTGTGGAGAAATAAGTAGATCTGACTAAGTTGTTCTTTTCTTCTTAGATGCAGTGTCCATGATTTTGAAAGAGACTCACACATTTTAATTAATTATTTAAGCCACAGGACAGTTTATGGACAGATCCAGGCGAATGGTTTACTGGTTCATCAGGATCTGTAGGGATCATAGACTGTATAAACTATGGACAACTTAATTCTGCCTTCTGACAGTATACGGATTTGAACCCGAAAAGCTCTCGGTAATTCGCTGTGAGTCGCTGTGATGACGCTCGGCTCAAACAGCGTATCCCCTGGGTGAGTTATGCAATCTTCACATGCCCATAGGCTGTATCAAGTCTCAATCATAGAAAACATGAACCCCCTAATAACTTTTAGAAATGGAGCTGTACAGAAAAAAGAGATTGAGCACAAACCAGTCTTACTGTAACTACATGTCAACATCACAAGCAGGGGGGAGAAAAATGTATATTCTGTGTAATAAATTTCTAAAGTTTGTCCACAGCTCCATAGGGATTGCTGGAGGAGGCGGGATTTATGACCTATACTGCAGCCCGTCACCAGAGGGTACTGTTCTCAGGGTGGCTTCACCCAGAGAGGAGGCAGATCCACCCTCATCCGGGAGCAATCAGGTGAGACTGGGAGGTTACAAAAGGAGGTGGAGTTCACCTGTTTAGGAGGGTCAGCACCTTTAGCTGTCTGTGTTTGATTTCTGTTGTCTTTTTTAGTTGAACTTTGACTTTCTTTCTCTCTCTAGAGTTTTTTCTCTCTTTGGTTTTTCGGGTTCAATCTTTTGTTAGTCTTTTATTTTGATAGACTCAGTGGATGTCTGTGGAAAGTTTTTCCACTGACACCTTTTAGTATAAACAAGGACCACAGACATATGGATATGGAAGACTGAATACACTAGCATGCTGTAGCAGCCCGCCAAGCAATGAGCCTACACAGCAGCCATCTTGGTGGGGCCACCGTTCCCATTGTAGGCATTACATTTACATTGAAAATCAACTCATAACTTGCTCATTTCACAACCAATTTTCATGCAGATTGCTTCAATTTCGACACCAACTAACATGCTTTTGATACATAACATTAAATGAAACATTTTTTTAAATGCTTTAAATTAAATGTTCTGTTTAAATAGCGTTTTGGCATTGAAAATTAAGTAAACCACATGAAAATCGGTTGAGAAATGAGCAAGATAAATGTAATTTTCAATGTACAGTACAGGCATTGCCTTCGATGGGAACAATGCTCAAACTAGTGTAGCCTTGCTGTAGTCCCACAGCTCAAAGGGGCATGTCGTATCTATGTTTTCATATCTATAACAGGGAACCCCGAGTTTTGTTAGTTCCCCAACCTGCGATCCCTGTCCTTCAGATTATGTTGATGTGGAAACGTAACAGCTGGGGCTCATCCAGAATATCAAACAAATCTTTTCAGCAGGTATTTTGTTGGTTGCTTCAGATTTATTTTGTGGAAAGACACTATTCTTTTGGACCAAACCAGAATTTAAAGTTTCCTGACAGCCTGCAGTCGACAACAGAAAACATCATACAAAACTTAATCTTTTGGTATCAATATCACATGAATATGAATCTTTATTTTTGTGTCTTTTGTATTGTGTAGTTTGAGTATTACCCACATGTCCACATTCTTAGAAAACTCAAGAGCTGCCAAACTGATGAATTTGTATTTGATAACTTTTGTTTCATAAACGTTTAGAAAAATTTTAAAGTTTTATCAGAAGTTTTAAAAAACCAGGCGTCACACATTTATGTCAGAGGCCCAGTTTGTTTCCATGTGCTGCAATTTTACCCTCAGTACAGACCGTCTGTTGTGTTAATGCAGCAGGAATGTGCTGAACCTGAACTTCACAACAACACACACCTGAACCCGTGTGTGTGTGTTAGTGTGACCTCTCACTGACGAAAGGATGAGGAATCCTGCTCATCACTTAGACGGTGAGTTTTGATGATTTTTGTTGTTAAAGATGCAAAATTCACACGTGTTTGTCTTCACACACACCTACACACTCACACAAACACACACTCTGGACGAAACACTGAATATTTCAAAGCTCTGATTCATTTACAGCCTTAACACCCGAAGCAAACCAGTAATTAGAGACGCTTCTGTAAATATACAAACCAAACCAGAGCGTGTGTGTGTGTGTGTGTGTGTGTGTGTGTGTGTGTGTGTGTGTGTGTGTGTGTGTGTGTGTGTGTGTGTGTGTGTGTGTGTGTGTGTTGAGCTCAGATAAAGTGGTTCATTTGTATTCCCGTCGCTCCGTCTGCTGATTGATGAAGCCTCGGGGGGGAGGTTTTTTCTTCCCACCAGATGGTTTGATTCAGCTCCAAACTATTATCATTGTGACTGTGGGGGTCAAAGGTCAAACCCTCTGCTTTAATGTGAAGCTAATTTCCGCCATATTGGATGAAAGGTCACAGAATCGCAGGTCTTTATGAAGATGATGATGATGATGATGATGACTGCTTTAATCTGAGTGGAGGAATGAATTTACGGCCTTGCAGTTTTTCTAGGGGGCGCAGAAGTTGTGCTTTTTTAAAAAAGAGAAAATGGATTTTTTTAAAAACCCGTTTTAACACTAAACACACAAAGCATCACTTCCTGTTAAATCAAGTAGACAAAAGGAAACAAAGAACGTGGCAAGAACTGAGTTAGATTTTAAAAAGCACTCTGAACGGTAAAAGATGTGTTTGTCATTTTAAGGCTCTAATTGAAATATTTAAGGCCTGTAAAAAAAAACTACAGTGTCAAATACACAAATATATCACCTTAAAAATATTTAACTTAAAAAAAATTCAACAACACACAAAAATAATTTACAAAATGCAAAAAGAAATCATGAAAGAAATACTAAATAAAACACCAAAACATTTTGTACAACATAAATATATTTCATTGAGAAACAGGAAGACAGTAAACTGTTAACATTAATGTTAAATTGAAAAGATATGAAATACTTTAATTTTTTAGATATAAAAACCTCTCACAGGAGAAAAAGTGTTTCTACATACAAAAAATATTTCACAAAATGTAAAGTAAAAAGCATTTTCACAAAATGTTTGATATTTAATAAAAACCAAAAACATTTCATAAAACAAAGATATTTTGTAAATGCCAAAGTGTTTCACAAAACACAGAAATACATCAGAGAAAACAAAAATGTTCATAAAACACCAAGAAAATTATGAGACTCCAAATCGTGTCACAAAATGCAAAAATAAGACCCAGAATAGAATTTTTTTTTTTTTAAAAACGCATAAAGAAAATATCAAAAAATCTGAAAATGTGAAGAAATAAGAAAATAAATACAAGCCTCACATTATTTATGTGTCCGGAGTTCAGTTAGTATTTTTAGGAAATGTTTGTGCACCACCTTCAAGCTCATCACATTATCATTTCTAAAACTGAAATACATAACGTGTCAGAGGAAAATAAGACACAATTACAGGTATAACATATAATTCAAAATCAACATCCTCTCGAGGAAAATAACATAAAAAAGTGAAATCCAGCAAACACTGATTTCACAATTTCATCAAATATACCTTTAAAAAACTGTGCCCAAACGTCACACTATTCAATAAAAAACAGACTAAGCAACATAAAATTTTTCAAAAAAACATCTATCAAAAAATGTAGAAACAAAACAAGTTTTAAAAAAGCTGCAGGATTTAAAACAAAGATAATCTAACAGATGATGTCAGTAAAAAATAGTCTTTCAGAAACACCAAAACAACGAGTGATGAGATTCAAACAGGAACAAAAATGTGTAAATATTAAAATAAGGGGAATAAATGTGATGATCAGAGAGGAACGTTTTAAACTGGAAATAAGCGTCTGTCCTTAAAGTCGCCACTTTGTCCTCTGCAGCAGCAGCAGCAGGATGGTCGTGGTGCCTTCAGGCGTCGAGTCAAACCTCCAGAGTCTCTGCTTTTAATGGACCTCTGCCGTGTTTCACACCAGTGAACAGACGCAGCTGGAAAAAATACAAACTGCTCGGCATGTGGGAGGAGGACTGAAGCAGAAACACAACATGAGTTATTACATATGTGATTTAAAGGTGCAAACCGCCTTTTTAATATATCTGAGCCCTAAAACACATCTCTAAACCTCCTGCAGCTGTAAAATAAAACATCTTCAAACAACATCAGATGATTGTTTCCGTTATTTTAAAGGACATGCAGCTTCCGAAATATCAGCTCTGTTTTGTCTTTACCCTTGAGGGCGCATTTGAAAGCATCACATCAGCATTTTTATTACTATTATTTGGCGAATTACAGAAAATGATTTAAAATGCAAACCACAGAGAAGCAGTCCATTACTGGAAAGTGTAATCTCTGTTGCATTAACAAGGGACCTCTGTTCATCAGTAAATGATCTCAGAATAACTTCATTTCTATGACACTGAACATGCTCTCCTGCAGACTTCTTCATGTGTAACAGAGGTGTCCTGTCCCTGTGTTGGAGTGACTGAGAGCTCTGAAGCGCCTCCTTCCTCTTTGCCATTTTTAACGCGACATATTGGAATTTAAACACTCTTTTCAATGCATGTCATTCAGCCGTTTCGAAAATGAACTTGTTTTTAGATGCTGATGATTATTCAATTCAGCAATCATTTAAAACAACTGTCTCCCTTTTTAGGAGGTTTTAAACATCTGTAGGATGAATTAATTAACCCACAGTTGCTTTCTTAAATGAACCTGATAAAAATCAGATAATAAACCGATATCAAACGACTCTGTTATTATGTTAAATGCCTGAAAACCAATTATTTCCTTATCTAAACATACATTTTCCAACCTGGGGCATGGGGCCCCTTAAATGGACCCAAGATTACGCAGAAAAAGTCCGATGATCAGAGAGATGGATCCTCTGGTTTCATTCAATTCAGCCGTTTTTCCTTGTTTGAAATAAACGCTTTAATATCCCTTCACACAATTAGACTGGATCCATCTGAAATCAAACAGCATGATTATTTTCATACCCTGTGTTGCGTCTTTGTGAGATAACCATGTTTTATGTCGCTGCAGCACTGAACCTCCATTAAAATTCTGCCCGTTTTAAAGCTGCAGTATCTCCTGACTCTGCGTGCATCATGACCTCATCAGCCAGCGTCTCTGGTGGGAAACAAACTCGCCTTGACTTTGTCCTTATTTGTAGTGAGTTTTTCTCCCAACATAACAACAGTCATTAAGCGTGTTGATGTTTGAATTGACGCTCTCTGGGGACTAAAGATGTTGTATTTTCCCACAGGGAGGAAATGTGTGTTTATGAGGTTTAGTTTGGTGGAAGCTGCTCGTGTCTGTGCAGGTCTGAGGCTGATAAGACCCAGACTGGAGGATTATGGTAATAACAGGCTGACTCCCTGACTGACTGCAGGGTCCCATCACAAGCGTGCGGTAGGGAAGGGTAATGGTGGGCGGGCTGCGGACCTTATCAGTGTGTTGCAGTGGGTGATTCTTCACACAGTCACATGACGAGCGACACCTTGATTCTCACTGCGGCTGGACAAAGAACAGCTCAGCGGTTTTATCACCAAAAACAGCCCCAAAGTGGCGACTTGATGGTGCATGTCGATTGTTTTAAAAGCAGGCGTCCCCCCGCGGTCATCGGTTTTGAGAGGCAGATATCATCAGTAATAAGCTGTAATGACTTTTACCTTCATGCTCCATTATGCTTTAGAGGTTTCCCGCAATTTTCAGGAGCTCGTCAAACTCTCAAATCTCTCAAAAAAAGAGAAACCTCTCAAAGAAATCAATCAAAGGCGTCGTTTTCTTTGGTTTGGCGTCAAAGAGGACAATTTCTGCGGCGTTGGCTGTGTCGTACCCCACCATCAACTCATCAGATAAGAACGCCGCTCTGCGGCTCCTTCAGCAGAGCGGTGACCTTCAGAAAACAAAAAACCTGTCTCCTGAAGTGGTCACTTTTCTGTCCACGAAGGTTTTTTCCATTCACGTTGAGTCCAAAATAAAGCAAAGGATGCGTGGTGCTTCTTTTTCAGGATGAGAATGGGATGAAACTGTATGTACGGTTGCCAAGGAGACCGCAGGCGGAGGGGTAGTTAGAGGCTGTTAACCCACACACCCTGTGTTTTTATTCACACAGCTCTCCTGCTTCGTCCTCAGGAATCACTTCAGGAGACGCTCAGCTCAGGTAAGAATCCAGGTCTCTGTCAGATTTGCAGTAAAGGTGTTTTTTGTTTGTTTTTTTTTAACTTTCAGGATGTTAGTGTTGAATAAAAAAGAAGACATGACTTCACTCTGTCAGAGCGCTGAGTTTTTCTCTCTCTGCTGCTTTTTCCTGCAGTCAGGAGGAGGAGAACCCAGGGGACGCTGCAGCTTTAAATGGACATAATTGAGTGTCAATGATCACCACATCAGCTGCGGAGTAACTAATGCAGGCGGTCCCACACGCTCGCCCCCTGAAAGAGAGACCACCAAACTGAGGGAAAACGCCGTCCCATCAGCAGGCTCAGCTGTGCGCCCGTCACGCTCCCACGCTCACTTCACTTCTCATTTCTCCTCTGGTTGCAGCCCACTGGAGCTTTCGCTGAGGAATTATCTGCTGTCAGGACCTGTTCGGGACGCAAACAGGGACTCAAGCCGGACCGAGGGGGGCTGAGCCATGCTGTCTGCCGCCATTCAGATCCTGGCGTTCGCCCTGGCTCTCCTGGGCGTCCTCGGCGCCACCGTGGCCACCCTGCTGCCCAACTGGAAAGTGAGCATGAACGCCTGGTCCAGCGTCATGACCCCCATCTCGCAGATGCAGGGTCTGTGGATGGACTGCGTGTGGTACAGCTCCGGCGTCTTCAGCTGCACCATGAAGAACTCGATGCTGTCGCTGCCGGCGTATCTGCAGACCACTCGGGCCGCCATGGTCCTGTCCTGCATGGTGGCGGCGTTTGGACTCTGTCTCGCCTCTCTGGGACTTAAATGCACTCGATGGGGGGGGAGCCATCGAGCGAAGGGGCACACCGCCATCGCCGCAGGGGGGTGCTTCATCCTGGCCAGCCTCCTGTGCCTGGTACCGGCGTCCTGGTTCACCAACGAAGTCATCACGGTGTTCCTGACCACCGACCTGCCAGACAGCAGTAAATATCAGCCTGGAGGAGCGCTTTGCGTGACGTTTATCTCAGCTGGTTTCCTCCTGGCTGGGGGTGTCATTTTTTGTATGTCGTGTCCTGGAAAAAGAACGAGACGACCGGACTACCCTTACTCCCCCGACCCTGACAGACAGGTAATGTGCGGAGATGATTGTCGGAGGCGGGAGCTGCAGACAGAGCACGTGCTGCCGAAAAACAAATCAGTTAAGCTTCAGACGGACAAAGTGAAGGAGGAGAAACCTCTTCAAGAGAAACCAGAGCAGAAGGTCTACTCGTCGCCCTCAAAACTCCCTCCGAAAGACCTCAAGGACAGCTACAGCCTCCAGGAGTACGTGTAGCCCTCACAGCCGAGTGGAAATGTGGAGTTTTCAGCTGAGGCTTTCTGACTCGTAGGAAGGGGGGAGGCGGACGGGGGGGGAGGTGTGTTTGAGTGGGAATAATTACCAAATGTTGGATTCAGCTGAATGACTCAGAAAGGAGACAGAAAACAGGGAACAGGAGGCGTTCACAGGCACCGAACACTGTAAATCTTTGAGAAACTGACGCAGCTTTCTCACACCAAAGAGCTGAACCTGCTGATTGTAATAAAAAAAAAAAGAAATAGGTCTCTGTCTGAGATTGAAAGCCATCATTTTCCAGCTGCAGATGTTGTCTGCCGACTGAGATTATATAGTGCTGATGCAGGGCCCAAAGCTTTCTGCAACTCTGAGCAGGATTTCACCAACTGGGCCAGAAACAGATACTTAGTCAAAGACAGAGGGAAATGAACAAACAGTGATTTTTGAAAACTAAAATATTGACCAAAAATAGCTAAAATGTCACATCTTCAAACTCAATGTTGCTTTATTTGAGATGACCTCTAAAGAGTTTTAAAGTTTTGCTAAACACCAACTTATCAAACCGTAATGATATAGTATTAGTGCATTAAGTCCTACAGTTTTAACATAACTTGTGTTGTTATGATCAGGCCTGTTAGCATTAACACCTTTACAACAATGAAATTCAGGTCAAAGACAAACTCATCAACTTTTTTTGATCCCTTTCTGCTAATTAATTGGACTTTGCTGCTCCTGCGATGAAAAGTAACACCACTGTGCTTTTGAATGGTACAATCAGACTGATGTCATTGGGCAACTCAACACTGGCAGAGCAATGTAAAGTACCATGCAATTTTAAGGGACGCACACAGGACGTGTTTGGGAGGGCAAGAGCAATGAAATCAGAACTCCTGAAAAGTGCAAACGTTGTCACATTAACACGGAGTCCCTGGATCAGCGAGTAATCAAATTTATCTCAAAATAACTGCTCACTATTTCGGCTCTGATCTGACATTTATTTCTTTGGCCTCTAGGTAATAAAAATAAACCCAGTGTTTGACAGAGTCAGCACTTTTAAAGTCATGATTTCAGACCACAGCAGTGTAGCTGCACAGCATTTATTCAACTAATAAATATAAAAGTCAAAAAGACTTAAAATGTTTTAAAAGGCAAAAAAGTGGAACCTTTTTTACAAGCGAAAAATTGCAATTTAAAAAAATTTATAATTTGACAGCAGTATAAATGTCAATATTGGTCCATAACAGAACTTTAAAATTTTTTTGTTTTTTTTAAATAGAGACACTGGTAAGATTTATTTTGCTTTGATAAAGAAAAGAAAAAAAAAATTCAAAACACTGGAATTTTTTTACATGTGATTAATCACAATAAAGTGAAATTATTAACCACGATTTTATCATTTAATTGGCTGATAGCATTATTTCAAAAGATAAAAATGAGCTGTTATTGACAAACTCCTGCTTACGCAGTTCCCGTTAAAACCTTTAAAAGTTTGTTTGGGTAAGAGTAAAAAAAGTTCTCATTTATTTTTGTTAATCTGAGCTTTCAAAACTTGTGACACAGATCGATTTTTCAAGTTCTGTAGTGCAGCAGTGTTACAGAATGGTAGTACTTCCTGAGTAGGTATAAATTTACAAAAAGTGCCAAAATGTTTGAGCAGGAAGTCACTGAAAATTTTGTACAGACTTCCTCAGAACAACTTTCTCTACGTGTTTCTCCGCTTCTTATGGTGGTGCCCTTTTTACTCTCTGCTTCGGGCCGGCTCTGCATTCTGAAGTGATTTCTAAAAAGTCTGTCTTTGAGCTTACCGTTGTTGCTTTAGATGCTGCTTACTTACAGCTCACATTTGGTGAAAACAGTGTGGCAGTAGCAATAAAAACAAGATAGAGTTTTAGATTCATGTTGAATTTGAAGGTTAAAAAAAAGTCCAGATCCAAGGTGATAAAATAACGGCAGCCGCTCCATCTTTTCCTGGTGGTTAGGGGGGGAGGCGAGAGGTGCAGAGCGGCATGGAGAGAGGTAATGATGCTCTTTGCTTTCCCATTATCCTCTCACCACGGTTGGATGCACACTGCACACACTCACTCCCCTCCACCCAGCCTCCTTCAGCTGTATGAAAGGGCATCCAGTCATTTTCAGGATGTAAATCTAAGGCCTGATGGAGACTGGAGCGTCCACGCTATATTTGGTGGGTGGCTGTCCTCTAACCTAAGGTGGGCTGTCAGTCAAACCTGCCAACACTTCCTGAGGATAAAAAAGGAAGAAAAAAAAAAACGCTGAGCTGAACGCCCACACTGCCTCTCAGGAAAGCTTCAAACCTACACCAAAAAAAAAAAAAAAACAATTTAGAAGAGAAAATAGATTTGATTCGTCAGCACTGCAGCAACATTTCACTGTCGAACCTGACAGTGATGCTCTAATGGAGGGAACAGGATTCATTCTGCACAAGCAAGAAAACAAATCCAAGCATGGCACAAGAACAAATACATCACCAGGAAAATGGACTCATCCTGCACCTCAGCGCTCCTGCTTTTCATAGCTTTGTAATCAAACCTCACTCACATTGTGATTCTGTGTTATACTGTTGTATTTTTCTAATAAATTAACACAGAAGAAGAACAGGGCCACTTAAAAAACAGAACCAGAGGAGAAAAGTAATACCCTAAAATTAAGATCTCAAATTTGTGAGAAAAAGGCCTAAATTTACAGGGGGGGAATATCAGAAAAAACTCTCAGTGAGAGCAAAAAACACCAAAATTGTGAGAAAAGAACAAAGATCTGTGGAAGAAAAAGGGTACATTTGTAAGTTCAAAAGGCTGGATCTTGGTAAGAAAAAAAGGCCTTTTGAAAAAAAAAAGCATGTTTAGGAAATAAACTCATGTTGAGTTAAAACTGGCACATTTATGAGAAACGGTAATTTGAAGAAAGAAAAATAAAAACTGGAAATTTGAAGCACAAAGTGGCTAATGTGAGGGAACAATAACCAAATATGTACAAGAAAAAGCAGTAAATTGAAGAGTTCAAAACATCACAAATACGTGGGGAAAAATGAGCATATTCAAAGAAAAAGTAAGACATTACAAAGAAGAAAAAGTAGCTATATAAGAGAAATGAACAATTAGTGAGAAGAAAATAATAAATTCATGGGGAAAAGTGTCAAAGAAATAAATTACAAATTTGTGAGAAAAAAAAACAGTGATTTTTGAAAATACAGTCCCAAGATGGTTTTTATTTTTCATACATTTGTCACTTGCCTTTTGTTTGTCTCAAAAATGTGATTTTGACCTTAGAAGATTACTTTTCTTCTCCACATCCATTTTTTTCTTTTTTCAGTCTTTGTTTGCCAATAGTCTTCTCTCAGATTTATAACTCTATTATTTTGATGAAGTTTTGACCTCTAGTGTAAAACTCAAGCAGCCAAAGCTGAAAACTGCAGCTTCTCCATTCATCCACATGAGGTGTTTTTAAAAGCCCAGGAAACTCATTATTACAGCAATAATAAACATTCACAGGCTTATTCAAATACAGTTGTGGTGTGAAGAGACTTTTTTTCCACTCATGATTACTGCATAATTAGTCATAAATAGGGGGCAGTCTGATATTAGAGGCTGAAGACCAAAAAGTAAGATGAGTCAGCATTTTTAACATGGCAAACACCATCTTTGGGCTTCAGAACTCCTCTGTAGAAACCTCAGAGCCACATTACAGAGATTTGCATTTTATTGAGTCTACAATAAAATCACTGTCTGAATGCAAAGAAGCTATTTTGCTATTTTATCTCCCTAGAACTGGAGTGAGAAAATGTCAAATCTAAATGTACAAATGCAGAATTCAACACTTATTTTGTTCACCAAAGATTTGCCAAAAACTGACAGAGTAACTATGAAAATACAGAGTTACTACACACTTTAAAAAATCAAACTTTAGACTTTAAAGACCCTAAAAATGAAAAAAATGTAAACCATTTTCTGTGTAACAGAATAATAGCAATTCACACAGGTGTAGGTCACATTCAATGCTATTTTTAAAATCATATTTTAAATTTTATAACTTTATATACTACATTTTTCGCCTCCAGTCACTGGAGGTGTCGACAGGATCAGCGGGCACAGTGACATTTTCGTGCTCGCCAGTGGCGTGTAAAGTGCGCTGAAAGCTCGCCGATTCAAACCTGGTCAGCTTTCAGCACAGGCGGAACGCAGCTGGTCGAGTAGTATTTTGGTAGACCGGCGGCGTATCGGCATACATCACTGATGCTTCACAGGCAGGTTTCCACAGTGTCAGGCACATAGACTGTATATAAGATGGACAGAGTCTGCCTCCTCGCTGGGTGAAGCCACTCCGAGAACAGCACCCTCTGATGGTGGGCTGCAGTACAGGTCATTGATCCCGCCTCCGCCAGCAAAGCTTATGGGACTGTGGACAAACTTTAGAAATTTATTACACAGAACATAAATTTTTCTCCCCCCTGCTTGTGATGTTAACATGTAGTTACAGTAAGACTGGTTTGTGCCCAAGTCCTTTTTTTTCTGTAGAGCTCCGTTTTTAAAAGTTATTAGGGGGTTCATGTTTTCTATGATTGACACCTGGTACAGCCTATGGGCGTTCAGGGATTGCGTAGCTCTCCCAGGGGGATACGCTGTTTGAGCCGAGCGTCATCACAGGGATTCTCAGCGACTGCACGGCCGAATGCGCACAACGCTACTGCACAGCTCTGGTTTCAAGGAAGTGGAGAAAAACCCAGAATTACCAAGAGCTTTTTGGCTTCAAATCCGTATACAGGCGGAAGGCGAAACCAGGGTGTCCATCTTATATACAGTTTATGGTCAGGCACATTTCAGTGCAATAAATAATCATCAACAACTATTAATCTGAGTCAGCACATACATTTAGATCTATATAGATATATTCTGATCTTTATCTGATCCGATGAGCGCGTTTGGCACATGTTTGGACACACAACCTGACCGAATCAACACAGCTGAAACCGCATTAAATTAAATTAAATATCTAGTAAATAAACACACATGATAAAGTTAACAAGATATGTAGTTCGTCTCCCTCCTTTTCCCTCCCAATTTGAATCTTGTATCTCAAGCCGACATTCTCATTTCAGGGACGCCACGCAGAGGTCAGCAAAGCCACAATGTACTGCTTGATGCAGTTGGACGACTTGGGTAAAATTGAGGAAGTTATCAATTTAAGGAATCAACTCAAGTCAGTTCTCAAATTTTAATAAAGCTAAAGGTTCAACTACCCAACTTATCTGGAATGATAAAATAAATTTGAAATATTGATTTATTTGTTTACCAATCAATTAATCTAATGAAGTGGATTAATACATCTGTGTATTATAGAGAACAGTAAAACTGCTCAATGGTGTGATAAGTAACAACAAAATCAGTCGATTGATTCAAGGAGTTGTTTATCAATACGTCATGGAGGCTCTTATATTAAAGATGAACATCAAAAATCAATGATTCATGATTTAGAATAATCACATCAACAGAGAGGCAGTACAGTTGGCTGATACGGGCGGTGTGGAGTTGAGGGAACAGCACAAGCTCACCAGAAGAGGAGAAGAAGAGGAAGAAGGAAACAGTCATCCAACGAGCCACCTGTGGCTGTGTGGAATCACAGGAAGCAGGAAGGAAGGGGCCTTTGGCTTCCCCTCCTTGAAGGGACTTTTCTGCTTCAGGCCAAATGAGTCGGTCTCTCCACTGACAACAAAGGGTCAACACTTCACAGCTGGCTGCGTCTGCACCCTCAACATAAACAGAACTTTGCACCGCCTGCTCGCGGTGGATTGGTTCAATAAAAACATTCACAGAAACAAGAATCAAAGGAACAAATCCCTCAACAGCAGATACAACTGCAGACTTTAAAATCACAAATGCGATGATTTGCGAACAAGAATTTTGTCTGAATTATTCAAACAAAAACCTCCCACTGTTACAGTGGTTTCCTGTGACAGATAGCTAGTCTGTCAGGAGAAAGGAGGAATTCTGAATCCTATATAGTTACTAGAAACTCATAGCAGGCTATAGAGGCTTCAGGGGCTTGAAACCACAGCTCGGAGCATCGCGAACACTGGGTTCAGCCGGAGGCCTCTAAAACAAGCATACAGCGACCCAACAATTGTGCACTTAATTATTGGACAATCTAGACAGAGCAGAAGAAGCCGTCTCACTGCTACTAAGAACAACGATTCATGCTGTCCAGCTCAAACACAAACTACAGGCATGTAGTACAAAAAGTTTAAGAAACACAGGGCATAAAGGTTTTATGCATAGAGAAAGAGAAAGTAAAACTAAAATTGTGTGCATTTCTCAGACTTGAAAAGGGGAAACATCAGAGTAGAGTCTGACAAAAACAAAAGTTTCACACTGATACATCTGAGTATTTTGTGACCCAGAACTCCAACCACGGTAAGACTTTTCTGTCGTTTTCTTTCTGAGAAGTAGATTTGTCCTTGAGCATTTACAACCTTTAAATATTCATCTTCTTAAGTTATTGTCATTAAAAATGTAAGTTTTTTTTTGTTTTTGATAGAATAAAAGCTATTTGGTTGTTCAAAATTAAATTTAAACTTACAGCTTTGAAGAAAGTTAAAAAAAAATACAGTTTCTTTAACACTGTTGAGTCTTCCATAGGAGTTTTAGTTAAGTTCAGCAAAATGTCAAAAATATAATGAAAAAGTCACAATTAAAAGAGCCGTAGCTAAAAGATGGTTGGTAATTGTTAAAAGAAAAATGTTATAAAAGGTCAAAATTAAATCATAGTCACAGTTGTAAGATGGTAAATTAAGATTAGGAGTCAAATTTTGAAATAACTTCAAAGTTATAAGAAAAACAAGAAACATGTCACAATCATAAGACAAATGTAACTATGTGATAGAAAGTCATAATATCAAGACGGTGAGTTATGATTACAGGAATTTTTCAGAATAATCGCAAAAAAATAAAACTATAACATAGTCATAAGATTGTAAGTTACAATTATGGAAGTATGTCATGATCATAACAAACAGAGTCAGAGTTATAAGAGAGAACATTGTGATTATAATAAAAGTTTAAATTATGAAACATTTTGATGAGCCTGTCACCAAATCCAATTTACAGACTGTTCATGAAAACAAAGACTGCCTGAATGAAAGGGTATGTTTGATTATCAAATTTAATGAAGATGTCTCAGCACTTGGTCTAAAGTCAAAGTTTATTACCCAAACATTGAGCTTTTATCTTCTGTGCTCTGAGCTGAAACTTTTAGAGAGGACTTCAGCAGTTTACACAGAGATGTCCTGAACTGACTTTTATATGATTTGGCACGAACAATAAGATGCCACATTTTGCTGTTTCTATACTAGAAAGTCTGTGTAGATGAGACCTTAGATTTTCAACAGCATTTACAGAGGTTAGTGGCTTATTTAAACTCTTCTGATCTGAAGAGCTGCTTCACTTTTACTTTCATCTTAACTCTGGAGCTTGTTATCTTGACGACCATTCCCCAGTGTGTCTTTAAATGGTCACGTGAAATTAAGAGTGATTACACAGTGCCAATATAAACAGAGTTTTCTCAACTTTTTTTTCCCTCTGCAGCCATGGGAGGTGAGGAGTCAAAGCCTGTCCCAGAGCCAAGTAATATTATTTTTGAATATTAAATAAATCTTTTATCAAAATACAATTTCAGGGAAAAATTCTGACAAAACCTAAATTTGTTTTTCTTTCAGTGTTCAGTGAGCCATGGCGGAAACTCAACTGGATGTAAGTACTCTCTAATGTCTAATGTGCTATTTTCCTAAATCACTGGGTGTGTGATTTACAAAGTGCCAGTGGATATACAAAACCAAATCCTGACAGCAAAGGGTTAACTTTTTGGGGTTTATTCAGAGTAACGTTTTCTTTTTTTAAACTCTTTGGTTTATTCCTCTGCTTTGTTTTTATGTATGTCTGTGTTTACCTGGGTAAGCACTTAGTAAACCTTTTTGAAAGGTGCAGTATAAATACATTAATTATTGGTGTTATTATTATTATTACAATTATAATTACTATATCTGTTATTATTATCTCTGTAATTACTCAGCTACCAACTAAATAAACAAATAAGTTAGCTCCAAAAATTGATTAAGAGATGATTTTGTTGGTTTAAAAATGATTCACTTATACTCCTTCAGTTTTAATGTTTGGTGCTAGTTCATGCTCACTGCACACCTCTCTTTTGTCAAACTTGTGTCTCTGATTTTCTGACCTCTGCAAACACACACCTGGCTCCTCCTCCTGCTGTCCTCTCCCCACACATGGCTGCATGACAGTTTGAACTGCTGCTGCACAAAGAGCTACAGATACATCAGTCTATGTCCACCTTTTACAACATCAGCAAATTACATGTGCACACAGCTGTGCTGCAAATTTATCTGCTCAAATAAAAAGTGAAGATTTTTAAAAAGAATTTAAAAAAGGATAGGTCTGAGTTAAAGAATTTCACTCTTGCAAAAAGGAGCAGTCACAAACAGAAAGTCTGTAAGCAAGTGCTCAGAGGACTGTACTCTGACTTTGTTTTAGACACAGGGCGTTATCAGTTTACATCAGTCATATCGAAACATAATCATCCATAACAAGCTGTTCACAACTTTCTTTGTTTTGCAGACTGGGTTCAGCTTTTGTTTCCCAGCCTTGACTCAGGGTCAGAACAGAGATAGACAGTAACAGTGTGTTGCTCAGCATATTTCTATAAAAGCTGTCCTTAAATTACCTTTGATGACATGAGTACATGTACAAGGACTGGATAAGAAGATATTTGTCCAGAATCACTACTCAGTGTTCCAACAAAGTAAATGTTCAGCTTCACAATGCAAAGAAACTCTTTGCAGCCTGTTCAGCACAATCGAATGAGAGTAACCAAGCCCCCATATATCCTGACGTCCAACTGTGTGCACTACCAACATAAAACACATAAGAACTAATGTGGGACTTTTATGAGATAGTCACATGACAGTATGTGTGTGCACTGACACCTCTCCTGAGCCATCCTTTCTCTCCCTTCATAGTTTCACATCCTGCACTGAATGTGCATCACGTGATTATGCAAAACTAAAAAAAGTTGTGGTTGTTATCATTTTATGTCACACATCTTTCCTCCTCTGAACAGGGACAGACAAGGCATTCTGGACTATGTGAAGAACTACAACCCTAGAACCCCAGAACAAGTGATCAGAATTCTTCTTTATGGGCCAGTTGCAAGTGGAAAGTCCAGTTTCATCAACTCTGTTAACAGTCTCTTACGTGAAAGACCGTACATCAACTCTTTAGCAAACCACAACTCCAGCAACAGTTTTACTAGAGTGGTATGACAACTTTTTTGTTGTAACATAAAGGAAATGTCTCAAATTTGTAATGATAATGAAAAATCTACTAACTCCCAGTGCATGCCATGTGTCATAATAATCTTTACTTTTATTACTTAAAGGGATGGTTTAGTTGTTTCCAAGTGTGGTCATTTCAGGTGCTCGTCAATGTTAAGTGTATTTGCCAAAGGGATCCCAGTGACTTGGGCCCCCTTTGCTGAGAAACCACATAAAGGACTACTACAGGTGGGCTCAGCTCCACCAAGTGATTTCAATCATTTTAAATCCCAACCAAGGGTTGAGGGTGCTGTTCTTGCAGTGGCTTTACCCAGTGAGGAGGCAGACAACATCCATTCTATATACAGTCTATGGGCACAACCAAGAAATTGAGGCTACAAGATCCTTAAAGGTTAGCTGGTCATCAATCATGACACCACAGTTTCCAGACATACTTTGCGTGCATGAGTTTCTCTGATCCAAACTGGGTATCAGTCTGAGTCAAATGTGGTGTTTCTTCATCCATTCAGTCATATCACAAAAGCATAATGAGATTTTAGTTGAAAGAGTTGTGTGAGTATGACAGAAAGAGACGGGTATTGTCTGCATAGTAATTGTTGTTGGCCTGAAAGAAAAAAAATTCACTTGGACAGTTTTAAGGGACTTACAGTATCTCACAAAAGTGAGTACACCCCTCACTTTTCTGAAAATAATTATATCTTTTCATGGAATAACACTAAAGAAATGACACTTTGACACAAAGTACAGTAGTCAGTGTACAGCTTGTGAAATAGTATAAATTTATTTTTCCCTCAAAATAACTCAACACACAGCCATTAATGTGTACACCCCTGGCAAAAAAAGTGAGTACACCACTAAGTGAAAATGTCCAAATCGGGCCCAAAGTGTGAATATTTTGTGTGGCCACCATCATTTACCAGCACTTACTTAACCCTCTTGGGCATGAAGTTCACCAGAGCTTCACAGGTTGCCACTGAAGTCCTTTCACCTTCCCTTTAGGATGCCCCACAGATTCTTAATATGGTTTATAACAGTCTTAGCCAACATAGCACCAACTAACTTACTGGCTTCTGTCAATGAGCATAAGTTCAGACTTTGAGTTTGAAATCTAACATGTAGGGGTATCTAATGTGGAGGATTGAATTCATTCTGCTCTCAATCTGTTCATCTGCCACCTATTTAGATTTAAAGCTGCTTTTGGTCGTGAATAGCAAAATGTTAGATTGTTGTGGGATGCTGAGCTGCTCAGTGAATACATTGTTTAGAAGTCTTTAATACTACTGAGATGAAGTTAGTATTATTACTTTATGTAAGATCACGTAAAAGCTGAACAAGCCAATAGTTAGTATTTTTTGTAATAAGAACAGTTTTTTTGTGTGAAGAGGGGTTGGATTACTGGATAAAAGATGATGGAGGTAAATATGTTTACTTTGTTTAATGGATGGTGACATTGATATCAAAGAGATATCCTATATGGGGGAAAAAGATGCATTGATAATTTTAATTAATGTTAAAAACACAATAATTATTTAAATTATTTGATAATCAAATTTTAGCACCCTGAACTGGGATCAAATTGAATCATTAGGTACCTAAGATGGCACACCCCAACTAACTACACTCTCCTCCATCTGTCTTTAATAGTACAAAACCTACAGGATCCACAAAGGGACCTCAGGGGCATATTACCCTTTTGTGTTCAATGACATCATGGGCCTGCAAAACAGTGGAGGGGTCCATCCAGATGATGTCAAACTGGCTCTGAAAGGACATGTCATGGAAAATTACGAGGTACATTTACTGTAAACTTTGCAAATTTTCCTCCAAAGAGATTTAAATGCACCATTTATTAAATCAGAATTCTGTCTTAGTTAACATGTGTTTCACTGTAATGTTCTTCAAATGAATTTAAAACTGTTTTCCAGTTCAATCCTGAATCCATGTTGACTGAGGAGAATCAGTTCTATAAACAATATCCGTCTGAGGATGACAAAGTGACGGTTCTGGTTTGTGTTGTTGATGCCCACAACATGTCCATAATACTAGATGAAACTCTGAGAATGTTACGTGACATCAGGAAGGAAGCCAGTCGCCTGGGTAAGACCAGAAAAACTTTTCCAATATTTTTCTCAAGAGTTAGATAAAACTTTGAAAAAAAAAACACAGTTTAATTCTTGACAGATCTTCAAACAGTTCCTCTAGCTGATTTTGATATATGTATCTGAAGGAGAACAGTGGCTTTTGAAATGTTTTTTTCTTTCATGGGACTCAAAGTTTTGTGTTTGACAGGAATCCCTCAAGTGGCCATCCTCACCCATATTGATGAGGTCTGTCCTGAAGTCAAGAAAGATTTAAAAGATGTCTACAAGTCCATCTTACTGAAGAAGAAGGCATGCTTACTTGTTGATTTCATGATTTTGTAAAGAAGGAATCACACTTTAAAAAGTAGTCTACAAATGACACACCACTGGGCTCCGTTGCTCAGCACTGTTTTTTCTGCCACAATGCTGCAGTTAGATCAGGTGATGAAAAAATGAAGAACATCAAAAATTCTAATTTATACAAATAAATCAAGAATTAAATCCAAACCAGATCTGAATCTTTGTCCTGTAGTCAGGATGACAGGAACAGCTCAGTATCATCTACATAGCAGTGATATGAGAATCCACAAGTATGTATTAGTGCACTTAGTGGGTTGGACTTCTCCTCTCCGTGATAACCAAAAAGATTCCCCTTTGAGTCAGGACACAGACCTAGAGGCCCCACCTAAAGCCAGACTGTAGTCTCCTTCCAAAGTCCTGAACTCCTCGTTTTAGTCCTTCTAAAGTCCCCATGCTCTAATAGAGGTCACTCAGAGTCCTTTTCTCCTCAGAGAGGTCATTTGAAAACCCTGATATCCTCATGGAGGTTATTCCAAAGTCACTACATTTCACCCAAACACTCTGATTGGCAGTGACTGTCCTGATCAGACCAACCAGGAAACCAGAGACATGTAGTCCAGATCCAGTCTTTATTTGAGACCAGTGTTTTTCTGTCAAAACATGTAGAGACACCAGGCTAGTATCATCGACTCTGAGTTTAATTGAATAGATAAATGAAACAGCCATTCTAAATCAGGCCTCATTACCTCTTGTTCTGAAGATCAGCTGCTCATAATTCAAATTTGTTTCACTAGATGGAGGAGTTCAGTGCAAAGGTGGGGATCCCGATGAACTGCATCTTCCCTGTGAAGAACTACCATGACGAGATTGACACCAACAATGACCTTGATGTTCTGCTCCTGAGTGCTCTGAAAAACATCATCCACTTTGGAGAAGACTACCTTAACCCCTAACTGCAGTATTCAGCTGTGTGATCCATGCTGCTGAAACCCACAGAGCTAAATATTAAATGTAATGACCATTTAAGGTAATATTGAATCATTGCTTTCTGAAGTGTCTCTTTACTATGTGCCAAAGTTGAGCTTTATGTGATCAGCTTAGCAAACTTTTTTCTGCTTTCAGTGAGTTTATAGTTATCTCTTGCTTCTGTGATTTTTACTCTATGAAGTTTTAAAAAAATGCAAAATTTGATTTCAAATGTATTCAAGACTTTACATTCACAATAAGAAACAGACCTTCTTGGTCTAAACTCCTGTCTTACATTTGTCTTTATTTTTGGTGTCAATCAGTAAAACCTGAATTAATTATGTTATTGCATAGTGAGTTACATGTTAAAATATTTTTTAAAAACATGGTAAGAATATCTTTGCCTTGAGTTTGTAATGACCTTCATGACCTCAGACTTGTTTAGTCAGACAATTTGGTTTTTAAGTAGACCGAAAAAGATGGAGCAGAGTGTAACGCCACAAAGCTCCAGCAGAGGGCAGCAGGCTGTCATCTTCTGAAGCTTTACCCTCTGTTAGGGGCTCACATGAAATCTCTGAGAGTTCATGCAGATCTACATTTGAGACAAAATCAAATTTGTAATTTTCATGTTCTGTCATGAAATTACTAAATTTTTTAGGGGTCCAGCTTGAGATCACAAAGAGTGGGACAAATATACAGGAAGTGCTTACCATCAAATGTAAATCAAGGATGTGACTTTAGTCATCAGTTTCTGGTCACTCGTCTTGTACTACGGTTTTCATATTCTGTCCATAAATGAACAAAGTTTGGTTACAGTTTGTCTCAGTGTACCACCCCAGTTCAAAAAAGTAAAGACACCATGTGAAATTGGATCAAAAATAGGTCTTGGACAAGATATTAATGCTGACACTGAAACATTTGATCATTTGATGAAAAATACGTTGGTTTGTTTTTAAGTTTGATGGTAGCAGTACATTTCAAAAAGTTGGATGAGGACAACAAAACTCTGAATACGTCGTTTAATGCTAAAAACATCAGCTGGAGGAACATCTCCAACTAATGAGGTTAATTTCCAACAGGTTAGTAACATGAGTGAGTATAAAAAAGACATTCAGAGAGACGGAGTCTCTCAGAAGGAAAGATGGGAAGAGGTTCACCACTCTGTGAGAGACTGCATGAGCTAATAGTTGAAAAGTTTCAGAATAATGTCCCTGAGTGTCAAATTTGAAAGAATGAGTGGATTTCATTATCTACACTGCATAATATCATTGGCTCTTGTAGTGTACCATGTTTATTTTCTCAAAAGTCATGTTTCAAAACAAGAGATTTCACAAGACGTGTATGGTGCATTTCGTTCAGCTCACCATTCTACACTGTGTACAATGCACACCGAGAACAGTGTAGCGATAGGAATGAATAACAAGTGTCCTGAGATAATAATCTTAAATCATGACATTTATGCACTCATTGAAAGGGGCACTACCCACCTTAATGGCGGTAGAAATAAAGAAAAACAAAGGTTTAATTCAGAAATCAAACATTAAGTTAATCTTAAATCAATTTTAAATCAATCTCATATCTCAAGCCGACATTCTCATTTCAGGAACTCCACTTCTGGAAGAACACTAACAGACAAGAACTTAGAAAAATAATGTTCGGTTTATCGCCGGGTAAATACTGGTCCAACACACATGCAGTAAATGATGATAAGATAATGAGGATAAATAATGAAAGATGAATGAAAGATTCTGAGTCAGGCTATGATTTCTAAAGTTAATGATAGTGTGTGAATACGCTCTAACATATTAACCTACATTAACTTTGGTGTAGAGATAAATTTGGATGTGGATCTGGATGAATTTAGGATTACTCAAATTAGCGATTATTTGAATCATGAACGCACTTAATCTTGGATTGCTATGTGCACAAAAGTAGCTGAAGTTGTTTTGTTTTGTGTAGCGCTGCGTAAGTCAAATCCACTGCACCGATGAGGCGTGCCCAAGCACACTTCGGTATTTTGGTGAGCAGCGCAGCCCGGATTTAGTATCTCCCCTCCCTAACTCAGCTCCTCCCAGCGGTGTAAGTAGTACAGAGGGAGGGGATAAGGCATGGAGTGGGTTTGACACAGCCGAGTCCTGTTTTCACCAATCACATCAGCTCCTCTCCTCACCTTTAAATCCGCCACCACGAGGCATTTTACAATTTTCATCAAGTGGTTTGAAAGATCAGGAGATGGCTGAAGACAGCAATGCAACACAATGGCGACAGAAGGCAGCCCCTCAACAAGTGTCACTGTAAGCACTGCAGAGGGCATCCTCCACACTCTCTCATATCACACGTCCCGGGTGGAAGCGAGAAGACTGACGCAACAGCAGACTGACTGTTTGCAGTTCCGATTAGACAACAGTGTTGAGATGACTGTCTGTAGCATGTAGCATACTATTCTGCTGGTCACCCAAGGTTTGCTGTTGGAGAAACACCGTATTTTCCTGGTGGGTACGGTGTTATCAACACAGAAGTTTATATCGTCCGTGACAATCTGTCATGGTGTCGATGTCATCACCATGTGGGCCGCACAGTACATCCCAGTCTGTGGTCTCAAAACAGTCCTGCAACGCCTCAGTCATACCCAAAGTTTTATTGTCTCTCGTTGGGCAGTTGGGCCAGAGATGATGATCAGAGACTGAGGGTGTGATGTTTGTAGCTTGGACACTTCACTATGGAGGAGTTCACAGGCTGCAGCAGCATCAGCCGAGGGGAGGAAAAGATGTCATCACATCTTTGTCATCTTTGTCAAGATGTGATGACAAATGTTTATCTGATCGAGTGGTCCTGCAGTTCTTTCCTGCTGGCCATAAACGATTCTGTCTCTGTCTCTTTGAAGTGGAAAGGTTTGTCCTTTTGAGAAGGCTTCTTTGTTTGTCTTGTATAGAGACAGGAGGTTTTACAAAGATTGTGATTTGGTGTTAAAGGTCTAAAACATCTTGTCTCTGGTGAGCAGATGTAAGCCTTACATTCCTTTGGGGGGTTGTGTTAAAAAAGTGGTCACCTCTGCTACAACAGAGAGGCAGGAGGAGAAAGAGAAACTAAAATCGACAGGATAGGAAATCCTGTGGGTGTGACAAAGTATAACCAAACTGCGTATGTGCATTTCTCAGACTTCAGAAGAGGAAACATCAGAGTAGAGTCCGACAAAAACTGATACATCTGAGTATTTTGAAACCCAGAACACCAACCACGGTAAGACCTTTCTGTTTCTGGTTCAACCCTAGAAATCTATCTTAGATAAGTTAGTGTAATATTTGGCTGTAAGTCAAAGTTAAAAAACAAAATACGGTTTCTTTAACACTGTTAAATCTTCACTAAAGAGCTTAAGTTAAGTTCAGCAAAATGTCTTAAGTCAAAAATACAATGAAAAAAAACATAATTAAAAGAGTCCTAATTATAAAATGGTTGATAATTAATGTAAGAAAAATGTTTTAAAAGGCCAAAATAAAAGGTAGTAAGTCACAGTTGTAAGGTGGTAAGTTAAGATTAAGAGTCATAATTATAAAATGACTTCAAAGTTATAAGAAAAATGAGAAATATATATCACAATCTTAAGACAAATATAACTATATGATAGAAAGTCATAATATCAAGACAGTGAGTTATGACTGGGAAATTTTTCAGAATTATCACAAAAAAATAAAGCTATAACATAGTCATAAAATTGTAAGTTACAATTATGAAAGTATGTCATGATTATAACAGAGTCAGAGTTATAAGAGAGAACATTGTGATTATAAGAAAAGTTTAAATTATGAAACATTTTGATGAGCCTGTCATCAAATCAAATATACAGACTGTTCATGAAAACAAAGACTGCCTGAATGAAAGGGTATGTTTGATTATCAAATTAATGAAGATGTCTCAGAGCTGAAACTTTTAGAGAGGACTTCAGCAGTTTACACAGAGATGTCCTGAACTGATTTTTATATGATTTGGCATGAACAATAAGATGCCACATTTTGCTGTTTCTATCCTAGAAAGTCTGTGTAGATGAGACCTGAGATTTTCAACAGCATTTACAGAGGCTGGTAGCTTATTTACACTCTACTGACCTGAAGAGCTGCTTTACTTTTACTTTCATTCTGACTCAAGAGCTTGTTATCTTGACGACCATTCCCCAGTGTGTCTTTAAATGGTCACGTGAAATTAAGAGTGATTACACAGTGCCAATATAAACAGAGTTTTCTCAACTTTTTTTCCCTCTGCAGCCATGGGAGGTGAGGAGTCAAAGCCTGTCCCAGAGCCAAGTAATATTATTTTTGAATATTAAATAAATCTTTTATCAAAATACAATTTCAGGGAAAAATTCTGACAAAACCTAAATTTGTTTTTCTTTCAGTGTTCAGTGAGCCATGGCGGCAACTCAACTGGATGTAAGTACTCTCTAATGTCTAATGTGCTATTTTCCTAAATCACTGGGTGTGTGATTTACAAAGTGCCAGTGGATATACAAAACCAAATCCTGACAGCAAAGGGTTAACTTTTTGGGGTTTATTCAGAGTAACGTTTTCTTTTTTTAAACTCTTTGGTTTATTCCTCTGCTTTGTTTTTATGTATGTCTGTGTTTACCTGGGTAAGCACTTAGTAAACCTTTTTGAAAGGTGCAGTATAAATACATTAATTATTGGTGTTATTATTATTATTACAATTATAATTACTATATCTGTTATTATTATCTCTGTAATTACTCAGCTACCAACTAAATAAACAAATAAGTTAGCTCCAAGAATTGATTAAAAGATGATTTTGTTGGTTTAAAAATGATTCACTTATATTCCTTCAGTTTTAATGTTTGGTGCTAGTTCATGCTCACTGCACACCTCTCTTTTGTCAAACTTGTGTCTCTGATTTTCTGACCTCTGCAAACACACACCTGGCTCCTCCTCCTGCTGTCCTCTCCCCACACATGGCTGCATGACAGTTTGAACTGCTGCTGCACAAAGAGCTACAGATACATCAGTCTATGTCCACCTTTTACAACATCAGCAAATTACATGTGCACACAGCTGTGCTGCAAATTTATCTGCTCAAATAAAAAGTGAAGATTTTTAAAAAGAATTTAAAAAAGGATAGGTCTGAGTTAAAGAATTTCACTCTTGCAAAAAGGAGCAGTCACAAACAGAAAGTCTGTAAGCAAGTGCTCAGAGGACTGTACTCTGACTTTGTTTTAGACACAGGGCGTTATCAGTTTACATCAGTCATATCGAAACATAATCATCCATAACAAGCTGTTCACAACTTTCTTTGTTTTGCAGACTGGGTTCAGCTTTTGTTTCCCAGCCTTGACTCAGGGTCAGAACAGAGATAGACAGTAACAGTGTGTTGCTCAGCATATTTCTATAAAAGCTGTCCTTAAATTACCTTTGATGACATGAGTACATGTACAAGGACTGGATAAGAAGATATTTGTCCAGAATCACTACTCAGTGTTCCAACAAAGTAAATGTTCAGCTTCACAATGCAAAGAAACTCTTTGCAGCCTGTTCAGCACAATCGAATGAGAGTAACCAAGCCCCCATATATCCTGACGTCCAACTGTGTGCACTACCAACATAAAACACATAAGAACTAATGTGGGACTTTTATGAGATAGTCACATGACAGTATGTGTGTGCACTGACACCTCTCCTGAGCCATCCTTTCTCTCCCTTCATAGTTTCACATCCTGCACTGAATGTGCACCACGTCATTATGCAAAACTAAAAAAAGTTGTGGTTGTTATCATTTTATGTCACACATCTTTCCTCCTCTGAACAGGGACAGACAAGGCATTCTGGACTATGTGAAGAACTACAACCCAAGGACCCCAGGGCAGCAGATCAGAATTCTTCTTCATGGGCCAAATGCAAGTGGAAAGTCCAGTTTCATCAACTCTGTTAACAGTCTCTTACGTGCAAGACCGTACATCAACGCTTTAGCAGACAACACCCACGGCGAAAGTTTTACCAAAGTGGTATGATGACTTTTTTGTTGTAACATAAAGGAAATGTCTCAAATTTGTAATGATAATGAAAAATCTACTAACTCCCAGTGCATGCCTTGTGTCATAATAATCTTTACTTTTATTACTTAAAGGGATGGTTTAGTGGTTTCCAAGTGTGGTCATTTCAGGTGCTCGTCAATGTTAAGTGTATTTGCCAAAGGGATCCCAGTGACTTGGGCCCCCTTTGCTGAGAAACCACATAGAGGACTACTACAGGTGGGCTCAGCTCCACCAAGTGATTTCAATCATTTTAAATCCCAACCAAGGGTTGAGGGTGCTGTTCTTGCAGTGGCTTTACCCAGTGAGGAGGCAGACAACATCCATTCTATATACAGTCTATGGGCACAACCAAGAAATTGAGGCTACAAGATCCTTAAAGGTTAGCTGGTCATCAATCATGACACTACAGTTTCCAGACATACTTTGCGTGCATCAGTTTCTCTGATCCAAACTGGGTATCAGTCTGAGTCAAATGTGGTGTTTCTTCATCCATTCAGTCATATCACAAAAGCATAATGAGATTTTAGTTGAAAGAGTTGTGTGAGTGTGACAGAAAGAGACGGGTATTGTCTGCATAGTAATTGTTGTTGGCCTGAAAGAAAAAAAATTCACTTGGACAGTTTTAAGGGACTTACAGTATCTCACAAAAGTGAGTACACCCCTCACTTTTCTGAAAATAATTATATCTTTTCATGGAATAACACTAAAGAAATAACACTTTGACACAAAGTACAGTAGTCAGTGTACAGCTTGTGAAATAGTATAAATTTATTTTTCCCTCAAAATAACTCAACACACAGCCATTAATGTGTACACCCCTGGCAAAAAAAGTGAGTACACCACTAAGTGAAAATGTCCAAATCGGGCCCAAAGTGTGAATATTTTGTGTGGCCGCCATCATTTACCAGCACTTACTTAACCCTCTTGGGCATGAAGTTCACCAGAGCTTCACAGGTTGCCACTGAAGTCCTTTCACCTTCCCTTTAGGATGCCCCACAGATTCTTAATATGGTTTATAACAGTCTTAGCCAACATAGCACCAGCTAACTTACTGGCTTCTGTCAATGAGCATAAGTTCAGACTTTGAGTTTGAAATCTAACATGTAGGGGTATCTAATGTGGAGGATTGAATTCATTCTGCTCTCAATCTGTTCATCTGCCACCTATTTAGATTTAAAGCTGCTTTTGGTCGTGAATAGCAAAATGTTAGATTGTTGTGGGATGCTGAGCTGCTCAGTGAATACATTGTTTAGAAGTCTTTATTACTACTGAGATGAAGTTAGTATTATTACTTTATGTAAGATCACGTAAAAGCTGAACAAGCCAATAGTTAGTATTTTTTGTAATAAGAACAGTTTTTTTGTGTGAAGAGGGGTTGGATTACTGGATAAAAGATGATGGAGGTAAATATGTTTACTTTGTTTAATGGATGGGGACGAAAATATTTAAAAGAAATCCTGTATGGGGAAAAAGATGCATTGATAATCATGATAATCGTTAAAATCACAATAATCATTGCATTTGTTTGATAATCAAATTTTAGCACCCTGAACTGGGATCGCATTAAAACGTTAGGTGCCCAAGATGGCCCAACCCAACTAACTACACTCTCCTCCATCTGTCTTTAAAAGTACAAAACCTACAAGATCGACAAAGGGACCCCAGGGGCATATTACCCTTTTGTGTTCAATGACATCATGGGCCTGCAAAACAGTAGAGGGGTCCTTCCAGATGATGTCAAACTGGCTCTGAAAGGACATGTCATGGAAAATTACGAGGTACATTTACTGCAAACTTTGCACATTTTTCTTCCAAAAAGATTTTAACGCATCATGTATTAAATCAGAATTCTGTCTTTGTTAACATGTGTTTCACTGTAATGTTCTTCAAATGAATTTAAAACTGTTTTCCAGTTCAATCCTGAATCCATGTTGACTGAGGAGAATCAGTTCTATAAACAATATCCGTCTGAGGATGACAAAGTGACGGTTCTGGTTTGTGTTGTTAATGCCCACAACATGTCCATAATAAAAGATGAAACTCTGAGAATGTTATGTGACATCAGGAAGGAAGCCAGTCGCCTGGGTAAGACCAGAAAAACTTTTCCAATATTTTTCTCAAGAGTTAGATAAAACTTTGAAAAAAAAAACACAGTTTAATTCTTGACAGATCTTCAAACAGTTCCTCTAGCTGATTTTGATATATGTATCTGAAGGAGAACAGTGGCTTTTGAAATGTTTTTTTCTTTCATGGGACTCAAAGTTTTGTGTTTGACAGGAATCCCTCAAGTGGCCATCCTCACCCACATTGATGAGGTCTGTCCTGAAGTCAAGAAAGATTTAAAAGATGTCTACAAGTCCATCTTACTGAAGAAGAAGGTATGCTTACTTGTTGATTTCATGATTTTGTAAAGAAGGAATCACACTTTAAAAAGTAGTCTACAAATGACACACCACTGGGCTCTGTTGCTCAGCACTGTTTTTTCTGCCACAATGCTGCAGTTAGATCAGGTGATGAAAAAATGAAGAACATCAAAAATTCTAATTTATACAAATAAATCAAGAATTAAATCCAAACCAGATCTGAATCTTTGTCCTGTAGTCAGGATGACAGGAACAGCTCAGTATCATCTACATAGCAGTGATATGAGAATCCACAAGTATGTATTAGTGCACTTAGTGGGTTGGACTTCTCCTCTCCGTGATAACCAAAAAGATTCCCCTTTGAGTCAGGACACAGACCTAGAGGCCCCACCTAAAGCCAGACTGTAGTCTCCTTCCAAAGTCCTGAACTCCTCGTTTTAGTCCTTCTAAAGTCCCCATGCTCTAATAGAGGTCACTCAGAGTCCTTTTCTCCTCAGAGAGGTCATTTGAAAACCCTGATATCCTCATGGAGGTTATTCCAAAGTCACTACATTTCACCCAAACACTCTGATTGGCAGTGACTGTCCTGATCAGACCAACCAGGAAACCAGAGACATGTAGTCCAGATCCAGTCTTTATTTGAGACCAGTGTTTTTCTGTCAAAACATGTAGAGACACCAGGCTAGTATCATCGACTCTGAGTTTAATTGAATAGATAAATGAAACAGCCATTCTAAATCAGGCCTCATTACCTCTTGTTCTGAAGATCAGCTGCTCATAATTCAAATTTGTTTCACTAGATGGAGGAGTTCAGTGCAAAGGTGGGGATCCCGATGAACTGCATCTTCCCTGTGAAGAACTACCATGACGAGATTGACACCAACAATGACCTTGATGTTCTGCTCCTGAGTGCTCTGAAAAACATCATCATCTTTGGAGAAGACTACCTTAACCCCTAACTGCAGTATTCAGCTGTGTGATCCATGCTGCTGAAACCCACAGAGCTAAATATTAAATGTAATGACCATTTAAGGTAATATTGAATCATTGCTTTCTGAAGTGTCTCTTTACTATGTGCCAAAGTTGAGCTTTATGTGATCAGCTTAGCAAACTTTTTTCTGCTTTCAGTGAGTTTATAGTTCTCTCTTGCTTCTGTGATTTTTACTCTATGAAGTTTTAAAAAAATGCAAAATTTGATTTCAAATGTATTCAAGACTTTACATTCACAATAAGAAACAGACCTTCTTGGTCTAAACTCCTGTCTTACATTTGTCTTTATTTTTGGTGTCAATCAGTAAAACCTGAATTAATTATGTTATTGCATAGTGAGTTACATGTTAAAATATTTTTTAAAAACATGGTAAGAATATCTTTGCCTTGAGTTTGTAATGACCTTCATGACCTCAGACTTGTTTAGTCAGACAATTTGGTTTTTAAGTAGACCGAACAAGATGGAGCAGAGTGTAACGCCACAAAGCTCCAGCAGAGGGCAGCAGGCTGTCATCTTCTGAAGCTTTACCCTCTGTTAGGGGCTCACATGAAATCTCTGAGAGTTCATGCAGATCTACATTTGAGACAAAATCAAATTTGTAATTTTCATGTTCTGTCATGAAATTACTAAATTTTTTAGGGGTCCAGCTTGAGATCACAAAGAGTGGGACAAATATACAGGAAGTGCTTACCATCAAATGTAAATCAAGGATGTGACTTTAGTCATCAGTTTCTGGTCACTCGTCTTGTACTACGGTTTTCATATTCTGTCCATAAATGAACAAAGTTTGGTTACAGTTTGTCTCAGTGTACCACCCCAGTTCAAAAAAGTAAAGACACCATGTGAAATTGGATCAAAAATAGGTCTTGGACAAGATATTAATGCTGACACTGAAACATTTGATCATTTGATGAAAAATACGTTGGTTTGTTTTTAAGTTTGATGGTAGCAGTACATTTCAAAAAGTTGGATGAGGACAACAAAACTCTGAATACGTCGTTTAATGCTAAAAACATCAGCTGGAGGAACATCTCCAACTAATGAGGTTAATTTCCAACAGGTTAGTAACATGAGTGAGTATAAAAAAGACATTCAGAGAGACGGAGTCTCTCAGAAGGAAAGATGGGAAGAGGTTCACCACTCTGTGAGAGACTGCATGAGCTAATAGTTGAAAAGTTTCAGAATAATGTCCCTGAGTGTCAAATTTGAAAGAATGAGTGGATTTCATTATCTACACTGCATAATATCATTGGCTCTTGTAGTATACCATGTTTATTTTCTCAAAAGTCATGTTTCAAAACAAGAGATTTCACAAGACGTGTATGGTGCATTTCGTTCAGCTCACCATTCTACACTGTGTACAATGCACACCGAGAACAGTGTAGCGATAGGAATGAATAACAAGTGTCCTGAGATAATAATCTTAAATCATGACATTTATGCACTCATTGAAAGGGGCACGACCCACCTTAATGACGGTAGAAATAAAGAAAAACAAAGGTTTAATTCAGAAATCAAACATTAAGTTAATCTTAAATCAATTTTAAATCAATCTCATATCTCAAGCCGACATTCTCATTTCAGGAACTCCACTTCTGGAAGAACACTAACAGACAAGAACTTAGAAAAATAATGTTCGGTTTATCGCCGGGTAAATACTGGTCCAACACACATGCAGTAAATGATGATAAGATAATGAGGATAAATAATGAAAGATGAATGAAAGATTCTGAGTCAGGCTATGATTTCTAAAGTTAATGATAGTGTGTGAATACGCTCTAACATATTAACCTACATTAACTTTGGTGTAGAGATAAATTTGGATGTGGATCTGGATGAATTTAGGATTACTCAAATTAGCGATTATTTGAATCATGAACGCACTTAATCTTGGATTGCTATGTGCACAAAAGTAGCTGAAGTTGTTTTGTTTTGTGTAGCGCTGCGTAAGTCAAATCCACTGCACCGATGAGGCGTGCCCAAGCACACTTCGGTATTTTGGTGAGCAGCGCAGCCCGGATTTAGTATCTCCCCTCCCTAACTCAGCTCCTCCCAGCGGTGTAAGTAGTACAGAGGGAGGGGATAAGGCATGGAGTGGGTTTGACACAGCCGAGTCCTGTTTTCACCAATCACATCAGCTCCTCTCCTCACCTTTAAATCCGCCACCACGAGGCATTTTACAATTTTCATCAAGTGGTTTGAAAGATCAGGAGATGGCTGAAGACAGCAATGCAACACAATGGCGACAGAAGGCAGCCCCTCAACAAGTGTCACTGTAAGCACTGCAGAGGGCATCCTCCACACTCTCTCATATCACACGTCCCGGGTGGAAGCGAGAAGACTGACGCAACAGCAGACTGACTGTTTGCAGTTCCGATTAGACAACAGCGTTGAGATGACTGTCTGTAGCATGTAGCATACTATTCTGCTGGTCACCCAAGGTTTGCTGTTGGAGAAACACCGTATTTTCCTGGTGGGTACGGTGTTATCAACACAGAAGTTTATATCGTCCGTGACAATCTGTCATGGTGTCGATGTCATCACCATGTGGGCCGCACAGTACATCCCAGTCTGTAGTCTCAAAACAGTCCTGCAACACCTCAGTCATACCCAAAGTTTTATTGTCTCTCGTTGGGCAGTTGGGCCAGAGATGATGATCAGAGACTGAGGGTGTGATGTTTGTAGCTTGGACACTTCACTATGGAGGAGTTCACAGGCTGCAGCAGCATCAGCCGAGGGGAGGAAAAGATGTCATCACATCTTTGTCATCTTTGTCAAGATGTGATGACAAATGTTTATCTGATCGAGTGGTCCTGCAGTTCTTTCCTGCTGGCCATAAACGATTCTGTCTCTGTCTCTGTCTCTTTGAAGTGGAAAGGTTTGTCTTTTTGAGAAGGCTTCTTTGTTTGTCTTGTATAGAGACAGGAGGTTTTACAAAGATTGTGATTTGGTGTTAAAGGTCTAAAACATCTTGTCTCTGGTGAGCAGATGTAAGCCTTACATTCCTTTGGGGGGTTGTGTTAAAAAAGTGGTCACCTCTGCTACAACAGAGAGGCAGGAGGAGAAAGAGAAACTAAAATCGACAGGATAGGAAATCCTGTGGCTGTGACAAAGTATAACCAAATTGCGTATGTGCATTTCTCAGACTTCAGAAGAGGAAACATCAGAGTAGAGTCCGACAAAACTGATACATCTGAGTATTTTGAAACCCAGAACACCAACCACGGTAAGACCTTTCTGTTTCTGGTTCAACCCTAGAAATCTATCTTAGATAAGTTAGTGTAATATTTGGCTGTAAGTCAAAGTTAAAAAAACGAAATACGGTTTCTTTAACACTGTTAAATCTTCACTAAAGAGCTTAAGTTAAGTTCAGCAAAATGTCTTAAGTCAAAAATACAATGAAAAAAACATAATTAAAAGAGTTCTAATTATAAAATGGTTGATAATTAATGTAAGAAAAATGTTTTAAAAGGCCAAAATAAAAGGTAGTAAGTCCCAGTTGTAAGGTGGTAAGTTAAGATTAAGAGTCATAATTATAAAATGACTTCAAAGTTATAAGAAAAATGAGAAATATATATCACAATCTTAAGACAAATATAACTATATGATAGAAAGTCATAATATCAAGACAGTGAGTTATGACTGGGAAATTTTTCAGAATTATCACAAAAAAATAAAGCTATAACATAGTCATAAAATTGTAAGTTACAATTATGAAAGTATGTCATGATTATAACAGAGTCAGTGTTATAAGAGAGAACATTGTGATTATAAGAAAAGTTTAAATTATGAAACATTTTGATGAGCCTGTCATCAAATCAAATATACAGACTGTTCATGAAAACAAAGACTGTCTGAATGAAAGGGTATGTTTGATTATCAAATTTAATGAAGATGTCTCAGAGCTGAAACTTTTAGAGAGGACTTCAGCAGTTTACACAGAGATGTCCTGAACTGATTTTTATATGATTTGGCATGAACAATAAGATGCCACATTTTGCTGTTTCTATCCTAGAAAGTCTGTGTAGATGAGACCTGAGATTTTCAACAGCATTTACAGAGGCTGGTAGCTTATTTACACTCTACTGACCTGAAGAGCTGCTTTACTTTTACTTTCATTCTGACTCAAGAGCTTGTTATCTTGACGATCATTCCCCAGTGTGTTTTTAAATGGTCACGTAACATCAAGAGTGATTACACAGAGCCGAAGGAAAAGAGATGTTATCAAACAGTTTTTCAAATGAACTTTGTTTGAGAGCCAAGGCATCTTTTTTAAGTGGACTTTCTATTTAAAAGTTTGCATGTTCAGGAATACTGTTCAACTCATTTTGATTTCATTGATTAACTTATTTGTATAGAAAGAGGACAGGAAAGCACTCACAGGGTAATGTTTTGGATTTTTTCAAATGTAACCCAGAGATTTCTTACAAGGATTTTTTTTTCACAGTTTTCTAGGCTAATTATGATTTTCAGGAAATATAAGCAGTTATTTCCTTTTTTTTCTCTGCAGCCATGGGAGGGTTGTATTCATACTTTCCAGAGCCAAACCCTGATCCAGAGCCATGTAATATTATTTTTGAATATTAAACAAATCTTTTATCAAAATAAAATTTTTTGGAAAAATTCTGACTAAACCTAAAATTTGTTTTACTTTCAGTGTTCAGTGAGCCATGGCGGCAACTCAACTGGAGGTAAGTGCTCTCTAATGTACTATTTTCCTAAATCCCTGGGTGTGTGATTTACAAAGTACCAGTGGATATACAAAACCAAATCCTGACAGCAAAGGGTTAAGATTCTGAGTTAAGATCTGTTTTTTGTTGTTGTTGTTGTTGTTTTTTAACTCTCTCGTTTACTCCTCTGCTTTGTTCTTATGTATGTCTGTGTTTACCTGGGTAAGCACTTAGTAAACCTTTTTGAATGGTGCAGTATAAATACATTGGTTATTAGTATTATTAATATTACCATTAAAATTACTATAACTGTTATTATTATCCCTGTAATTACTCAGCTACCAACTAAATAAACAAATAAGTTAGCTCCAAGAATTGATTAAGAGATGATTTTGTTGGTCTAAAAATGATTCACTTTTACTCCTTCAGTTTTAATGTTTGGTGCTAGTTCATGCTCACTGCACACTTCTCTCTTGTCAAACTTGTGTTTCTGCTTTTCTGACATATGCAGACACACACCTTCCTCCTCCCCCCACTATCCTCTCCCCACACATGGCTGCATGACAGTTTGCACTGCTGCTGCAAAAAGAGCTCAAGATACATCAGTCTATGTCCACCTTTTGCAATATCTGCAAATTCCATGTGCACACAACTCTGCTGCACATTTATCTGAGCTAATAAAAAGTGAAAATGTTATGAAGAATTTAAAAAAGGATAGGTCTCAGTTAAAGATTTTTCTTCTTGCAAGAAAGAGCAGTCACAAACAGAGAGTCTGTAAGCAAATGCTCAGAGGACTGTCCTCTGACTTTTTTTAGACACAGGGCATTACCACTTAACATCAGTCATAACGAAAGCATGCTCATCCATGACAAACTGTTGGCAACTCTTGCTTTCTTTGTTTTGCAGACTGGGTTCAGCTTTTGTTTCTCAGCCTTGACTCAGGGTCAGAACAGAGATAGACAGTAACAGTGTGTTGCACAGTATATTTCTATAAGAGCTGTCCTTAAATTACCTTTGATGACATGAGTACATGTACAAGGACTGGATAAGAAGATATTTGTCCAGAGTCACCATTCATAGTTCCCCCATACATCTGGAAGTCCATCTGTGTGCACTACTTACATAAAACACATAAGAACTAATGTGGGACTTTTATGAGATAGTCACATGACAGTTTGTGTGTACACTGACACCTCGCCTGATCCATCCTTTCTCTCCCTCCATAGTTTCACATCCTGCACTGAATGTGCGTCACTTAATTATGCAAAACTAAAATAATGTGTGGTTGTTATCATTTTATGTCACACATCTTTCCTCCTCTGAACAGGGACAGACGAGGCATTCTGGACTATTTGAAGAACTACAAACCTAAGACCCCAGAACAAGTGATCAGAATTCTTCTTTATGGGCCACCTGGAAGTGGAAAGTCCAGTTTCATCAACTCTGTTAACAGTCTCTTACGTGAAAGACCGTACATCAACGCTTTGGCAAGCCATAACTACAGCAGAAGTTTCACCACAACGGTATGACAACTTTTTTGTTGTAACATAAAGGAAATGTCTCAAATTTGTAATGATAATGAAAAATCTACTAACTCCCAGTGCATGCCTTTTGTCATGATAATCTTTACTTTTATTACTTTAAGGGATGATTTAGTTGTTTTCAAGTGTGTTAATTTCAGGTGCTCGTCAATGTTAAGTGTATTTGCCAAAGGGATCCCACATGACTTGGGCCCCCTTTGCTGAGATACCACATAGAGGACTACTGCAGGTGGGCTCAGCTCCAACAAGTGATTTCAATCATTTTAATCCCCAACCAAAGCACTAATTTTGGTGTCCACTCTAGGTGAGACTTCAAAATCAAAGTGTTGCCTTGATTCACAGAGATCTTCTACCACAATCTGTGGTTGGCTTGTTCATACTGCAGTATGTCTTTTATTTAGCTTCATGGGAAAAAGTCATGTTATAGAGGGCTAAAAGGCACAACCAAGCAATTGAGGCTACAAGATCCTTAAAGGTTAGCTGGTCATCAATCATGACACCCTAGTTTCCGGACAGACTTTCTGTGCATGAGTTTCTCTGATTCAAACTGGGTATCGGTCAGAGTCGAAAATGGTGTTTCTTCATCCATTCTGAGATATCAGAAAAGCATCATGAGATTTGAGCTGAAAGAGTTGTGTGTGGATGACAGAAAGAGCTGGGAATTGTCTGCATAGTAATTGTACAAAAAACAATGAGAGACAATAATTACGCCAAGAAGGAATGAAGACTTGAGTTTTAGACTTGGACTTGAGTCCAACTTACGTCGTATACAGGACAGGCCAAAAGTTTGGACACACCCTCTCATTTAATGCATTTTCTTTATTCTCATTACTATTTGTACTGTAGATTCTCACTGAGGGCATCAAAACTATGAATGAACATATGTGGAATCATGTGCTTAAGAAAAAAGTGTGAAATAACGGAAAACATGTTTAAGTTTTAGATTCCTCAAAGTAGCCACCCTTTGCTTTTTTGATAGCGCTGCAAACTTTTGCTGTTCTCTCAATGAGCTTCATGAGGTAGTCACCTGTATTGGTTTTTACTTCACAGGTGTGCCTTTACCAAGTACTTCTGTCATCAAGAGCAAAGGGTGGCTATTTTATCACACCTGATTTTCAGCTTCTGGTGCATGAGCATCCACACATAGACTATAACTAAGAAGGCCACTCAAGCATATTTATTGCCCAATTTTAGCCTTTTTTCATCCCCATGAGATCTCTGTCCTGAAATTAAAATGATCACTCATTACCCCTGTGCATGTTGGGAAAGTTCTGATGAGAGATGTAGGCCCCACCTTTTAATGTTGGCAAATGACTGTGGTCACAGTCTCAGAGATAGCTTTGCACTTTCATTCGTGGCTATACAATTCTTATTTTGCTATTTTTTAATCTATGGGAGACTGGACTGGATCTTGCTGTTCAGAGACTTTGACTTGGACTCAGAGAATGAAGAGGAAAGATTTAAATTAGGGGTGGGCCAATGCATCAGTTCTTCAATGCATCACGATGGAACACGTGACGATCAATTAGGATTAAAAAATATTCAAAGTTGATTATTTCCCATGACGTTGAAATTACAGAAACACCAGTAAGTGTTTATTTGAGCAGCTTTTTAGGTGAAAAAAAGTGTTGGATCATTGGTCTATTAAAAATAATATAATGGAGGTAAATTTGTTTACTTTGTTTTATGGATGCTGACAAATATATTTTTAAAAATCCTGTATAGAAAAAATATGCATTAATAATTCTAATAATCTTTAAAATCATAATAATCATTACAATTGTTTGATTATCAAATTGTAGCACCCTGAATTGTGATCGGATTGAATTGTTAGGTGCCAAAGATGGCTAACCTCAACTCACTACACTCTCCTCCATCTGTCTTTAAAAGTTCAAAACCTACAGGATCCACAAAGGGACCTCAGGGGAATATTACCCTTTTGTGTTCAATTACATCATGGGCCTGGAAAACAGTGGAGGGGTCCATCCAGATGATGTCAAACTGGCTTTGAAAGGACATGTCATGGAAAATTACGAGGTACATTTACTGCAAACTTTGCACATTTTTCCTCCAAAGAGATTTAAATGCACCATTTATTAAATCAGAATTCTGTCTTAGTTAACATGTGTTTCAATCTAATGTTCTTCAAATGAATTGAAAACTGTTTTCCAGTTCAACCCTGAATCCAAGTTGACTGAGGAGAATCCGTTCTTTGTCCAAAATCCATCTGGGAATGACAAAGTGAATGTTCTGGTTTGTGTTGTTGATGCCTGCCCGATATCCCTAATAGAAGATGAAACTCTGAGAAAGTTACGTGACATCAGGAAGGAAGCCATTCGCCTGGGTAAGAACAGAAAAACTTTTCCAATATTTTTCTCAAGGGCTAGACAAAACTTAGAAAATAAAAACACAGTTTAAACTTTGACAGATCTTCAAACAGTTCCTCTACCTGGTTTTGATTTATGTATCTGAAGAAGAACAGTGGCTTTTGAAATATTTTTTCTCTCAAGGGACTCAAAGTTTTGTGTTTGACAGGGATCCCTCAAGTGGCCATCCTCACCCACATTGATGACGTCTGTCCTGTCAACAAAGATTTAAAAACCGTCTACAGGTCCAGGTTTCTGAAGAAGAACGTATGCTTACTTGTTGATTTCATAATTTTTTTAAGAGGGAATCATACTTTAAAAAAGTAGTCTACAAATAACACACCACTGGGCTCCTTCGCTCAGCACTGATTTTTGATTAAAAATCATAATTTATAAAAATAAATCAATAAAAATGATTATAAAAATAGTGTTTTTATCTTTTAAAACCAAAGTTGATTAAATACTTTGACAGAAAAACCCTTGCCCTCCCTATGCAGGTCATTCCACAGACCTTAGTGGGCACAAGTTCATTTGATCCAAGCCAGATCTGAATCTGTGTCCTCTAGTCAGGATGACAGGAAGAGCTCAGTATCATCTGCATAGCAGTGATTTGAGAATTCATGAGTTTGGATTAGTGCACTGAGTGAGATTGTGTATGATACCCTAGAACAGTGGTTCTTAACCGGGGTTCTATCGAACCCTAGGGGTTCGGTGAGTCGGTCTCAGGGGTTCGGCGGAGCCTCCGCCGCGGTAGCCTGGCTGGGCCATCCTGTTGCGTCAATCACTTGATGTTCCTTCCCACCACAGTCTGGACTTCGGCCCATAGAGAGCATGTATTCCCAATCAGAAAATAACTGGGCCAATCAGAGACCGTGTTTCCACTGTTACCCGGACAACAGGGAAAGGCAGCCCCTGATTGGTCCATGTGTAGTGGTGACGTCTAACACATGCTGCAGGACTTTTCAAAGCGCTGTTCATTCAGAACACCGTTAATTCTGCAGTTGACTCTGCAAAGTCGGCAGAAATCGTTTAAATCAGCAGAAGACGTCGGATATAAACAATGTCTTGAATTTGGAAAAAAATCATATTTATTTATCACTAAAGAAGGGTTCGGTGAATGTGCATTTGAAACTGGGGGGTTAGGTACCTCAAACAAGGTTAAGAACCACTGCCCTAGAAGATTCCTTTTTGAGGAAGGACACAAACCTAGAGACCCCACCAAAAGCCAGGCTGTAAGGTCCTTCCAAAGTCCTGAACTCCTCGTCTTGGTCCTTTCAAAGTCCCCATGCTCTAATAGAGGTCACTCAGAGTCCTTTTCTCCTCAGAGAGGTCATCTGAAAGCCCTGATATCCTCATAGAGGTTACGCCAAAGTCACTACATTTCACCCTGATTGGCAGTGACTGTCCTGATCAGGCCAACCAGGAAACCAGAGACATATAGTCCAGATCCAGTCTTTATTTGAGACCAGTGTTTTTCTGTCAAAACATACAGTGGCACCAGACTAGTATCATAGACTCTGAGTTTAATTGAATAGATAAATGAAACAGCCATTCTGAATCAGGCCTCATTACTTCTTGTTTTAAAGAAAGGTCACTGCTCTTCCTTCTTTAAAATTCAGCTGCTATTATCTGCTTATAATAATCAGATCTAAACCTCTTTGGTCCAATTGATCAGCAGTACAGTGCGCATTCAACTGTGTTGTGATTTTACAGAGCTCTGGGCTGTAATGTTTACTGAGAGAATTTGAGCTTTTGTTTAAATTTGTTTCACTAGATGGAGGAGCTCAGTGCAAAGATGGGGATCCCGATGAACTGCATCTTCCCGGTGAAGAACTACCATGAAGAGATTGACACCAACAATGACATTGATGTTCTGCTCCTGAGTGCTCTGAAAAACATCATCCACTTTGGAGAAGACTACCTTAACCCCTAACTGCAGTATTCAGCTGTGTGATCCATGCTGTTGAAACCCACAGAGCTAAATGTTTAATGTTTTGACCATGTAATTTAATATTGAATCATTGTTTTCTGAAGTGTCTCTTTGCTGTGGGCCAAAGTTGAGCTTTATGTGATCAGCTTAGCAAACTTCTTTTTTCTGCTTTCAGTGCGTTTATAGTTATCTCCTGCTTCTGTGATTTTTACTCTGTAAATTTTTAAAAAATGCAAACATTGATTTCAAATGTATTCAAGACTTTACATTCACAATAAGAAACAGACCTTCTTGGTCTAAACTCCTGTCTGACATTTGTCTTTATTTTTGGTGTCAATGAGTAAAACCTGATTTTTTTAATGTTATTATATAGAAAGCTACATGTTAAAATATTTTTTAAAAAGATGGTAAGAATATCTTTGCCTTGAGTTTGTAATGACCTTCATGACCTCAGACTTGTTTAGTCAGACAGTTTGGTTTTTAAGTGGACCGAAAAAGATGGAGCAGAGTGTAACGCCACAAAGCTCCAGCAGAGGGCAGCAGGCTGTCATCTTCTGAAGCTTTACCCTCTGTTAAGAGCTCACATGAAATCTCTGAGAGTTCATGCAGATCTACATTTGAGACAGAATCAAATTTGTAATTCACATGGTCTGTCATGAAATTACTGAATTTTCCTGGTAAAACGCTGAAATTGATCTTTATAAGATCACTGTGTTCATATCGGATTTAGTTGTAAAATAACTGAGGCCCTCTTAAATAAATTTTTAACAGTTTTCGAAATACCTCAGGGATAATCACAAATGTCAGGAGTTTATTTTCCTAGGGGTCCAGCTTGAGATCACAAAGAGTGAGACAAATATACAGGAGGTGCTTACCATCAAATGTAAATCATGGATGTGACTTCAGTCAACAGTTTCTGGTCACTCGTCTTGTTCTATGGTTTTCATATTCTGTCCAAATATGAACAAAGTTTGGTTACAGTTTGTCTCACTGTACAACCCCAGTTCAAAAAAGTGAATACACCATGTGAAATTTGATCAAAAACAGGTTTTGAACAATTTATCACTGAGATATTCAATCATTTGATGAAAAATATGTTGGTTTGTTTTTAAGTTTTATGCTAGCAGTACATTTCAAAAAGTTGGATGAGGACAATAAAACACTGAAGTCATCCGAAAGATGATCCAGGAGTCCAAATTAAATAATTAAACCCAATCCCAGAAAAAATACAAATAAATCAAAACTACCGATTTAAGAGTTCCAACCGCAGAGCAGGATTGAAATTTCGGGCAACAGAAGGAGGACATGCACCCCCCCGACTTCGCCAGTGAAGGCTGGGAGAGAAGATTTATCAGTACCCTCACCAAACCATCACAGCCTAATGTTGGAGATAGACAAGCACCTTACCCACGAGAAGCGCACCACGCCCACACAGACTCCAGGAGACAGCCTAGCTCCCGGTCACACCACACTGAACCCAGAGTCAACCACAGCATACAATAACTGAATGGATCGATCCAGATCACAGATCACCTGATATCACCTGCATACCTGATTCTAAAGCCCAACACCACTCCACACCACACAGGCAGGACGCCAGCAGCCACTGCACACCTCTGTCTCCATGAAGGAGGAAGAGGAAGAACCAATGAGGCATATTTATAAGCACCGGCCGGAAATCGCCAGCCACACTGCGTCTTATGGTAGGGAGTATAGATCCCTATCAGACACATGACAAATGAGACAAAGACTGTCTTACTGCAAATACTGACTGAAGATCATGGTGCAGTGTCCATCCAACCTGTAGTTAGAAAAATTGTAGTTATTCTGTTTGGATTGTACTCAAAGAGAACACAGGGAAGATTAACCAAAGTTAGGATTTATGGCTGAGCTGATAAAACTGACGCTTCCCAGTCAAAATGTGATGACTAATGTTTATCTGATCGAGTGGTCCTGCAGTTCTTTCCTGCTGGCAATAAACGATTTTGTCTCTGTCTCTTTGAAATGGAAAGGATGGAAGGTTTGTCCTTTTGAGAAGGCTTCTTTGTCTTGTATAGAGACAAGAGGTTTAAGAAAGATTGTGATTTGGTGTTTGGGTAGTTTGGGGTGAGAAAGTGGTTGCTTCTGCTACAACAAAGAGGCAGGAGTTGGTGTTAAAGGTCTAAAACATCTCGTCTCTGGTGAGCAGATGTAAGCCTTACATTTCTTTTGGGGGATGGGTTAAAAAAGTGGTCACCTCTGCTACAACAGAGAGGCAGGAAGATGAAAGTAAAATTAAAATTTACGGGACAGGATATCCTGTGTGTGTGACAAAGTATAACCGAATTGCAAATTTGCATTTCTCAGACTTCAGAAGAGGAAACATCAGAGTAGAGACTGAAAAAAAATAAAGTTTTACACTGATAGATCTGAGTATTTTGTGACCCAGAACCCCAACCACGGTAAGACTTTTCTGTTGTTTTCATCCTGAGAAGTGGATTTGTCCTTGAACATTTACAACCTTGAAATATTATTCTTCTTGAGTTATTGTCATTTAAAATGTATGTTTTTTTGTTTGTTTTTGATAGAATATCAAATATTGTTACAAATATTCAAAATTGAATTTAAGCTTGAAGCTTTGATGAAATCTATCTTAGATAAGTTAGTGTAAAATTTAGCTGTAAGACAAATTTAAAAAACAAAATACAGTTTCTTTAACACTGTTAAATCTTCCATAAGAGTTTTAGTTAAGTTCAGCGAAATGTCTTAAGTCAAAAATACAATGAAAATTCACAATTAAAAGAGTCCTAATTATAAGATGGTTGATACTTAATGTAAGAAAAATGTCATAAAAGTCAAAATAAAAGCAAGTAAGCCACAGTTGTAAGGTGATAAGTTAAGATTAAGAGTCATAATTATGAAATTTAAAAAGAAATTAGATCATAAGATAGCCATAACTTTTAACTTACAATTATGAAAATATGTCCTGATTATAACAAACAGAGTCAGAGTTATAAGAGAGAACATTGTGATTATAATAAAAGTTTAAATTAGGAAACATTTTGATGAGCCTGTCATCAAATCAAATTTGCAGACTGTTCATGAAAACAAAGACTGTCTGAATGAAAGAGTATGTTTGATTATAAAATTTAATGAAGATGTCTCAGCACTTGGTCTGAGTCCAAGTTTATTACCCAAACATTGAGCTTTTATCTTCTGTGCTCTGAGCTGAAACTTTTAGAGAGGACTTCAGCAGTTTACACAGAGATGTCCTTAACTGACTTTTCTATAAGTTGGCACGAACAATAAGATGTCACATTTTGCTGTTTTTATCCTAAAAGGCTGTGTAGATGAGACCTTAGATTTTCAATCTGAAGAGCTGCTTTACGTTTACTTTCATCTTGACTCTGGAGCTTGTTATCTTGACGACCATTCCCCAGTGTGTCTTTAAATGGTCACATAACATCAAGTGATTACATAATGCCGGCATAAACAGAGCCAAAAGAAAAGAGATGTTATCAAACAGTTTTTTTAATGAGTTTTGTTTGAGAGCCGGGGCTTTCTTTTTTAAATGCATTATCAATTTACTACCTGCACATTCACGAATGCTGTTAAACTCATATACCTTTTATTTCATTGATCAACTTATTTGTACAGGAAGAGGACAGGAAAGCGCTCACAGGGTGATGTTTTGGACTTTTTTCAGGAAATAAAAGCAGAGTTATATTTACTTTTTCTTTCACTGAATCCATGGGAGGGCGGAAGTCAAAACCTGATCCAGAGCCATGTAATATTATTTTTCAATATTAAACAAATCTTTTGTCAAAACAATTTTTTGGTAACGTTCTGACTTACCTTAAAATTCGTTTTTCTTTCAGTGTTCAGTGAGCCATGGCGGAAACTCAACTGGACGTAAGTGCTCTCAAATGTTCTATTTTTATAAATCACTGTGTGTGTGATTTACAAAGTGCCAGTGGATATACAAAACCAAATCCTGACAGCAAAGGGTTAACTTTTTTGGGTTCATTCTGAGTTAAGATCTATTTGTTATGAAGAATTTAAAAAAGGATAGGTCTGAGTTAAAGATTTTTATTCTTGCAAGAAAGAGCAGTCACAAACAGAAAGTCTGTAAGCAAGTGCTCAAAGGACTGTTCTCTGACTTTTTTAGACACAGGGCGTTACCAGTTTACATCAGTCATAACGAAAACATGCTCATCTATGACAAACCGTTGTCATCTCTTGCTTTCTTTGTTTTGCAGACTGGGTTCAGCTTTTGTTTCTCAGTCTTGACTCAGGGCCAGAACAGAGATAGACAGTAACAGTGTGTTACACAGCATATTTCTATAAGAGCTGTCCTTAAATTACCTTTGATGACATGAGTACATGTACAAGGACTGGATAAGAAGTTATTTGTCCAGAGTCACCATTTATAGTTCCCCCATACATCTGGAAGTCCATCTGTGTGCACGACTTTTATGAGATAGTCACATGACAGTATCTGTGTGTGCACTGACACCTCTCCTGAGCCATCTTTTCTCTGCCTCCATAGTTTCACATCCTGCACTGAATGTGCATCACTTAATTATGCAAAACTAAAATAATGTGTGGTTGTGATCATTTTATGTCACACATCATTCCTCCACTGAACAGAGACAGACGGGGCATTCTGCTCTATGTGAAGAACTACAACCCGAGGACCCCAGGGCAGCAGATCAGAATTCTTCTTCATGGGCCAGTTGGAAGTGGAAAGTCCAGTTTCATCAACTCTGTTAACTCTAGTCTCTTACATGAAAGACCGTACACCAACGCTTTAGCAAACCACAACTCCAGCAAAAGTTTTACCAAAGTGGTATGACAACTTTTTGTTGAAACATATAGAAAATGTCTCAAATATATAATGATAATGAAAAATCTACTAACTCCCAGTGCATGCCTTTTGTCACAGTTATCTTTACTTAGAGATATTCCTGAAATTTCCTGGTCTCTATAGGATCACTGTGTTCATATCGGATTTAGTTGTAAAATAACTGAGGCCCTTTTAAATAGATTTTTAACAGTTTTCTAAATACCTCAGGGAAAATCAAAAATGTCAGGAGTTTATTTTCCGAGGGGGCCAGCTTGAGACCACAAAGAGTGAGACAAATATACAGGAGGTGCTTACCATCAAATGTAAATCATGGATGTGACTTCAGTCAACAGTTTCTGGTCTCCTGTCTTGTTCTATGGTTTTCAAATTCTGTCCAAATATGAACAAAGTTTGGTTACAGTTTGTCTCAGTATACAACCCCAGTTCAAAAAAGTGAATACAACATGTGAAATTTGATCAAAAATAGGTTTCGGACAAGACATCAACGCTGATACTGAAATATTCGATCATTTGATGAAAAATATGCTGGTTTGTTTTGAAGTGTGATGCTAGTTTTACATTGATACCAATGCCTCGCAGGAATTTTATTTGAATTGCATCTTTGGGAATAGCTGTAATGAGAAAAAAGTTGACGCGTTCAATACTTATTTTCCCCATTGTAGCTGAAAAGTTTCAGAATAATGTCCCTGAGTGTCAAATTTGAAAGAATGAGTGGATTTCATTATCTACACTGCATAATATCATTGGCTCTTGTAGTATACCATCTTTATTTTCTCGAAAGTCATGTTTTACCACATGTATGGTGTCTTTTTTTTTTCACCTCACCATTTTACACTGTGTACAATGCACATTAAGACCAGTGAGACAGGAAGAGAAAGTAAAACTAAAACTGACAGGATAGGAAATCTTGTGGGTGTGACAAAGTTTAACCAAATTGCGTATGTACATTTCTCAGACTTCAGAAGAGGACACATGAAAGTAGAGTCTGAAAAAACAAAAGTTTCACTGATACATCTGAGTTTTTTGTGACCCAGAACACCATCCACGGTAAGACTTTTCTGTTGTTTTCTTCCTGAGACTTGGATTTGTCCTTGTCCTATTTTGTTGTTCAAAATTAAATTTAAGCTTGAAGCTTTGAGGAAATCCATCTTAGATAAATTAGAGTAAAATTTGGCTGGAAGACAAAGTTAAAAAAAAAATAAAAAATACAGTTTCTGTAACACTGTTGAGTCTTCCATAAGAGCTTAAGTTAAGTTCAGCAAAATGTTTGAAGTCAAAAATACAATGAAAAAGTCAAAAGAATCCTAATTATATGATGGTTGGTAATTATTGTAAGAAAAATGTCATAAAAGGTCAAAATAAAAGGTAGTAAGTCACAGCTGTAAGATGGTAAGTTAAGATTTAAAGTCATAATCATGAAATAAATTAAAAGTTATAAGAAAAACTAGGAAGATGTCACAATCAAAAGACAAATATAATGATATGAAAGAAAGTCATAATATCTTCATCATTCTGAAAAGATTTTTCAGAATTATCAGAAAAAAAAACTATAACATTGTCATAAAATTGTAAGTTACAATCATGAAAGTATGTCATGATTATAACAAACAGAGTCAGAGTTATAAGAGAGAACATTGTGATTATAAGAAAAGTTTAAATTATGAAACATTTTGATGAGCCTGTGATCAAATCAAATTTACAGACTGTTCATGAAAACAAAGACTGTCTGAATAAAAGGGTATGTTTGATTATCAAATTTAATGAAGATGTCTCAGAGCTGAAACTTTTAGAGAGGACTTCAGCAGTTTACACAGAGATGTCCTGAACTGACTTTTATATGATTTGGCACGAAAAATAAGATGTCACATTTTGCTGTTTCTATCCTAAAAAGTCTGTGTAGATGAGACCTTAGATTTTCAACAGCATTTACAGAGGCTGGCAGCTTATTTAAATTCTACTGATCTGAAGAACAGCTTTACTTTTACTTTCATTTTGACTCTGGAGCTTATTATCTTGACGACCATTCACCAGTGTGTCTTTAAATGGTCACGTAACACCAAGAGTGATTACACAGAGCCGAAGGAAAAGAGATGTTATCAAACAGTTTTTCAAATGAACTTTGTTTGAGAGCCAGGGCATCTTTTTAAAGTGCACTTTCTATTTGCTACCTGCATGTTCAGGAATGCTGTTAAACTCATTTACCTTTTATTTCATTGATCAATTTATTTGTACAGAAAGAGGACAGGAAAGCACTCACAGGGTGATGTTTTGGAATTTTTTCAAATGTAACCCAGAGATTTCTTTAAAGGATTTTTTTTCATAGTTTTTCAGGCTAATTATGATTTTCAGGAAATACAAGCAAGTATTTACTTTTTTTTTTCTCTGCAGCCATGGGAAGGCTGTTTTCAAAACCTGATCCGGAACCATGTAATATTATTTTTGAATATTAAATAAATCTTTTATCAAAATACAATTTTATTGGAAAAATTCTGACTAAAACTAAAATTTGTTTCTCTTTCAGTGTTCAGTGAGCCATGGCGGCAACTCAACTGGAGGTAAGTGCTCTCTAATGTGCTATTTTCCTTAATCACTGGGTGTGTGATTTACAAAGTACCAGTGGATATACAAAACCAAATCCTGACAGCAAAGGGTTAATTTTTTTGGGTTCATTCTGAGTTAAGATCTGTTTTTTTTTTTTTTTTTTGTTGTTGTTGTTTTAACTCTTTTGTTTATTCCTTTGCTTTCTTTTTATGTATGTCTGTTTACTTTGGAAAACACTTTTTAAACCTTTTTGAAAGGTGCAGTATAAATTCATTAATTATTAGTATTATTAATATTACCATTATAATTACTATAACTGTTATTATTATCCCTGTAATTACTCAGCTACCAACTAAATACAAAAATAAGCTAGCTCCAAGAATTGATTCAGAGATGATTTTGTTGGTCTAAAAATGATTCACTTATACTCCTTCAGTTTTAATGTTTGGTGCTAGTTCATGCTCACTGCACACCTCTCTCTTTTCATACTTGTGTCTCTGCTTTTATGTTTTGTGCAAACACCTGCTTCCTCCCCCCTGCTGTCCTCTCCTCACACATGGCTGCATGACAGTTTTGTTAAACCAGTCTGTCCACCTTTTGCAATATCTTCTACTTCCATGTGCACACAACTCTGCTGCACATTTATCTGAGCTGATAAAAAGTGAAAATGCTACGAAGATTTTAAAAAGGATAGGTCTGAGTTAAAGATTTTTCTTTTTGCAAGAAGGAGCAGTCACAAACAGAGATTCTGTAAGCAAGTGCTCAGAGGACTGTCCTCTAAATTATTTTTTTAGACACAGGGCGTGACAAGTTAACACGAGTCAAATTGACAGCATGCTCATCCATGATAAGCTGCATCTCTCAGGGTCAGAGCAGCAGATATCGACAGTAACAGTGTGTTGCACAGTATACTTCTATAAGAGCTGTTCTTAAATTACCTTTGATGACATGAGTACATGTACAAGGATTGGATAAGAAGATATTTGTACAGAGTCACCATTTATAGTTTCAACAAAGTAAATGTTCAACATCACAATGCAAAGAAACTCTTTGCAGTCTGTTCAGCACAATCCAATAAGAGTAACCAAGCCCCAATACATCTGAATGTCCAGCTGTGTGCACGACTTACATAAAACACATAAGAATTGGAAAAGCACTCAGAGAGCGCAGACCTCCGCCAAGCAGCTCATGTCCCCCCTTATATTGTGATTCACACAGAAACTTTTACCATTACGTGTCTTTTATTAACTTTTATTTGTGTTTAAACTGGTATGTTCACTGTTCATAATGTTCCTAAAACAACAAAGCTCATATTAGATACATAAATGCATGATTTATTATGCAATATTTGTAAGCGTACACTTCCTTGTATCTTCATTGGTTATCTTTCGACGCCCTTATTTTTGTGTGTTCTGGATCACAGCATCCGGAATTTTGTCTGGATCAGGATCAACCTTTGACACTTCATAAAACTCATTGAGATCCTTTTGTGTAATTTTTTACTTAAGACTCTGGACATTTTTATAGAGTAAAATGCAGAAATTCCAAAATTTGCCCGATCTCACAATGATAAAGAATCCTTCAAAAAATTCCTGGATCCAGAAGGCGATCCGGATCACCACCAAAATTGGAAATCCTCCTGGGGCTGAGACGCACCTCTGGTGAAAATTTCAGGTCAATCCGTCACTTTCTCCTTAAAGTTGCTAACAGACAAACAAACAAACAAACAAACAAACCAATGCTACCAAAAACATAACCTCCTTGGCGGAAGTAACTAATGTGGGACTTTTATGAGATAGTCACATGACAGTATGTGTGTGCACTGACATCTCTCCTGATCCATCCTTTCTCTCCCTCCATAGTTTCACATCCTGCACTGAATGTGCATCACTTAATTATGCAAAACTAAAATAATTTGTGGTTGTTATCATTTTATGTCACACATCTTTCCTCCTCTGAACAGAGACAGACGGGGCATTCTGCTCTATTTGAAGAACTACAACCCTAAGACCCCAGAACAAGTGATCAGAATTCTTCTTCATGGGCCAACTGGAAGTGGAAAGTCCAGTTTCATCAACTCTGTTAACATTCTCTTACGTGAAAGACTGTGCACCAAGGCTTTAGCAAACCACAAATCCATCAAAAGTTTTACCAGCAAGGTATGATGACTTTTTGTTGGAACATAAAGGAAATGTCTCAAATTTGTAATGACAGTGACAGGTCTATAAACTCCCAGTGCATGCCTTTTGTCACAGTTATCTTTACTTTTATTACTTAAAGGGATGGTTTAGTTGTTTCCAAGTGTGGTCATTTTAGGTTCTCGTCATTGGTCAGTGTATTTGCCAAAGGGATCCCAGTGACTTGGGCCCCCTTTGCTGAGATACCAAACAGAGAACTACTGCAGGTGGGCTCAGCTCCACCAAGTGATTTCAATCATTTTAATCCCCAACCAAAGCACTGTTTTGGTGTCCACCATAGGTGAGACATCAAATTCACCTCAAAATAAAAGATAATGGAGGTAAATGTGTTTACTTTATTTAATGGATGCTGACAAAAATATCTAAAAGAAATCCTGTATGGGAAAAAAGATGCATTGGTTATTGCAATGGTTGTTAAAATTGAACTGTGATCAAATCATTAGGTTCCTAAAATGGCTCACCCTAACCAATAACACTCTCCTCCATTTGTCTTTAATAGTACAAAACCTTCAGGACCGACAATGGGACCTCAGGAGAATATTACCCTTTTGTGTTCAATGACATCATGGGCCTGGAAAACATTGGAGGGGTCCATCCAGATGATGTCAAACTGGCTCTGAAAGGACATGTCATGGAAAATTACGAGGTACATTTACTGCAAACTTTGCACATTTTTCTTCCAAAAAGATTTATATGCATCATTTATTAAATCAGAATTCTGTCTTAGTTAACATGTTTTTCACTGTAATGTTCTTCAAATGATTTTAAAACTGTTTTCCAGTTCAATCCTGAATCCAAGTTGACTGAGGAGAAACCGTTCTTTGTCCAAAATCCATCTGAGAATGACAAAGTGAATGTTCTGGTTTGTGTTGTTGATGCCAACAAAATGTCCATAATACATGATGAAACTCTGAAAAAGTTTCGTGACATCAGGGAGGAAGCCAGTCGCCTGGGTAAGAACAGAAAAGCTTTTCCAATATTTTTCTCAAGAGTTAGATGAACTTTGCAAAAAAACACACAGTTTAATCTTCGACAGATCTTCAAACAGTTCCACTAGCTGATTTTGATTTATGTATCTGGAGAAGAACAGTGGCTTTTGAAATGTTTTTTTTTCTCTCAAGGGATTCAAAGTTTTGTGTTTGACAGACATCCCTCAAGTGGCCATCCTCACCCACATTGATGAGGTCTGTCCTGAAGTCAAGAAAGATTTAAAAAACGTCTACAAGTCCATCTTACTGAAGAAGAAGGTATGCTTACTTGTTGATTTCATGGTTTTGTAAAGAAGGAATCACACTTTAAAAAGTAGTCTACAACTAAGACACCAATGGGCTCCTTCGCTCAGCACTGATTTTTTCACACACTGCACTGCAGTCAAATCAGGTGATGCAAAAATAAAGAAGATTAAAAACTACAATTTATACAAATAAATCAATAATAATGAAAAAAATGTTTTTATGTTTTAAAACCAAAGTTGATGAAATGCTTTGACAGAAAAACCCTTGCCCTCCCGAAGCAGATCATTCCACAGACCTTAGTGGGCACAAGTTCATTTGATCCAAGCCAGATCTGAATCTGTGTCCTCTAGTCAGGATGACAGGAAGAGCTCAGTATCATCTGCATAGCAGTGATATGAGAATCCATGAGTTTTGATTAGTGCATTTAGATTTTGTATGTAGAGAAAAGGAGGGGACCAAGAACTGACCCTTGAAGCATCCCTGTTGTTGGGCACTGTGGTTTGGACTTCTCCTCTTTGTGATACCCTAAAAGACCTATTACGAGGCGTATTACTATTTTCATGAAGTAGTCAAAGAGATCAAGAGATGTCTGAAGACAGCAATGCCACACGATGGCGACAGAAGGCAGCTCCTCAACAAGTGTCGCTGCACTGGGCGTCCTCCACACTCTCTCATGTAAGCAAAGATGGATTTGGTGTGTGGAATGTTGGAGCCACTAGTAAGACAAACATCGCTTTCCAGAAATAAAGACACTCACATAAAGTTGCACATATTCAAACCTCACAAAGGTGGGTTGTGCACACAGATCACAACATAAATTCCAAAAATGGCATTAAAATCGGAACCATCTGTGCGTAATGACGCATCCCGCTCCATGGTCTGGCTCTTTCTTTCATAGATGTTGGCATGTAAAATAAATTTGGCCCACAAAACTGAATATTATAATATCCGTATGTAGGCTTAAAGTACACAATTCATCTGATTACTAAAATAAATCATCCGCTCAGCAGCCGCTGCAGCAGCTGCAGCAGGACAGGGAGAGGACACGGAGACATGTCCAGGTCGAGAAACAAGAGGAAGAGGAAGAAAGAAAAGGAGGGAGACGAATTACATATCTAGTTAACTTCATTATGTGTGTCTATTTACTAGATATTTAATTTAATTTAATGCGGTTTCAGCTGTGTTGATTCGGTCAGGTTGTGTGTCCAAACGCGTGCCAAACGCACTCATCAGATCAGATATAGATCAGAATGTATAGATCTAAATGTATGTGCTGACTCAGATTATTAGTTGTTGATGATTATTTATTGCACTGAAATGTGCCTGACACTGTGGAAACCTGCCGGTGAGGCATCAGTGACGTATGCCAATACGCCACCGGTCTACCAAAATACTACTAGACCAGCGCCACCTGTGCTGAAAGCTGACCAGGATTGAATCGGCGAGCTTTCAGCGCACTTTATACAACGGTGGCAAGCACAAAAATGTCACTGCGCCAGCTGATTCTGTTGACACCTCCCCCTGCCATGCCACCACGCCCAGCTTGGCGGATCTCGGTGCGCTTCAGTCCACAAAAATACCAAACTGGCTGTACGCCGGGCTCCGCCAGACAAAAATACCACTGCACATGGTCCGCCGCCTCACCGGTGTACACGAAAATAGAGCCCTCTGATTGGCAGTGACTGTCCTGATGAGACCAACCAAGAAACCAGAGACATGTAGTTCAGATCCAGTCTTTATTTGAGACCAGTGTTTTTCTGTCAAAACATGCAGCGGCACCGGACTAGTATCATTGATACAGTGTTGAATTGAATAGATGAATGAAACAGCCATCCTAAATCAGGTCTCATCACTTCTTGTTTTAAAGAAAGGTCACTGCTCTTCCTTCTTTAGAATTCACTATCAGCTGCTCATATTTTAAATCTGTTTAACTAGATGGAGGAGTTCAGTGAAAGGGTGGGGATCCCGATGTACTGCATCTTCCCTGTGAAGAACTACCATGATGAGATTGACATCAACAATGACATTGATGTTCTGCTCCTGAGTGCTCTGAAAAACATCATCCACTTTGGAGAAGACTTCCTTAACCCCTAACTGCAGTATTCAGCTGTGTGATCCATGCTTTTGAAACCCACAGGGCTAAATGTTAAATATAATGACCATGTAAGATAATATTGAATCATTGTTTTCTGAAGTGACTCTGTGCTGTGGGCTAGAGTTGAGCTTTATGTGATCAGCTTAGCAAACTTTTTTTTCTGCTTTCAGTGAGTTTATAGTTATCTCCTGCTTCTGTGATTTTAACTCTATGAATCTTTTTAAAAAGTGCAAAATTTGATTTCAAATGTATTCAAGACTTTGCATTCACGATAAGAAACAGGCCACTCTGTGCTGAATTCTGTCTTACATTTGTCTTTATTTTTGGTGTCAATGAGTAAAATCTGATTTTTTTATGTTATTGCACCGTGAGTTACATGTTAAAACGTTTTCAAAAGATGGTAAGAATATCTTTTTCTTAGGTTTGTAATGACCTTCATGATCTCAGACTTGTTTCAGAATAAATATAAAAATAAGAACTTTATTATTCCCCAAAGGGAAATTCAATCGTCTGTTGTCTCATAATATCTCTACAAGTTATCTACTATTTACACTAGAGTTATAAAGTCTGATGGCTGTTGGTACAAAAGATCTTCTGAATCTTTCTGTCCTGCAGCAAAGAGAGATGAGCCGTCCACCACCATTGGCCCTTTGGTCCATCAAGGTGTTGTGAAGTGGGTGATCCATGTTCTGTAGAATAGACTCCACCTTCCTCAGTGTAGATCTCTCCACCACATCCTCCACTGAGTCCAGCTTGAGTCCGACCACAGAGCCAGCTTTTTCCACTAGTTTGTTAAGACATCTTGCATCTTTGTGTTTGATGCTTCCTCCCCAGCAGACTGCAGCTTAGAACAGAAGACTTGCCACCACAGACTGATAAAACATCTGCAGCATCTCACTACAGATGTCTATTGATCGGAGTCTTCTCAGGCCAAAGAGGCGGCTCTGCCCCTTTCTGTAGATGACGTCTATATTCTTAGACCAGTCCAACTTATTATGCAAATGTACACCTAGGTATTTATATGATGTCACCACTTCGATGTCCACTCCACAGGTGTTCACTGGCTGAAGAGGGGGTTTGGATCTGCAGAAATCTATGACTATCTCCTTTGTCTTTGAGGTGTTGAGGAGGAGGCAGTTTTTGTGACTCCAGTCACTGAAGGCTCTTATCGGATCTCTGTATTCAGCTTCTTGTCCATTTCTGATACAGGCCACAATAGCAGTGTCATCTGAGTATTTCTGGATGTGGCAGGACTCAGTACTGTATTTGAAGTCTGACGTATACAGTGTGAACAGGAATGGAGCCAGCACTGTCCCCTGTGGAGCCCCTGTACTGCTCATTAATGTCCCAGAAACACAGTTCCCCAGCCTGACAAACTGTGGCCTTCCTGTCAGGTAATCTGCAATCCAGGAAACACAGGAAGGATCCACTCCCATCTCTGTGACCTTGTCTTTGAGTAAGGTAGGTTGGATGGTGTTGAATGCACTTGAAAAGTCAAAGAACATGATCCTCACATGAACCTCAGGCTCCTCCAGATGAGCCTGGGCACAGTGAAGCATGTAGAGGACAGCATCCTCCACTCCTATGTGTTCTCTGTATGCAAACTGCAGGGAATCCAGTTTGTCTTTGACCTCAGACCTCAGAACGCGTAGAATCAGTCGCTCCAGGGTTTTCATGATGTGTGAAGTGAGGGTCACTGGTCTGTAGTCATTGAGTTCTGCAGGACATTTTGTTTTTGGTACTGGCGCAATGCAGGATGCTTTCCCCAGAGTAGGTACTCGCCCCAAATGTAGACTCAGGTTGAAGATCCTGTGGAGAGGTTGACACAGTTCTGCAGCACAGTCTCTAAGCAGCCTTGGACACACACCATCTGCACCAGTTGCCTTCCCAAGACAAAGTCTTCCAAGCTCCAACCTCACCCCTGTTTTTGTGACAGACAAGGACTTGTGGTCTAGGAAGGAGGTAGTTGAAGTGGTTGAGACATTTGAACGAGATGGAGAAGGAAGGGGAGAAGTTGTAGTGGAGATTTGTTGCGGAGAGGAAGGTGGAGTAGCAGTGGAAGTGGGTGTGACAGCAGTGTCAAATCTGTTGAAGAACAGGTTGAGTTCATCAGCTCTTTCCACATCACCCACCACTGACTGTCTTTTCTTTTGATTGCTGTGTCCAGAGATGGTACTGATTCCTCTCCACACTTTACAGATGTTGCTGTATTGTAGATTCTTCTCTATCTTCTTTTTGTACTCCAGCTTTGCCATCTTCAGTCTCCTCTTCAACTCTTGTTGCACTAGTTTGAGTTGTTCTTTGTCACCATCTTTAAAAGTTTATTTTTCTAGTTAAGGATTGCTTTCATGTCACTTTTGATCCAGGGTTTGTTGTTGGGGAAACAGCGAACAGTCTTTGTGGGTATAACTGTGTCTCTACAGAAGTTGACATAATCAGTAAAGCAGTCAACCTGTTTATCAATGTTCATACTATCCACATCTGTATCCAGCAGCACATTCCAGTCTGTTGATTTAAAACAGTCCCTTAGAGCTTCAGTGGCTTAAGGGTTTCCATCTTCTGATTTTGACTTTGGTCACAGGCTGCCTCAGCACACAAGGTCTGTAACAGGTTTGCAGATAGACGATGTTATGATCTGACTTGCCCGGTGGTGGTAAGGCAGTGGCTCTGTAGGTTTCTTTGATGTTGGGACACAGCAGATCCAGGGTTTTGTTTTCTCTCGTAGGACAGTTCACAAACTGTGTGAATCCAGTCAGGTGAGAGGAGAGGGTGACATGGTTGAAGTCTCCCAATGTTATTATTAATGCCTTAGGGTGTTGAGTCTGTAGCCTGGCAACACTATTTTGCAAAACATCGCACAACTACTGTTAAGATATAACTTAATTCTCTTGGAACATAATATGGCCAAAAAACCCTGTTGAAACCCTGCTGTTGAAACCCACAGAGCTAAATGTTAGATGTAATGTTAAATATTAAATGTAATGACCATGTAAGTTAACATTGGATCATTGCTTTCTGAATTGTATCTGTGCTGTGAGCCAAAGTTGAACTTTATGTGATCAGCTAAGCAAACTTCTTTTTTCTGCTTTCAGTGAGTTTATAGTTATCTCCTGCTTCTGTGATTTTTACTCTATAAATCTTTAAAAAAAATGCAAAATGTGATGCCAAATGTATTCAAGACTTTACATTTACAATAAGAAACAGACCTCTTTGGTGGTAAGAATACCTTTGCCTTGGGTTCATGATGAAATTCATGACCTCAGACTTGTTTTTGTCAAATAGTTTTGACAGAAAAAGATAGAGCACAGTGTAACACCACAAAGCTCCAGCAGAGGGCAGCAGGCTGTCATCTTCTGAAGCTTTACCCTCTGTTACGAGCTCACACGAAATCTGAGAGTTCATGCAGATCTACATTTGAGACAGAATCAAATCTGTAATTTACATGTTCTGTCATGAAATTACTGAATTTTCCTGGTAAAACGCTGAAATTGATTTTTAAGCATCACTGTGTTCATAATGGATTTAGTCGTAAAATAACTGAGGCCCTCTTAAATAAATTTTTAACAGTTTTCTAAATACCTCAGGGAAAATCAAAAATGTCAGGAGTTTATTTTCTCAGGGGGCCAGCTTGAGACCACAAAGAGTGAGACAAATATACAGGAGGTGCTTACCATTATACAAAAGAATAATGTTCCTGAGTGTCAAATGTGAAAAAATGAGTGGATTTTATCACCTACAGCACATAATATCATCAAAAGACTGAGAGAATCTGGAGAAATCTCTTTATTAAGGGGACAAGGACCAAAACCAAGACTGGATGGTCCTAATCTTTCAGGCCCTCAGGCACACTGATGACTTCTCTCAGTCCATGCTAATTTGGACTTTAATTGTCTCATGGTCTTGGAAATCTTAATTTGGCCTTCCTTTTTGAAAGTCTTACATCGTCCTCTCGAAAGCGTAGAGGGACCATCCAGTTGAAATCAGCTCCCAGTCCAAATCCAGCGTCCCTGATGGTGTGGGGATCATCAGGGTCCTTGCCATGGGTAGATTCCACATCTGTGAAGGCTCCATGAATGCTGACCAATATCTACAGGTTTAGGCGCAACATCTGCTGCTATCCAGAGGATACTAACTATGACAAAGAAGATCCTGGTCTGCTGGGTCCCCTACTGCTTTCAGTGTAGTGGTGAAAGAAGAGCTGAGCACACACAAAGATAAACATGACTGTGCCCCTACATATTTGAAACTGTTTGCTGGTATCAAATTTAAATTGAGCATATATTTTTCAGATGATGAACAGAACCAGTAATTCCAATATCTAATATGTTGTCTTTGCACTGTTTTCATTTTAATACAGCCGTTGAATGATTTTGTAAAAACTTTGTGTTAGACTTGGTTGACGTTCTGTTCGTCCAACATATCAGCAAACACATTATTTATTGTAAGTGAAATGTAAGTTAAAAAAAAAAAATCTAAAGTTTGACGCTTTAACCTCTGGTGGACACTCCAGGAACTGCAGTTTTCGGCACTACAACCTAATTAGTGCTGCAGCTACTAATCTTGTTATTACCAGGATAACTGTGCAAATTCAAATAATCAGTGACAATCTGCATTAGAAGCTGCAGGCTGAAGGAAAAGAGCTGTGATCTTTGCATGGGGGCGATTATCAGGTATATGCTGTTTGAAGAGCAGTTTCAGTCTGGTTTATCTTCCTGATTCTGATCCTGATCTTGGACAGACCTGAACCTTATTCAGACTGAGCAGTTTAGATTCTGCCTCATGTTTTCAGCAGCAGAGCAGAACATGGTGTTTTCATCAGAGCTGCTGCTGCTGCTGCTTTCTGACCCAGTTTCCCTGCCTGACTCGACTGGGCTGTTTCCAGTGCTGCTGTGGGAAGATCCCACAGGGTCCCCTTTTCACTCGCATTCTCATGTGTAGGCGGGGCTTTTCTTCTTATTGGTAAAATCCGGCTTTAATTTAAACTGTGTTTCTGTGCTGGAGTGATTGTGTGAGTTTTATTTTAACCAAGTGACCAGTTTCAGCTCTGTCATTGTGTCTGTCCTAAAGGCTTTTACTGCAGGGTTGCACATGTTCTTCGTTTGACAATAATGAGTGCATTTCCATTAACTTATGTGCTGGTTCAGTTTGTGCATGAAAACTGCCAAAGAATAGAAACTGTGACAAAGTGCAGATAAAGTGCAGTTTTGTGTCTCACTTGAACTGCCTCTAATCTTATTGGCAGACCCATTAGTTTGAATTTTCACTTTAAATGTCTTGTTAAAATGTGAAAATAATGTTTCTTGTACTAACATAAAATCATCTTTTAACAGCAGACAGTCTAAATTTGTTTAAAATCTCGATGTCACAAAAAAACCTGTCTTAACTTTAAACATCATGTTACAGTTAAAAAAAAACTTGTCATAAACTGTAATACCAGCTTAAAACATAACATATTTTTCTATGAATACAAATAATTTGTGATGAGGGATAACACTTGATAAATTACAGAAATATGTCATTAAAGTCTTATTATAAAATCTAAAAAATGTCAATATAAACATAAATATCTTGTTCTCATGTGCTCGTTTTAAAATGCATACATTTTGTTAAAATATCCCCATGAAACATGAGATTATCTTGTTTAAATGTAAAATCATACTAGAGCATTAATAACTGCATATTATAGCAATAGACTGATCCATTTACCCCATCAATACCTCATACCTTTTTTTCTTTGCTTCATTAATATTCAATTGAATCATAAAATATCTCACTAAAAGTGCAAGTATCTTGCTGAAAACTGACAAATTATTCAAAATATGTTGCAATTGTTGAAAAACATCATGAAATTCCCTCTTGAAACATGTGATATCATGTGATATCTTGTTGAAAATACTTTGCTGTTGTGAAGGGAAAGGATTCAATTCAGAGGAAAAAATCTTTGTAACGTGTCAAAGAAATTTGTCCTAAAATGAAAAAAATATTGTAAAATGTTCAATATCTTCTTATTAAAACAGAAATACCTTAGAAAAGGGGGAAATGTGTTGGTATTACTAGGGATATTTTATTAAAAATGAAAAATCTTGTTACAGAATAAACATGTCTTGTAATAGAAACAAATATATTGGTGTAACATGGAAGAATCTAGAAATTAGTTGACTGTATCTTGGTATCACATGGATTTATCTTGTCATAATGCATATGTCTTGATATCTAATGAAAATATCCTGGTATAACATGAAAACATCTTGGTTTTATGTGAAATCCTCATCATTAAACACAGCATCGTTTCACTGATTCCTCTCCCCTGGTGTGGCAGTAATTCGCTGCCGTACATCATGAAACATAATAAATAATAAAATAACAGTGAAGAGAAGAGGAGAGGAGGAGGAAGAGGAGGAGGAGCGGATGGATGCCAGCCTGGGATCATCCACCAACATCTCCACCACCGACAACAACCCTCCTCCGAGTGGGACCAGCTCCGAGTTCAATCATTATTATGGGAATGGAAGAGGAGGGCCTGGCTTTGATCAACATGGCGGACAACAAAGCGCAGGGACTGGGGTAACAGCGGCTCGAACAGTACACAACACCATGGATCAGGTTCAGAACTCCCACGAAGGCTATAATAACAACAGCCCGTACAACCACTACCCAAACTACCGACCCGGCTATGGGAGCGGTGGCTACGGGGCCATGATGAGTCCCTCACGACAGGGAAACAGCCTGACAGGCCCGGGCAGCGGCAGCAAAGCGGGTATGACTGCTACCAGTTCCCCGGCTGGAGGCGGAGGAGGCAGCGGGAACAGCGGAGGATATCAGCGGTTCCCCGGGCAGAGTCAGCAGCAAATGCACCCCTCTGGAGCAACACCGACATTAAACCAGTTATTAACGTCTCCTAGCACTATGATGCGAGGTTATGGAAGTGGATATCCTGATTACAGTAATCCGACTGCACAGCAGCAGCCGAGCCTGGGGCTGGCTAAAGACATTGGCTCCCAGTACGGCTGGGGAGGACAACAAAGAAATCACCCGAGCATGAGCCCAGGGAATAACGGACAGGGCAGCGGCAGGACCCAGGTGAATAACGCACTGTTAAACTACACTATGTGGCTGTTCACTCGTGAAAAAATCCCCTGGCAAACGACAGACAGTCATCTGATCAAAGCTAATTCACTAGCCTACGTTATATCACTCACCTAGCCGCTATGCTAAGCTAAATAGCAAACGTCAGTTACCGTATGGACGCACTGTCAGCGAACCGACGCGCGAACGAATTCGTCCCCATTCACTGTCTGTTACAAGCGGTTGACGCTCTCGTCAAGCGAACCTTGCAGGCAACATCGCATTTTACTAACCTTTCCCCCTAGCTATATTCTAATAATTCATTTTCAGATAAAGTTGGTACACCGTTGAGTCAGATATCCCCGTGAGGGGAAGTGGGGGTTGGAAAGACTTATAAATTTACACAAACGGGTAGCAAACGCGGCGAGGCGTTTGTGAATTTCAGCGAACTAGATGCGTGCAGTAGGTCCGCACCGTTAGCCTGCATTTAAGTACTAATCAAATACTCGGAATTCCTATGTGTGGAAGTTGTTTCGTGAAAATCGATGAGTTCAGAGCTCTGAGTCGTAATGTAGACATATCACGGAAGCTTTAAAAATAAGTCTGTTTTTATTTGCCTTTTTGTTTTCAATGTTTCATTATATTGACAAGGAAAACTGCGCATCATCATAGGAGAACAACATACAGATGCTGGCGTTTAAAATGCACTTTTTTACCCCATAGATTAAAAGCGAAGATATATTTTGTCAAATGTGTAGAACTTATGCCATAGCAGACGTGGACTGACAGTTTATTTTTTTCAGGTAAAAACACTTTGTGGTAGTCGTATTGAAAATTTCCAAATGTACCGTTGTGTCCTGAATGCAGCCTTAGCTTGTAGGCTAGGTGTGTTTTTTTTATTCCACTGCAGAGAAGCGTAATAAATATAGCATAACCATTTACAACATCAGCTTGTTTTGACAATAACGTGCCCACATACGTTATGGTGAATTAAACCCTCTCTATATATCTATAAATGGCGTCTGTATGATTTAAAAGCAGATAAGAAAGTTTTAATTCCGTGTCCAAGGTGACACCGTTTTAAGCATGCTAGGCTAAGCTCATTGTAGCTCCTGTTAGCCGCAGAGGCCTGGAGAAGCTGTCTGTTTTTCTGAAGTCAGCTGTGTATCTAAAACACCGTGTTGCACACGGTTACCCTTATCTTATGTTTCATAAAGAAATAATAGATATTGGGCCTCTGAGGAGAAGCTAATATTAGTGCGCTGGACTAAGTGAAGTTCGCTTCTCTCTGAGGCCTGCGGGGCTGTAGTTATCCAGAAAAGGAGTATTGTACTGTAAAATATTAAGTGTAGACTTAATTTAATTTGTATTTGAGTCATTGAGAAATATATGGAAGCCCTAAGTAGATATACACCCATATATTTGTTTATTCTGTATCCCATGGTAGACAAAAATATCTACAGATCATAACTCTATATTTAAACTGTCTAGAATCTTTAGAATATTTTTGCAAAATAATGAGGAAGAATAAACTGTAATATTGCTGGACTTGATATAAGCTCTATTGATCTTTGACACTAACCAATTGCCTCTCACATGCTAATTCTCTCAATTGAAGTCATCTGAGGTGTCTCAAGCTACTAAGTAGTTTCCACAGATCCTGTTTGCCTCTGTGTCATGCTAATAGACCCCATGCCGAGAGAACAAACAGTGTGTGTGTGTGTGTGTGTGTGTGTGTGTGTGTGTGTGTGTGTGTACTGCTCCTTTCAGTCTGTGATCTAGCCTTAACTTTGTTGACAGAGAGCCCATTATTGGCCCCATCTCCACACAGAGCCCTGACCTTCACACATGCAGATTAGCCATGTGCCCATTACCACCAGCATAACACTGAGGCTAAATATTCCTCCTGCTCTTCCAGCTGCTGCTCCCCCACCCCACCCAACCCCTCCACACACACACACATAGCAACTCACATCTGCAAGTGACTGCATCACTCACCTGTCTGTTTTACTCAATTACAGGGACATAGGGGACAGGGATGCAGACCTTTAAGGAGCTGATGTCACAGCTGCTTCACAGTATTAGCTGGAGGAAAAACAAAGTAAAACTTGAAGTGCCACTTCAGGGTATTAGCAACATGGAAGAGCTGGGCGGATTTTTAATTTGATTACAATTTGGGGGTCCCAGGATAAAAAAAATGATACTAATCAATACTGAATGATATTATGATACCTGCTTTATTGCCCCTTTAGTTCCTATACATTGAATGAAGTGCACCCTCCTCTCAAACAGCTCTCTCTATCAGCTCTCGCTTTTACATCATCATTACTAGTCCAGATTGGTGTGCAAGGTGTGAGGGAATTGTAGATTCGATGTGGTCTGCTTCATCTTCAACTTGTGCTATAGCGGTAAAAACTATCAGGCAGCTACAGGTGAAGAGAGGAGAGCAGGGAGAGGAGCAGGAGTAGGCAGGTGTGTGTGTGTATGTCTAAAAAGCCAAGAGACAGTGTAAGCATAACAACAAAGAGGATTTAGTGATCACAAGCGTGGATGAGCTTGAACGTAGCATTTGCCAAGTTACATCTGCGACATCAGTCTGCATCATAACTAAAAATAATCCTAATCTTGGCATTACAACGACACAGGTCAGAAAAGGTTGACTTTTAGTTTGGATCTGCAGTCTGATAAAGTGTGAGAGGTGACAGAGCTCAGATCCTTAAGTTTGTAATAATAGTGTAAAATTCCTTCTCTACCACAAAAGAGTCTGCCATAGTGATCTTACTAAAGTTAAGTCAAAGTTCTTAAAATGAAGTGAAGAATTGAAAAATGGAACAGCAAAGATGTCCGCACATCTGTCTGTTTATATGTAGCTTTAATACAAATGTAAAAACTGTCATCTAAGTGTCAGCCTCTGCTGCTGCTTCCTCCATCATACTGTGAACACTACACTGATTCTGAAATAACAGAATAATAATACATTTTATTTATAATACTTTCCATCTGAGAAACAGATCTCAAAGTGAACACAGTAAAAGGCAATAGTAAAAACAACAAATAGAAATAACAACAGTCAGAATATATAATCAACAGTCAGAATATATAATCAGCCCAGAAAAGCTGTTCTAAAAAGGCAGGTCTTTAGTCCTTTTTTAAAAGCATCCACTGTCTGTGGAGCTCTAAGGTGGTCAGGAAGGGCGTTTCTCAGACGGGTAGCAGCAGTCTCAAAGGCCCTGTCGCCCGTGGTCTTGAGCCGAATCCTGGGCGTGTGCAGACGGTGCAATTGGCCTGATCAGGTTCTGGCTGAGGTGTGCTGCCTGAAACTTGTTCACCCACAGAGAAGACTTCACACTGTCAGGGACATGTGTGAACAAGCAACTATGGAAAATTTCAGAGCAGAACTCCTGAAAATTTCCAGAATTTTTCAGGCTCTGAGGTTTTGATTAAATGCTACATATGTCCTGCCAGTTTGAGAAGTTTTTGTTCATGCTGATTAATTTAATCCAGCTGTCAGATATGCTGAGTGTCACCGTCTCCTCTTCCTGTTTGCACCAGGATTATTGTTCGTCGGTACCTTTGCAGCTCCTGGATGTTTGCGTGTCTGGACACGTTGGAGTTTGTGTGTGTTTGCTTCCTCCTGTGGCTGACTGATGTAAATGTGTCAGTTGTGAGATTAAAGAGGAGGATTAAATGTCTGCATCATTTGTTATGAGGAAATCCCAGAAATAGTTTCTATTTTTAGCCGTCTGAGCAGCAGCGAACATCTGTTCTCCCTGAGTCACTTCTCTCACCTACTATTATGTCACTGTGTCAAACTGTGTGTGTGTGCGTGCGTGCGTGCGTGCGTGCGTGCGTGCGTGCGTGCGTGTGTGTGTGTGTGTGTGTGTGAGCGTGCGTGTGTATGTGTGAGAGTGTGTGTGAGTGTGTGAATATTAAAGCGTACCCAGGCGTGACTGTTGACTCTGGTTTAGAGTGGCCTCCTGGGCGTTTGGATTGCTCACATTTTGTCTGCTTCACTTGAATCCTTTCTGACGGGAGACTTTGGTCTCAGTTGTATTTTTTTCTGACTGAAAACACTCAAAGACCCACCTGACTCTGACTGAAGTGCAGATCAGCCCGTGATGTTTTGCTGTCCTTAAACCTGCGGAGAGGAACTGCTTTTGACAAAGTGGGGCTGATATTGCAAATAGTATTATCATGTTTTTTTTTTATGTGTTTGAAAATGCTGCCAGCTCCTACAGGGAAGATGTTTTACAAAGGAGATTATTCATATTGGCTTAATCTTTATCTGGCAGTATCTTCTGTTCTTGACTGATAGAAGATTTCAGCTGCTCAACAGTCATTTCTGGTCCCCTCTCTCTTTAGATGAGGATTGGACATCCATGATTTTCAAAAAGCCACAAATAATGTTCAGAACAGCACCTAACTTCATCAACAGTACATATAGGGTCCCAGCAATAACACTAGCCACCAAACATCTTTTTACAGACTGTGGGGTTACGCAGCTCAAGGAAGAACAACTATGATTGTTTCTTCATGGAAATGCAATCAGACTGAGACGTTAAGGCAGAAGAACTACTGCGTCTGCAGTGCAAAATGTTTAATATGATGATTATTACTTTAAGGAAATGAGAAGTAATGATCATAATTGTTTCCTTCCTTGAACTGCGTCACCTCACTGCAGTCAGTGATGGACTCGTCCAAGGTCTTCCTACAAACAAGTGGCTGATGAAGGAGAGTGAATGAGTTGTGTTTAGTCTCTCTGCTAGAGAAAACAGTCAAAGCTAAAAAGTAGTTTGGAGGCTAGTACTATGGCTGGGACCCTATATTGTACTGTTGATGAAGTTAGGTGCTGTTCTGAACATTATTTGTGGCCATAGAGTGGCGTTTTGGTTGAGGTTTGTGTGTGGATCCATAGACTGCTGTGTATTGCTATTGTGTGGTCATCACTTAAGTTGGTATAACTAGAGAAACAAGCGGCTAGCAACATTCATCTCTCGAGGAGGTGTCTTACTCGGTGTTACGGTGTGTTTGACCCTAACCTAATTTTATGCTGGAATATCCCTTTAAGCTTTAACACCAGGAGTAAAAAGTGTCTGATCTATGTGTTATCTCTCACCAGGTGGCATCCATGGACCCCATGGCCATGAAGCGCTCGCAGCTTTACGGTATGGGCACCAACCCGTACTCCCAGCAGCAACAGCAGCAGCAGCAGCAGCAGGGGGCTCCGTACACTGGCCAGCCGTATGGAGCTCCCCCTCCCCACAGATACCCGATGGGGATGTCCAACAGAGGGCAGATGGGGATGGGAGGGATGCAGTACCCTCAGCAACAGGTAGGAAACATGGTCTGCAGATGTTGCTGAAACCCAGCGTTGCTGTAATGGATACTGTCTTCAAGAGGAGATGAAGTTGATTTTTGGGGCTCTAATAGATGATTCTGTCAAAGAAGTGTTCCAGCTTGCAGACTGATGGGTCGACTTTAACTCAGGCTGTTTTTGAGGCTTTCAAGGAAAAATGGAACATACAGAACTTTAGTTTCAGGCTTTAGGGCATCTGCGGGAATATAAACGATGATAGGTTTTTACAATGAAGGGTCACATGGACTCTACATGAGGCAAATTTGCAAAATAGTGTTGCTTGGCACTAATCTGTGTCTATTTTCCTCTCAACATTGACTTCTCATGTGATCACTTTGGCTCTGAACACCATAAGAGAGTGTTTGTATACCATGAAGCTCCCTCGAGCTCTTTCTCAACGATCACTGGTGGTATTTGCTTTGCAGAAATCCCCTTCCCATCCATGCTTGAGCTGGAAAATCAGCAGTTGAGTGGTCGTATTCTTGTTTGTGTTGGAGGAGTTTCAGCTCAGTGTTGGTGCTGCCTCCTCCCTGAATCTGCTCGTCTTCATTGTTTTGAGAGTTTGAGCGGTGTGATTGTTCCTGCTGAGTCACCGCCTCGTCACTGTGAACACACCGCTCTGAGGACAACAGAGCTGTTGTTGTTGTCAGACCACATGGCCCTGAGCTGAGCCAGGCCGGGCCGGGTCAGGCTATTTTCAGTGCAGACTGGGCTGAGTCTATTTTTAGTCCACAGACTGCTGGTTTAGGTTTTACTGACGGCTGATGCGTCATGCACAAAAACGTGAAATAGCTGTTTTGTTTTTTTTCAAACCAAGAGCGCTGGGAAGTCAGAACAAGAGAAGAAGAGTTGATCAAATATACAATGACTTTAAATGAAAACAAAAGGAATCAAAATGTCAGAGGAAGATTTCCAGCTGCAGCACATGTGTCAGATTAGAGGGAAAACAAAGAGTCTTCAGCCGAGGGGGCGAGTTTTCCCTCCGAAAATAGGGTAAAGTTGAGGCAGCTGTACATGTTGAGTGGTACATGCTGTATTCAGAACGAACAGTAATAATAACAAACAGTCATGACTTCCAATAGTGCACAGTTATGGTGTATTTCCCACTAATCCATTGCACCTCTGGTCATTAACTTGACCCGCTTCCTCCCTCCCTTCCTGCTGTCCTCCTCTGACTTTGATAGAAAGTTTGCACGGGCTGATGAAAGAAGTAAGGGTGAAAGTTTCTTGCGTCTGCGTGCGTGCATGTGCAGCTCACCCAGAAAGTTAGCAGTTTTGTACACGTTTGAATGCACTTATTTCTTATCAATTAGACAGTCACTGTGATAAAAGTCTCATCAGAAAAGTGTCTTTTTTAACCCCCAACATCTCTCAGCTCGGTCTTTCAGACGCCGCATTTAAACCGTCTTTGTTTTATCTGATCTTGCTGTGACTCGCCGTCTTCCACCTTCTAGTAAAACTGATATTGAATCAAATCTTTCGGATCCTCGGCCTCTTTGTTCCTGCGGGTGTTAAGCAGATTTCAGGAGGTTTTCTCAGACGTTATCTCTGCTGCTGTAGATTTCTCAGTTTTGTCCCCCAGAGCGTTTTCCTCCTCCTCACTCTGAAGTCGTCTGGCTCCCCGAAGCGTCCCGCAGAGCGCCGCTGTCACCGCTGACGCTGTTACATCATTACAGGTTGACAGACAAGTTGCCGGAGTTCAGCCTCGGGGAGTTTGTGTCGGTGTTGTCATCTCTGCTCGATGAAGATGGCCGCCGAGGCAGAGGAGGAAACATAATGACTTTTCTGTGAGCGGGGCCCCAGGTGGCCCCCGGACTCATCCTTTATTAACTCTCTGATTCCTTGTGAAATTGGATGTCGAGCGGTCGGCGTCTCCCTCCGAGCCGCTCAGATTGATTCGAGTTTCAGGAGGTTTCTCCTCCAGTCAACTTTCCGATTACCGAGGAGCATTTAGAGGAAGTTTTAAAGTTTCTACCCTGAACTGTTTTCGTCCCTCACTTAAAAGCAAAACTCAAATTTATGGCCCGCTTAAAGCAGATTATGACCTCTGATTATTAGATTATTCAGATTTTTAGTATGAACTCTCAATCAGTTGATGTCTGAGTCTGTCTCTGTCTGCAGATGTGAGGCTGTCAGCTGCTTTCATCACTCTGATGTTACACCACAGTTACCGACAGTCTGAGGAGCTCATGAGCAAGGCAGTTAATCCCCCTCTCTCAGATTGCAGGCGGGTTACATCTGATTGCATTTTCTGTTTTCATTCCTGAGGAGGGGAGGAGGGTTAACCATCTGAGGAGGAAGTGTTCATTTCATTTCCAGCAGTGCAGCGTTTTTTCGGTGTGATGAATGTAAATTCAGAAGTTTGATTTGATCTAAACCCAAAGTTCCAGTGAAACAGGAAACTTTGTCTTAACTTCGATTCTTCTTTGAGACGTTTTCCTTCCTTAGAGTTTCAACAGGCCCACAGACGAGGTTGCTCTACGACATTTTCACAGGAGGAGTCTGTAGCCACACTAGAGAGATAAATGCACAACCTGGCTGTCATGTTCTTGATCTTTTAAAATCATATTTTTTTTTCCATTATTAAAGGGATGTTCCAGCATAAAATTGATTTAGGGTCAAACACACCATAACACCGAGGCACCCCCTTGAGAGATGAATGTTGCCGACCGCTTACTTCTCTAGTTATACCAACTTTAGTAACGACCGCAGGATAGGAATACACAGTGGTCTAAGGAGCCACAGACAAACCTCGACCAAAAAGCCACTCTATAGCCACAAATAATGCTCAGAACAGCACCTAACTTCATCAACAGTACATATTGGGTCCCAGCCATAGTACTAGCCACCAAACATCTTTTCAACCTGATTTCTATAGCAAGGAGACTAAACACAACTCGCCTACTCTCTTCCAGCAGCCGCTTGTTTGTAGGAAGACCTCGGGCCAGTCCATTATCGACTGCTGCAGGGTGACACAGCTCAAGGAAGAACATTTATGATCATTTCTTTATCAAGTCCTTGAAGTAATAATCATCATATAAGTCATTTTGCACTGCAGATGCAGTAGTTCTTCTGCCTTAGTGTCTCGGTCTGATTGCATTTCCATGAAGAAATGATCATAAATGTTCTTCCTTGAGCTGCGTCACCCTGCTGCAGTCAGTGATGGACTAGCCTGAGGTCTCGCTAAAAACAAGCAACTGCTGGAAAAGAGTAGGTGAGTTCTGTTTAGTCTCTTTACTTAAGAAATTAGGCAAAGCTAAAAAGGGGTTTGGTGGCTAGTGCTGTGGCTGGGACCCTGAGTTAGGTGCTGTTCTGAGCATTATTTGTGGCTATAGAGTGGCGTTTTGGTTGAGGTTTGTGTGTGGCTCCTCAGACCACTGTGTATTGTTATCATGCGGTCATTACTAAAGTTGTTATAACTAGAGAAGCAAAAGTTGGCAACATTCATCTCTCGAGGGGGTGTCTAACTCGGTGTTATTGTGTGTTTGACCCAAATTGATTTTATGCTTGAATATCCCTTTAAGTCCTTGTCAGCAGGTCAGACTAATGCATATCAGTGTCTTGACTTATGATGAAAATGAATGCAATGAAATGTACAGTTTTAGATGAGCTTCATCAGTGTAGTCTAGAGAGATGTCCTCATCATCAAGTTTGTAATCAGGTCTTCATCATCCTGATATTTTGTGTCCTCAGATGGGTTCTCAGTACGGTCAGCAGCAGAGCATAGGTGGTTACTGTCAGCCAGGTCAGCCACCATACTTCAGCCCGCCACAGCAGCAGCCTGCTGCCCCGAGCCAGCCTCCGTACATGCAGCCCCGCCCACTGCCACAACAGGTACGACTCAACCTAGAAAACCCATTCCACTTAGGCCCCTGGGTCGCAACAACAAAGAAAAGCAAATGTGTAAAAAACATACAAGAGAGAAAGAACGTTTTAGGACAAAAATCAGTCAAATGAACAGAAAAAGATAAAGATGTTTCAGTGTTTTGCAGTTTTAACGCTCTGACTTTGTTTTGCTCTAGGAGGTTCCACAGGAGGCATACGGTGGGCGGGGCCAGTCTGCTGCAATGACTCCTGGAAAGCCGAACCATGAGGAGATGGGTCTGAGCCAGCAGGAGCGTCCGTCCAGCCTGCCGGTGAGTTTGGACCCTGCAGAGTCAGTCAGTTTTCGAGAAAGAAAAGAAGATTTTTTAACTGGTTGTTCGTTTGAGCTCATCTGTAAGTGTGGAGGAGGGTTCACATTGTTGAGCTGATATCTGCTCTTGCTTTGATCTGAGACTGCGCTGCCAGAAATGAGATGCTGTTGCCCTAAAGAGACAATCACAAGATGCTTTTTCTTTCAGTAGAATCATGAAACTTGTAGAGGGAGATGACTTATCCTGGAGTTTGTGAATCATATCAACTCCAGGCCCAAAACCGTGCTTCTTGACAAAATAAGATGAGATGTAGACTGTGAGTTTTCTTTGTGGTTCAGAAGACTTTTATTTTGAAATTTCTCATAAAAAGTCAGTTTGAGATGAAGCAGCTGTGAAAGCAACTTCTTATCCTTGTTCTGATCGTAAAAAGTGAAAGCCAACAGATGGAGCATTGTAATATTATTAAAGAAGAGCAGTTTGTTGTGTCATGATCCAGACTGAGGGTTTTTCAGCCCTGCGTGCTGTCTGCAGGCTCTGACTGTTGTTGTTGTTGATAATGACAGCGGCCTCTTTTCTCTGGAGCTGAACCTCTCAGGTGTCACTCTCTCAGCGCCTGATTCTACCTGCTGAACTGGAAACAGGCAGAACAAGCTGTCCTCGTGAACAGTGGCTGAACTTTGATTTAGATTTAAACAGCTCTGCGTGTTCTTACGGGCTCTCTGAACCCTGAGAGAAGGCTGTCAGGTTGTGACCGAATACTCCTTTAAGTGCAACCTGCAGGTAGGAGAACACAGTGAATCATTGTGTGGGAAAATCATTCAAAAGTTTTTATTCAACAAAATTTATCCAAGGCATTTTTACAATTTTTATTTAACATCTGCAGCAAATGTTTCAGCTTTTATTAAAGGCGAACCTGCAGATTTGTTCTAGTTGAGGACTAAAATGGCAGGTTTTCACTTAGTCAGCAGACAGCCTTATCTTTGTCTTTTATCTAACCATTACTGATCTAGATCTAAATTACCTTAACAAGGTTCTTTTCAGATGTTTTAGTGGCTGTCTGCTCAGGGCGGCTTTGACTGTAGCACACGTCCTCCATTTTTGTAGAAAAGCATCACTGTCTTAATTCACGGGGATCAAGAGTGTCATTCAACAGTCGGGTAACGAATCATTAGAGTTGAAGTACAAACTGTTCCCTTCAAGTCTGAATGAATACTTGAATGTGAAAGTGACAGCCCTTTTACGTGGCACAGTTCCTCAGATGGCTGGATTAGCTGATAGACTGTATTTTCAATTCAAATGGCTAATTTTATGGTTTGATGGACTGACGGTTTGAATTTTGAAGATGAAGTGACAGCCCTATGAAGCAAAAGTGGTTGTAGATGCCAAGCTTTTGCTTCACTTATCGGTTTTTGTATAAAAAAAGAGAGGTGCTACCACCACAAAATATCTGTTATTAGAGACATAGGCATTTGCGTATCAAATTTGTTTGCATCGTTACATTTTCTGTTACGTCACACGGAGTTCTGGATTAAAGTTTAATGTCATGCTTTTTAACGTTACTCTCATGACCTCCTGATGTTTCACAGAAAACAGTCAAAGTTTCCTCTAAACAGACTCATCAAAGCTTGAATTCGGACATTTTTTCAAAAAAAACGTCATGATGATGTTACATCGGTGTCCTTTAATCAGCGAATTGTCATTGAAATTTCAGTAAAATCTGTTTATTTTAGCTTCATAGTCCTATAGTTAAACTGCCATGAAGGCTTCTTTCTGAAACAACCTTCAGTACCGTCTAACTGGGAACACTCCCTCTTCTCTCAGTCTACCCACTGTGGTTTCTCCCCCTTCTCCTCCATCCATCCTTCTCTCCATCTTTACCTCTTTCTTTCTCTATTTCCTTTCCTCTCTTATGCATTTCTCATCCTCTCCTCTCTACCTCTACCTCCTCCTCCTCTTTTTCTCTTTTTCTTTCCCTCTCCGCCTCTCAGTGTTTTCATGCCTCCGTCCATCCTTCCTCTATTTCTCTTTCGGAGCCTCCGTTTGAAGTCATGGGTGCTGATGCAGTTGCCATGGTGACAGGCGGAGGGGAGAGGACAGGAATGGAAAAAAAATCAGTAGAAATCAGCTGCACCCGAAGGCCTCACAGACTCTGTGACTTCATGATGTTCAGCGCAGCGTTAAGTGCTTGGAAAAACTAATGTTGCTTGGTTTTTGGTGAATTTCGGCAGATTTGAGTCATTAGCTCTGCAGTGTGAAATTAATAATTCAAACATCTAATCGACTGATGAACCACGAAATGCTGCTTGTCATCTGTGCTTGTTTACATCTAGGTAGTAGAGCATCTATGTATTATGGCAGCTGACATGAACCAGATGTAAATTACTGGCTCGTGTAAGTGGTTTTACTGCAGCTTGGACACAACACATGACCTGCATTTCAGGCCTCTAATGACAAATCAATCAGTAATTCTGGTGCTGACCGGGGGCTTTTGAAGCATTTAGTCAACTAATTAGCTCATCCTTAATGGAGCTGGGTTAGCAAATGCTTTGTTATAAAGCTATACAAACAGTTTATAAGAATGAATTATTAACTATTCAGTGAAACGTTATCAGGTGTGGCTGTTTCAGAGCAGGTTAACTCAGGAAAGTGGTGGACTCCACTTGTTCGCCCACAAATCTGCAGGAAAAGGGAATAAAATGACAGCAGCCTGTGCGATCATCATAAACAGAGAAGTAGACTATAGAAACTCAAACTACTTCTTGTACCAGGCTGTAAAGATGTTTATTTCTGCTGTAAAATTTGACATTTTAACAAGAGGCTCTGGAGATGTTGACTCACTTTGGGAGACTGCCTCAAGTGGATGCCAAAGGAACTGCAGTTTTGGGACTTTATGATTGAAAATGAATACAGGTGGAGAAAAGAGGAAGATAAGGTGTAAAAGAAAGAAGAAGGATTGTGAAGGAGAGAGGAAAGAGAGGAGGAAGGCATTAGGAGTTGAATAAAGGGAACAAGGAGGAGGCGAAAAGGAGAGAAGGAGATGAGGAGAAGATGAAGAAGAAGGTCGAGTAGGAAAGACAAACTCCCTCTCTCTGCAGCTCACGCTTTATAATTAGAACAAACAGGAGTGTGTGTGTATGTATGTGTGAAGCAGCACGGCATCTGATTGGCTGAGCTGTTGGCAAGGGGTGGAATGAAGGAGGGAAGATGGGATGCTGTTCTGTGATTGGCTGGATTGAAGCCCAGGGGCAGATGGGAGATTTCAGCGCAGTGCTTCTCTTCCCTTCTTTTCTGTGACTCTTCTCATCCTTTTCTTTTCTCTTCTACTTTTCTCATTTGTTTCTATCATATCTTACCCTCTTTTTGTCCACTCTTTTACTTTACTTCTCTATTTTGATTTTCTCTTCCTCATTTCCACTCTTGTGTCTCTTTCATTTTTGCTTCTTTCTTTGTCTCTCAAATTCCCCCACTCTCCCATTTGCAACTTCTCTCATTCGTTACTTCCTTTTTCTTTCGTCTCCTTGCGCAGACATTCATCTCTGTGCACAGATTCAACATTAAATGTAGAAGCAGGTCCAGGCGTTTTACGGAAAGTGCTCTGGTTTCAGTTTGAAGGCTGTTTGTAGTGTGAGCAGCACTGACCAAATCGGTATTAGCAGGCTCTGGCATCTGCAGGAAAAGCTGTCTAGAGGAGAGCAAAAGCAGGAGGAACAGAAACCACCCTAATGACATCCTGCCTCCCATCAGCAGTAATCTGAAAACAATTGATTTCTACAATAAACAGATATCAGTATGAAAGTTCAGCTGACAATCTGATCTGTATCAAATACTGAGACACTAATCTGCTCGATGCTGAGTCACTAAGGACAACCAGCATTCAGATTTCCTGACTTCCATGAATGTATCAGAAATGATGGATCTGAACAACAGTCAACAAACTTTAAAAGTTGTTTCCTTCTCCTCTAGAGACCTGACAATGGGGCATGATGTTCATTTAACAGCTCTAGATCTGGTAATTAAAAGTGTCTATGCAACTATTTACAATGAAACAGAGACTTTCCACCAATAAAATAACAGAGGGCTGCCTCTGAAAAACCTCATATTTACAATAAAACTGAGACTTAAGACCTGAGACTGAGACCTGGATCAGGAGAACAGTAGCCCAGCATGAAACCTCTGATAAACTTACTTTAAACAGAAAAATTAAGACTCACCAGAAATAAATTAGTAAGGCAGAACTCAGTTTAACTTGCTACTGACAGCGAAACTGAGACTCAACACAAATAAAGTCGTAAGCTTGAGTAAAGCTTCTGCTAAACCTACTATTTGCAATGAAACTGAGACTCAAATAACAGTAAGCTCAGGATGAATCCACAGTGAAACTAATTACAAATGGTAAAATTAAGACTCATTGTAAACAGAAGAGAAAGTTCAATGTAAAACCTCTCTTTAAATAACCATGAATAGTGAAACTGGGACTTGAGTAGAGTGGAAGAACAGTCAAACCTTCATTTAACTTACAATTAACATTAAAACTATGACTTATCACAAATAGAACAGTAAGTTCGAGTGAATCCTCTGTTAAATGCTAGGGGTGGGGAAAAAATCGATACAGCATAGTATTTTGTCTGGTAATACATCGTATTGTCTCATTTACCAAGTATCGATTTTTCAAACCTATTGTTAATATGAAGTCAAATCTATAATAATGGAAAAATAAAATCAACTGTCTGTCCAGTGAGGTTGGCAGAGGTGACATCATAGAGCAGAAGAAAGTTAGTACAACAAATATATTTAAGGTTTGTAAGATGTGCTACATGAAAATAAAATACAGCATAAATAAGACAAACATAAAGGAAAGCCAAATCATAAACTAGCTGAACAGTTTAAAAAAAATGTCTAAATCGCAATATATTTTATCGCAATACTCACTATATTGCAAATTGTTAAAAATCGCAATAACATTGTATTGTGATAACTTTGTATTGTGGGGCTACTGGTGATTCCCACCCCTATTAAACTGGCTATTAACACTATAACTGAGACTACTATAGAGGAACAGTGCACACATTGTGACGCCTCTGTTGTCTTTATTTTGACAGTAGAACTGTGACTCCAGAAACAGATGAGCTGTAAGCCAGAATGAAGCTTCTGTTAAACTTTGTGTTCGACATAAAACTGAGACTGAACAGAAACAGGTGAACAGCTGCACCTCTGCAGGATGTGATGAGCCTAGAACAGCGTCTGTCCTCTCTGATTGGACTGTGATCAGTTCAGCACACAGACGGGGAAGTCTCAGCTTAATGTCAAAGTTGGCCACAGTTCCCAGCGGCATAAATCCTCGATAGTAAGCCGGTTCAGGTTTCCCTTTCAACTCTCCTTCTGTCTGCAGGTCCCTTTTTGCTTCTAGAAATCCTAATTTAGGAAACAGACTATTACAGTCAGTTTATACAGAGAGAAGTTTTATAAGGATGCAAGAGTTATGAATGTTAAATAATTCACTTCATCATTTAGCTTTAGATTCCATATAGTTAGTAAAAACTTAACTCCCTAATAGGTGACATCATTTCCTGGGATGGGCTTAACAGGTCTGTGTTGTTTCTCATCGGTCTGGAGTTCCTGTCGTCCTGTCAGTCATGAGAGAAAACAGCAAAACGGATTCAAACTTCCACACTTAGCAGCCAGCGTGTTTTCTGTTTCAGGATCTCTCCGGCTCCATCGATGACCTGCCCACCGGCACGGAGGCAGCGGTGAGTTCAGGGCCGTCTGGGTCTGGCAGCGCTCAGGGAGATCAAGGGACACCAGCCCGCTCCCCCTTCTCTCCCCACGTCTCACCTCGACTTCCCCCTCCAGCTCGTGCCGGGCCCTCCCCGTCTCCTTCGCCATCCCCTGCTGGGTCCAGCAGCCAATCACGATCTGGACCTCTGTCCCCTGCCACCACTGGACCTGGTAAGTAGATGATGTCAGCGTTTATTCCTCTTCTCCTGATTTTGATTCATGTTTAATCCTCTTAAACAGAGAACTTTCCTCTGTTATCATAAAAACCACCAAAGATAGGGGAGTACAAAAACTCTCTCTGTTCTCCCAGGCTCTCAGCTGGCCCCTCAAGTTCCTGGTCCTGGATCAGATGTTGGTCCTCATCCTTCCCAGTCTGCCATGACTCAAGACAGAGGTACTGACCCATCTGAATTATGGGTTTAATGTCGAATTAATCTACCGCTAAAAACATCTGATCATCACTCTAATCCTAATGGGCCTTCGTCTCTCTTCTCCACCTCCTCCCAGGTTTCCCTCCCTCCATGCAGCGTAGCACCCAGGGACCCCAGTTTGGGCCCCAGCAATCAGCACCCATGTCCCCTCACTCCACACCCGGGGGGCCCATGCATCCCGGCTCCTACCAGCAGGGTGGCTCCTATGGCCAGTTTGGACCCCCAGGTGAATACAGGAAGTAAAAAGCATTTCACTAATTAATCCAAAATGAACCTCAAAAAGAATTAAACCATCCTCTTCTTTCGTAGGTAACTACCCCCGGCCCCCACACTATGGCGGGGCCCCCACTGCCAACTACAGCAGCCCTGGCCCTGGTTCAAGCTTAGCCAACAGCCTGGGTTTGAACGCCAGCAGTCCCATGCATGGTCAGGGTCCATCCACACCGGCAGGTCGCGGTCCAGGACCAGGACCCGGAAATCGGCCTTTCCCAGCCGGAGGTAGCGCCATGGCTCCCACTTCCCCCGGCATGCCACAGTCTGCTGGTCAGGGCATGGGGCCCCCGGGGCCAAATGCCAGTCGTAAACTATCGGAGATGGGTCCTAATGCTGGACTGAGTGCCAACTCCTCATCATCCTCGACACCCGCCACTGCCGCCCCGGGAAGGTGAGTTTAAAAGATTCATTTCTGTCCTTAAGCTCAATGTCAGTTTATTGAGTTCACACTGCAGAGGATCTGTGACTACAGAGTTTTTCTTTGAAAGGAGTTCATCAAAAAAAAATGGATGCATCAGGACCGTACAACTTCATTTCCAAAAATCATGAACAGATTCTGACTGTTAGGATTTATTTACAATCTTTAGTGACAAAAAGAACTTTTTTTTTGTTTGAAGCTGCAGAAACACTTTGGACCAAATCTCAGTTTTTCTCACCTCTCCTCCATCCCTCGTTCCCTCCTCCAGGCCTCCCTTTGCTCGCTCCCCTGCCGTCCACAACCAGTCCTGGTCTAGGAATCGGCCTGCCTCCACTCCCACACCTCACCCCTCTCACCCTCACCACTACCCTCACCCCCTTCCACAACACTCACAGCAGGGATCGTATGCTCAGCCACAGCCCACCGTGCAGACCCCCTCAGAGCATTATGGGTAGGTTTATCAGAGCCTGACAAATACAGAACCATGACATGTAAAGAAGAAAAAGACTCTTTGATTCGTCCTAAAAACTCAACGTAAAACTAAAAGGCGTCCCAGAACTTTTCCAAACTTTGACAACTTGACTTCAATCTTCATAATCCACTGATTTAAACTTATTTTTGCTCACTGAGAGTAACAGTCGAGTGTTTGTGTCGGGCTCTGCTGCACATAGAAAGGTTTTGGGCGGTTTTACTAACAAAACACTCGCTATCTTGCATGGCTTCAGAGGTTTTGCTGCTGCTGCTAAGCATTCATGATAACAAAACTTTATCTTTTCTTTGTCCACAGCTGAATAAAGCCTCTGGGAAGTCAAATACATAACTGTTTTCTCAGAGTTGAACTACAGGCCTGTGTTGATTTCAGACCACAGTGGTGTAGCAGTGCAGCAGAAGTCAAGATCATAAAGTATCATTTATATAATCCCTCATTTCTGCTGATTAGTTTGGCTGGTTAGACGCAGAAATAATGACAGCGTCTAAGCAGGCATGCACTTAATTGATCTGTGTCACTTTTTTCTGACACTTTGAACACGTCCGGTTACACCCATCATTGGTATCAAGCAGTAAACTAGCATTATTACCACTTAAACGGGATATTAATCTTTGTTTTCACTTTGTATCAGTGACTTTTTAACCTCCTAAGCTAACCCTAAGCTTTCCATCTGACCACCACTTTTGTTTCTTTTCTCCAGCAGTCGTTTTCAGCTCGTCTTTGTCTCTAACTGCACCTGGAGACCAAACTTTGTCACTCTCTTTTTCCCTCAAAATAACCTCCTTCAGACGAGCTGCCACCCCCACCAACCAAAGCTGATAATAACAAAAGCATTTCTTCTTCGGTGGTGTTTAGGCAGGGCAGCTACATTGGTATGCCACCATTAGGAGGGATGGGACTTGGAGGTCCAGGTGGTCCAGGAGGTCCATTTGGCCAGCAACCAGGCAGCAACTCCGGGAGGATGACACCACAGGGACCACCTTACAACCCCCCCTCCTCAGGTAGGCACATAGATGTAAATGCCTGTCAGCTGAAGGAAAACTGAAAAATTCCAGCACTGAATGTAGTTTGTTTTTGTTGGTTTTACTTGAACAACCTCCTCATTTTCCTCTCAGGTCCCATGATGATGTCAGCTGACGGGATGGGCGCTCACCCAGATGCCAAGCAGAGAGTGGAGCTCAGCAAAGACGGAGTCTACCCTGTTTCTGAACCATTCAAACCCAAGGTGTGCTTCGGCTTTCTAATCCATTTACAGAGGAATTTGCACTGACGTTGCCGGTTCCTGCTGTGCTGGATTTTGCTAGCATGTTCTTGCAAATGCATGTGTGATGAGCAACCTGAGCAATAAAAGGAGAAAATATTATGATAGATCCTCTGATGACTTTATGATAGATGTTGAGACAAAGTATAGGGTGCTTTTAAAGTTTAAAAAAATATATATATATAAAGTTATCACCCTCCAGTGGAGAAATCATGATAAGGTGCCTTCTGGAGTATCTTTCGGTGGAGATAATGATGTTCAGTACAGGTGCTCTTCCAGAAAAGAAACTGCAATGAAGCCCCTTTTACTATCCTCCTCAGTGGAAAAAACACATTTATATGTAGTGTGCCCATTCAGTGGAGAAAGTGCTGTTGAACATATAGGGTACCTCTCCAGCAAAAAAAAATCCAAAGCATCGTCTTCTTGTGTCCTTGAGTGGAGAAAGCACAATAAAGAGCCATTTAAAAAGCTCATCCAGTGGAGAAAACACAATAAAGAGCCATTTAAAAAGCTCATTCAGTGGAGAAAACACAATAAAGAGCCATTTTAAAAGCTCATCCAGTGGAGAAAACACAGTAGATAGGACCTAGTTGTTGTCCTTCTAGCAGAGAAAACATGGTGAGAGTCTTTTAAAGGTGTCTAAACTACAAGCCATGGAGTGTGTTTAGATCCCCTTAGTGGAGAAAATCACTTGACCATAAGTTGTGACCTTCTAGTGGAGAAAATCAAATGCATTACCCTCTAGTGGAGAAAACATGAGAAGGTTGTTTCCTTTAAAAGTTTTCTGACTGAGTGGAAAAGTCCTTTGACAGCACTACAAGCAGAGAGAACAGGAAAAGATTCTACAAGGGTTTCCATGTAGAGGAGAAAATATAATAAAAATCCCTGGTACTGGCTCTGGTCTGGACTCTGTTGCATGTGCTGCATGAAGCTGCTTTCAGAGAGTGTCTTAAAGAGGAACCAACACACCTTCTTGTTCTCACAGTCGTTGTCTTTGAGGAGAAACCCAGAGCTCGATTTTGTAGATGAATGGCGTCGTCATTTTTTTCTCAAAAGAAGCTCCTTCAGGACAGCAGGTCTTTGTCTTAACATGAAACCCTTCCTGACAAACAGAAAGTTCTCCTCCACACACTCTCATATTTCCAGAATCAGAAAACGTCATCTGTCAGACTGAGTAGGCAACGATCACCCTGACATGTCACTTTTTTAGTTCAGTAAGTTTCTCTCAGCGAGGAGATGTGACTCAAAGTTTTTCATTTTTCTTGTATCTTCCTCGTTGGCACTCCTCATTTCACTCGAGTATTGATCAGTTTGTTTTCTTCGGAGTGGTGTTCGTTACACCTGTCAGTATTTTATCTAGCTGGTTGTGAAAGTGTTACAGACAACCCAAAATAACCAGTTCCTGCCAACAGGAGCTGGAGTTTCCTCAGTCGCTGCTTCTTCTCCTGTTTGTTTTATCTTGTTTTTCTGCGCCTGTTTAGTTCACTCTCAGCTCGGGAGCTGCAGAGTTTTGAAATCCTCTCCTCCTTACGCTCTCCTCTGACTTGCCTCTCCTCATTATCCAACGGTGAGGAGTTGGCCTTGATCATAGATCTGTGTAGGATGTGGATGTGGCGTTCAAGGTTACCTGAGACGACTTGCCTTTGTTTCACACTTTGACTCGGGTTCACTTGATGAGAACTGGCTGCTTTGTGTCGGCAATTTGTCGCAGAGTCACAGCAGCCCGTCTTCCTGTGTGCCGTCGCTCCACAGAGACTCTGTTGCAGCTAATTTCTGACACCTTTTGTTTTGTGCTGAAGCAGTTTGCTCCTAGTTTGACGCTCTGCAGGTTGTTTCTCTTCATGTCAGCTGTCAGAGGAACTTCAGATGTGAAACAGGAGGGTGGAAACTTTTCAGCGGTGAAGCTCAGTGGGCTGTTAAAAATCACGATCCCACAGTTTTCCTGGATATGTCTGGGAGGAAAAACAGATTTATCAACACCATTTTTTTCTTTCCAATACAGATTTAGTTAGTTTGTTATTTTCACTGGTTTAAGAAAGAATGAGGAAGGAGAAATGATGAAGAATCTTTACCTAGAGAAGTGAAGAGGGCCCACAAATCAAGCTTATATGGCGACACTCAGCTTTCAGCCTCGTGGACCTGCTCTGTCCACTTTTTATGTAATGGTTTAGAGAAAGAGCAATCTCAGGACAATTCACCCCTTGAAATAATTTGAGAAGAATGAATGGTGCAGGCATATTTACTGGAAAATACAAGCAGTGTACCAAAAGGTTGACAGATATTAGGACAGCTCAGCTTGCTGTTTCTTTGTAAAAAAAAAAAAAAAGACCAGCTAAGCTTTATGTTGAGTGACAGCTCAGCTCGTAGCCTCTCAGACCTGCTCAGTGAACTGTTGAAGAGAAATAGTTTTTTCTTCATCTGAATGTTTTATTTTGTATGTAGGATTTTTTAAACTCAGAGGATAATGCTGCGTTCGAGTTACTTCAGAAGTCAGATGTCAGAGCTGAAAATGACGTCACACCCGAGTTACCAGCACTTCAGTTACCAGGTAGGAAAAAAGCAAAATTGGAGGCGAAAACAAGATGGCTACATCTACAAAAGTTATTTTAGCGCTTGCCTTGTCCGAATATTACAAGGCAAGGGCTAAAATAACTTTCATAGATGTAGCCATCTTGTTCCCGCTACTGATTTAGCTTTTTTCTGACTCGGTGACTGAAACGCTGGTAACTCGGTTGTGACGTTGCTTTCAGCTCCGACATCTGACCTCCAAAGTGGTAACTTGAACGCAGCTTCCCCTGTAAAATGAGCTGTGTAAAAATCCCCAAATCTAAGCAGAGCATTGCTGAATGAGCTGTGCGAACGTTGTTGGCAGCCCCTTGGACATGCTGTGCCAGAATTTTTGAGCGGAACAGATTTTTGACATGATGCTGATCTATGTCAGTCACTTTGGTAGTTTGTTGGATCAGTTATCAAAACTATAGCATTATAGGCGGTAGTTCAGCTCGCGGCCCTCCGCAGAACCAAAGTCTCCAGTAGACTGAATAAGTTGTTGAACTGCTTTATTTATTTATTTACCAATTTAAAAAAACGTTTTTAATTTATTTTGCAAAGGAGACATTTCCATCATGAAAAGCTCAGCCATCGTGCGCAGTAGCTCAGCTTGTAGCCCCTCCTGATGCGCCATGTCTGCAGGGAAACAGACTTTTAATGTGGAAGCACTTTATTCAGTGTTGCTCTGATTAAAGTTAAAATTCTGCTGGCCCTCTTGCTGCTGGCTGCTTTGTTGTTGAACAAGCCACACTAACCCGACTGTCTTACTGCAAGCTGCTTAACCTAATGCCTGAAGCTGCGTTTCACCTTCAGCTCCTGCCTCGTGTGTTTTCTCTGATCCACAAACAGAGATATAACTGTTATTTATTTGTAGTTTTGAATTCCTACCTGGTCATCACTCTGTTGTGTGTTTGTGTGTTTTGTATCGCAGGATGGGTACAGCTCACAGAGTGTGTCCAAGCCCCTCACCCCGTCCCCTATGTCCCCAAGCTCAGCTAGTCTGTCCTCCTATCACGGGGAGGATAGTGATAGCATTAGCAGTCCCGCCTGGCCCAAGACCTCAACGAGCCCTGTAAGTCCAATATCGGCAACTCACATTCGCTTTTATTATTTTCTACGTTGTGTTGAAGTTTCATACATGTGTTCATGCTGTTATGAGTCTGGGAAAGCAGATAATATCACCGTCAGCTCAGATGATTGCTGTCAGTCACAGAGGTTTCTGTTCCATGTCCCTTTTTTGACAGTTTGCAAGAACCAACAGATATTCAGTGTCTTGCATTTAGTTTGCATCTTGTTTTATGATAGTTTTATGCCGAAGTCAAAACATGCTGTTTTGTTTAGACAGTATTTGAGTATTTGAACCTTTTTTTAAACAAAACTATTTTTAAACCTTTAAAAGCCATTTTCTTACAATCCCACAGTTTGTGGGATTTGTGGCTCACCAACACAGGCTAGCTTAAACTTTCTTCCAAGAAATCATTTTAGTCAGTCACTGGCATTGTTTGAGTCCAACATGTCGAGTCAGTGCAGGCTCTGAGAATAGAGAAGGAAAGAGCTGAGATCATGTGCTTGAGCAACAGAGACCAGGTTGATCACAAGCTGGAGTGTGATGGGACTTCGACCTTGATTTGTTCCCGAATGTTCCTCTACAGTTTTGTGATTTATCAGTCAGACTTGTATGTACAAATAAACTTGAATGTATGACACACCATTCATGTAATAAACCATCTTCATCCTCTTTTCTGTTAATTATTATAAAATCAATTTTAAAGCCAGAAGCTTTAAAATCGATTCTGGTGGGTTTGTTCGATGCAAAAGTCTTGAAATGCTTCGTGGCTGGTTAAAGATTGTGTCCATGTTCCTTCTTTGTGCATCTCTTTTGTTGGCATTGTGTGTTTATTCTCTGCTCTCATATGGAAAAACTCCAACTGACTCTGGTCCCTGATGTTGTTACAGAAGCCTAGTGTGGCCACCATGACCAACGAGAAGATCACCCGGCTGTATGAGATGGGCTCCGAACCTGAGAGGAGGATGTGGGTGGACCGGTACCTGTCCTTCATGGAGGAGAGGGGGACACCAGTCCCTAACCTGCCTGCTGTCGGGAAGAAGCCTCTGGACCTGTGCAGACTCTACCAGGCTGTCAGGGAGATCGGAGGTCTGGCCATGGTGAGGAACAAGTCCAAAAGTTTTAATATTTTCCTGCAGTTAAAAGATGGCACTGGCACAGGTTTGAGTGTGCATGCAGAGAGGCCTGTCAGTAAGGAGTTGCAGTAGTCAGTGTGTGATATAACAAGAGCCTGTACCAGGAGATCAGGTAGGATCTGATGCACTTGAGGTTATAGAGGGTGAATTGGCAGGACTGATCAACTGAGACCACAAGGACCTTAAAGGCTAGATGGCCATCCATCCAGACATCCAGATCCCAGGCAGACTTGGTGAGCATGAGTTTAGTTGATCCAAGCTGGATCTTGATCCGTGGTAGCATGGAGGGACTGACTGGAATGACAAGAAGCTCAGTTTTGGACAGGTTGAGCTGCAGGTGAAGTTTCTTTATCCGCTGAGATTTATCAAAAGATTGCTCTGAGAGCAGCTATGGGGCCCTAAAGGTGGCTGTCAGAGAAAAACACACATTATTTGTCCTCCTTCCTCCTCCTCCTCCTTCCTCCTCCTCAGGTGAACAAGAATAAAAAATGGAGGGAGCTGTCGTCTCAGTTGAACGTGGGGACGTCCAGCAGCTCAGCCAGCTCTCTGAAGAAGCAGTACATCCAGTACCTGTTCGCCTACGAGTGTAAAATGGAGCGAGGGGAGGAGCCTCCACCTGAGGGCCCGGGGTCCACCGGAGACACCAAGAAAGCTCCGTCGCTACAGGCTAAGATCCAGCCGCCTTCTCCAGGTGAGACATCCTGGTGCTGTAATGAAAGAGCGACTAAAACTCGCAAAGTTATCAGAGAGATAAAAACAGAAATGTTCCAGATTCGGTGTGTGAACGAGGCTGAGCTGATCCCTGAGTGTGACTGTACACACACTCAGCACACACACTCACACTCATGATTATGTAACAGGAGAGCCGAGTGAGTTATCAGGCGGGGGAGGGGTGTGTGAATGTAAACATCAGTGACCTCAATCTGACCTAATTTCCCACGATGCCTCTCTCTCTTTCTCTCCCCCTCTTTCTCTTCAAGCTTCATTAAATGTGTTTATACAACACTGCCCTACAAAGACAGAACAAAGTAACTACAGGAAGACAAACAGGGACACTGTTAAAAGAGTATTACGCTAATCCTCAGCTGGTATTTTTATATCACGTCACTCAGCTCCTCTTGGTCCGACTCTTTTTGGCTCTGAGTGTCTACAGTGTGGCGTTTCATGATGGCACCCTTGTTCTCAGCAGGTTTTGTGTCTGGTCTGTATCTCTGCAGCCAATTCGGGCTCCCTGCAGGGCCCCAACACACCTCAGTCCAGCAGCAGTTCCCTGACCGAGGCCCCCGGGGACCTGAAGCCACCAACCCCAGCCTCCACACCACACAGCCAGATGGGCCCTCAGCCGGGAAACAGGTAGGAGAGAGATCCAGATCCAAATAAGGAGGTTACTAATGCACTATTATACTTTATCATACTGTTAATCTGCTTTTGTTGCTTTGAAAATGTTCAATTTCAAGCTGAATTTTTAATTCTTTAAAGGAGCAGGTCGGGTGTAAATGCCTGATACATTTTTGCTCCTTATGAATCAAGTTATTTAATTTTTTGAGTTGTGTTACAAAGCTGTATGATATATAGCCTCTGCACAACTTCTCTTAGACTTTTTTATACCAAATGATTTAGCACAAATAAATAGGGGACGACCAGTATTGGTTTTTCCAGACAACAATTATTAGTATTTCATGAGACCGATAACAAAAAAATGAGAAACTTTCTGTCAAAATTAAGAATCTGAAATACTCTGAACTCCAACACAAAACAGCCGGCATCATATCCATATACATGAGTGCAGCTACACTTACAGTACAGGTCTGTCACACTGTCAGGTGATGTCTAGCCAGTCAGAAAGTGTTGTAGGTGGGATATGAGCTGAGAGCAAGAAAACAAAGCCAGGGGGAAACATATACCCACAGCAGAGCTAGAGTAGAAACTTTTTAATGAACTATTTCTACTGGGCATCGGCAAAACAAGGGGCCAATGCAGGTAGTCAGCAAAATGCTGTTCTAGGATGCGAGTATTGTTCCTGCGCTATATATAAACCTAAAAAGTAGAGGACCTAGGATTGAGCCCTGTGGCACACCACATCCAAAAAATCCTGAGAAGACAGTTTACCAGTAAAACAGAGTCGATTTAACAACTGAGATAACTTCCCGTTTACACTAGGAATTTTCAGGATTTAAAAGTATACAGTAAACCACCCATTGAGTGAAAGTTCATAATAACAAGAATATTTAGCAACTTAATAAGAATCAAAGAGTTTATTTTAAGGAAAATTATGAAATAGGAACTAGCCCTTAAAACGTGTTGTGCCTTTATGGAGCACACTTGGTCTTGGTTTGTACTGGCTGGGTTAATATGACAGTGTAACCACACCAAGATCTCCTACTCTAAGATATGGACCAGGAAACTGGAGAAGAGAGAGTCAGGAAAGATATATAGTGAAGGGTTGAGGGTTGACTCTTGATATTTTAGCTTCACTTTCAAATCACTGTCATATTGCCTGTCTTCTTGCACAGTTGATGCTTGATAACTTGAAACCACTTGGCTAAAAGCTGCATACAAATAAACATGGAAACAGTTATTTGCGAGTTTTTTTTCTGATCCCTTAATTTGCTAAAAAGATAAGCTTTGATAACGTTAATCTTTCTATCTGCTGCAAATAAAGGCTCTGATTTCTGAGGGCCAAACAAAGTCCTCCAAAATGATTCAGAATCATCAAATGACCTGCTAAACACACATGTATCTTAAAAATCTAATACAGAGTGAACTCTGAAGGTTATCATTAGTCTGTATTAAATATGTGGTTTTATCCTCTGTCCTCACCTCCTGTTGGTTTATCTCTCAGGACGGTGGGGGGAGTGAGTGTCCAGGACCCGTTCTCTGAAGGGAGCGACCCAGCCTTCCACAACAAGCGAGGTCCAGGACCCGCCGGTTCCCCGTACCAGCAGGGAGGAGGTCCAACAGACCCTTCAATGAGAATGCAGTATGACGCCAATAAAGACTCCTATGGAGGAGCGAGGAAAGGTGAGGAGAGGAAAAGGTTACTTTGTTAATTGATGAGAGAAGAAGAAGAGTCTTATTTGAAGTCATGATCACGTTTTGGACCGAGAGTTAAAATTTACACAGAATTTGATTTACACTATAGTCGTGATTTGAAAATAAGAAAATTGGTCTGAAAGTCACAAGAAAAAGAAATATTTTGGAAACAGTCATCCCTCAGTTAGAGATGTGTTTTTTTCTAAAATGAACTTTGAAGTTATTAAAAGAAGAAAATACCAAAAACTTTTAGTTCTCTATCAAGCGGCTCAAGACCCAGATCACTAGTGGATTGTTTTTAGTCCACCAGATCCAGGATCAGAGTCGACCAATAATATAGAGCCAGTTAACCAGGATAAACCCAGCAGTTGGCTTGTCAAAAATCAGCATCATAGTTCTGTGTTAATGCACTGCTGCCCCCTGGTGGTCCGAACCCCAACTGATTTTATTAGCTTCTAATAGCTGTTGTAAACTCACATTGCACCCTCATTTCATCACCACTGAGCATTTTCTACAATCCCACATCAGTTTTATGATTTTCTTCCATGAAGATGATCATAAGTATTTACAGGAAAAAGAGCTCGTCAAATTTGTCCCTAGATTAAAATATTTCGACATAAAAGCTACAATGATTGGTTTGTATTCGCCTCTCCAGGTCCAGGGCCTAGTGAAGCTTTCGGCCCCGGTCAGATGCCCAGTGGTGCCATGCAGGACATGTACCCTCGTGGGCCTCCCTCAGGGCCTCTGACAGGGATGGGCCCCAGACCTCAGTATCCCTACGGCCCTGGATATGAGCGGAGGTAAGAAACTGCACAGATGAGCTGTGTGTCTGGGACATTAAAGAACAAGTCTGTGCACAAATATTTGCTCATTTCCCTGCATGCAGCTGCAAAATTATGGGATCATGTAGTGCTGGGCGATATGGAAAAAAATGTATATCACGATATGGATCATTTTATATCACGATAACGATATATATCACGATATAGCTATGGTATGCTTTCAGTTCTATGAAAAATTTAAGTGTATACAGCTGCACTAGTACAGTACCAGTACAAGACCAGCACTTAAAACTAGAAAAATGAATAAATAAATACGTGGCCGAAGTGCGTTCATGTCTGTGCTCACCCAAAGTTATGCAACACTCACAGAAAACGCCGATAGTGTGAGCCAAAGCACTCCATAGTAATAATAATAATAATAATAAATTTAATTTGTAATGCACTTTACATTTACAAAAAATCTCAAAGTGCTACAGTACACAGTAAAAAAAGAGCAGCAACAATAAAAAAGCAATAGAATGACAGTCACAGATTGGCATAAAAAATATAGAGTTGCAATGTAAGAGGCAAGGTAGTAAAAGCATAAAGCATAGAGGAAAACTAACCAAAGGCTTTATTAAAAAGGTGGGTCTTTAGGGCTCTTTTGAAGAGGTTGTTCACACTGCTAGATGTTTCTCCTCCAAAGCTGCTCTCTGCCTCCATCATTGTTTACTTTACTCTTGAAGCACGTAGCGAGACCCGAGCATGAATCCGAGCGCTTTATTCGCCTATCAGGGGCAGACAGGTAAGGTGATATGATTCGCCACGACTCCAGAAATGATTGAAAAACTACAGAATGTCACAAAATCACGTTTCCTCGCTGCTGGCTTGAAGGGTACAAATGCGCAGCCGCGCTCCCAGCTGACAGGAAGTCAAACCACTGTTGTAGTTCTTTTGTGTTGCTAGCGCGGTCAAGAGTGTTGGCTCTCACTGAGAGATGACTACAAAAATGGACGCACCTGTTCATCTGGTTGTTAAACACGGCTGAAAATGATCATCTTTTAATGTTGTTCCCGCTCCTGCCCACTCCCGTTGCCTTTTTCCCGTCCCGTCCCGATCAAGGGATTAATTAAAAAATGACTCCCATCCCGTGGGATTCCCGCGGGAATCACGTGACCCACGGGAATTCCCGAAAAATGTCATCCTCTACAGGGAAGGTCCCGGAGCAGATGAAACAGGTGCCGGAGCGGCTGAAATAGGTCCCGGATCCGATCAAAAGAGGTCCCGGATCGCGCTCCGACTTGCTCCGGCACAAATTAAGCACTGCTTACAATGATCCCCTCACGTGTGTAACCCAGGTAACCCGCAACGGCGGGAGACGCTGGACACGAAGAGGGCACGTAAAGCGGCGTCATGTCGCAAAATCAAAAGAGAAACGCGAGCCTACATGTCAACGCATCCTTTTCTTTGTAAGGAAATATTGTTTTCTTTCCCGTTCGACACCAAATACACTTACTGAATGTGCAATTATTGTTGTTGTTACTATGAATCATCTGATGGCACAAGCCCTATGGATAAAATACAGCCTATCGCCCGAAACGATAAAAATAAAAATGGCACGATAGACATTTTCTATCGTGCCCACGATATCTATCGTCCTATCGCCCAGCACTAGGATCATGTGTACAGTACTGTGTTAGATGAGAAATGTTGACTTTATCCCTGTCTTTAGGTGAAGGTTTTATTCTGTTTGTAAGACTTTGTACGCTAATATAACAGATATAGGATCACATGCGAGTTGTTGCATGGTGACTGTTTTGTCATGACTTCAGTGACATCCCTGTTATTGCTCCAGGTCCAGAAATGGTGAAGACTGGTGCGAAGAAGTAGAAAGATAAATTTTGCACTGGGACAGGTTACGTAAATTATCAGGAGTTTAGGAATCAAAACTTGTTTATTGATTAAATCTTGACAAAATCAACAAGTTTTTTGCTAATTTTAGTCGTAAGGAGCAGACACACTGGCGCATCTCTCCTTTTTTATTTGAAGCTTTTTTTCTTGTGTTTCTACACGACGACAACAAAGCCTTCTTAATTCTGTCAGATTTGTCTTTTCGCTTCTTTCGTGTGTCATTTTTGTTGAAAGAGTAAAACTATGTTGTTTTTGTGTTGGAATTTATATGATAAGTCAGTAAATGGCCTGAAGTTCCTCTGTGCATTTCCTTCCTGCAGGTCAGATCATGTAATGGGGTCAGAAGGAGGCATGGCGCCCCCAGGAGGTCAGAACAGCATGGGTCCATCTGGAAACGAGGCCAGCATGTACCCCTCCGGCAGATACCCCCAACAGAGGTAAGAGCAGGGGAACAAATATGAAATATGAGTTTAATGTTCGTCTGTAAGAGTTTGAATCAAGATCTTCTGCTCTCTGTCTTCAGACACGGACATGATGGTTATGGGCAGCAGTATCCTCACAGTATGGCCTACAGTTCCCATCAGTCCCTGTACCCTCAGCAGCAGGTGAGCACTCTGACTCTGCTTTACGTCTTTATGGCAGAAATTACAACAAGAACTTCAGCTTTTCTGTGAGAGATTAAAAGAAATTCTCAACAGCAGATTTTGTTTATAGAATAAAAAAAAAAAGGATAAATACTCACCGTAACTTTTGAATATTTCTACTTTTGGAGGTAAAAATTTCCAACAGTTTGGAAGGGTTTCTCTATAATTGAACAAGTCTGTTTGTGTCCCATCAAATCAGAATCTCAGTTTGGTGAGTTACCAGCAAAAACTATGTGAATGGTGGAGGATGTAATAACCTATTTTAGAAAACCCAGATGTATCCGGTGTGTGTGATCAGGTCATGTCAGTTACTAATTACCTGTTTGTGTGTGTTTTCAGGGCTACAAGCGTCCAATGGAGTCCCTGTATCCTCCAGCGAAGCGTCATGAAGGCGAGGCGTTCGGCATGCAGACGTTTGGCTCTCAGCAGTCCGAAATGTTTGGCCCTTACAGCGGCGGAGGTGGGGGCTATATGGGCCCAGAGCGGAGGCCTGTTCAAGGCCAGTACCCATTCCCATATCAACGGGACCGCCAGGGGCCCCCACAGCATGGCATGATGGGCTCAGGACCGCCATCTGTGTCTGGGGGGCCCAGTGAAGGGCCACAAGCCAACATGTGGCACCCCAGGACAGATGTAGGTTACTCTTACAGCCGGCAGGGGCCCCCCTTCCCTGGCATGAACCGAGGGGATGACCAGGAGGGCCGGGCCCCCCAGGATAGCCAGTGGCCCCCCAGTCATCCCGGCCAACGGCAGCCACCTTACCCTCCTCACTCCTCCGCTTCCTCCCCTTCAATGCCGCCTATTCCTTCTAGACAGCCACCCTCATCCTTCCAGGCCACACCCACCGTCCCTAACCATGTGACCCGCTCCCTCAGCCCTTCCTCCTTCCCCCGGCCCATGGCAGGCTCTCTCTCTCCAAACAGTGGCCCCTACCTACCCTCAATGAAGAAACCAGGGCAACCAGGTGCCCCCTCTGTCCCACCCACCCAGAACCTCCACCTTATCCAGAGGGATGTCAGCTTCCCCACCAGCTCTGTGGAGGCCACACTCCCCAAACTCAAGACTCGACACCGACTCACTGCCAAGGACACAGGTAACAACACACACACACACACACAAACATACACACACACACACACACACACACATACACACATACACATATACACAGCAGATCCCACTCTCAGCTATTAACCCTCTCTTTAATCATCCTGGTCAATCAGGAACTCCAGAAGCGTGGCGAGTGATGATGTCACTGAAGTCGGGTCTGTTGGCGGAGTGCAGCTGGGCTCTGGACATGATAAACATCCTGCTCTATGATGACAGCACGGTGGGCTCTTTCAGCCTCAGTCAGGTCAGAATCCCCTTCATCATCTCCTCCTAATTAGAGCGTTTACGGTAATCTAAGATTTAAATATTAATAATAAACAATACAACATATATTCTCCTTTTTGTGTCATGATGCTTCAAATGTTTTCAATAAGGGATAAGTCAGGGCTGCAGGCAGACCAGTTTTATCAGCAGGACTCTTCTACTACAGAGCCATGCTGTGCCATGTGGTTTGTCATTGTCTTCTTAAATTTGAAGGTCTTCCCTGAGATTTTCTTTGTCTGGATGGCAGCAGATGTTGCTCCTAAACCTGTAGATATTGTTTAATATTAAAGGGATATTCTGGTGGGAAATTAATTTAGGGCTAAACACATCGTAACACCGAGTTAGACAACCCCTCGAGAGATGAATGTTGCCGACTGCTTGCTTCTCTAGTTATACCAACTTTAGTAATGACCGCACGATAGCAATACACAGCGGTCTCAGGAGCCATAAACAAACTTCAACCAAAACGCCACTCTATAGCCACAATAATGCTCAGAACAGCACCTAACTTCATCAACAGTACATATAGGGTTCTAGCCACCAAACATCTTTTTAGCTTTGCCTAATTTCTTTAGCAGAGAGACTAAACACAACTCACCTACTCTCTTCTAGCAACAGCTTGTTTGTAGCAAGACCTCAGGCCAGTCCATTAGGGACTACAGCGGGGTGATTTCGCTCAAGGAAGAACATTTATGATCATTTCTTCATAGAAATGCAATCAGACCGAGACGCTAAGGCAGAAGAACTACCGCGTCTGCAGTGCAAAATGATTAATATGATGATTATTACTTCAAGGAAATGATATAGTAATGGTCTCGCTACAAACAAACAGCTGCTGGAAGAGAGTAGGTAAGTTGTGTTTGGTCTCTTTGCTAAAGAAATTAGGCAAAGCTAAAAAAAAATGTTTGGTGGCTAGTGCTGTGGCTGGGACCCTATATGTACTGTTGATGAAGTTAGATGCTGTTCTGGTAAGTTGGTAAAACTAGAGAAGCAAGCGGTCGGCAACAGATGTGGAAGCTACCCATGACATGGACTCTGATGATCCCCATACCATCAGGGATCCTCGCTTTAAAATGCTCGCTAATAAAGCCGGGTGGTCAAGTTTAAATTTTGCAGACCTCTGGACAGTTTTGCTCTTCCCCTCAGTCCACCTTAAATGGGCTCAGGTCCAAAGAAGTCCCTGGTGTTCCTGGATCATGTTTCTATCTGGTCTCCTCTTCGCATTGTTTAGTTTGAACCTCATTAGTGGATGCAGTGATGAACTGTGTTCACTGACGATGGTTTTTAAAGTGATTATGAGCCCATGCAGTGATCTCCACTCCAGAGTCCTGCTTGTTTTTAATGCAGTGCTTCCTGAGGGCCTGAAGATCAGGAACAGCCATTCTTGGTTTTGGTCCTTGTCCCTCTGAATCTTTTAATGAATTTATGTACTTCAGATGATGAAATCCGCTGAACAATCGCTCACATGACCTCCTTCTCTCCTCCTGCAGCTTCCTGGTTTCCTGGAGCTTGTGGTTGAATATTACCGTCGCTGCCTCATCCAGATCTTTGGTATCCTGGAGGAGTACGAGGTGGGAGCTGAAGGCCAGAAGACCCTGAAGGGACCATTACCCAGACCCCTGAAGGAGGAGGTGCAAAATGAACTGCCAGCTGCCTCCTCTGAGTCTGACAGCCAATCAGAGCAGCAGAAGAGGTCAGAGGAAGAGGAGGTGATGTTGCCACTGCTCTCATTCACACCTGCTGTAAACGCAGAGGAAGAGGAGAAAAAGGAGGTGGAAGAAGCGATAAAGGTAAAGGAGGAGCACCAGGCGCAGGAGGAACCCCGCCCCCTGCAGGCCAGCAAGTACGACAGACTACCCATCAAGGTGGAGGATACCGGGGAGGGGTGGGAGGAGGTGGAGGAGCGCTGGGCCGAGCTCAGCCGACCCAATGGCTTCATCAGCGGCCTCCTGCATTGGAAGGCTGGAGGAGGAGACTCCACTGCTCACATCCTGACAGGAGCGGAGGAGCAGAGGGGAGGAGAAGAGGGGAAGAGATGGGGGAGAGCAGACGGAGGGGATGACAGGCAGAAGGAAGCAGAAGGAGGTGCGCCAGATGGGGAGGAGATGACATCTGAAACACAAGAAGGTAAGAAGATGAGGGTGAAGAAGAAGGGATTATTTCTCCATGAAAACAAAAGACAGTCTGTGACGACCTTACATGATAAAGTCTGTTTGTCCTCTACAGGCAGTGAATCAGAGGTCAAAGGTCATAGTTCACCGGTTCACAGTCCCATCAGTCAGCTGGAGGATGAGCCCCGATGCTGGGACGAGGCTCCACTGTCCACCGCTGAGTCCTGGCAGGACGCCCTGTCCAAACGCTGTGTCTGCATCTCCAACATCGTTCGCGGCCTCTCCTTTGTCCCTGGAAATGACGCCGACTTGTCGCGACACCCCGGCCTGGTTCTGATTCTGGGTCGGCTGGTGCTGCTGCACCACCACCACCCCCACAGGAAACGGACGCCACCCAGCTACCAGCGGGAGGAGGAGCAGGGTCGGGCCTGCAGCCGGGACGAGTGGTGGTGGGACTGCCTGGCGATTCTGAGGGAGAACACGCTGGTGACGCTGTCCAACATGGCGGGCCAGCTGGACCTGTCACTTTACCCAGAGGGCATAATCCTGCCTGTCCTGGACGGACTGCTGCACTGGATGGTCTGCCCGTCCGCTGAGGCCCAGGACCCGTTCTGTACGCCGGGGGGAGTTTCCTCACTCTCACCACAGAGGCTGGCGCTCGAGTGTCTTTGCAAGCTGAGCATCCAGGACTGTAACGTGGACCTGCTGCTCGCCACGCCCCCCTTTAGCCGCCAGCAGAAGCTCTACGCTACTCTGGTGCGTCTGGTGGGGGAGAGGAAAAGCCAGGTGTGTCGGGAGATGGCGGTGGCTGTTCTCTCCAATCTGGCGCAGGGAGACCCCACAGCGGCGCGAGCCGTCGCCCTGCAGAAAGGCAGCGTGGGAACTCTGATCGGCTTCCTGGAGGATAGCGTGGCCATGGCTCAGTACCAGCAGAGTTCACACAGTCTGCTACACGCCAACGCCCCACCTGAGCCACCAAGCATCAACATGATGTGCCGCGCAGCCAAGGCGCTGCTCGCCATGGCGAGGGTTGAGGAGAACCGGACGGAGTTTGTTCTGTTCGAGAGCCGGCTGCTGGACATCTCACTGTCGGCGGCGCTGAAATCTTCAGTGGCAGCCATTATGTGTGAAGTACTGTTTAAAATCGGCCGCTCGTGACACAAACACCGCCACGGAGCGTGCTCAGTGGCCTCTAAAGAAGCTCCGCCCATGTGATGGACTGGCCTCTATTTTATTTTTATTTAAAGAACAGACTAAAAAGATTTTAAATACAAATGAATATATAAAGAATATATAAAGCTCCTCCATCCACAAAATGTTTATTTGGGATTTTTAAATAATTTTAATACAAAAATATTTAATACTTGTATTTTTAATTTTTTTTATTCTTTTTTCGGTTTGTTGTTTCGTTTTAACCAAAGTGTGACGCTGAGGAAGGCTCGGGTTCTGGCTCTGTGATGTAATTCTTTTTTTCTGCTTTAGGGGGCAGGGTTTACAAAAATTAGGGGTGGGGCCAGATACAATTTGGGGGTGAGGTCTGTTTATTTAAAGTGACTGTGTAGATAAATCTTTTTTTTTCTCTCATGACAGAGAAACACTGGTGTTCTTTGTTTGGTGCAATATGTTTATTTGGGCGTTTTTTTTGTTTTTTACTCTAAATGTGAATTATTTGACCATCTGCAGTTTGACCATCTTCAGTATTTTGCAGAACCACAGCAGTATCAACCCTCACGTTCTGTCTTTTAGCAGCTTTTATGTGTCAAATCTGATCTCATCATCTTCCTCCTGTAAATAGACGATGTACATTTGACTCTGTGAATCGATGAATCATTTATAATCAGGACTCACCTGGACATTTAAGTTTCCCTTACAGGTGAACTCTTGTTTCTGTATTTAAGGTAAATATTCTCAGTTTCAAGATGTTTTCAGGGTCTGATCTGAGAAGGTGTGTTTGTTTTCAGAGACTGTATGTAAAGGCGGTGAGGGGGCGGGTGGGTTGTTGAAACTGTACTCAACATGTTGCTAACTGACACACAACTTCAAAAACAGTTATAACAAATGTAAAGAGAGAAAAATGAAAAATCTCTACATCCATCCAGAACGTCTCCTGTCTGATTTAACATCTTTCTCAGCTTGTGTTTGTCTCCACAGGTTCACTGCTTTACAAATGTTATCCTCAGAAAAGAGAGGAGAAGGAGAAGAAGAGAGGAGAGCAGGGAGAGGAGAAGGAGAAGAGAGGAGAGCAGGGAGAGAAGCAGGAAGAGGCAGGTGTGTGTCTGAAAAGCCAAGGGACAGAATGATCCCGACTAAAGAGAGGCTGCAGTGTTAACAAAATAGTTCATGAAGTGAATAAAAAGTACAGAAATCTTGATAAATAGTTTAATAACAGCTGATTTATGTTCATGTGATCCAAATTTGATAAGGTTCAGTCTTTTCCCTAGATGTTAATGTCTGAGCAGTTTTCAGGCACATTAGCACCCTCTGGAGGCTGAAATGATCATTACAGAAGGACAAACTGTTTCTCACATTTTTAGCAGGTCACCCCAGACCCCAAAAACCAAATCACGAACACACCGTGATAAAAAAAAAAATGTTTCTGTACAAATATAAACATCCACTCAGAACCAGGAGGGCTGCTGAGGACCAGACAGAGGTTCAAAATGAGATCGGATGGGTCTGAAAGCTTCACCAAGCACACAGAGACCAGACGCCAAGTGTCTGGGTTTCAGTTTTTGCATTGACTCCTTCATTGCATTGGTTGTCCAGCAGCAGATCATTTTGTCTTGAATAGCGAGTCCCAGTCCACAGGTTCAGATCTGGATGAGGACTCGGGGGACTTTGGGATGGACGGGAAGAAGGACTGCATCTTCTGTCTGAACTCTGACAACTGGAGGAGAGAAAAGGGTCAGAATAAAGTGAGAACTCCAATTGACACTTTTTCCTAAAATAATTTAGAACGTTGAATTTTGTATTTTTTAAATTTCACATTTTCTTTCAAAATAATTTTAAAATTTTGTTGTCACATTTTTCCCCCCAAAATTAATTAAAACAAAACTTGGTATGGTTCCGATAAATTTTACACTAATTTTCTTAAAATGTTTTAAAATGTCTAATTTTCTCAGATTTTTAAAACATCTTTTTTTTTTAACATTGCTACTTCAATTTTAAATTGTCACACCTATTAAAGACATTTATTCTGAATTTTATTTACTTTCTTTTAAATTTCAACTTAAAATATTTTATATTTTGGGGGTTTTACCCAAATTTAAGCATTATTTAAAAATTGTCACTTATGTTCAACTATTTCCTTTTGATGTAGGACTTTAGTTGTTATGAGGTTTATTCTCTACATTTTAGCAAAATTTTTGTAAATCTTTGGAAAATTTTCGCTGCCTTTTAAGTGTAATTTTACAACCTCAAATATTTTGAACTATTTTTCTTTATAGTGTGACTTTAAATACTACAGGTAATTTTGTCTAAATATCAAAAGCTCTGATATCCATTAAGTTAATAAAAAGTTTGATGTTTTGTGTGTTTATGTTTTACTGCTATAAAATATTCTTTTTACAGCTTTAACACCCAATTTTTTCCATTTTTCTACACTTAATTTTCTCAGTGATATAAAAATCTCTTTTCAAAGGATTCTTGGGAAACTAAAGTTTCTGTTAAAAGTATGAGACAATGAAAATCGGTCCTCAACAATGACCGTTATTATTCTACGTTAATTGTTAAAAGATGAGTAAAAGTTTCAGTGTTTTAGTCCTCGTGACTCTTCAGCAGTAGGTACCTACACTGTGAACATCCAGAACTTTCCACACTGTAAAGCTGAGTAGACCGACCCCACAGATGGCATACAGAGACCCCCAGCCGAGTGCTCTGAGGGCCAGAGAGGCCCCGCTCTCCGGGGCTGCAGCCGTTACTGTCACACCCTGCAGAGGAGGCGGAGTCAGAGAAAAAACAACGAGGAAGGAAAAAAGTGTGAGTTAAAGTTTTATCTTTTACAGCAGCATTAAACTTAATCTACATATCTGTGATCACAAGTCCAAATTAAAGCTCCTGTGAGGAACTTTCTGTTTGTGTTGACTTTGGCGCCCCCCTGTGACGCCTCTCAAATCTTATGCTTCATGTTTACTTCTTTCTGCATGTCAAAGGTTAAACTCCTGCGAGATGTTTGACACAGTTTCATCTTCACAGCTTCGGCTGAATGACAGTTTTTTAATCACTGTGTACAAATTTGATCTTCATACACATGATTTTTGCAGACATCAAAACCAGAAAAACTTAAAAAATCTAGGAAAAAAATCAAAACATTTTAAAGAAAACAATTAAATTTCAGACATTTCTCTTGGATTTCCTGATGACCTCTTTCCTGCAGCACTCATGGCTTCTGCTTTAATCTAATTTCATGTTTTAGAGAGTTTCTGGGTCCTGTGGGGGTGCGACATAGACGACAAAGACAGAGTCTGTGACAGAAATAGAGACAGAAACAAATGCTCGGTTGTTCCTCTGCGCTAACTTTAGTGTTTGTGTGCGTCAGATGTAATCAGGTCCTGTGAGCGGATGATAATCGGAACGTTCCAGCTAACAGGACAAGTCTGAGAAACTCTGAGGCTTCATGGAAAGATAAAAATGTGCTTTCACGGCGTCTGGTCAGGAGGGAGCGCAGACGTCAGAGTTTGTTTGTTTTCTCTCTGAGATATTTATGCCCGGATACCACAGGACGATAATCCGGTTAGAAATCGGAGAAAAACAAGACACACTAAAACTCACAGACAAGTCCTTTCACATGAAAACATCATGCTGACATGACTTTAAATACTTCAGTCACTAATTTAACTGTAAAGTTATTCTACTTCACTTTCTAAATTTGACTTTTTTTGTTTGTTTGTTTTGAATGAAGTCTTAAGCCCTTCAGTGTTCAGGTCCAAGTCACCAGAGAACAATCCAAGTTCAGTCCCTGTTGTTATTATCATTATTATTGTTATTATTACAATTTGTTTTGAGGGGGACCTTATTTTATTGATTTTTGGATATGAGCTAGCTCAGCAATCCTCCAAACTAGACTTAAAATTATATTGATTTTTTTTCTTCTCTAAATATTTCCTAAAAGTACAGTCTGATATCTTCACGATCACATACTTGAATCCAAAAACATTATAAACTTGAGTCTGAGCCATGATCAACAAGAAAACAAAACTGGGAACTGAACCTTATTAAACCAATCTGGACTCTTCTTTTTAGCCAGCGCCAACGTGGAGCCAAATCCTGCAATCATTCCTGCTGACGCCACCGTGGTCAGGAAAGCTGCACCTGCACAGAGGATAGAAGATTTCAGATTTAAAAACAGAAAAGAAAAGAAAAACAAAAGATAAGACCATTTTTGCTGCAGTTTGTCACCCCTCTGAACGTTGACCTGCTTTCCTACCTAACTCACATGAGAAAATACTTCACACAATACTGCTTATTTTCTATACACTTACTGTAGAAATAAAACTCAATTATGAGCTCTGTGCATTATTTTTAGTGCCTGTTAGCACCAAACTCGATTTAAATATCAATGAATGTTTCAACCTTCAAGCCTCTTACCGATCTCCAAGAGGATGACAAGATGGGAATGAATAAAAAAAAATTAAAAAAAGCTGTTTGGTTGATTTTATTTAGCCGAATTATAATAAACGTATAAATGTTTCAAAATACATAACTGCTTATGAATCACGCTCAGAGAAAAAACACTGACATTAAAGAAAAGCATAAATTGGATACAATTTGAATGGAATTTGGCGACACGAAAATAAAGGCCACACTAAAAAGGCTATTTACCAATGACAGATATAATTTTTGAGTGGACTTCAGTTAAATGGCAATTTTATCCACATAATCCACCAAAACCAGAATACAAGCCAGCGTCAGTCGCCTTGCGTAACCCAAAATAACTCGCATAAAAGTGTGTTCAGTTATATCAGTAGCTGAAATGTATTATTTTTAAATGGGGTTTGGTGCATGTAAAGACCCAACAGCTCGACATTGCTGTGACCTCGGTAACAAAAAACATGTTAATAACGTTAAACTGACGTCCCAGCTAGTTGTTACAGTAAATATGAAGTGAAAAGCTAACAGCATGACTATCTTCTTGCCTTTTAACATTTGCATTTTCGCCTCCTCATCCATTTCTGCTGCTTCCACCACATTCACAGCACTGTTTTCACCAGCGGCTGTCATGTTGCTTCAGTCCGTCTAAGTAAAGTCACCGGTTAGAAACAAGCTAGCAAGGAACGTTACAGCACCGTGCGTTTTAATTGAAAAAAAGAACTAAAATGGGAAATCGTGAAAGTATACGAATATGTTTTTTATGGTCAATATATCTGACAAATATTTTGGTTAGTTTTAGGACTTATGGCCGGAAGAATCACAACTATTTCGTACACCGAGGGAACCGTCACAGAGACGGAATTCTGAGCCAAAGATCGTCTATTCTATAGATTTGAGCTCAGTTTATTTGTTTTATTTGGATGTTTTACTCCGCTTCTTTCTCAGTTTGTGGTTAAAATTTAAACAAAACCCGTTCAATCACAAAAAAATCGCTATTTGCTGTATAAATGCTCACTTGAGTCATTGAATGAGTAAAAAGAAAGAAAGTAGATAGAAAATCAGATTATATTGAATACAATCCTGTAACTGTAGTCCTGAAGCAGGATTTAATATTTCAAAGTGGAACGTATTTTTGAATATTTTGTATGAAATTACGACTCTTCACAGTTTTCAAACCTGGAGTTATCTGCTTTTTTTAATTTGTACTTTACTATTCATACAAGTGCATCAAATAATTTGAAACGTACGGAGCCCTCAAGAACCAATTAAGATTAATAACTCATTTCTAGGAAAAAATAAGTTTTGCAAACAATAAAATCACCCATTGAAGGCAACTTAAAATCATGTGCTCACACAAGCAAATGAAACTGAGTCTGAGAATAAAAAAACAGATCAGAATTCTCTTGAGCTTTTTTTTTCTCAGGAAAAAAACAATAATTTTGATATACATCTCTGAATTCTGAAATTAGGAAAAAGTTAGAAGTCTATCCTTTTTTCTAAGCATTTTGAAAATGTGAAAGTTATTTCAGCCATATGAAAACATCACTAATCCCATGTACCTTTAGGTCATCATAGATTCTTCATATGGTGCGTGTCTAAAACAAAATCGTCAAATCGTCAGAACAGCCTGGCAAATGTAGCGCGCAATCATCTGTGTTTTCTCTTCTCGCTTCAGAGTGGCTCATCTTCCTATTAGAGGATCTGTGTAGTCCGGGTCTTGGAGCCCCAGCAGCTCTGCGGAGGATCAGGATGCTCTTCACGTCCTCCTCCTCTTCCTTCTCACAGACACAGACCCTCTGAACACCCAGAGCCGCCTCTGTCCCCAGATCCGGACCCGACTCACATCAGGTTCAGTCACCGCCAGTCCGGAACCGGAGCCGTAATCCCGGGATAGAAACACTGGATTATGTGAGCGAGGGGCGCTGCACGGGCGCGAGGCGGGGGTGTTGTGGTGGGGGTTTTTTTTCTAAGGTTTTGGACCCCGTGCGCGTGCGATAACCACGAGATGGTGTTTATTTGTGGAATATGATCAGAGATTCTGGATTAAAGATGTCGGATTTGGATTTGCTCTGGCCCCACGCTCAAAAACCTGACCTGAGGATTCATTTAGGGGCTGATTGAACATTTGGAGAGCCTGAACGCACCAGCTGCACGCGCAGAGCTCTGTTATCTCTCCGTATTTCTCTTGTTATTCACCTGTGCGCTCACCTGTGAAGACACATGTCTCAGATCCCTCATGCTGCCCTGGACCAGCAGCACCAGAACCAGCAGCCGGGCCAGTACAACCAGATCTGCACCCGCAGCAGCAGCGGCTCATGCCCGGCCCCCACCGAGGGCATGGAGCCCACCTGTACTGGCCACCGGACCCGGACCCCCCGCAGGAAGTGGCAGGTGTTCCCAGGAAGGAACCGGTTCTACTGCAATGGGAGGATCATGATGGCGAGACAGACCGGGGTGTTCTACCTGACCCTGGTCCTGATCCTGCTCACCTGTGGGCTCTTCTTCACCTTCGAGTGAGTATACACACAAAGAAACTCTTTTTTCTATCATTCTTGGGACTTCTTTCTGAATCCTACATACAGGTCCCCCAAAAGGTCCAGTGTGTACAATGAGGACAGTTAGCGCCACCTAGAGGTAAGATTTAGAATGGACCCTATTCTTGCCAGTCTCTCCTGTCACTGAGGCAACAGTGGACGTCAAAGACCAAGAGTGATTTACGTGATAAAAAAGAAAGATAACTGTTTTATGATAAGGTGGTGATGTTGTTAGTCATTTTATCTGAACACTTTATCGCCTATTTTCCTACAAATGATCCACATTTTAGTTATTCCTGATAAGTCTGATCCTCCATTATCAGGTTTTTATGGTTGAAAAATGTATCGGTACAAATTCAAGTGCACAAAACAATCAATCTCACTCTTCGTCTACCCTCCATCGTGCCTTTCTAGTGGACTTTTTCTAAGTCATCCAATTTGAAACCTTTGTGATATTCTTTTCAACATAAATTAATTTAAACAAGCTTCTGCATAATAAAGTCCATTTCTTTATGAAAATGCTGCTAAATTCTGCACATTGTATACTTTTAGAGCTCCCATGACTGACTTTGATTAGTTTAAATTTTTCACCCCTCCCTATAGACGAAGTGTTTTTTACTTATTTATTCTGTACCTGTGTAGTTAGTGTTTCTGAACAAAAATAGTCAAATGAATCAGTCAAAAGTGCCAGACAATAAAAAAAGTTGATGGTCCCCAGGTTGATAAAAGTTTTAAGGTTAATAGTCCCCAGGTTGGACGTAAACAGGACAGCACAGGACACACACCTTCGCCTCTGGGATCAACATCACCTTGTATGGGTGAAAATCAAAGAAATAATAAGTCACATGAAAAGTAGAAAGAAATGTTAAGAATATATTGGAAAGTAGAAAATCTTTGAATTTACAAATTAACGGATAGATCGATAACATACATTTAGGGGACACTACATACTGGAGTACTTAAACTTATACAGTACAGTTTAGAAAAAGGTAAAATTTCTTTAACACATGTGCAGAGAATATTTTCCTTATAGAAGCGAGTTAATTCTTGTACACAAAAGACGGTTTCTTGTTGGAACTTATTGCATGATCAGTAAAAGGTATCAACTGGTTGGGGGAAGTTATCTTGTGCACACAATATAAAAAAGAAAAAAAACCCTGGGGGCTTCAGAGGGCTTCATACTGTTTGGATAAAGTTCTTATTTTACAGAGATGGAAAAAGTACTAGAATCTTTTAATTTCAGAGAAATTTGAATTCTTGTGAGTTTAAGCATGTAAAATCCTACACATGTCCTTAATATACTTAAAGTATAATCAGATACTATCATGTATGTTATATGATTAATGACCTATTAACAGAAGTTTCAGTATGACATTGCAGCAGTGATCTATTTTAATCACTTTTAATGCTGCTGAGTCATGAAATTTACCTGCGAATCAGTAAATCAATATTAAAATCTACCTTCGCTTTATATATTCTGTGTATTTGTCTATAGAAAGTATAATTCATACATGCAATGCAGTAAATTGTACAGTGTTTATTCCGGAATGTTGGAGAATTAAAGTGTGTATTGCATAAAAATCTAAAAATAGTAGAGTGAAGTATAATACCTCAAATCTGAGTCACTAATGATCCTTTAACCATCGAGAAATTTGTTTTTAATCCCCTGAGCTCTTAAATACTGAGGAAACAGCAGGATAGTCCTGAAAATTAATCAAGCTAAAATGCTCTGAAGCAGATGATTAAAGAGGATGTATTTGTTTGTTGTTTTCAGATATTCCTCTCTTATTTCTCAGAATCTGAAATCATCTTCAGGTTATAAAATCCTCCTTGAATCTGTTTATAAATTGATCCCCGAGTCTCCAGGCTCAGTGGAGAATGTGACTTTAGTATTTTCCCACCAAACCTGGGGCTGTTTTCTGCTGATTCTCCTCACTGTGTCTCAGTTCTCTGATTCGTCTCGGAGGATTTACAGACGGAGGATGTCTGCAGTTTTAATGAGTGCAGTCAGTGTGATCAGGTAAAGGTTGTCATTCTCCGCCAGGAAACATCGTCAGAGCTAAATTTACTCCCGGTGTGTCACATCACTGAACGCTCAGATCTTATTTAGTTTCCTTTCATTAACTTCGGGAACAATAAAACTCAGAGACACTTACAGATGTTTGGTGCGTGTTCAGACATGGTGCAGTATTATTTATTCATCCTTTCTGTCTCCGCTAATCACATCTGTTTGGTTAATTATTTTGGAGCTGCAAAATTCTGTTTATAGTGCTTAAAGCTCTAAAGGTAACATAAAAAGAACAGCAGCATGCAAACAATCCAGGCTTTAATCTCTAAAACAGGTCATCTAAAAGAGACTTAATATATTCAGTTCCACCTGTCAGTCTGTGACGTCTACAGAGTATCTTAACATGATTTGCAGCTCAGAAGAAGAGCTGGTGGGTGTCACTTTTTATACAGCTCTACAGTCAAATACTGCTTTTGTAATGTTGCCCACAGTTTGTGGTTTAGAGCCTTTGTGAAGGATGTTTTAGATGGACAGGTTCACGTTTCATTGGTAGTTATAGATCCAACTCACATTGGCCTGTTCAGTCTCTGCCTGATGTTTCATTTTAACCACTTTTGTAATGAAATAAAGTTAGGAAGACCTCGTGGGTGTTACTTTCTACACTGGGCAGTCATGAAACAACTCTAAAGCTATGCCTGGCTGAGGCTAGAAATGACCCCCCACTTAGCTCCTCACGTAGACAGCTAGCATACATTAGCTATTGCTATATTAGCCGTTGTAATAATAGAACTCTCATTTCGAAACCTAATCAACATTTAGTATGGACAACCAACACTAAAACACGATACATATGTATCAAAATATGGATCAGCAGAACAGGCCGTCTTTTAAGACAGTAGTTCTCAACTGGTCTCACTCTTGGACCCACATTTTCCCATGGTCCGTAAGTTGTGACCCACTTTTATAGAATTCAAACAAAGCAAATTTATGTTTTATGAAAAAAAAACCTTTAAAGACTCTCATCTCTAACATAAATACACCCATTTTATAGAGTAAAGTGCATTTTAGAGCACATGAACTGAGGATGACAACTACTGAAGTTGCATATACAGAAAATGTCAAATATGAATTTGCACAAAATAAATACCAAAAAATTAAAAACGTGTTTTTACTGCATTCAGGCCACAGTAATAAGAAACCGTGGAGGACCATGACATAACATGTGCCTTTCAGAATAAGTTTTTGTTTTCAAAATAAAAGACATGTCAAACATCAGATGTGCATGAAATCTGTTTGCGACCCATCCAGAACGCATCTGCGACCCACTTTTTGGTCAGGACCCACCAGTTGAGAACCACTGTTGTAAGAAACACAGTGATATTCACTCTAAGGAAAGTCAGAGATTATTTGGCTTCACTTTTCAACAGCTGTTATGTCACCCATCTTTGTTAACGATCTATAGACAGCTGATTTTGACAAACGTTTCCTCTCTGACAATTTTGAGTTAATAACTAACAGGTAAAACGTTCTAGCCAATTACAGCATAGAATTTGGGGGATTAGTGCCAGGGATGGCCAATCAGATTTCAAGTAGGGACTAAACCACCTCTCTGGTGAGTGTCTTGAGAGATTTTGAATCTCTGAAAGATATTTTTACTCTTTTCTCACCAAACTAAAAGTGTACAAATTAACAGAAAAAAAACAGCTTTGAAAGAAAAGTTTTAATGTAAAGAAAAAGACTTAAGGAATAATTTCAGAACATGGAGGTAAAGGATCCTCAGTTTTCCCCCACAGTCCTAAATCAGGTCCTTAGAGACTCCCGGAGGGTTTCTTTTTGATTTTTTTTCTTTTCTGTCCTCCTACATGCGTCACTTCAACTTTCAAAACAAGGCAGACCATGGTGTTTCCCGTTGTCATGGTAACCACTTTCTGCAGCTTGTGTCACTACGGTAACAGCAGGAGGCTGGAGGAAGAGGAAAGTGTGTAAGATGTAGACCTGTAAAGAGAAAGTAGTGTGGAGGTTTTATATTCGTCCTTCATTAAAGGGATGAAATATTCTGCGTCACAGACTTTAAAAGAAAAAAAGAAGGACCTAAAGAATCCCCTCAAACGTTCAGAAAACACTTTTTTATCTTAAAAGAAGTGCAGATCAGTTTTGTTTTATATATATATGTTCTTGTCTTTGTGTCCTTAGCTGTCCCTTTTTGGCGTCCAACCTGACCCCAGCCATCCCAGCAGTCGGCGGCGTCCTCTTTGTTTTTGTGATGGGGATGCTCTTCAGGGCGAGCTTCACTGACCCCGGTGTTCTTCCTCGAGCCACACCGGATGAAGCAGCTGACCTGGAGAGACAAATTGGTAAACATGAGAACACACAAGGAAACTAAGAGTTATCGCCAACCCGGAACTGTGTGAGACAACTAACTTCAAACTCACTGCAGTAAAGTATCTCTGATAAAGAGAAATGAACTTTTCTGAAAGTTTTAATGATGATTCGGTTTTAAATTCAGCTGGTTTTTCTCACCCTCAATCTTGTCCAAATCTCTGGAGGTTTTTTAATTTTTCAGATTCAGAGGTGAGAAAATAAGCTGCAGAATTTGGATCTCTAATGAAGCTGAGTCATTACAGGAAGCTTCTCACTGCCTCCTCCAGCCAACATGTGTTAAGATGTGTCTAAGTGTGTGTGTGTGTGTGTGTGTGTGTGTAGGTGTGCGTGTTCAGTCACTGTTCATCACCAGTCTCAGACCTCCACTCTGTCAGAAATGCATCTCAGCATGTCGGTCGTTTCCACAGAAACTGTCGTTGCCGAGCTTGCCTTTTTTCTCTCTCTCCTATCTTTGGAAACCTCTTATTATTTTTTTGTTTGTTTATTTATATATATATATATTTTTTTTTTTTTTCTCGGTGAATACATTAGCTGTCAATCACAGCACAGCTTGCGCTCGGGGGGAAACAACCAAATAAGGAAGACGGAGAGGAAGGAGCAGGATTTGTAGACTCTGCTCGGTGCGTGTTTGTGAGATGTGGAGGAAGTATAGAAATAGAGGGCAGTTATTTTTTACTGGGTTGTGTTTGCTTACGGCAGTCAGGAATGTATTCTGTGACGTACCGCTTGAAACAACATCCTGTCTGATAAACAAAACCAAAGAAAGGAGTTCAAAAGTTTCTCAAACGTTTAGAGAATTTGACCCATAATCATTATTTTACCACTGACGATGGATTTAAAGTGATTTTAACAGCTTAACCATTTAAAAACCTACAGTGTGTATACAGACACTCTCCTAAACTTCTGCTTTTAGAGGATAAAACTGAAGGTGTTTGTGAGATATGCTGCTCTGTGTTATTCAATGTCCACCCTCAAGCGTATTTTCCAGTGAGACCTCAGGGTGATATTTCCTTATCAGGTACCTGAAACTCTTACATATCAGTACTTTAAAATAACCGCATCAGTTCGGCTCTGCTGCAGCGATTTCCAGAGAGATCCTGATCTAAACTTTCAGCTTCTTCATGCTTTGCTCCCTGTTTGTGATGCAGCTCCACACTGAGGTGAACACTTCTTCCCAGGAGGCTTTGCAGCTGTAAATCCAGTCAACTGCAGTTTATCTCTCTGAGCAGAAGTCGACTCTTCAAGGATGTGGAGGATTTTATGATCTTGGCGGTTGGACCCCAGGGAAAAGATGAAAACTCCCTTTGAATTTTAACCTCTAATGAGCAAGAGCAAGTTAAATTTGTCCTGCAGGTGGAGCCAGAGGGACACTCCCATTAGTCTCTGTTTGGACACTTTAAAGCCAATCGTTGAAAGCGGGAGCGGTGTTTTGAGTTGAATGCTAGCATGATTTTGAACTAACGCGGTGATGTGTTTATTTACACTGCTAATGAGTTAATCTGTTTTTGTCGTCCAGGCCGAACTCCACACACTCAAACTCAGATCTGCTTTGTGCACTCAGTTAGAAAAGCTCGCGTGCTGGTATGATGTTGCGCTGCCAGGACAGATATTTTATATATTTTTTTTATATTTTTTTTATACCGTCTGCAGCTGCCTGGACAGCTACTGTGTTGACATTGCAGAGATTTATTTATGTAACATGTGGCACGATAAAAGGCAAAAATTACCTGTTTAATAAAAGCTCTGCTATCTTGGCGTCTGTTTTCAGGCCCAAATCCTGGCTGAGCTTTCTACCGCTTGAAGAATGACCCGAGGTTTATTAGAGTTAGATTCCTCGCTTGGTCACACGTCCTCTTCAACTCTGACCTTTCTTCTGTCGGCTTGCCTTTTCTTAGTGCTTTTGACAGTGGGGCAAGCGAAAGTGTTTTTTTGCATCCATCTCCATCACAGCTCCTGTAGCTAAGTTGCTACGCTACTTTTAGCCACTTAGAGCTCTGAGGAGGGCTAGTAGAGTGGGAGGGGATGAGTCGGAACTACGGGAGAGGGGTGTGTCAAATACAGCAAGATGATTGGATGGCGCGGTGGAACAGGAGATTGACCAATAGGAGCTGTCCGGGACGGATGGCTCCCATTGGTCAATGTTTTTTTGCAGCCCTGCACCTGCTAGAGTGAACAGATTTTTTCCATTCTTCTTTCTCTAAACTTTGTGGAGATCGCACTAAAGGACCATGATCGCCATGTAAACGAGGTTCATAATAATAACCAATCTCTCCAATTGTCAACCATGCCTTTAATCCTTTTGTTGCACTAATGGAAATACATGTCAGATATCATACAAGAACGGCTCAGACATCAGGTTGTGAATTCACACAGGATGGATATTTTTCTTTAAGTTTGACAGAGTTTGACAGTTTTATGCCAGGGAGCTGCTGAATATGAACAAGATCTCTGGCTGGAGTTTCAATGCTGTGGTGGTTTTTCACCTGAACTGTGTTTTTTGCGTTTTCAGACTCAGCGGGATGCTCCAGACCACCGCCTCGCACCAGAGAGGTTCTGATCAACGGACAGACGGTCAAACTGAAGTACTGCTTCACCTGCAAGATCTTCAGACCGCCACGGGCGTCACACTGCAGCCTGTGCGACAACTGTGTTGGTCAGTCTCAAAGTTACCCAAGTACTTCATTCTGCTGAGAATGAAACTGAAGTGGATGTCTTTGTGCTTTACCTTAGTGTTTATTAATCATGATTTACAGTGTCAACTTTGCTGCATTTTTGGGTAAACATTTTAGTTTTCAATCTCAAGCCTTTAGATTCCGGTCATGAGTTGGTGCAAGCATAAGAGGGTGCCTCAATAATTCACCACAACTGACTATTCAGTTAACTAATCTTGGCCAAAAGCAACCTGTACTGTCTCCAAACTACGTCCTGTAACCTCACTCTGCATAGAACGTAAACGTAGTCACAGTGACGCCCCCTACTGGTTTCCAAAGAGACGTTATGAAGCTCAAAGATGGTAGTTACCGTATTAGAAAAGCCATCTGAAATAACTTGGCGAATAACTACAGGGCATCCAACTGTCTCTCAAACAAGCCTCACCCCTAATTAAACATAACCATAATCTCTAATTTGATGTAAACAGCTGAGTTGTATTAAAATTCAGCTCCATACATTTGTCAAAATTAGAAATAAACATAAAATACACAAAGTGTTTTAGACCAGGCAGCAAACATGTTTATTTTTGCTGTAAAGTTGAATGTTTGAGCTCACTTTCGTAGACAGCCTCTGGTGGACACTTGAGGAACTGCAATTCTTGGCATTTGGCATATTGGTGTCACTTTTTAAAGCTCCTGTGAGGAAGTTTCTACCTGTTGTGAAATAGATTTAAGTTAAAATTGCTACATCTTCAAGACCAGGCAGCAAACAAGACAATTAGTGACAGGATGGATGATTGTTATGACTTAATTTCTTATACCTATAACTGCTGCTAGAGGGCAGGTGTCATTAAAGTAGCTAAAGAAACAGCCTTTAATATATTTTCCACACTAAAAAGTCTCAGAAAAGTAAAACATTTCCAGTCAAAAGTCTGCGAGGACCTCATGGTGGCCCAGCCTGAATCCTTTCCTTCTCTCCAGTCTTCTTGATTCAAATTGGGATCACAGTTTCCACATTACCATCATGCTGTATCGGCAAAGGCTTGAAACCAGAGTCTGAATCCATAAAAGCATTAACTAGGCGACGATTTGAGAAGAAGAACCGCTTTCTTATCCTAGACCTCTATAGAAACAGTCAGTGGAGTGACCCATACAGGACATAAGACAGCATGTCTGCACTGGCTTCACTTCTTGGATTCTGGGGCTTCATCCACTTCTGCTGTCCAGTATAATCCTCACAGAGCTGGTGCAGGAATTTAAGAGAAGAACTTTTCAATAATCCAGAAACCTCTTCTTTATTTGGTTCTGCATTAAAAACATGAAATTCGCCCATAAAAAAAAAAAAAGAACTGAATCATCTTTGTGTGTTTCTCCCCTCAGAGCGTTTCGACCATCACTGTCCCTGGGTGGGGAACTGTGTCGGCCGGAGGAACTACCGCTTCTTCTACCTGTTCATCCTCTCACTCTCCTTTCTCACTATCTTCATCTTTGCCTTCGTCATCACACACGTCATCCTCAGTGAGTAACACTACCCCACACCAACTCCTACACATCACACACACACACACACAGCCTCTCTTGTGATTCACTTATTGATTTCTTTATGAAAACACTTGAGCTGCTGCACGCTCTGTCCTCTCTGCTGGGGAGGAAAAAATATATATATTTGGACTCAGGTATTAATTGGAAATTTCAGAATCTTGTGATGAAACTTCAAACTTTGTGAACCAGCTGAGCGTGAGGATCTGAATACTTGATCCACCACTGTGTCTGATCTAAAGCAGCTGCATGATGGCTCTGGACACTACAGATCAGATTAAATGACGAATGATTTCCCTCTTTTACTCTGAAATGTCCTCAAGCTGAACAAAACAGAATTAGCAATGTTATTAACAAAGACCAAAGAAGCAGATCCTCATAAACTGGATCTGAAAAAGTGGTAATTTACCCAATAAGATCAATATTATACTGACCGAGTGAAGGCCTGCAGAAATACAACATCTGAGTGTTCCCAAAAATAACCCGACAGAAACCATTTAATCTGCACAAACATCATCTTTTAGTAATAAACTTCATTTATTTATGGGGCTGTTTTAAAACAAAGTCACTGCCTCACATGATTTAACAACGGTACACACTGTAGGCCAGGGGAAAATCAGAAATACAAATTAGAATAATGCAGTTAACAAATAAAAAACACAAGACAACCAACAATAAAAAGTGGAAATTTAAGTATTTTTCTCGTCATAATCTTTTAAAAATGACTGATTCAATCTTTGTCAAACAGAGAAACAATTGTACGATTGTAAGAAGAGTGCAGACAGACGGAAACTGGGGTTATTTAAAGGACTGATATGTTCATTTGAGGAGCTTTAAGAGCCAATCACAATTGTTTGACGGCATAGACAGTGTAAAACACCATACACATTGTAAAACACAAACATGGTCTCAGTGACGTCCTCTCTGACTAACAGCTGTGGTGGCTGTGGCTCAGTAGTAAGAGTGGGTCATCTCCCAATTGTAAGGTTTAGGTTTGGAGTTTTATTCCCAGGTCCTGCTGTCCAAATGTCGAAGAGTTCTTGGGCATGACGCTGAACCCAGACCCTGCCACCTTGGTGTACCCAGCTCTTTGATTGGTCATAGGACTAGCAAACACACTTTTTACCATGTAGAGGTCCATATTTATGCCTGAATGTGCAAACTTGAAGCCTTAATAGAAATAAATTGTAAATAAATTCATCCCGAGTTCTATGTATGTACCAAAAGAGAACTGGATCATTTAGACCTGGACTTTTTTGTACCAGGTCGTAAATAGTGTTGTGTCGTTCACGAACGATTCTTTCAAAAGAACCAAATCTTTTAAGTGAAAGTACTGAACCGAATCACTTCCTAAAGTGATTCGTTCGTTTCTCACTTCAGTTGGGTTGTCAGCAGCGCAGATGCTATAGCACACAGCATGCAGGGGGGCAGCCGGCGAACAAGGGACCGCATGCACAGACACCTGAATCACTTGGTGAACGAATCACGCATTGAACTACACTCTCTGGAATCATTTTTGTCAGACAAAACTAACTTTTTTTTTCTTACTGCTAAATTGCCACCACAGCAACTTGAATACGATAGGGCACAGCATGTAACAAGTGGTGCATTAAACCCGCAGCATCCTATCATTGCAGCGGTTTGCGAGGGAACGGTGTATGCTCAGTGTGAATTCTTCTAAAAATTTAGTGAAGGAGTCACTCACTGAGCCCAATTTACCAAGCAGACCTGGTAAATAGCATACCATAGGACAGTACACTTAAAACATCATGACTTATAAACAAGTTCATTTTTACAAACCTGTTTGCCAAAGCAACACAGCCAAATACTCTCGTCTCCTGGTCCCAGAAGCTATGAAATGAACTGAATCCTGAATCGTTCAGCTGTGTATCAGTTCAGAAGTTCAGAGTCACAGGCTCCTCCTGCCAAGCGCTGAATGATTCAGTGATTCTGTGAACAAATCTTTTAAACAAATCTTTTTTGTGAACTGATTCTAGTGATTCAGTACATCTTAAAGAACTGCCGTGCCCATCACTAGTCGTAAATTTTACTGTTAAAACTGACACTTGGACATGAGTCTCATTGGGGATCCACTGGTTTTGGAGACAGCCTCAAGTGGACACTAGATGAACTGCAGCTTTTAGAACTTGCATTGACTTGATTTTTTATCAGTAGAGGATGCTGACTTATGCAAAAGTGTGCCGACTAAAAGCAATGGACCCACCGAACAGATCTGGAAAAGGATTGGAGTAAATTAATAAAGGTTATGGAAAGACCAAAGGTTAAATACTGAAGTCAGCTGGTCTCATCAGGAAAATGACAGACTGGTGACACAGTTATATCAGCAACAAATCCGACCTGAAATCTGCAGGAATTTTGTCCTGGACTGATTCCCCCACTGAACAGAAACCTATCTTAATGGACTGAAATTGTCAGTAAGCCTCTGTGACCTCTACCTGCCCTGGAGCTGAAACAAACACTCAGACAGTCCCCAGAATGATTCAGCTCCTGGTCTTAAAGTTTAAACACATTAAGGAGTTATTTTCTGCTGTTAAAGAATAAACAGCCGCATCCCTGGTGTGTTGTTCCTCTGGTAAGCTCTCTGCACTGGAGTGTGTTTCAGCTCTGCTGCAGCTTCTCATCTGTTTAATGGATCAGCTTTCGATCCCGCTCAGCCCCGCCCCCTTGCCCCTTGATTGACAGGTTGTCAGAGAGAGGCTGAGGCTGCAGTCTCTTCATGTTTCCTGTTCCTGATCGATTGGACAGCTTTCAGCTCATATAACCACTCGGCCTGTTTACAGTAAAAACCGGATCTGACAGGTTTAGATTTACTTTACTGACTCTGCAGAAAGAAAAAGTTTTTCATCTCCTTATATTTTCAATTCTCAAACCTGCCTCCTGTTTTTAGATTTGTACATGACTCAAGATCAGACTTTATTATTTTAACAAAAATCCTTTTAATTCAAGAACAGAGGAGATAAATAAATCAAAGTGAGATAGATAAATGGATGGATGGATAGATGATTGGATTGATGGGCGGATGCATGCATGCATAATATTAGTAATAATAATAATAACTTCATTTATATAGCGCTTTTGAAAACAAGAGTTTACAAAGTGCTTTAACAGGCAGGAAAATGAAGAAGATAAAAACAACAGAACAACCAGAGAGCACTTGGGGGAAATGTCACATTACTGGCAATAAAGAAATAAAATAAAATAAAAATTGGTCGAAGACATAAAAGCTTTAAAGAATGTCACATGAGCTGAGACATCATTAAAATTTAGGCATTAAAACCAAGACATTATAAGAACCCATGATACCCAGTCAACACAGGAACCCAACCACAAAAACCTGAAACCAAGGAGACGATTGTTAAACATGGATAAGAAGAGTAAAAGGTTTTAAAGAAGACAAAATCCCATAAAAGCAAGTCTATAAAAATGAGTTTTAAGATGTGATTTAAAAACAGTGACTGTTTGTGCACACCTGATCTCATCGGGGAGGTTGTTCCAAAGTCGAGGGGTCCTGATGAAAAAGGCCCCATCATCTTTAGTTACAAGTCTCTACTTTGGAACGACTAGGAGGCCCCCACCCAAGGATCTCAGGGTGTGGGCTGGCCCATAGGATGGATGGATGGATAAATGGATAAATGGATGGATGGATGGATGGATGGATGGATGGATGGATGGATATGTGGACAAACCATCCATCCAGTGTCCTCCAGAAAATCTCTATACAAAAGGGACAAGGACCAAAGACTGGATGGTCCTGATCTTTAGGCCCTGAGACAGCACTGCATTGAACACAGACAGGACTCTGGAGTGGAAATCACTGCATTGACTCAAAATCACTTCCTTAAACTGTTGTCTGTGACAAGTGTTTTCTGCTGCATCGTCAAATGCAGATTAAAAACCGCACCATGCAAAGAGAAATCCAGTTTTTTAATTGTCTGTATTGAGGTTTTCTGAATATTTAATGTGGAAGTTTGTTTTTGCTCTGAAGAGAACTTCTTTAAATCAACACGCTATCTGAAGGAAAATTCCGGAACTGAAGATTGATTTTCTGCCTTCCTGGTTCCTCACGGTCACGTGTCGTTGACCTATTTCCCGGCGTTCAGAATGTTGATATGTTTTCCCTCCCTGCAGGTCTGAACAGGCGGGAAACTGGAGCCTCGAGCTTCTTCTAACAACGAGCAGACTGTCTGACACAAACCCGTGTCCTCTTCTAACACTACACTGTTTGTTTACTGTTTTTAGCAGCAGAGCTATAAAAAGATGCAGCAGACTGAGGGGACTTTGATGAACAAGATGTAAATTTAGAGATCAGGAGCTCGTTTCAGGCAGACATCACTGCTGCTTCTGGTGTTGATTTTACTTCGGAGGAATTTTTGCACTTCCAGTAGAAACCTTCAAACCCCAAACTCAGGTCCATGACAAGACTTATAAACTTTGACATGTTCACCGTAGAGACACTGGATTTTCAGAAGTTTGTTTTGGGCAGACATCAAAATAATAACGTCTTCAGAGAGTGGCAGCCACATTGAATCTGATAGTATGTCTCTTATGTCTGTGAGTTCACATCAGACCGATCAAAAATGTGATTTTTGAGGGTCGATTTGCCCTCCAGAGCTTACTAACAGAAGTTTATGGAGTTTCAGCTCGTAGTCTAGGTCCTACCCAGTTGGGTTTCCTCTCACGATTTTACAGAATCAAATTTAAGGGATAAAAGTGCAAAAAAAAAACTGTAGATAGAACTCTCAACTCAACTTGATTTGTAGAGCACTTTAAAAACAACCAAAGCTGATACAAAGGGCTGTACATAATAACATAAAAACATAAAGCATTAATAAAAAGTTGTTTTAAAATATAATAAAAAGCAATAAAACAAATGCCGTCTCATGCTGGGTCAAAAGCCAAGGAGTAAAAGTGTGGTTTTTTTAGACGGGTTTTAAAAATGGACAGTGAGGGAGCTTGTCTAATGTGGAGAGGTAAGTCATTCTGTAACGTAGGAGCAGCAACAGAAAAAGCTCTGTCTCCTCTGAGCCTCCGCTTAGACCTTGGTACCTTCAGGAGCAGCTGGTCAGCTGACCTGAGGCACCGGGCAGAGAGGTAGGGGTGAAGCAGCTCAGAGAGGTAGGATGGGGCCAGATCATTGAAGGTTTTGAAAATAAATAAAAGGATAGATGCAGATGGTCTTCACAGGATGAATCTTGTTTTTGATCTTGAGGGTTTTCACAAAGCTGAATCACCACATTTACTCTCTTCTCTCTGCAGGATCGAACCGGACAGGCTTCCTGAGTGCGCTCAAAGACAGTCCAGCCAGATATCCTTTTAATCTTCGAACACTTGATGGATCCACTGATGCCTCGTCTGACTTGAACAGGGAATTAAAGTATTTTCATTTGGGGTCTAAGTGACTAAAAAAGTTTTAGAATTGCTCAAATTAATTTCTCCACCCTGCAGCAGGTGAAACAGGCTGTAAATGCTGATCCATAATCTCTCAAAATTTCTTGTTTTGGTCTCTGACTCCATGAACGAACTCATCAGTGCAGCAGCTCTCAGGTTCACAAAGGAAAATTTCACTTTTTTATTTTATGGTGAAAAAAAGAAGCACTCACTCACTCTCAAACACTCTCTGCTCTTCCTCTGCAGGTTACTGTTGTGTGTTAGTGTTCCTGATCAATCAATGACTCTGGTGCAGTCACGAACCACAGGTCAATATGTCCCATAATGCATTGCAAGGTTGAAGTAGTGTCACACACTTTGGGCCACAATTACAGCTACAGCATATTCTTCCATCTCCTATTCTTCAGCTGCTTCCTCTTTCTGGTTCCAGGTGTCAGAGCTACGGTGGCCGAGAACTGCCACTGCTGCAAATAAAAAAGAATGCAAAAAAAAAAACAGAAGCCACAACAGAAGTTACCGATGCATAAGAAAAAAAAGAAACCGAAGCCCGCTGCAAATAAAAAAAGAAATGGTGTGGTTAAAAAAAGTCAAAATGGAAGTTAACAACGCAAAAAAAGTGGCAATGCAAAAAAAAAAGTCACTTACTGCAAAAATAAAAGGATCCAAATAAAAAAAGCCACAACAGAAGCTACCGGTGCAAAAACAAAAAGAAATGGTGCAGATAAAAAAACCTAAAATGGAAGTTAATGACGCTAAAAAAAAAAAAATGGGGAATGGCTCACTTCAGTTGTGACTGTTCTTTATTAGCACCCTTTTACCTTCGCAGTAAGTAGCTTTTTTTTTCCATTGCCACTATTTTTTTTTTTTGCGTCATTTACTTTGTTGTAACTTCTTTTTTGTTGTATTCTTTTTTTATTTGCAGCAGTGGCAGTTCTTGGCCACCATACACAGCACTATCTTAACTGAAGTAAAATTCAGGGTGACATTTTGATGTAAAAAGAAAAGAAAAAATCTTTCCTTGACTGTTTTCTGCACCGTCCTGGAGGTGGTGGTGTGTTTCTTCTCCGTCTGGTCCATTGTTGGTCTGTCAGGTTTTCACACATACCTGATCAGCTCTAACCAGACCACCAATGAGGATGTGAGTATACGAGTGTACAGAGTCGAGAATATGGTCTAAGGTCCACTCGAGAGGGCCTGAAACTGTCTGGAAATTTTCTTTTCTGTCAAAATAATGTGTTACTGTTATTCAGTGACTCTTTGAATCAAGTTTCCTTTTCTAATTCTGGTCGTGGTTCTGATCCAGATCAAAGGTACCTGGTCTACCAAGCGAGGGAAGGACAATTACAACCCCTACAGCTACGGAAACATCCTGACCAACTGCTGTGCGGCTCTGTGTGGACCCGTTCCTCCCAGGTCAGTAAAGTCCTCCGAAAGACTGAAAAAAAGGTCCAAACACATATGATGACTCAAGTCAGGACTAGACTCAGGACTGAAACAAGGACTAAACAAGGACTAAAAATTGTTTATTTCATTTACTACTGAAAACCAAAAATTTTTTAAATGTCCTTAAAATTTCACGAATATATATTTATTTATCTCATTTGATACAGTAGATGTTTTTGGAAACTGATGAACCACAAGAGGACATTTTTAGCATTTATGGGACTGTATTCAGGTGTTTTTCAGTAATTTGTTGATCATATCGATTTGATAGAAGTATCATAAAAGTATGGATCAAAAATGATACAAAAGGCACTAAAGAGCGAGAACTAGGAAAACGAGTAAACCGCTTATCAAACCCAGACTAAACTCAGTAATAAATCCAGGACTGAAGACAAGTGCTTTTAGTAACTAAACCCAGAACTAACTCTGAATCCAGCTCTAAATCCTGGACTTAACTCTGCACAGTCCTCTGACAATTTTAGAACCAGACTCCAGACTGAACTCAGACCTAAATCAAATGTTTTACGACCATTTTGATCAGGATGTAACTAACCGCATTAAACTAAAACATCACTTCATTTTTCTTCCACCTCCTCCTCTGTGTTTAATGAGGACAGTGTTCAGCAGAGACCTTCCTCTGTGTGATTACAGTCTGCTCCTCCTCCTCCTCCTCCTCATTATTTTGTCAGGGATGACTTTCTTCACTGCTGAATGTCTGAGCTGCACAGTGATTTAAAAAATATTCATAGTCACAGTTTCTTACATTCACACTCACAAAGAAACACTTATCTGCTCTCTGCTGTGTCAGTTCTCTTGTTTCCATCCCTGCTGAATATCATACACATATGATTTAGATATAAATGATCTAAATATAAATGACCTTTTTGTAACATAAGGGAACATCAAAACAGGGGTAGATCAGCATCTCCCATGTTTTACGAGTCACGCTGAATTAAATCATCAGAGAACGTCTTCCGCCTCTGGAGACAAGGAGAGGATGCTTGTGTCAGAGGCAAACATATGGAGGCAGATTCATCCCACAGCCTGCTTGTTAAACTGTCACCAGCTGGTGTGTGTGTGTGTGTGTGTGTGTGTGTGAGTATCAGTGTGTGTGTATCAGTGTTTGTGTGTACTTAACAACATGCTGACTCCACCTGCTGAAACCCTGAGTGTCAGGCGACGGGTGTTTAAATAAATAACTCCGCTCACACTCAGATATGAAAAGTGCAAAAAAGGAGCAGTGAGATGTGTCTGTATATGAACGCTGTGTAAATAAAGTTTTAATTTGAATTCTTTGTGTCCCAGTTTGATTGACAGGAGAGGTCTGATCCAGTCCGACACACCGCAGACCGTCTCCCAGTCCAATGGGACCAGCGGCGGAAGCTACGCCCCCACGCAGCTCAACAGTCACATGGTAGGACGACGATCAGAAAGTGGAGAGAAATAAACGGCGAAGTCACACAACACAAACACACACACACACACTCACACACACTCTCTCTGAGTCTCTGCTGTCTTCGTTTCTCCTCAGTGTGATCAGGATCAGTGTATCCAGAGCACCAAGTTCGTCCTGCAGGCTGCAGCCACTCCCCTGCTCCACAGCGACCCAGTGGTCCTGGCCCCTCTGCCTGGGAAGACCACCACCCTGGGAGGCCCCTGCGCCTACCTGGCCCCTTCCCAGCCATCCCTGCCTTCTTGCGGGGGAGACGTCCACACCCTGAGGGACGCTGCCACCGACTCCCACTGCCACCACCACCTGCATCATCACCACCATCACCACCACCACCACTTCATTAGCCCAGAGGAGACGCCCTGCACCACACCTCAGGGCGCCCTGCCATGCCCCGCACATCTGCACCTCCACCCGCACCCACATCCCCCTATCCCTTCCCCCTCCGCCCTGTATGACCCGGCCAGTCAGGACGCTTTGCACGAGGACTCGGTCAGGGGTCTCGTCAAACTCAGCACCGTCTGAACTGAACTCTACTTCCAACATTTTTCGCTCTCAGACCTCAGTTTCTAAGTTTTGTCCAAAGAAAGTTTGTTTCCATTCTCCAGATTTTATGAACACTCTCATCTCGAGCATTAAAAAGTTATCAGATCTGGAAGAAAACGTCTCCGTGGGTGCTAAAAGGTTCCTAAACTGTGTCCTATTTTGACGGAAACTTGTCTAATTGGTGTTTGCACCTAAAATTATGAATGATTCAAAAGTTGTAATGATTTAATGTTGTACAGGCATTAATAATACATTTCAGCTGTTTTCCACAGCTTGTTTTATCATGATGCATAATTTAAATTACATTATACCAAATTAAACCACATTTACTTGTTAAATCCTCAGAACAAATGCTCCAGACGCAGATAAGAAAAATGTCCAAGCAGACAAAAAACAGCAGAGACGTTCTGGACTCAAAATCAGATTTTGGATGTCCTAAATTTGAAATTTTCATGAAGGCCTATCTTTGTTTTGCAGTTATCTCCTCTTTTACCATCATTCCCACAGGACCCTGCTGATTTTTGTATAAGGTTAAACTATGTGCAGCAAAGAAAAGTTCATGTTTACCCAGAATAAGCTACTATGATGCCAAACAGACGTCTGCCTTTAGCTGCTGTCCGACCAAATGTGACGTCAAAACAACAGACTTTTTACCCAAAGGGTGGCTGGGTGGTTTGAGACGACTTGATTGTGAAGCTTTTTTCAGAGATTGTGTGAGAAATGAGACTGATGTGTTTCTCAGGGGAGCTGAGTAACCCTATGTGAATCTTCAGGATTTTTGTATTTGGTTCTGAGGACAAAAACAAGAGACGGCGAACAACTGCAGAGCTGAGTTCATCCGTTTGGAGCAAAGCGGTACCACTGCCAGGTGTTCAGCTGGAGGTCAACCTGCTACTGAAAAACTGAGAAAAATTCAGAGTTACTGAGAAAAAAGGTGGGATTTGTAATATGCTTTGTCAGAATTTTTCTGTTGATGAACTTTGTCCAGCAAATTTTAACGTGGTCAATAAAAAGCCGTTATAACAAACATGGATTTTTGAGTCACTGACATGATAACTAGCTTGGTTAAGGAGGTCTTTGATCGTTTCTGGTGAGCGCAGTATTTAAAGATGAGAAAAACCATAGACTGTATATACTATGGACAACTTGGTTCCGCCTCCCGCCTGTATACGGATTTGAAGCCGAAAAGGTCTCGGTCTTTCCTGAAACCAGCGCATACGTAGTAACGTTGCGCGCAGTCGGCGCAAGAGTCGCTGTGATGACGCTGGGCTCAAACAGCATATCCCCTGGGTGAGCGACGCAATCCCCGAACACCAATAGGCTGTATCAGGTGTCAATCATAGAAAACATGAACCCCCTAATAACTTTTAAAAACGGAGCTTCACAGAAAAAAGAGGACTTGAGCACAAACCAGTCTTATAATAATTACTTGTCAACATCACAAGCAGGGGGAAGAAAAATTTATGTTCTGTGTAATTAATTTCTAAAGTTTGTCCACAGCCTCATAAGCTTTGCTGGTGGAGGGGGGGTTTATGACCTATACTGCAGCCCGTCACCAGAGGGTGCTGTTCTCAGAGTGGCTTCACCCAGAGAGGAGGCAGACGCTGTCCATTCTATATACAGTCTATGGTTAAAACAGGTATAAGAAAAAACAAAGAACATGAAACTCCAGAAAGTTTTTTTGTAGAGGGGTTGTTTTGCTCATTTTCGTTTTTGTTTGTACTTTTTACCAGTTAATAATTTTAAAGATTTTTGAAAAATCATCTCAGAATAAAAACCTTTATGTTCGCCTCTGTCTGAAACGCTTCATTTCAGCTGCTGTCTCTTTAAGACACTTAAGCACTTCAGGTGCCTCCTCCTCTGTTACAACCCAAAATGATTAATCATTCTATATAGCCATATGACTGTACTCTACAACTGTTCAGAAAGGGACAGAATATTTGCAGCAACAAAGACAAGAGACCAGCAACAATAAATAGTTCTAGTGATTTAATTTTGATTCTCTTCTTAGGATTGTTACTGGTGTTGAAATACTTGCTGTTGAAAGTCTTGCATAGATCTTGTACATTTTTTAAGACTTTTTGAATAAACTCAAAGAAGGATTGCAGCTAGTCTGAGAGTAGTAATCATGGCTGGTGATTGTCATGTCAGGAGGATATATCATAACCATTTGAGCCACACATTTCTTATGTGCGCTATTCATCTATCCTTATTTGTATTTGAGAGTGCAAATTAGATCTAAAATAGCCATTACACCCTCAGAAGTGCACAAAACCATGTAAATTTAAAAAGACATCAAATTACAGTGACATTAAAAGTTAAAAGTAAAAGTTCTTGTGCAGTTTATGTTTTTGCTTTGACACTTTCTCCTGCATGCAAACAGTATAGTTGACATTTTCTCTAACCTTTATTCTCATTAACCTTTCTGACACTATACAACATTCCATAAATCTGGGGCTTCATTGGTAACATGTATAAGAGATTATGGGTATACCTCCTTCTCCAACCCTCAATGTGAATTTAAATGCAAGGCAAATCATGTTTATTTTATTAAGAAACAAAATTTGTTCATGACTCATTCTCAGCAGATTTTTATTAACCTAAAATGAAGAAGTGGTTCCGTCCTAATCTGTGACAGACTTAGAGTAGTTGTTCATCCAGGCCGCTAGGTGGCGTCTCTGACTGTGAAGTACAGCAACAGACACAATCGTTGTCTTCACTAGCGGCCAATCACAACTCTCCTTTTATTCCGACGGAAAAAGCTGTCATGTCAGCTCCTACATTCTAGAGGGAAAATGGATTTAAGCGTTTCAATGTCATGAAAACTGAAATACCTGAAGGTACAACACGTAAAACCAACCAGCTGCAGAAATACTTGATTGACCAGCCGCTTTGTTGGTTTTCGTTGAGTGGCAGAGACGGGGAGATTACTGGGTGTTCTGGTTTAGATGACGACCTTTTTTTTTACTGACTTTCAGCCTAATTTGTCGGTTGCAACGGTTATTAAAACAGATATAACCTAGTGCACCCTGTTGCTATGAAGACTACGAAAGTAACACTATAACAAGGTCACCGTTTTAAACGGAGCACCAGCGATGTGTCTGCTACAGTCTATGGTGATGCGTCACTGTAATGTGTCTCATAGTTCAGTGACTTTGTTCCGAATCTGCTACATGAAGTTAAAAGCTTTTGAAACCCAGTGATATATTGTGTTATATTTGGATGTTAATTCTGAAAAGGGTTGTGTAAAAACGGGATATGGGCGGTACTCAACAGAAAAAGCGGCGGCGGGAAACAGACACTCAGCTACAGTAAACATCGACATTTTTGGAAAGATTTTACTATATGTGTTGATTGAAAATAAATGTTATTCTTAATAAAGGACTAATGAGTTCATGACAGCAGTTTAGTAAGCGTTTTGTAGCCATTAAAGTGCAAATAACTTGTTCTAAAACCACCTTTCTTTAATGCGGAAATAGCTCTCAATATGCGTGGTTTTAGACAGTTTAAACGCTGAAATACCAGATGTATTTGTTAGTGTGGATGGCTTTTCAATAAATAAAAAAAGAAGTGAGCCTTTTGTTCAAATTTAAACTGTTGTGTAAACGCGCATTTTGTCAGTTTTGTAACACCGGTTTCGCTCGTTTTTGTAACCCCACACAGACAAAGACGTTTGAATTTCCCGCAGCTGTTCACCCGGCACTCCATTACATTCCTCCTTTTGATTGGCTCCGTTGCAGCGTCAGTTTAAAGAGCCAGCACCAGCTTCACTCCTATTGGCCAGTTGCGTTCAAGCGCCAAGATTTCAATAAAAAGGCGAGGGGAATGTGGAAACCGCTTCATTCTCTGCTCTGTGTCTGTCCCGGCTTTTTGTTAGTTTAGGGTCTCCTGTCCTCTTTTTTTAGCGTTCATTTAGTTTCTTAATTTATTCTCGTTTTATCATTTTCTTCACGTAAACTCAAGGAAACAAAAATGCCTTCTACTCGCTCTCCTTTGTCCGTAAAGAATGAGAACTCCATCAGCAGTCAGCTCAGCAACATGACTCTGGAGAAAGAAAACACGGTAAGTCACTGAAATTCTTGTAAAACTTGTGTTCTTACTGTCTAACTGTCAGTTTAAGCGTCTGTGCTTTTGACTATACATCATGGTGACCTGTTCAGACATCCCCAGTTTAACTAACCCAGACTGAATTTGTAACCATCCTTTTTTCATATGCCAATGTGGGCAAATTAACCAAAGACAACCTGCAAAGATGTTGTCGTTTTAAAATTAATGAAGGGTTTGTTTTCTTTCTTTCTTTCTTTCATCCAGCCTCCGAGTCTGAACTCTACTCGCATCCTGGCGTCTAAAACCGCGCGTAAAATCTTCGACGAACCTGCGGTAAGTCAGACCAGACCTGCTCAAACTGATCAAATATGATAGCAATACTATCAACTGTTTATCAGTATCCAGATTTATGCAAAACGAAGAGTAATTATTGGGTTTTTTTGTGCACATGTGGCGCCTTCATTGTAACTTCTGGCGCCAACAATCAGCTGATTGCGATCACCTGCCTTTCAATCATTGACACAGATTTATCGATATGTGTAACTTTCTGCAAAATATATGAGCAGGCTTTTCATCTTCTACACCTTAAGTCCTGCATGTTGCAAACTTGAATAATTCATCCACCTGTTTACAAAGTGTAAACATTTTTTGGCACACACTCATGACCACCATTTTAATTTTATGGCATCATGATTTTCCCGTCCAGAAAATGCCAAATGCAGCCTGTGTTTAATTTAACAATGTATTCAGACAAAGACAGAAGAAATGCTGACTTCTTGAGTTTATCATAATGTAGCTAAAAGTAGTTTTCACTGGGTAATTTGTCACAAATTATTCAGTTATTTGACATTCAAATTTCTTGCATGTTAATTGTTACTGACAGTCAAACAACACTTTTGACTGTTTGTGTTAAAGTACTAAAAAGATTCAAATATCATCAGGGATGTAATTCTTCAGGATTTATCTGAAGTTATCCAAGCTGTTTGTCCCACACCGACATTGTCCCTGTATAACTGTACTCATAAGACAAACTTTGTGTGTTTCCTCAGCCTAAGTCAGAGAAGAAGAGCAGCAGTGAGGTGGAACCTCTTCTGAAGGAGAACCCTCGCCGCTTCGTCATCTTCCCCATCCAGTACCATGACATCTGGCAGATGTACAAGAAGGCTGAGGCCTCATTCTGGACTGCAGAGGAGGTATGTCAGAGTTTGAGGGTCTGATAGAAAGGCATGTGTTGAGGTTGTTTCTCAGGTTGTAGATCATATGACCCCAACAACTTGTGTCTCTTCAGGTGGACCTGTCCAAGGACCTGCAGCACTGGGAGTCTCTGAAGGACGATGAGCGCTACTTCATCTCTCATGTGTTGGCTTTCTTTGCTGCTAGTGACGGCATCGTTAACGAGAACCTGGTGAGAGTCAAAGATTGAAGTTTTTAATGTGGCAATCCTTAACTCAAAATATTGAGTTAAATTATTGAAGAAAGGCTTGAAAATGTGCAGGATAAAAACTTGAAGAGAAATTTTAAGGACATTTTTCACACTTGGGCTCATTTCTTAAACCCAACAGATCATAAATCTGAAATAAAATAAGCCACTGAAAGGAAAAAAAATGACAGTCGTCTGACCTCTAAATCTGAAATCGGCCATGAAAGGTTTTTATTCTGTCTGGTTAATGGAAATCCTAACAAACTAGAATCTGATTTGATAAAGATTTTCTTGAAATTGTAAACTGAATTGAAGAGTTTAATTCTCATCCCAAGTCACTTTAATTTGATCAAATCCACTGATCAACATGAACTTTAATGATGATTACTCGCTGTTCCTCATTTGACCACCAGGTGGAGCGCTTCACTCAGGAGGTGCAGGTGACAGAGGCCAGGTGTTTCTATGGTTTTCAAATCGCCATGGAGAACATCCACTCAGAGATGTATAGCCTCCTCATTGACACCTACATCAAAGACCCCAAAGAGAGGTGAGACCCTGATACTGGTCTGGACTGGAGCCCAGATACTGGTTTATAATGGAACCCCATTACTGTTGATGATCTGGTGTCTGATGGTGCGTTTACTGACCCACAGAGAATACCTGTTCAACGCCATCGAGACTCTGCCGTGTGTGAAGAAGAAGGCTGACTGGGCCATCAACTGGATCGGCAACAAGAGCGCCAACTACGGTAAAGCTGCTCGCCATGATGTCACTGAATAACAGGGTCTGATATTGATCTTTATCTGTTATTGATCATCTGATACTGATATGGACATTGTGTTTCCTGCAGGAGAGCGGGTTGTGGCCTTTGCCGCTGTGGAGGGAATCTTCTTCTCTGGTTCGTTCGCTGCCATCTTCTGGCTGAAGAAGAGAGGCCTGATGCCCGGCCTGACCTTCTCCAACGAACTCATCAGCAGAGACGAGGTGATTATTGATCACTGGTCACATTAAATCATGAATTAACATTTGTGTGTGTCTACAGTGAGTGTGTTAACACTGTGTGTTTTCAGGGTCTTCACTGTGACTTTGCGTGTCTGATGTTCAAACACCTGCTGAACAAGCCGTCTGAACAAACCGTCACCAGCATCATCAAGAACGCCGTGGAGATTGAGCAGGTTTGTTCTTGCACACCAAATCCCTGCAGACACTCTGATCTACCTGTTCTTGTAGTCCACCTGGTGTTAAAGTTGTGTGTTTGTGTTTCTGTGTGTGTTCAGGAGTTCCTGACTAAGGCTCTGCCGGTGAAACTGATCGGGATGAACTGTGATCTGATGAAGCAGTACATCGAGTTTGTGGCCGACAGACTGATGCTGGAGCTTGGATTCAGCAAGGTAACCACAGAGACCACAACACCCAGTGAAACCTCAGTGTATTGAGGCAGGAGCGTTTTTAGGGTCAGTAGAGGATCTGGATCAGGTCTGTGGTGATGAGCTGCGCAGGGGTACGGACCTCAGCCGATGATGGGGGCTGAGTGCTGCTGCTGAGCTCTGATTGGAGGACAAGTGGTTCACTGACAGACCGGCAGTAGCACGATATTGACGCCAGACTGAACAGACCACCTCCTCTGATCACGCAGACCTTTTGAGTCCCAGTGTCATTAGAGTTAAAATAGAAACTAACAGATCCTTTAGTTTGTGCAGCGGTAAAGAAGTATGATTACAGGAGTAACTGGAAGTAATGTTGTATTCAAATCCCTGTTCAAGATCTGACCCTTGACCCTCTGTGTGTTTTCAGATCTACCGGGTGGAGAACCCCTTCGACTTCATGGAGAACATCTCTCTGGAGGGAAAGACCAACTTCTTCGAGAAGCGTGTCGGCGAGTACCAGAGGATGGGCGTGATGTCGGGCCCCACAGACAACACTTTCACACTAGAGGCCGACTTCTAGAGTCACTTTGGGCGTTGGTGGGTCCAGCTTAGTTTAACCTGGAAACACTTGAACTTTTAAACTGGTGCTCTACCTCCCTCCCAGAGCATGCTGGGATATTTTTTGTCACAGATGGACAGACGGTTCATTTTAGAGGTGCAGCTGGTTCAGCTTCACTGTGATGGAATCATCTATTTCAGAAGCTCAGAGCTCTGCAGCCACTGTAAATAATTATTTTATAGACCTTTTTTGTAAAGAAAGAAAACAGTGTCATATATATATATCGACTTTTAGATGGTTCAGGTTGTAGTTAATTCTGTTAAATATGTACAGTTTTGGTTTTAATGCTGTTTTTTTGGTTTTGTAATAAATTGTGCAGAAACAGAAATCTTTCCTGTAGTGGATTTTTTTTTCTTCAAGCTCTGAAGGTAAAGAAAATATTGGAAAATGCACTATATTATCTGCTAAGCATCTCAGCTGAATCCTTTTTTTTTATATTTGTCTGAGTTTTGCTCATGTATCTTGTCAGAGGGTACATTTTGGTTTCCAGTCTTAAAAGCAAGAACTAAATGTGTATCCCATCTCCAACATAGAACCCTATCTTTATTAAACTGAAATGGAGCTTCTCATTTGTTTTTCTTATATGTATATAGTAACACACCTGAGTCATGAAGAATTAACTTAGAACTTCAGGAGTACATTGAGTCTTTTTGATAAAGTATGACTGTCTCCTGACAGAACCTGAGAAAGCATATAGATAGTGACAAATAAAAAAGTTATTTCCTGTTAACAAGCAGAAACGAGGTTGATGGATGAATGCTCAATTATATGTAGCTCAGGAATGATTAGTATTTGTGGCCGCAAAAAAAGTGTTACTAGTCTCCTTCCTTTAAATGTTGCCTTTTCTTTTTTTCTTAACCCACTCTAACACTGCCAAAGCTCATACCCTTATATGGTCTGTTTGTTTTCTTCAATTTGTTTGATGCCCTGCTCCAATTTGCGTGTTTCTATCTGTCGTTTTCTTCAAACAAAAAGAATAATAATTTAAATAAAATCCACCATCAGAAAGAAGTGTTTACCACAGTGTCAACAGGCCAGAATGCCACCCATGCTGTTCAAATGCCACTGTTACTTTAACCTGTCTTTATCTTTACACCGTATACAACAGCATGCAGATAACGAATAGAGTAATATTAGTAAAATTAGTCACAAAAAAAGTAAATGTCTGTAACAGTAAACACAGTTGAGCTATATTTTCATGTAAGTTCTTGAGATATCCCTTTGAATATCAAGACCAATCAAAACGAGGCATTCACAGATCAACTTGTCAGCAATCATGAACTTTTCAGGAACAAAATGAACCACATGGCAACTTCACTTCAGACTTTGTTTAATGAGTAATCAGGCAGATAAAGATGTTCCTCTTACACTGTGTCCTCACTCCAGAAACATCAACATGTTCACATACAGTAGATGAATTAATACTGATAAGTTTCTGGATGGTCCCCTTGTTCAGATAGTTTGTTTTCAAATGTTAAAAACCTGGTTTAAAGCTGTAAAGTCGAGGCGTTATTGTGGTAAAATTCAAGTTATCAACTAAAACACTAAAACATAAAAATCCTCAGAAAAATTAAACGTCTTGCACTGACAAAGAAACGTATTGTGTTCAGGCAGCCCTTGGGTTTATTTACATTTTACACGCTGTAGACTGGATTAACATTAGACCGATGTGTTTTAGTGCATCTTTAAAGGATTTTAACGTCCAGCAGTGTAACGTCTCCCTGAACCTCCAGCTGAGTGATCCGGCTCAGGTCCTGGACCCGGTGTTTGTAGTCCACCTGGTGGTTCCCGTTAACGGCAACTTTAAACTGATGAGCGTCACACAGGATAATCATCTGCAAAACAAAAACAGGTATGAGAGTTAAGTCAGAACCTTTTTTGAATTCTCAATCACGATTTTTGCTGTTAGTCAAATGTGTCTCTTGCGTGTCTGCTGTCGTACCTCAAAGTATTGCCCCTCTCTGAAGGGGAAGGAGTCGAGCTCTTTCTCCTCGAGGCCCCAGCACTCAGACAGTTTGGAGTTTCTAACAAAGACACGTTTCTTCAGACGAGGGTTGAGATGAAGAGCGATGTCGCTGCTGTCAGACACTCGCAGGTTTACGCTGAAACTAAAAAACAGGGTTGGACATGTTAAAAACAGCTGAGAAACACCTGAGGCTTTTTGTTTAAACAGATATGATCATATATTTAAGATTGAAGAGCTCTTCAGGTGTGTTTGGAGGTGTTGCGTACCAGTCTGCATCCTGATTGGTTTTTCCTTTTATGGTCACGCTGCGTCCAACTTTCAGTCCTTTAGGCAGCTCTCCTCTGAAGGGAACGCTCTGAACACAAGATCAGAAATGTTGAAATAGTTTTCACTGTTCACCAAGCTTCTAAAATTAAATTAAACATATTGACACACCGAAAATGAAACAAAACAAAAAGGAAAAAACAGCCGACCAGGGATGAGACAGGAAAAAATTCTAGTTTGGATTGTAGCGTTGAGATAAAAGCTCTTAAGAATTGAGCCTAAATTGTATTTTCTATGTGAAAGCCATTGTGAGGAGTTTTTAAACTTAAAATCAAGTACATTCTTTTTGACATTGCTCAGTCCTGATTTCAACAAGTGGTTTATTTCTTCTTTTAAGATAATTTGGTTAAAACACGAACTGTGCAAAAAAGAAACCTGGCAAACTGTTTGAGTCCGGAAAAAACCTGCACAATCTGTTGCTTTTGATTAAAAAAAAACACAGGGAACACAACAAAAACTAGACTCACCAAGTCACCTGGTAAAGACTTTCCAGTCTGGAGGAGAAGAAACAAAAAACAAAGATATCTTAATAAATGGATAAGTAAACCATTTCTTTCAGAAAGTTTACATTAATATATAAAAACACAAAGTTTTCAAAAATAATTGAAGAACACTTCTTGAACTTTGTGGTGTTCCACTGGGCTCCAGTATGAAATATTAAAAATGTAGATGTTTATTATTATATTCTGGGAAGAGTATAAAAAAAGACCATCTTCACATGTTTTTTTTCTATTAATTTTGATCACCCTTCTTTTGTCAATATTTTCAGCTCTTTTGGAAATAAATGTAAACTTAAGTCTGTACTTACATCTATCTTAAAGTCCGAGCTGCTCAAACTGGCCGAAGGCGAAACTGCATCCTAAAAAGACCAAAACAAAAATTCTGATTCATCTTCATCACATGCTCGCAGCCCCAGATTCATCACATGACGAAGAAACAGAATTTGTTCACAGACTCACCGAGCTCGGGATGATGCCCACAGCCTCAATGTTGACCTTTCCGGATATGCACAGAGTGTCGACCAGCTCCAGCTCCATCCTGTGTTTGTACTCCAGCACATGAGCTCCATTTACCGCCACCTACAAGATGGAGAGGACGGAGGGTAACAAGCTCAGATTTACTGTATGTACCAACAAAATTTTGGAAAACTCAGCAGTGACCGGAACAAAAAGGCTGGGTTTTAAGAGGACACAATCACATATGAATTTCATAGAGAATTAAAAAGAAGCTTTCCAGTTTATTTTATGTCCTGATCACGAGTAGTCATGGTATGGAGTAATGCCGCAATCAGCAGAAACAGCTGTAATTGAAGAAGTCTCACAGGGTGAATAAAACAAACTGGATTAAAACAAATTAAGTCTGAATTAAATGAGAAAATGCTGAATATTTTGAGGCCTCTCTTCTTAATATTCAGTTTCTTAGAGTTCTAGATTTTTACCTTTTCAAGTTAACCCCTTTAAAATGACATGCTGATGATACCTTTTTCAATTTGTGTTTTTTTTTTTAAATTATACTTTTGGGCATTTTGCCTTTATTAGATAAGTCAGCCTAAGAAAGATGTGGGAGTATAGAGGTTTGAGGCCAGGAGTCAAACCTGCAACCACTGCAACACAAGCTACATTGGATTTACACTCCCTTAAGCATTTTTCTAATGAAATTATGACTTAAATGTTACTGTATTGGATCTTTTTTTCACAAAATCACATTTTTTAATTTTTATATTATAGTGTATTACATCATATTTACACTTTTCTCATAAAATAACAACTTAATTTTCATTCAGTGGTAACTTTATAAAGCTATGACTCATTCTAATAAAAGTAGGACATTTTTTTTCTTACTTAACTATGACTTTTTCTGTTTGATTTGGAATTTTTCTCCTACTTAAACCTACAATTTTTAAATTTATTTATATTATTACAACTTCAATTCTTCAAAATGCAACTTATTCTGATGACATATCGACTTTTTAGATGTTGCTAATTAATTTTGCTAATTAACTTTTTGTCAAAAAATTATGATTTTATTTTCATTTTATTAAAACTTTATCCAAAGAAATTAAAACTTTAATTTAATAAATTTTCTTGTAGTGGAAAAGCTGTATTTTCATAATGTGAGGACTTGATTTTTTAATTTCCTGATTTCTTTTTCCTTCGGCGTGGCCCTTAAACTCTGTCAAACTTATCAATGCAAAGCTGAGAGATAATGAGAGATATGCATGAATATTTAACCAAAGATGAACCCAAAACCCCAATCTGGTTTTAATTTATTATTCTTTTTTTATTCGCATCAGTGTTTCCATGTTTTCACTGAAGGTCAGCTCAAACATGTCTCCTTGAAGGATGTATTTATATTTCTGTAATTCAGAAAGTGTCATATTTTGGTATAAATATTTGTCCTTTATCATCTCCTGCAGGATCTCACCTTAAACTTGTCTTTCTGGACCAGGATAATGAGTTCAAATGAGGCTCCAGGTGAAAAGGGCATCCGATGGAGGATCTCCTCCCGGCCCCACTTCTCCGTCTGCAGGGTGTTACAGACGATACAGCGAGACTTCTGGAACCGGGGGTTGAAGTGAAACGCCACATCTGCCCTCGGCTTCACGCTGCTGCCGCACGTAAAATCTACCTGAAACCTGCAAGACAGTAAAGACGAGTTGTTATTAAGGCCTTAACCTGGCCCTGCAAACATATGTGTGCCAACTGGTTAAACCAGGTTTCAGATTTGACACTGTTTTCTCACCTGTCCGCTTTAGACGGCACCGAGCCCTGAATGAGAACCATCTCACCTGGCAGGAAACCGCCCAGGATGGTCCCAGCAAAGGGGATTGTCTGAGGAGGAGGGAGGCAGTGGGGTTATAAACTTCAGATGTTTAAAAGCAAAACTAAAACTGGATGGTCCTAATCTTCCGGCTCCCAGGCAGCACTGCATTAAAACAGACATGACTCTTGAACAGAAATCACTGCATCGGCTCAAAATCACTCAGACACGATTTCCTGTGAACACAGTGCATCATGCATCCACAATGAGGTTCAAACTGAACCAAGCAGAGAAGAAACCAGATATGAACATGATCCGGAAACAATGGTGGCCTCTCTGAACTTGAGCCCATTTAATATGGACTTCAGATGGGAAACTTTCCTGTGGTCTGTCAATCAAAATGTGACATTATTTTTGGAAACCATGGGCTCTACCCAGTTACTCAGTTCCCAGTCCAGATCCAGCATCTCTGATGATATGAGGACCATATGAGTCCATGTCAGGGTTAGCTTCCACATCTGGGAAGGCATCATGAATGCTGAACAATATCTACAGGTTTAGGAGCAACATCTGCTGCCATCAAGACAACTACTTTTTCAGGAAAGACCTTCATATTTCAGCAAGACAATGACAAACCACATTCTGCAGGGACTACAATAGCATGGCTCTGTAGTAGATGAGTCCTACTGATAAACTGGCCTGCCTACAGTCCTGACTTGTCACCCTTTGAAAACATTCAGTGAATTGTGAAATGAAACATTCTGCAAAGGAGACCTCATTGTGTTGAGCAGCTGAAATCCTCATTCAGACAAGAATGGTCAACATGTCACATTCCAAGGTCCTGAAACTGGTCTGCCCCAGAAACTGGTCTGCTTGGTTCCCCCACATTCACAGTGTCTCAAAAAGAAGACATGATGCAACAAAGTGACCAACATCTCCTTGTTCAAACTATTTGGATACATGTTACCAACATCAAATTGGAGATAGCAGTATTATTCACTCAATAATAACATTTCTGTTTTTGCATGTTATCTTTGCACGATTTTCAAATTAAGAATAATCTTTATGGATTTGCAAACTTTAAAATTCTGTTCTCATTGACATATTACAGTGTCTCAAATTTCTGGAAATGGGGATGTCAGTCACCTCACGTTTAGACGTGAAAGTAGGTTCGTTTGTATATCAATTCAGGTCCTCACCAAAGCAAAACATCACGGTTGCGTGTTGCCAATCGAACCTGAACCAACCCTCATTTAAAAATCATTCATTTTTTAACGTTTCACACGTGTTGTAGGATTGCCTTTTTAATATAATGAACTAAATTCATTTCCAAAACTATTAGGTCGAAGACTTTACCTCGGCTTATACCCAACACATCTACATTGAGTAAAGGACGAAAAAAATATAGGAAAAGTGAGATCTCAATTGTTAGAAATTAACGGACAAAAGCGGTCCCACCAAACTCAACATAGCCTCTATTATTATAAAATGAAGAAATATGAGCTGATGACCGATATGCTGATTTTTTTTTCTGTTAAACAATCAACTGTTCGAAACCTGTTATATAAGATAAAGGCAAATTAAATATTAACCACATTGCGAGGCTGATAGGCTACGCTTTATAAGAAACTACAGAGATACGGCGCAAACCAGGCTAATTTCAATCTAAATAAAATGCGAATATAACGCCAAAAATAGGATGAGACCAACTGAAAATTGAGAATTTCCTTCAGTGTTAACACAGAAAGTAATTTACCGGGTTGACGAAGGTCTGCCTCGGGTTTGAAATCGACATGTTGAAGAGGAACTGCCGCGACCTGAAGCGAGTTTGGACTTTTGTTTACTTCCGTACATGACGTCACAGGAACAGTTCGACAAGGATAAGACAGACCCGGAATAAATAAATTGAAACACCGCCTAAACACTTCAAACTCTTGTCACTTTACAATGTCAAATCCAAAACACGTTTAAAAATTCTTTTTCATCTTCTTTTAAGCGTGTCAATCTGTAAAATATAGACGGACTGTAGATCGGTACTATGATGTAAGTGTCGAATCCTTGCACGCCGCAGTGGTTTGGTCAGAGGAGGGCGATTCTTGGTCTCATGATTTCAATAAAAAAAAAAAACGTACTGACCTCCACCCAAAGATCCAAACAAAGTTATTTTTCCCTTTTATTTCATTGTATTGAATGTTTTCTAGTGAGGAAAGTCATCTTGGCTGACTCATGTTTGGCTCAATCCTGTTAGTTTAAGTTTGACGCCGCATGCCACTGTTACTTTAACCTGTCTTTATCTTTACACCGTATACAACAGCATGCAGATAACGAATAGAGTAATATTAGTAAAATTAGTCACAAAAAAAGTAAATGTCTGTAACAGTAAACACAGTTGAGCTATATTTTCATGTAAGTTCTTGAGATATCCCTTTGAATATCCCTATTATTATTTTAAATTCCTGAGTAGAGCTATGACTCTAAAAATGCTCAAAGTAAAGATACGAATTTAAAAATCAGTCCAATCTTATCTTCATTTCAGTGTATACTATTTCCTTTTCCCTTCATTTGTTATCATGAATGATTTGGGTTATGTCTTCACTAGTTTAATTCTGAGAAAATGTCAAGTACATTTACTAGTTTTTCAAAGTGTCAATGTTAAATTTCGACCTCACATGTTGCAAACATTGAACCCTGACAACGTTTTCAATCCCTCTGGTTTGCCTGATATAACATCTCAGTGAACCTGCTGAGTGAAAGGACTTTAGTTAGCAATAAATATCACTTTATTGCAACAATTGTACAAATTTGACTGGAAACTTACAAGTGAAAAAGTATAAAAAACAGGCAGCTTAAAAAATTCAAGTTAGTTTACAAAAAACAAAATAAGAGCAAGTTTCAGGTTATCTAGTTAACTGCTGAGTAACTCTTCTATGTACATCATATATGACTCAGCAGTTTCCAGATGAAGAACTGTAGTGAGTTCCTTATCCACCATCATCTTTAGAGTTCATTCTTTTGAGTGATCAGACCAAGTCCACCAAGTCAATCACACAAGTCAGGTCTGTCTCTGCTGTGAATCAAAAATGTCCTCAAATCAGGTACTCTTCCTGCAGAGAGAGATGTACCAGCAGAAGTATGACCTATGTGACCAAGTCCTGCTGAGTTGTCTAGAAGTCTGCCTCTAGTGTGAAAGTGTTGTCTGTGGGGCCCGACATCACGCCCATCCTCTGGTACTCGCCCACACGCTTCTCAAAGAAGTTGGTCTTTCCCTCCAGAGAGATGTTCTCCATGAAGTCAAAGGGGTTCTCCACTCGGTAGATCTGAAAACACACAGAGGGTCAAGGGTCAGGTCTTTAACAGGGATTTGAATACAACATTACTTCCAGTTACTCCTGTAATCATACTTCTTTACCGCTGCACAAACTAAAGGATCTGTTAGTTTCTATTTTAACTCTAATGACACTGGGACTCAAAAGGTCTGCGTGATCAGAGGAGGTGGTCTGTTCAGTCTGGCGTCAATATCGTGCTGCTGCGAGTCTGTCAGTGAACCACTTGTCCTCCAATCAGAGCTCAGCAGCAGCACTCAGCCCCCATCATCGGCTGAGGTCCGTACCCCTGCGCAGCTCATCACCACAGACCAGATCCAGATCCTCTACTGACCCTAAAAACGCTCCTGTCTCTTAACACTGAGGTTTCACTGGGTGTTGTGGTCTCTGTGGTTACCTTGCTGAATCCAAGCTCCAGCATCAGTCTGTCGGCCACAAACTCGATGTACTGCTTCATCAGATCACAGTTCATCCCGATCAGCTTCACCGGCAGAGCCTTAGTTAGGAACTCCTGAACACACACAGAAACACAAACACACACCTTTAACACCAGGTGGACTACAAGAACAGGTAGATCAGAGTGTGTGCGGGGAGTTGGTGTGCAAGAACGAACCTGCTCAATCTCCACGGCGTTCTTGATGATGCTGGTGACGGTTTGTGCCGACGGCTTGTCCAGCAGGTGTTTGAACATCAGACACGCAAAGTCACAGTGAAGACCCTGAAAACACACACAGTGTTAACACACTCACTGTAGACACACACGTGGTGTTAATTCATGATTTAATGTGATCAGTGATCAATAATCACCTCGTCTCTGCTGATGAGCTCGTTGGAGAAGGTCAGGCCGGGCATCAGGCCTCTCTTCTTCAGCCAGAAGATGGCAGCGAACGAACCAGAGAAGAAGATTCCCTCCACAGCGGCAAAGGCCACGACTCGCTCTCCTGCAGGAAACACAATGTCCAGATCAGTATCAGATGATCAATAACAGATAAAGGTCAATATCATACCCTGTTATTCAGTGACATCATGGCGAGCAGCTTTACCGTAGTTGGCGCTCTTGTTGCCGATCCAGTTGATGGCCCAGTCAGCCTTCTTCTTCACACATGGCAGAGTCTCGATGGCGTTGAACAGGTATTCTCTGTGGGTCAGTAAACGCACCATCAGACACCAGATCATCAACAGTAATGGGGTTCCTTTATAGACCAGTATCTGGGCTCCAGTCCAGACCAGTATCAGGGTCTCACCTCTCTTTGGGGTCTTTGATGTAGGTGTCGATGAGGAGGCTGTACATCTCTGAGTGGATGTTCTCCATGGCGATTTGAAAACCGTAGAAACACCTGGCCTCTGTCACCTGCACCTCCTGAGTGAAGCGCTCCACCTAGTGGTCAAATGAGGAACAGCAAAGGAGAACTTCATTTTAGTTCATGTTGATCAGTGGATTTGATCAAATTAAATGACTGAGGATGATGATTCAACTCTTCAATTAAAAATACATTTTTATCAAATCAGATTCTAGTTTGTTAGGATCTCCATCAACCAGTCAGAATAAAAACCTTCGACTGCTTCAAGATTTAGAGGTCAGACTACTGTCAGTCCTTTTGTCTTCTTTCAGTGGTTTATTTTATTTCGAATTTATAATCTGTTCGATTTAAGAAATGATAGTGTAAAAAATGTCCTTGACATTTCCCTTCAAGTTTTTATCCTGCAAGTTTTCGAGCCTTTCTTCAGTAGTTTTATTGCTCAATATTTTGAGTTAAGGTTTGCTACATTAAAAACTTCAATCTTTGACTCTCACCAGGTTCTCGTTGACGATGCCGTCACTAGCAGCAAAGAAAGCCAACACATGAGAGATGAAGTAGCGCTCATCGTCCTTCAGAGACTCCCAGTGCTGCAGGTCCTTGGACAGGTCCACCTGAAGAGACATAAGTTGTTGGGGTCATATGATCTACAACCTGAGAAACAACCTCAACACATGCCTTTCTATCAGACCCTCAAACTCTGACATACCTCCTCTGCAGTCCAGAATGAGGCCTCAGCCTTCTTGTACATCTGCCAGATGTCATGGTACTGGATGGGGAAGATGACGAAGCGGCGAGGGTTCTCCTTCAGAAGAGGTTCCTCCCCACTGCTGCTCTTCTTCACTGGCTTAGGCTGAGGGACACAAACAGACAACACCAGATATGAATAACACTCAAACACTGCACAGGTTAATGCCTAGGCTCTTTCGAGTTTTCTACTGCAGACTGAGGTTTAAGTTACAGCGACTATTTGACTGCAGTGGTTTAATACACATTGTGCTGCTGTCAAGGCTGTATTCAACTATACATCTTGATTTTTCAGTGTCCATCATCAGACTACTGGAACTACTCCGTGACCCACATAAACTTTTCAGTAAAATTGTAATTCACTCAGGCAGTTTGTATTTGTTTTAGCTTGGTAATGGAAAGTTTTTAAGTTTAGCACATGCTTACTTGTGCTCTCATGATGGGGCTGATGTTAAGAGTAAGCATAATCCGAGCCTGCCTCAGTTCAACTCATGGATGGCATTCAAATATTACATGTATAATTCACTTCAGTTTATACTTCCACAGGGTTGCAGACAGATGGCATAAATTAAATCAAATAATTTAATGTAATTTAGACAAACTTCCGGAGGAAGCGGGTGGACATGATCAGCTGATTGTTGGCGCCAGAAGTCACATTACAGGGCACCACATGTCGACAAAAGGTTTCCAATAATTACTTGTACTTGGTTGCCCATAATAAAGAGCTTATATTTCAGGTCGATCGTTTTTCAGAAGTTTTCAGTAGATATGGTCTCACTTACCGCAGGATCCTCGAAGATTTTACGCGCGGTTTTGGACGCCAGGATGCGAGTAGAGTTTAGACTCGGAGGCTGGAAAGAAGGAAAACAACAAACCCTCAGATATTATGAAATAACATCTTTGCAGTCTGTCTCTGTTTAATTTTATCACATCTGATTACACATAGAGAAGGATCGTTACAAATTCAATGCGGGTCACCTGAACTGCGGATGTCTAATAAAGGGCTGCCATGGTGTTCAGTTAAGAGCACAGACAGTTAAAGGGTAAAAACAAAACAAAGGTTTTAAGTATTTTAATGACTTACCGTGTTTTCTTTGTCCAGACTCATGTTGCCGATCTGACTGCTGATGGAGTTCTCATTCTTCACGGACAGAGGAGAGCGAGTAGAAAGCATTTTGGTGTCCTTCAGTTTAGTCAAAAAAGGTAAAAGATAAAAAGAAATGACCTTGGAGGGAATAAAATAGAAAAAGAGCAGGAAAAGGCTGAACTGACAGACACAGGGACAGACAGAGAGCAACAGTGAAGCGGGTTTTGCTGTCCGCTCGCCTTTTTATTGAAATTTTGGCGCTTGAAAGCAGCTGGCAAATAGGAACGGAGCTCGCGCTGGCTCTTTAAATTAGCGCAGCGACGGAGCCAATCAGGAGGAGGGTTGTGCTCACGTGCCGGGTGAACAGCTGCTGAAAATTCAAACGGCTTTGTCTGTGCGAGGTTACAAAACCGAGCAGAACCGGTGTTACAAAACTGGCAAAATACGCGTTTACACAACAGTTTAAAATGTGACAAAAGAAATTCACATCTCTTTGATTTAACCGCTGCAAGAAACGCACAAAACGATTTTAAAAATGTGCTTTAAATAGCTTAAAGAGGAGCCGATTCTAGCCTTGAGTTACAGGCTTTTTAAGAGTGTCAAATATGCATATCATACAATCTGACATTAATGCATACAGCATGACCAATTCAGAGGATTATTCACTCTGTACTAGATCTCTAATAAGTCGGGGTGCATGTGCGTTGAACGTGTATTTATTTTAGTGACAACAATGTTAAGCGTTAACATGATTTTCTGTTGTATTATGTGTAAAGTTTGGAGGATTTTGCAGGGTTTTTTCGTTTCCCGCCGCTACGCCCTTCTTTGTTGACGGCTTTTCAAGGCGTTGTCAAAATGTTAACTAGGTGCAAAACTGACCAGAAATATCGTGTATTATATCCACATATATATAATAACGATCGTGTTCATTCAGATGTGATTTAAAGCAGTTTTAGCCTAAAAAGTGCCACAAATGTCAGGACAAAAATGCACACGTATTTTTTTTAACGTTTTCAGCGGTAATCTTGTCCGTGCGAACATGATTACAAACCGAGCAGTTATGTAGTAGCTGATGTTTGTAGAATTCCTCTCATTTGATCGTTTTTCAGTCTTTGTAGACAATAATCCGCTTTATTTTCCCTCGAAAACAGAGAAGGTGACTTATCAGCTGTTTCCGGAAGGTTGAGCTCTGATTGGCTGTGCTGGAGGACGACAACACCGCGAAAGTAGGTCAACTATTACAGGCTCCACCACGCGGCTGGAAGAGGTACTACTACAGGCCTGGTTTTGATTTAAGATTAAGGGGAGTTACAACCCCAGTTCCATTCAATGAAATGACGATAAAAAAAAATATGTATATTTTTTTGGAACTGGCATTTTGGGGATGTTTGACAACCAAGGAGATTGGTTTTTAAGTTTGGAAATTGAATTGTTATCTATTCTTGTTAAGAATAGGAATTCAGCTTCTCAACAGTTCAGGGTCTACTATGTTGAATACTGGTTCTCTTCTGCTATAGAGACATGCTGTTATAATCTCTACAGAATGGTGGTTTGTCAATGTCTTACTGAAATACGAAGGTCTTCCTTGAAAAAGTCATTGTCTGGATGGCAGCAGATGTTGCTCCTGTAGATATTGTTGGAACCTTCACAGACAAATGTGCAAGCTACCCATGACATGGACTCCGATGGGATACTGGCTTTGAATTGGGAGCTGAAACCAAGCAGGGAGTCCATAGTGTTAATAGTATAGGATGCAGCATCTATGATTTCCAAAAGAAATGTCAAATTCTGACTTGTCAGGACACAGGGCACTTTCCTGCTTCTCCCCAGTCCATCTTAAATGGGCCCAGGCCTAAGGAGGTCACTGGCGTTTCTGGTTCATATTTAGTTTTAAACTAATTTGTGGACGCAGCAACAAAGTGAGTTCCCAGACATTTTCTATTTATTTATTTTTTAGGTTTTTAACCCATGCAGTGGTTTCCACTCCAGAGTCCAGTCTGTTTTTTTTTTTTCATTTTATTTGTTTTTTTCATGCAGTGCTGCCTGAGGTCCTGATGATCAGGAACATACTGTCTTGGTTTTGGCCCTTGTCCCTTTTGTACAGAGATTTCTTCAGATTCTCTGAATCTTTTAATCATAATATTTACTGTAGATGATTTAATCCACCCATTCTTTGACACTCAGGAACATTTTTCTGAAACTGCTGAGCTATGAGCCCACACAGTCTCTTATGAGTGGTGAACGTCTTCGCCATCTTTCCTTCTGAGGGACTCAGCCTCTCTGAATGTCCTTTATATACCCAGTCATGTTACTTACCTGTTGGACATTAACCTTATGAGGAGAGATCTGTGTGGTCGGCATGGTCCACGTACCATTTCTTTGACATGCTTTGCAGGCATCAAATTCAGCGTATGTTTTTCATAAAATGAGAAACATTTCAGTTCCAATATTCATCTACATCAGTAACCTGTTTATAACAACATTTTAGTATCGGTAGTATTTCTTTTCCAAATAAAAAATACCCAAAGCTGTTACACCACTTGCATATTAAACCAAAAGTTAAGTTTATGTGAAAACAAGACTATATATATATATTTTTTTTTTTTTTTGAAGATTAGAAGAAAGATTAAAAGAAATATTGTTGAATATTAGAAAATACCTAAACTGCGTGGGGATGACTTTTTCACAAAGTTTTTTTTTTTATAGTTTGTAACTTATTAAAGAAAACTAACTTTCCCTCCATGGCTTTAAATCCTGGCTACACTCATAGACTGTATATATAATTTTTATTTATTTTCTTATATACAGTCTTTGGCTACACTTCATACATATATAAACAACTCTGGCTGATGGGGCTTTCAGATTGGAAAAGCTTGTTTTTAAATTGTGTTAACAGTACCTTCTCTCTCCACATGGTGTCGCCGCTGCCCTTCCTCCTCCTCCTCTTCTTTTTCCCTGTTTTTATTTATTTCATTTTATTCTTTATTCATTTTCTTTGGCTGCTCCTGAATGTCGGTCAGTAAGGCACGTGGGCGGGTCCCTCCTCGGTCAATGACGCAGCCCGCTGGCACAGAGTCATCCTCTCCCATTGGTCACACCCCCTGAGCGCAGGCTGCTGATTGGCTGCCGGTTGTTACCGGGTGGCGTGGGGAGAGAGGGGGGGAGTGGGCGGGGTTGCGGTTGTATAACACAAGACGTAAGAGGCGCGCTGTCGTCGAGCAGAAACTTCATATACGGGACAATGTATGTGTTTATATAAAGTGCAGCCCGGAAAGCGCAATTAACCCGCTTTACTGTCAGAGTTTAACAGCACTTTACTGTCACGTTAACAGATATGACCCACTTACACTCAGGAACAACCCACGAACATCTGAAAGTGATTATTTTTCACTTGTGAGGTTTTTTCTGTCGAAGGTCATCGATTATATCTGTGAACTGACACAAAAGAAAAGAAATAACCTCTGTCGCACTGTATTTAACAAAAGGGGAAGATAAATAATGCAATTTGAGCTGTCATTAACCAAGTGAATGCTTTTATTACCCCGAACAACTAGTCTGTTCTTGGTTTTACTGAATGAAAATGTGCTGTGATTTTTTTCAATTAATACAGTCCTCTAATGAAACCATATAAGACTTATACTTTCAGAAGCCTCTCAAAAGATTGCTGATGTAGACCTACATAGTGACAAAATTTCCTTACAGATACTATGAAAAGGAAAATAAGGAAGTAAATTATCAATATAGTATCTTAACATAATAAACTATTATGAAGATGTTTAATTGTCTATAATTTAACAGAAAGAGTGAGACTTTGATCTATTCTTTTGTTTGTGGCATGTAAAATTCAGTATTAAAAGCTTTTATTTTGGTTGGATTTTAATTACTTTTAGCAAACAGTACCTTAAAGCATTGTAATATTGCCTTTGGTCTATCAAAAATGATGTAAAAGCCTCTAAAATGTATGCATTCGTACACTCAATACTTTGTGAGGGCTCCATTATTATAAATAGCTGCATCAATGCATCATGGAGGGCATCAGCCTGTAGCCCTACTAAGATGTTATTCAAGCCCGTTATTTATTTGTTTATTTATTCTGAGTAGGGTCTTCTCTTCATTATTTTCTTTTCCATATCTTCATTTTCCTTATCTTCAACCATTTGGTAGTTAAGGTGGTGTTGTGTGCCTAAGACCTTCCGTAAAAGGAAATCAGCGTCTCCATAGATCTTGTCACCGTGAAAGTCGCTAAAGTCTCTAGGTAAACGGCTGTATTGACGTTGGCCTTCATAAAACACAGCAGACCAGCAGCAGCAGATGACATGGTCCCCAATCATCACTCTTCACTCTCACATGAAAAAAGGACTTTGGACCACCGAGAAACAGGCAGAAACCTCTGACGTTGTCTTTGCTTGAAGATTGGCTTCATATTTGCTCTGTTCGAATAAATTTACTCAAACTCAAATCTAAATATTTTAAAAGTTTGAGATATGTATTGTGACATTTTTCAAGCTGTAGGCCATAACAAACAAACCCCAAGTACAAAGACACTCTTTTAGTTTAAATGCACTAAGTCTAGACTAAAGTATGTTAATTTTTCACTTTCTCAAATACCTGAAAAAAATACTGAACTTTTACCCAATATTCTAATTAAGTGAGATGCACCTTATTTTAACTTGTGCTTTACAGATTGACCAAAAGGATAGGAATGCTGTACTCACTGAAAATTTAGGGTATACGGTTACTTTACTAGATTGTTAAAATGTCCTCCAAAAGTCTATTTCTTTCCACACTTTTAGCAGGTTACATCGTATTTTTATTAAAAACAATTTTATCTGACAACTGCTCATTACATTGCAGGTTCAGATTTTGCAATGAGAGAAATAATTATAAGAAGGACAACACATTTTCCAAAACTTTCATCAGTATGTTGGATGTAAGAGAGTTAAGTAACCATTCGCAGTAATACAAAATAGTAATCAATAATAGCTATGTGTAATAACAATGTGGTTTAATAGGTGTCCTTAAGAATGTTAATATGGTACTAATGCATATAATCTGGGATAATTTATTAATCTAATCTTGGATTAATATAAAGTCAGAGGTCTGAGATTATTCATGATCATTTGCAACAATAATTAAACCTCCAAACCCTAAACCATGGGCAAATGACTTATTTATTATTCATAAAGCCATTAGCAGTTAGAAAGCATTAAAAACCAATTATAGGACTGCCTCATTGTAACAGTCCAAAACAAAATGGATATGTAAAATATGACACTTGAGCAAAGAAAAGTATTTTAATTTCAATGTGAAAGTAGTGAAACCAGCATGCAGCTAAGGTAAAAGCCCTGCATTTTAATTTATATTTTAATTCATATTAAAGGGTAATAAAGGGACTATAAATATTTTCAGACAGATAGATTCTATCTCAGTCTGCAGCTTCAACTTGTTTCATTTTAATTATTATTCTGTTTTATTCTCTAGGAACTTTTGTATTTTGGATTCTTGGTCTGTTCTTGTAGATATTTTTGCTTATATGGCAAATCACTTTTTAAGCTATGGTTTAAAGGTATGAATGAATGAATTATTACTAATTTACTGTTTCCTGTCTTTATTCTATACTAAGCTTAACATATCCTGACATCAAATACACCCAGGATCATCCTTTAAAAGCTTCTGATAAATTTATAACTGTAGCAATTTTGCCAGAATCCTCTTGTTTAAGCTCAATTTTTACTAACCTATTGAAAGTTTCTCCTTCATGTTCCCAACGGAAATAAAAGCTGAATATCAGGTGATGAATTGTAGTCCAGGAGAACAGTAAAAAAAACTAAAAACCAACACTTTTTTCATGGTAACGTTTTATTATAAAAGCCATATTCTTCACCATCGCTTACAGGCAAATGTTCAGAAATGGGATTATTCCGATATAAGCTGTTATTATTAAGAATAACATTTAATAAGATGAGGTATTTTCTTACTGGCTACACTATGGGCCAAATCAAGCTATCAAAAACAGCACTTTTTCCTCAACAAATGTTTATTAAATAATAATAATAATGTGTAAAGCAAAGATAGTAGGTAGTATCACAGTGAGGAATACTGTCCACTGACATTTTTAAAATATCAATAACTCGTACTGTCAATAAATGCAGATTGGAATACACGTAACATTCATATAGATATCAATCTATGTACAGTATGTACAGTCACAGACAAATTAACAGAAGTTATAGCTAAGAATAGAAGCACAATACAGAGGCTTTGGCAAAAAATGAAAAGAGTGCATACATTTTTTTCTAAACGTGACATTTACACATGTAGTAAACATGATTATACACGGAGAGAGAGTACAAAAACGAGCAAGATTTATTTAAAAAATCCAGTGCAATGTCAGGTTTTTGTTTTTTTCTGTCCGTGGGTGAATAGCAGCCTGTCGCCTCCTTGTCCTCCGGTGAGTTTGTGGTTGTGGGAATTAAAATGTCCTGAGCATGGCGGGAAACTCGCTCTGCGGCCCGCCGGCGGCTCTGGCTCCGTCTACATCACATTACCTCGTCACAGCAAAACTCTGATTAGTACAAACACCTTTCAACACCTGAGGTACTGTGGCATGGTTGGACTAAATTCATAACAGCACTGATGGAGGAAAACTGGAGTATAAAACCTTAAAGGGCTGAAGATGGAAGAACATTTAAACACTGTTTGAATCTTAAAAAAGAGGAAGTAAAATGGCACTTACTGACATTAATAGGCCCTCTAAATCTGCCGCCAAAGAGCTCAACTGTAGATTAAAAAGTTGTGCCCTGCATTGTTTAAAAAACATCATAAAAGCTGGAAAATCTATTACCATGAACAGAGTGTAAACAAGTGAAATCAAAGTTTGTTCACAGTAAATATGTAAACATATGGAGTGAAGGCTAAATGCTAATGCAGGCGAATGTAAAGGGGAAGAATCAGAGGACGCTTAAGTTCAGTACGGCTACATTTGGTTCACTTATTTCTGGTCCTTCAGTGTCGCAAGCAGGTCAAAACTCTCACATCAATTCAGGACACCACATCTCTATCGCTAAAAAAGCTTTTGAAGTTAAACGCTATCATAAGCATGTTCAGGATGCTAACTGTAAGACTGTTAAAATCGTAAAACTGGCATATTAGCATGCTAACAAGCTAATATAAGACTTTCATATGAAAGTGTTTGGATGTGCTAACTGAGCTAATCCATAGTTCCAAGTTGTTATGCATGTTGGCATTTTAACAAAGTCATTGAACTTACATGCTTGTGCTAATGCTAGCTTCGAGCTTTTCTACCATTGTGGTTGTTCATATCTCAATGGCATGTCAACAAATTTTTGCTAACATGCTAATGAGAGCTGACCTGCTGACTTTATCTGTGTTTAAATGCTAACAGGCTGTTAGCAAGTTAGCATAGACCCAATTTCTCTTATTGGTTATTTGTGTGCTTTTTGTAATGTGAACAACATTGTCATGCTAACATGCTAATATTAGCATTTGGCTCACAGTACTGCCTGATAAGTCTGATAGAACATTGCTAAACCAGAAACAGCCGGAGGATCTTCGGTTCCCTTTTTTTAATGCCACAGTAACTCATCTGAAGTGAGGCGGCCATCTTGACCAGCTCTTTGGTTAATCAGAGTTTTCTGCATCTTAATGACCCTGTTGTTCATGTAAACGTAGCCAGAGCACAGTGAGAATTAGCCGGCGGAGTGTGAAGTGTCAAAAGTTTCTCCTGATGTGGAGCTGATTGAAACAGCTGGTTTAACCTGTTAGTTTGTGTTGGCGGGCCCCGGCCCCGGGTCCTGAGCTGGCCCCTGAGGGCCCCTGACTGAGTCTATTAGTTGGCTGTTGAGACAAGCATGCCCACAGGGAGAGCAGGGCTTCTGTTTTGGCCCTTTGGCAGAGCCACTTTGTTGAGGTCTCGGGTTTCTGCTGGCCACGAAGACGCCCTCTTGGTGGTCATGTGCCGCCGGGCGTGTTTGGTCAGGTGGTCACTGCGCATGAAGCGGCGGTCGCACACGTTGCAGACAAACTTCTTCTCTCCAGTGTGTGTCCTGCGGTGGCGGGAAAGCTCGTCGGAGCGGGCAAACTTTTTGTCGCAGCCCTCCCAGTGACAGCTGAACGGCTTTTCACCTGCAGACGATGAAAGAGGGGAAGAGGACGTGAGCGTGAAAACCACGAAATCACAAAACGATTTTCTTTCACATTTAGAGTTTGAAAGCTTGAAACGTCAACTTTGTAAAGTTAAAAGAGTCAGCGAGTCAGAGATCATGACACCTGAAAAAACAAAATCTGTCAGGTTGCTTTGTCCGCAGAAATGTTTGGTTCAAGTCAAAAAACGCTGAGAGGAAAGTTGTGAAATCTGTTTAAATGTGTAACTTCTTATTCTGCCTCCATGCTTTCAGCTTAATAGCTAATGCATGTTAATTTTAATCCATTGTTTTATTTTGGTCTCTCCTGATCTGAAAATCTACCTTACAATAAAAGCAACCAAACTGAAATTTCATCCTAAATAACCTTAGCATCAATGGATAATGAATGTTTGAAATAAAAGAGTTGAAAATCATAGCCCCCCCTGCAGTTCTCCATCGAGCCTCCAGGGGGTTGTCTCACCACCATTAAAGTGACACTAGGGTAGAGAGACACTAGAGAGAGACTGTCTCACCTGTGTGCGTGCGCAGATGAGCCTTCAGGTGGGAACTCTTGAAGTAAGTTTTCTTGCAGCCGGGAAAGTTGCAGACATAGTTTCGTCGGCGGGAGAAGTCGGCCTGTGAGGCGCCACTGCTTGCTCCTGTTGGCATGTAAACTGGGGCAGGGGCCAGGGGGAGGAGCTTAGTGTTTCCCAAGGTCATGACAGTCTGTGCACCCTGCGTTGCCTGGGAGACTGGTGGCTGGGGAACCACAAACATCACAGTCCCCTGCGGCACAGTGGAGCCCACCAGCAGGGGCTGAGCAAAGCTGGAGGGAGACTGGGGCAGGATAGGTTTGGGCCCCCCCTGAGTCTGGACCTGAACCGGAGCCTGAACGAAGGCAGAGATCATACCTGTCCGGCTGCTTACGGGGAACACCTGACAGAGGACAGGGGAGGAGGAGACTGGAGAGGAAGAAGAGGAGGAAGACAATGGGGAGGAGTGACGAGGTGACGCTGGGGGGGGTAGGGAGGATGGGCTGACGGGAGAAGGAAGAGGTCCATCCTTTTCCTCTGGAGGTGTCTGTGGAGCTCCAGGTGTGGGCGGGGAGGCGCAGAGTGGAGGGGGAGGAGGAAGAAGAGGAGCCGTGAGGCTGTCAGCGGTGTGACGGATGACGCTAGTGGCCATCGCCCTGCTGGGCTGAGCCAGACATGATGATTCTGACTGAGGTGCTGAGATCTCTGAAGAGAAGGTGGATGAGGTGCCGGAAGACAGGGGGTCACTGAGGAAGGCAGGACCAGGGTGGGGTGGGAGTGGTCTGGAGGTGGGGCTTAGAACAGAGGTGGTGGTGAGGACAGTGGTGGTGGAAGCCTCGGCAAAGCTCGGACTGTGAGGAGGAGTCATACACTGAGGAAGGAAAAACAAAATATCAGTTTAAGTTTATTTTATTCTTAGACAGGTTAAAAAACAGTTTTCAGAGTTTAAGATCATGGAAAGATAAAAACGTAGGATTTTAAGTTTGTCTTTGATTCGCATCTTTGGTGAATAGAAATTGGCTTAGGTTGCAAATGCATTGTATTTTACATGTAACAAAGGAAATTATATAATATTAATAATATACACTAAAATCGTAAATCATTACCATAATCACAGTCTGCTTTTCAAATTACGATTTGAGACATTTTCCAGAAAAGATTTCCAATTTTTTGCTCTAGTTAAATTTCATTCGTGTTTCTCACCAGTGAAGACAGAGCAATCAGGTCTTTTGGAGTGTCGCCCCCGTCTGGATGGAGATGGATGGAATCACAGGAGTCGGAAGTGGGGGTGAGTGGACGGGGCTTGTGTGACCGTTGGCCCCAGAAGCTCATGCTGACAAGTGCCTCAGCAGCTTCCAGGTCGTGGTATTCAATGCACGGCTTTAGCTCCATGGTCGACACCGGCGGGACGTTGGTACTGTCGACCTGAGGGAGACAAAAGGTAAGAAGATGTTCATCATAAAGAAAGTTGATTTATGTTATAATTTGTTTTATTAATTTTCAAGTATTCAAATATGAAAAAAATGAGTAATTGACAATAACAATATAAAGAATGGAGGATACCAAATGTCTCAAGAGCAATGATTATGTTCTTTCAAGTTTCTATAGAAGAACATTTTGCCATCATCAGTTTTTTCCTCTAATAACATCTGCCCCCTATATTAATAAAACCTAAGACCGCAGGAGTGTTTCCATATATAAATGTACTTCTTTAAGATACATGACTCAAGCTTTGTGGTGTTACAGGGAAACTAAACCTTGCTTTATGCCATCTAGTTCATGGCCTTGCTTTTAGACAGGTCAGATTACAGGTTTTATTTGATTAGTGCAGCAGGGTCTGACATACACAATGAATATGAACGGTTCAATATGATCCTCTTCACTAACACTGTAAAAGAAAATACTATAGCACATGACTGCTCCATGAAACTGAGAGGAGTAAAAATGGAGTATCTTCATCTTTTGGGATCCCAAGTGTGTTCTGCTGTTTCTTTACAATCCGCTAACTAAAACTTAAAAATATTTTCTTACTTTATAGTGTTTTATCTTCAAAAGACAGAAAAAATAAAGTGTCTTTCTTCTATAATAACAAAAGGGATCCTAAATGGGTCAGCTTAAGGTTTTGTCTTTGGTTTGGACGTGTTCCACCCTATATCCTGTAAAATGTCAAGAAAATGTTTAAAAATTTGTAGTTATCAAAAAGTGCAGGTTTTAAATGAGATCCAAATCTCTCTTTTTAATAGGGATCCCAAATGAGTCCTCTATGATTGAATATTAATCTTTGAGAGGTTATGATTTTAGCTTTACTGCATCCATAAACCACTTTAAATTCTTAAATTATTAATTTCTTTTAAAAAAGAACTTTGGATCCCAAATGTGTTCTTTTATGTATCCTTGTAATTTTGAACTTCTGTCATAGAAGATGGTTTCCGTGTTGTTGTTTTATGTACAGGAAAAAGTTTAAATGGGTAGTGAAAGATGTGCATAGGAAAAGTTGTTTAAAACATGCAGAAGCTTTCTTTATTACAATCATTGAGGGGATCCAAAATGTATCATTGTTTTTTCATTTTCTGCTTTCTGGAGTTGTGATTTATGTTTTCTTATGTGTCTTGATAACCACCTGGAGACTTGAACTTGGTGTTAATCTACACATGTTGGGATGCCAAATGTGTTCTGTGGTATAATAAAATCCCTTTATTGTTATTTTGCAGTCTGAAAATAGGTTTGACTTAATGTTCAAGATGTCTGAATTGCTAAAAATTACATAAACAAAGTCATCTTCTATTTGGGATCCCAATTGTGCTCTCTGTTGTTGAAAATTGTTTAAAAAAAAAAGTCCACATTTTACTGAAGTTTGTGCTACCAAACAAAATTTCCTTATTATTCTGTAAAAATTGAAGGGATGCCAAATGTGAAGGGATTTCAGCCATCCGTGGTCCTGTTTTAAGCATTTGTTAGTAAATTATATCATTGATCTTTAGTTTCAGCTGTTCCACAAAACAAATGGGATACCAAATTGTTTGTTCCCTTTCCCAGTGACTTGAGAAATTTACTTCTGCTCTACAACATCTAAGTATCTTTTTCAGCAATATACATTTATCCCATGTAAAATGGTTGTTTGCCACAAATTTAATTTCAATTGGGGATCCCAAATGTTTTCTGCAATTCCCCTCAAGGTTATAACTGACACTGCACTTAAATCAAATGTCCCTACTTTAATGTCAAAGATAAAGATTCCTGACTGACCAAATTTTTTAAATATCAATTGGGATCCCAAATGGATCTTTTCTGGTAATTCAAAGGGACACTGTTTAAAAAATTAAAATCAAAGAAGTTGGTCCAGAAATGTTGTCTTCTTTTTTTTAACCAACTTTAAATCAAGCGGGATCCCAAATGTGTTCTGCTTAGTTTACAGATTGTTTAAACAATTGTTCAAATGAGGGAAATCGCTATCTTCTTCCTGTCATAGCAACTATGAATATCTGCAGGGATACCAAATGGCAGATCCACATTGGCGCCACAGTAGACAGTGTATTTCTTCTAACAAAAAAGTCTGAAAAAGTTTTTAGCATCAAGAAAATCAGATTGACTTGACAACAAAACATTAGCGGGGAGGCAAAATGTTTCAGTCCTCAAGCAGCAGTTTTTTTCTTCGTCTTTGTGAACAAAAGCACACACCATCCATCTATGTAATTACAGATGATGTCACTGTTTTCCCACCTCCTCCTGCCTCTCCCACTGTACCTCCATGTAAGAAAAACTAGAATGGAAAAAATATAAGAATTACAAAAAAGATGGCAGTGTGAAAAATTTCACCCTGCCCAGAGTAAGTGGGAGGTGACGGGGGGACAAAGGGTGCTGGGCTAAGTTGGCTGGCATCTGGCAACTGCTCAGCTGCACATACAGGAAGGGTGGAGGGAGGGCGAGCAAGGGCCAAGAGACCTAGATAAATAGAAAGAGAGAGAGCGCGCATGGGAAGGAGGAAGAGAGAGAGCGGGGCCCCACTGCAGCGGGTACACCCAGCCGACGGGGAACCTCCCCTGCACCCAGAATAGATGACGGGAGGTGGCGTGCCAGATATTACACCCCCAGGAAAAAAAAAAAAAAAAAAACGAATGAAATAAGCTCCGCCTCTTCTCCTCCTCCCATATTAGCATGCACCGACTTGTCCAAGAAGAGAGAGAGAGAGAGAGAGAGAAACAGGAAGTATAGTTGGACAAAACAAAGTCAATCTGTTGCAACAAACACAAGCACACACACACACACACACAGTCTCATACACAAGCACTCTGCTCTGGCACTGTGATTTCCCACGCATAAGATCACTCAAACACATCACAAAGCAACACATAATGAGATCACAGCAGCAGGAAACAATGCAGAGACATCTATCATCACTTACATTAACGTGACTGTGGCTCTGTTGTTTTAATTTTTAATAAAACACCTGTTCACTGACAACAAACAACAAAACAACACCTAGATTACATCAGCCGAGAAAGGATTTAATGATTGAACCTGACGCCTCTTCAGCCTCTTTTATTGTTACTTAGTTTGGGTTTTTTATTTCGAATGTGGTGTTGTCGTGTTGTCCCCCTGCTGCCTCTTTGTTGGGCTCAGCTGCTGTTTTTTAAGGTGCAGCCTCAATCAGTTTAATCGATCAATCAATGGCAGAAAAAAAATCAATGACAGCACTGACATTAAAATTTTCATGCAGAAACAGATTGAGCAACATTTTGCAGACCTGACTTATTGTTTAAGCAAAAATCTGAATGAAATGTTGCTGTTTTTGCACATTTTTCTCAAGTGCTAAATCACATTCCTTTTTGTTTTTGCATTTAAGATGGTGCCAATAAAATCCCAGTGAGTATACAGGTAAAGATACTAATTAAGAAACACTTAAAAGACCTACATTGTTGTTAGAATAAAAATTAAATTAAAAATATAGCTGTTTTTGCTAAATTACAAGTGAGAAATTAAGTGGATCTTTTTCTTTTTTTTCTTCTATATTGATGCCAATACAAAATTAGCAACCTTTTATGACTATCTTGAGATAGTCAAACACACACACACACACACACAGACAATTTAATCAGAATAGAGGAATTAACTGAATATCTTTTAGTCTCAGACTGTTTTTGTGCTTTATAGAGCTTTGAGATGTATTCTTCTTGATTTTTCAGACATTTAAGGCACAAGATTTTGATTTTTTTAACCCAATAAATTCATCATAAAAACCACTTTATACAGCAAATATAAAAAGACATAAGCTTGCAATTGATTTAATACTTTCCCATTCATCATTTTGTTCGTGCTTATAATAAATAATATCATTTAACACATCCTAATTCTTCATTCGAGTCCAGCATCATATTTTATGAGTTCATTCGTCTACAGTGACACAGTTCATGTGCAGCAGTGTGATATTAGTGCATTAACAGCTCCGGCTACGAGAAAAACCTTGTACACCTCGCAGCCTCCTCACTCATCACAGCCAGAAATCATCCAACAACAAAGACAGCCAAGAGAAATCTGATTCTTTTTTAAAAAAGCTGCAGAAAATCTGCAAAAAACTTTCACCAGAACAAGGCAGATCAGGTCAGACTGCATCCGTCTGAGAGCATCTTTAAACTTTATGATACAGCGATGCGCTGCAGTGATGCAACTGTTGTGAACACACACACACACACACACTCACACACACACACACACACACACACATTCACACACACACAGTGGGACAGTGGGTTCAGTATGACCTCAAATAAACCAGCAGACAGCGCTAAAATAAGACAAAAAACAGCGTCAACAACCTCACCTGAACCCTGCACTGAAAGCCTCACGAGCTGACCTTAGAGCAGCTCGTGCTGTTATGAGGTTGCAGGTGAGCGATTAGTGACAATAAGAGCGACAACAACAACTTTAGAAGAGAAAAGCAGCAGCGAGCGGCTGAACGGGGAGGTTTGAGGACGGCTGCGGACTCACCTGACAGGAGCGCTCCGCCGTGAAGCTGAGCATGAGGAAGAGGAGGAAGAAGAGTTGAGAATGTGCGGCAGATCTTCAGACAGCAGCGGGAGTGTGAGCAGTCAATAATCAGCGCTGAGCCTCTGCCAGCAGACTGCTTCAGCTGAGTGGAGCCTGAATAAAAAAATAAAAAGACAGGAAAAAAAACACAGAAACAAAATTCAGAGCAGTCTGGCGGGTGGTAACACGCAGCCAATCACAGCCATAGGTGTAGCGGACTCCGGCCAATCAGAGGTGAGGCGGTGCGTGATCAGTACGTGGTCGCGACGCGATTGGTTCGACGCAGGGTGCGTGGCTGAGGGAGGCGTGGCCGGGGAGTCAGCGGTGTCAGAGTAAACCCGGTGAACCCGGCAGCGCGCTCGATCTGGGGGAAAGGTTGGGAAGCAGACAGGCGCGACGCGGGACCGCGACACCCGCGAGGACGCGCGCCAGAGGCATGTAGCGAACAACTGCAGTTACAATAAACCCGGTCTGCTAAATGTTCAAATAGAGAGAAATACTCGACGATAAAATGTGCAAAACAGGCAAAGCTTTTAATCTATTCTAAAAAAAGATCCATTTATTGCTGTCATGTAGAGTTTCTGATGCATAAAGGGGCTATTTAGGAAGTTACATAAACTTGAACTTTTAAAAGGGCTAATGAAGCAAACAACTACATTTACAATATTCAGAAACCTTAAAGTCAAAGAGATGGATAAATATGAAAAAACATAAAAAAATTTCATTCAGTGTTTAATCTGTTCATGAAAAACAATAAAGAAGAGTTCATCATTCTTCAAATAGGCTATTTGTTAAGTTACATAAAGTTGAACTTGATGGAGGACTAATCTAGCAAACAAGATTAAAATAACCCCCTAAATGTGATTTAAAATTAAAACTCCTGCAAGGAGTTTTCTTTACATTTCTAAAATTTATCTTAATGTTTTTATCTTACTTTATTTTATTTTATTTGGATATCCAAAAGCAAATGTGGCCATCAGGGGCAAGATTGGCATTTTGTGTTCCATCATTTTTTATGCCTAAAACTGGTGCGAAGGATGGGTGTCGGTCGAGCAGCTGAAAAACAACCCTATTTTTCAATTTTCTGATAAATTATTCATGATAAACAATATATTTGACTATCAAAATCACTAGGATGGGGTTTAAAAAATATATATCACTTCAGCATTAAAGGACATGATAAGGTAAGACTACTTTGTCCACAGGGGGCGCCAAAGTTGACTCAAACTGTGTCAACTTACAAGAACTTTCATAGAACTTCAAAAAAATTGGTGAAAGGTGCAAAGAGTGCTGTATGATATAAATAAATGTATGTGCAATTGGCCTATGCAACAGAGTGGTTAATCAATGACATTGATTACAGTGTTTCTAAAAGCTTGAAACACATATGCTTAAATCTTGAAGGGCAGGCACAAAGCAAAACAAAAGATTTGTAATGAAACATAGTTGTTTTCATAAACCATTAAAAGCATATTCAGAAAACAATTATCTCTTCCATTTTGAATGTTAACACCAATAACAGTTCAAAACAAACATAGACTCTGAATAGCAAACATTATAATAAAATAAAAAGCCACACTTCAAATGTACTGTCAACTGTAGATGTAATTATCCAGATGAACTTTTGTTTTACTTATTTTTGTGGTAAGAGTCATCAGATATTGATTTTGTGGGGTCAACACTTAAACCATTTTTTTTTATTCATAAGCTTAATTACCACCCACACTTAAAACTGATTTTTACTGAAAGTAAAATTGAAAAACTTACCATCAAGTTTTTAAAAATTAAAAATTACAAACTCCTTCACGATACTTTGTTTAATGCCTGGAACCGTCGTTGTTTTGAATGGTAGTTACAGTAAGCTAGTTTAGTTACATCACGCAGTCTTTGTACATCCAGCCAATCGGATTGTGTTATGGGCGGGGCATCAAGTGAGACACAGCGGTGAGTGAAAATAGACCAAGAAAGAAAGCCAAAGTAGCACATTTTTAATCCTATTAGTAATTTATAGAATAAAATACTAATACAAATAGTCACATAAATGTTAGATATTTACCACTATAATCAGCTAAGGTGGATAATAATACTGAAATCTGTCAAACTGGGAGTTATTGGCTTTACAAAAAGCAAGATACTCAAACACATTTTCATGTATTCTGAACAGCAGGTCAGTAAGTTGCTTCATTATTGGTAATATTTACCCAAAATGGTCATTAAAAAAACATTTGAGCAAAAAATAGCACGCCAACTGGTTCCTAAATGTGAAAAACTAGAAACAAAATTCAACACCCAATGTCAAGGTAATGTGAAACAAGCTGATAATATCAGCTGTAAAACCATGAAGTCTTCCTTCTTCTTTCTTCTGGCTTTTTTCTTTTTTATAAATCTACTGTACAATGACAGACGATAGAGTTTCATGTAAAATGTAGATGTAAACAAGAGTGTGTGGAGGAGGGGATGGGAGGAGTGTGTGAACTACAGCAGATTATAAACAACAGGCAAGTCTGTCCACAGTTAGCAGAGAATAAACTGCACAAAGACTTTGATAAGATAAGAAGTGAGTATGAAAATGTGCAGGTTGTTTTATAGACAGATTTCACCAGAAGGGTTACAGACAAATCTGAAGCTCTGTGTGATGAAACATGGAGAGTAAGACATGAAAAAGAAACAAAGTGACCCTGTTGCATGTCTCGACAGAGTAGAAATGCAGGACTGGCTGCAGCAGAGTAAAGTCCACGCGGTTTTTCTTTTCTTCATGTGCTGCATCGACTTTAAAAGCTGTTAAAGAGACAGAAACAAAGACGGAGAATAAAGAACGAAGAAGTGATGGACCAAACAAAGGCAGAAAGACATCCTGTAGCTCTGAGGCCCTCAACATATTTCATTATTGTCTTCTTCCTGTACCATTTTCCTCCCTGCTCTCTTGTGAGACCAACCACCTCCCCTCCTCCTCCTCCTCCCCCATCCTCCTCCTCACCCCCTCCCCATCGGGCCGATGAACCCGGGGACTCCTATGCGTCGAGGTTGTAAACAGCCTCTCCAATAAAGAAGTCCAGGGCGGGGCGAGAAGGCAGCCGGAGCACCCCCCTCCTCCCCCCTTTCCTCCCCCATTCCCTCACACTCGTGCACACGCCGGCCCAGCACCGGCTTCTTTGTTGTGGCTGCATGTTAACCCTTTAAGCTGCTGCAGGAGCCTGGAGGTCGAGCCACCACCATCATCATCATCGTCAACAAACGGGGGTGAGGAAGGTAGAGGTGGAGGTGAGGGTGGGTGATACGTCATCTAGTCTGAGAAAGAGGGAGACAAAGAGCTGTGTGTGATGTGATGCTTCATCTATCAGTGTCTAATGAGAGCAGAAAAGTCCTCTCTCGGTCAGCCTCAGCTCACCCACTCGCCCTCAGAACACCTCTCAGTGGCAGTGGCGGCCTGCCTCTGCGTGCAGCTCGTCCACAAACCAGATAAACAGCTTCCTTATTCAAAGAGAGTTAGCTCAACATGCTGCTTCTATAACTGTCTGCAGAGAGAGCGAGAGTAAACTCAGCACAGACTCTCAGAGAGGAAAACTGGGACAAAAGCAGGATCTGGCAGCAGGCAGGGGTGACGTGAGTTCATTTTCATTTTCAAGTTCAGTGGGGTTGTGAAATAAAAAAAAGGAAAGAGGGAAAACACACAGGCGGTCTGTCCATGAAAAACGGTTTCCAGGCAGAAAACACTCCCAGACTTGTGCAGGGAGGAAAACAGAGAGGACCAAGCTCAGCCCAGGCAGCTGTTTGCAGCATGAAGTCAGAGCGAAGAACCTGCAAGAAAACTCGGGATCGGAGACACGGCAAAGCATAGAGGGAGAAAGAAAGAAAAAAAGAAAGAAGGTGGCTGCTCCTTTCTTTCTTTCTCTTCACTGTCACACTATTTCAGTGAACATCACAGACAATGAAGCAGCTCAAACACTTCCAGCTTCACTTGTTGCTGATGTCGGGAGAAACAACAGTGATGTGTGTTGTGTCTACAGCGTCCAGACTCCAGCAAACAACACAAGGTCATCATCAGCATACAAAACACTCCAAAACTAAAACCTCATCAACATCTAATCTCTCTAATGACTTCAACAGGATATTTGAACCTGTTGGTTTTTGTTCAACAATGATGTATGAATCGAAGAACAATGGTCAACTTCTCTGTATTTCTACTGTAGAAAGTGGTCTACCACCTTCCACTTATAGACTTCCTTTTCTGAGTGCTGCATTGTGAAGTTCAACAACAACTTGAGAGGTGACTGTGAGTTCAGATGAAAAGTGAGGCAAAATTCACCCCTCCAGGTGTCTGCAAATTAATGCCATCATTTCTTGGTTCACAACACCACCTTACTCTTTTCTTTCTAATGAGTCTCAGTTTTACTGTTAATAGTACAGAGAGAGTTCACTCTGGCTTACCAAAACAAACTGAAGATCTATTCAATCATAAGGAAATCAGCTTTACCCCACTGCAGTATACCTGAGTGACAGCTCTCCGTAGCTCATTAACAGTGAAACTGAGACTCATGTCTCCAGATGTGTCTACAATATTTCTTAGTTTATTTACATCCCCTGGAGTGGTGCCCATCCATGTGTTTGCTAATGCTGCGTCCCAGTTACCTCGGATGTTGGTTGTTGGAGCAGGGAATGACGCTACACCCAAGTTGATGGCGTTAAAGTTAACAAGTCAGAAAACTTAGATGGACACCCACAATTACCTGTTGTTAGCTGTTGTTTCCAACTGTCAGCTGTCGTTAGCCGTTGTCAGCGGTTGTTTGTTGTTGTCAGCGATACCAGTTGTAAACAACGCATAACACAGTATTTTACTCTGACAAACACCAGAGCACTGTGATCACAGTCAGACGTTGGCAATACAACACGTCTCTTATTTAATTTCACAAAAACAAAACAGAAGTGCTAATAAATAATACATTATGAGAGCTTTCACTGTTGCTCTTTACTGTTGATGCACTGCGCTGCCATCTTGAATTATGACGTTGTCGTCAAGTCGGGGTTGGCGAGGATCGTCCGACTTTCCAAGTGACTTCCGAGGACTATTGGAACACAGCGTTCGAGTCTTAGCTTCAGTGTAAATAGTAAGATACACAGAGGCTCTGTTCATCTGTTTGCTGTGAGTTTCAGTTTCACCGAAAACAGTAACACTGTAAATTTACTCTGGCTTACTTACGCAAATACGAGATCCTGAAAGTTAACACCTTCCTTTTTGTATGTGTATTGTATATGTATTTAATATAGCTGGAGCAAGCCTGAGTGAGACCTCTGTGTATGTCACTATCAACAGTGACACTGAGACTAAACCTTCCACTTGTAACCTCTTGTTTAACGTCATCCCCTGTGGTACAGCTCATTAATTTGTTGCTGCCTGGTTAGTCTAAGCATTACTGTAAATATTTAGCGTTTCATGAGCTTTTTTCATCTGTTTATGGTGAGTCTCAGTTTTACTGTACATACTAAGTTATACAGATGTTTCACTTGCTTACTGCACCAAACTTGAGGCCCGTTAAATGCAAGTCAACCATGAAAAACCACCTTCTTTTTCAAGTTCATACTTTGAAGAAAGCCTCACTATAAACTGTGAAACTGAGACTCACCCTCCCAGATATGTCTGCAACGTAAACAGTTGTTTCTTAAGTGGAGCCCATTCATCTGTTTTTGATAAGTATCAGTTTATCTGTAAGTAGTTCATCACACATTGGCTTTATTTCTCTGTTGACTGTGAGTCTCAGTTTCACAATAATGACGGAAGAGTTTTGACTGTAGGAGCCTGTTAGGCCCCACAAGAGAGTGTTGATTTGATACAAGCGTGCACGTGCAACCAACTTCTAATTTGTCTGTCTTCACCACTATGTAAACAAACACCTTTGTGCACAGATGCCACTTACCTCCACATATAGGCCTGGTTTTCATGCTCAAGCATTTTCAGTGTCTGTGGATTGTTTTCAAAACACTTTATTTCGATCAATCGCTTTATTTGACTGCAGTTTGTTTTAATGCAAAGAAAATACTTTTCTGTTTTTGATTGGGCTGTCCTTTTCTGAACAGGTCTCGATGGACACCAAAGCTGAGCAGATTGGACTCCAACATTATTCTTAATTTGGGGATTAGGTCAGTCTCTGTGCCTGAGGAGGAGAATTAAATGATGAGACTTGAACAGATTAATCTGCAGAAATAAAAGAAAAATGTAAGTCAAACTTGATGGAGCTGCAACACTATATGTTGAATGAATGCAGATATCAGTGCAAAGTGCAAAATAAAATAAAAGTTCTGGAAATTTAAACATGTTTAACTGGTTTACTTAAAAATAACAGTTACTAAGATGATTTTCAGTCTTCCTGCCTCCACTTCTTCAATCAAATCTTAAAACTTGGTGTAAGAATAAGACTAAATTCAACTTTATTTAGGTTAATGTCATATTTTTTATGTTTATTATTCATTGTAAAGAAACCCCAAAATGCTGTCCTTCTGCTACTTATCTCCAGTCTGCATGGATAAGAGTGTCAGCGAAATCAGCACACAAGGTAAATACGCCTGAAAAGCAGAAGTAATCCCCTGCTCTGCTGTGTGTGTGTGTGTGTGTGTGTGTGTGAGGTTGTGACCCTGCACATAACTGTGAGGTCAAAGGTCGCCCCTCCTTCAAGACTTCCAAGAATCAGACCTCCAGGAACAACCGTCTCACGCCCATCCCCACTCACGACAAACACACACCCTTGCACCGCTCACGTTTGGCACATTGACAGTTCAGCTGCTGCTGGTTTGTATAGTGATCAGTTTGAGGATCTAGCCACTGTTTTTCAAATCCTCTAAAAAAAAATCTATCAGGGTATCAAACAAACTTCTGCTGATGACAGAGGGGCTGTTTCCAAACCACCTAGCTTTATTTCAGTGTTTATGGTCAGGTTGCTCACATGTTGAGGTTTCACTTCTCAGTTAATGGATAACTGAACCATTTTTTGGATGTGACTGACTGCAGATGCTGACATCAGTTCTCTGACAGCATAGTCATCAAATTTAAACCTTAAGTTAAATTTCTGGGTTTCCTGCCTCCTCCTGCTCCTCTCCCTGCTCTCCTCTCTCTGGTTAATTTCCTCGCTCTGCTGGCACTTGAGATTAATTGCACATGTGCACGGCGGCAGAAGTGCGATTTTCACCAGCACCTTTATGATCATGAACGATACAAATCCCTGATCATGAAGGTGCACCGTCTCTTATAAAAATTAAATAAATTTGAGAACTTTAGCTCATGTTGAAACTATCTCAGCTGCGTGCAAATCCTAAAATGTCACTCAAGTGAAAACTATCCTAAACCATAAATTATACTCAAACTAGGCTATGTTTGGACTTGTGCAGAGCTGGTGCATCCCTGTCTTGGAGTTTAAAAGCTGTTTAAAGAGTCTAAGTTTACTCTGCTGGTGATGTCCTAGTTTAGACCTCAATTTTTGTCCTCAGTTTAGATCCCTGAGACAAGTCTTGAAGTCTTTATGTGTGATTATTTGGACTAAATTTAGTTCCCTGTGTTAAGACCTCTTTTTGTTTACAAGTGTGGTACCTGGTTTAGTCCACACTTTTAGTCCCTGACGTAACCTGAGAACTTAGTGGTCCCAATCATATCTGGGTCATGTCCCAAACATCATACTCCACTTATATAATCAAAAAAAAACTGTGACTCTACATTCAGTGTCAAGTATGGTCAAGAATTTAAATCAGTAAGTCTTAAAGTTTAGTCTCCTGACTTCGGTTTCTTTGTTCAGCTCCTGAGTTCAGTCTCTGAGTTGGTTTTTCATCCCTAAATTTAGCCGCCTGACATCTTTGGCTCAGGATTTGAGGAGTGTGATCGGAGCAGCAGATGTGACTCTTCAGAGCAAACAGCAACGACCTCACCGACCACGAACACACCCATACCGGGCATGTATGTATGTGGAGGGGGACGAAGGGGGGCGTCCAGGGTGGGTGGGGTCACTGGAATGTAGGTCACACTCCGTCTGCTGTCCAGGAAGAAGAGGGCGGAGCTGTAGGCGTGCAGTCAGTAAAACTTCTGTCTTTTTTTGACTTACAGTTGGACCTGATCCTGCTCCACCACACGCTGCACAGTCAGACAGTCAGATGTCTGTTTCTGCCATTACACTCTCATTTTTCCATATCATTGTTCTATGCTGATCATGATAAAGATTATAGTCTGCATTTTTGTTTAGTGTCCTGAGATAATTTTATTAAAAAATTTTATATTTGGGGTAATTTTAAAGTCCTAAAAAGTCAGCACGACTTCTGATTTTTAAAGTTTAAAGTTTAGTCCGAATAGTGCAGAACTACTGTTGACAGTATGAGCGCGCTCAAAGAACACTGTTTATATTGATTATTATTGTATATTGATATTTAATGTGCAATAACCCTCTTGGTGCAAGTGTATGTAATCACTGTGCTATAGCATCTCATGTGCAATATCACTCATGGTGCAACAACACTGAAGACTGCACTAAGCGCATCTCTCAGTCCAACTTTCTCCTTTTAACGACCTCTTTTAGTTGTAACTTTTAGGATGAAAATGTGTGGTCAAATTAATAAATGTCAGAGTGTGATGGCTGCTACTTTTACTGTTACAGAGGAGAAATTTCATTGCACATCATGTGATGGCAATAAACGCAACCTATTCTATTCTTTTAAGACTGAGTTTTAGGGTCACATTAAAGAATATTCAAAAAGATTTCTCAAATAAAGAATGAAGGTTACGTCAAAAATTTTAATTCATAATGATGTAACAAAATTAACCTCACAAAATAATAACTTTTATCTTGTTATGTAATGACTTTGTTCTCATAATATAATGAGTATGGTCTTTTTATGTAATCTATTTAGTCTCATGAAAGAACAACTTTAATCTGGTATTTTGAAGATGTCAATATTGTAACATAATTACTTTGCTCTGTTAATAGGACTCTAATCTCATAATATGACTGTAATCTTGTAATGGTTGGACTTTATTCCTGAAATCTTATAGAGCCCTGATATTCTGTTCATGAGCAGCTAAGATTCAATCATTAAACTCTTGATTATTTTCTTGACCTCTGGAGTAAATTGGAGTCCTCATGATTTGGAGAACATTTCTGAAATGTAAAGATTAACAATCTTCAAAATCTGCTTTTTATTACCTTCTCTTTCAACCTCTTTTTCTTATTCTCTGCTTACAATAAAAAACTTTTCCACCCATGTGTAACTCTGAGGTGATGAGTTCAAACAGACCTCAGTGAAAGGGATGATGGGAGATTTTTTATTTTGCTGAGGCAGCTGATTCCGCACTAGTGGTAAAAAATCAACAAACACTTCCTGTATCACTCTGCCCTCATTTCCTGTCGACAACTAGAGTGTCATCAAAAAACCTTTTCCACAACTCTGTCCAAAACCTCCCCTCCAAACACACACGGACTCAGACACACACTCAGACACAAGCCAACACACACTGAAACATTCAACATGTTGAAAAAAATCAATAACGTTGATTCATATTCTTTGTTTTTTGTCTTAGATGAAACAGCATATCAGGACTTAAATATTTGTGTTTGAGGAGAGAAAAAGAGAAAAATTAAAGCTCCCGTGGTGAGTCTTTTACTTCTTTATAAAACATTGTGGCACTACGAGTCAGTGTGTTAACAGTTAAAAACTTAATTTAAAGCGTCAGTCTGATTATAACTGGACTTAAATACAGACATAATCACATTAGTCTGACTGAAATCTTGGTGTTATCTGCTCTACAGTTCACATGCCAAGTTCTGCCTCTAAAGTCAAACAGCATGAATGTGTGAAAGGAGGCCAGGTAGAAAACCAAAAACACAAGAAATTGAAGAAGAAGAAGAGTGTGGAGGAGCAGACACATATAAAAACTCAGCTGTGTTATGATATGCAGGAAGCTGTAAAGTTGTCTTTGTTTTCACGGTTCACTAACCAGCTAGCCTCTTGCTCACTAGTTTGTTGATTTTTTTGGCATATAATGAAATAGGTCAGCCAAGAGAAGCTCCAACAGATGAAATGAAATGGGGCATAAAGGTCCTTACACATTGGAAACATCGCAAATATACGACGCAAAATTACGAAATATTCAGAGGCCAATTTTGACGGGCCTGACTATACACATCGAGCGCGATGCGATTTTGCGACCTTCCGGGGGGAAAAAAGACGCGTCCCGGGTGGAAGCGAGAAGACTGACACAACAGCAGACTGACTGTTTTTCAGTTCTGATTAGACACTAGTGTTGAGATGGCTGTCCGTCATGATAGCATGTACTGAGTCGGGGCCAGTACCAGATAAGTACATTAAACTATAATCCATAAACGTAAGGTAACAACAGAGACCTAATGGTGCTGTGACAGCAATGCAATTGAGTTTGAGACAGTGAAAATACATATGGTATGTTGTATCTGAACAGGTTAGCTTAAGAGCTAAAGTTACTTAGCACAGATGAAAGTTAAAACAAAGATGTTTAGCAAACTGTTAAAGCACACAAACTATCGTCATATGAGAAATGTAAACTGGAGCGAAGACAGTAGTCCAGTTAAATCACCTGATTGAACTTTCACCAAAAAGCTGTTAACTGTGCATGAAAACGTACTGAGTGATTTTCTTAGGAAAGAGTGGAATCAGACTCAAAATCCCAACGGTTTTCTTGTAGTGTGCCCTGCTTCAGAAGGATTAGGGTTAGGGGGATTTAATTGTTTGATTGCTTCTTTTTGGGGGGGCTAAAGCAACACCACTTCTGCATGTTTAGGTCAACATCTGCAAAGACGACAAGAAGAATATATCATTTTGTCCACAAGGGGCGCCAAAGCCTTGCAGGAGCTTTTAAGGTTAAACTTTTTACATCGTGCACAAATGTCATAGCTTTTTCTGGGACCTTGACTTTTTGACTTTATTTTCTTGTGTTGTTTCTCCTCTTTGTTTGAAGTCTTTTATAGGTTAGAGTGGTAAACTTGTTTTATTTTCCACCTGAAGAATTCAGATCTGGTGTTTGTGAGAATAAAAAGTTAAATAAATATAAAGTTATAGTTAAATAAATAAACTTAAACTTTGTCGTGTTGTTGATCTTCTCCCCTAAAATCACTTCAGGTTTTCATCTGAGGCTCCTCTTTTCTCTGCGGACTGAACGTTTGACCCGACTGAGGGCCTCGCTCCGATGAATGACCACTTCCTGTCAGACACAAACAGGAAACACTCCTTTGTGTTGAGTCTGAGTGTTTATTACCTGAATACTAAATCCATGAGACACGTCTGGGTATTTCCAAGAGACTGCGAAAAATAAAAAGGACATTCAGAGGTTAAACGCTCTATGAGAGACCCTGAATTGACTTTTCTGAAATGTGTCGCTGGAATCAGACTGGTATAATACAAAAAAAAGAAAGTTTCAAAGTTTGTTATATTTGCGCTATTTTCTGTCAACTAATGGTTTTAAATGATTTCCAAACCAAAAATGATAAAAAATGAAAGTGTTCACATTTTACACCCCGTCCCACCTTTTCTTTGCATTTGGAGTCAGAATATAAATCGAAGGGGAACATTTTTTAACATATTTGGGTTGGTTTATTTTGTCGTCTTTCTACGATAAAGGGGTGAAACTTCCTCTTTCCATCACTGGAAAATATGAACCATTTAAATGAGTTAAAACATGTGTACCTGAGGTCTGTGGAGGTGTGTCGGTGTTTCTTTGTGCAGAGCCATGCTAACAGTTTCCCTCTGTTTCTGTCTTCATGCTAAGCTAAGAGCAGAGGGGGGAGAGCGTCATGTTTCTGAACCCACTGACCTTCGTCTGCAGCAGACATGTGATGGAGGAGGAGGAGGAGGAAGAGGAGGGGAAGGGGGATGGGTGGGGGTGGGGCTCGGCAGCACGTGTCGACTTGTTTACATTCAGACACACACCTCTCTCTTACACACACACACACACACACACACACACACACACACACACACACACACACACACACACACACACACACACACACACACACACACACACACACACTCAGAAGCTGCTGAGCTGAAAGTTTTGGAGTAAGTCAAAGGTTGGAGGGAGCTGTT